AACGAAGTAGGTAGGTAAGTGGATCGCATCTGAGCCACGGCGAGGTGAGAATTGAGATGATGCTGGAGCCTGAGGGTAGGTAAGCCCGACTCCTGGCAAAACGGGTGCTTTGAATCACGAAGAACAAAAATAACATCTGCGACATGCTTTCCTCTGGAAACGAACGGACGGACGGACGAGCGGGAATACCCGTCTCCCGTGCGGATCCGAGATCGAAGGTTCTTAGACTCATATGATGTTGTCTGCCTTCCCGCTGGCATTGGCATTGGCATGGGATTGTCTTTTTTCCCCATGGGATACATCGTACCGCAGTGTTAACCTCCCAGCCACGATGGCCGACTTTAAACCCCAAACACACGAAACCCCCTCAGCCAGCCCTGGTTCCGCAGCTCCGCTCACGGCTCCGAGGGGGGCTAAGCCATGAATAGGGAAAGACGAAAAAGTGAGCGCAAAATACACGCACATACGCACACCGGCCGGCCGCCAGACCCGTGACCCGTCGGCCGCGACGGAGGAGAGTCCCGATTCCCGGATCAAGAGTACCACTGGTTTAGCTGGCTGGCTGATATATAGATAGCTATGCAAGTACTTACTTAACTGGATGTTGTCCGGAAATTTGAAGTGGGACCGGAAAAGAGAGGCGAGAGAAAAAGGATGAGATAGGTATTCACACGCACGCTCTTCCAGGACATGAGAACTCGGCAATCGTTCTAAACCGCGGCGGTATAGAAGCATAAGGCTGGAACCCCGGCCTATAGTATAGCTTTCATGCAACCTAGCTAGCTATCTATCCAACATAGGTATTTATCGAATGCTTACCACTATATAGCCCTTTACATCGTCATTATAGCTATCCGGAGGAGGAGGAAAAGGAGGAGGAGGAGGCCACGACGATACCCGCAGAAAAAGCAAAAAGCAACGGAAAAAGAAAAGAAAAAGAAAAGAAACCGTCAGGTAAGGTACTTGTTATAGGTAGCACACATGTGACCGAGGGGTAATCGTCAGACCGACCGACCGACCGACCGGCCAACGCCGAACCCGAACCCGAACCCGAACCCGAACCCGAGCCCGAACCGGACCGGAGCCCGAACCGTAGCCCGTGTCCGTAATACCGTATGATATGATATGATATCGTTCCATAGATGCATAATTTATGGAAAAAAAAACTGCCACGGTTCTTCGGATCGGTAACAGGATTCAAGTAGGTGTCGACCCATAAATTCATATGATAGGTACGGTATCTTGTATGCTCCTGACGAGAAACTGCAGTCACTACGCACGCCGCAGCAGCATAACAGCTTTCATTTTATACCTACCTCATACCTCTACAACGTAAGTAGGTACATACTGTAGCAAAACGCGGTATTTTCCCCCACCGTAATATTCCCATACCTAGTAATTCCCAAGGTGCAGCGCCAGTACGCCAGTACCAATATTCAACATATTTAGCATTCTGTTGACATTTCCGATCCCTTTAACTAATACGCAATCACCGTTGTCGACGAGTGAGACACTGAGACAGCCAGCCAGTAGTATGCAGCAGGAAATGGACGATCATATGCTCAAAACTCCATCCAATGAAAATTGGTACCCGCACACACACGCCCACACGACCACAGGTGCATGTGTTCCTTTGGAATTCTGGAAGGGAATATTGTCGCGCACACACGTGCCGTGTGGGTTATTCGCCCACAGCACTGCACCGCTCCCATCTCCACAGGCATCGATCTTGCTCTTCGGGTTGTTCATAGGAGGAAATGGTGATTTCCCCTCAATCCGCATCCTTCCGTTCTACGCACATCGTACTTGCATAACTACGGCATACGGCATGCATACCGACTCAGAGGTTGTCAAATTGTCATGTCAAATGCTGCAGCCGCTGCTGCCAAGCAGAGAGGTACAGTACGGCACAGTCACGTTACGTCACCCAACCCAACATGATGTCGTTGGAGCTGCAGTCTGCTCAGTGCTGCATCACTTTTTCGTTTTCGTTTTCTTTTCTTTTTCCTCTCCTTCGTTCCCCGACCCCGCTCCTGACGACAATATCGATCGCCCGCTCGACACACGACTCACGACCTCTTCCGCTAGACATGTAGTGTTATGCGCTCGCATCACCGGCACGTGTTGCTGCTCCTCTCTATGGATCACGGCTATGCTTAGTTCCAACACCCAACACATGTGGACATTAGCCAAAGCCACCACCGAGCACTCACCTAGCCATCACCAACCAAGTTGAACCACCAACCAACCAACCAACCAACCAATTGTCCCAAACATTTTGACACCACGAAATACTACTAGTAGCCAAGTCGATCTCCGTTCCATAAAAACAATGCCTATTTTTATGTATGTAGGTTGATGTGTGTAGACGTAACCTCGTTATCGGGCTCAGCCTGAGGCTCACCGCCATGAGGGAAAAAGCAAAAAACAAAACAGTGGTCGGTAAGAACGAACGGTTACCGGCGCAAGACGGTTGATGCTTAATGCTTGATTCCCGATTCCCGATTCTCGATTTCCCGGGCCCATCACCATCACCATCACCACTCGCACCATCACCACTCGCGAGTCGCTGAGCCTTGACTCGTGAGGAAATGACTGCACAGTGCAGATCGAGTCGAGGTGCTGATCCGGGCCGGCTACCGGTAGTTGGTGTTGGTGTTGGTGTTGTTTCTTGTCTTCACTGAGCAGGTGGGGGGGGGGGGAGGGTGTTTGTTACTGTGTCGGTGTGTCGCTGTGGCTTTGCGTCGAAGTGGCTTTGCTTTGTGTCGAGAGTCGAGAGTCGAGACGCATGGTTCGCTGTGGACGTTGTGGACGGCGGTGTAAACGCTGTGAACGGATGATTTTTTTTTGTTTATTCAGTAATTGCATGCGACCTATGTAGATCATGGCAATATCGCCCCGTTCACCCCCCCCCCGTTTCCACGCCACTGTCCAACCCGACTTGCATTGAGCAGCCCGATGTGGCTTTCCCTGCCCCCGCTCCAGTCTGTCCCGAAAAAAGTAGATACACGGTAAAGACTGAAATGGGCCTGCATGCCCGCCTGCCCCTTCCCACCTCTCCTCTCTCCCCTACGGGCTGACTCGCCCGCTCTTCCCACCTGCCCTCTGTCCCTTCGTTTGAAGGTTTTCCAAATCCTTTTTGTGGGGTTTGCGTGCCTTTTCCGGCCTGGCGTTCTTGTTCCCGCCGATGATGACGGTCACATGTACGCCGCCCCTGCCGCGAGCAATATCAGCCCACGACGGGACGCTTCCCTCTCTTCCAAATCTCGTCCCTCTCTTCTCCGCTTTCCCTTTCCTCTTCCTCTCAACCTTCTTCCATTCCTCATCCGTCTCAGTGTCACGAGGAGGAGGCGCTGCGGACACGGCAGATGCTGGTGGTTCAGGTCGTGTGGAGTCGGACTCCAATCCCCCCTATGCTCAGATTGCTCAGGCGTCGGGGTGAGGGGTTTGGCTCCCGCCAGCTTCTCCGGTTGGTGCGGGGTGGGCGGCCCCGTCCGTTTCCGTTTCGGCCGCCGAGGTGGTGTCGATGATGGGGGCGGCAGCGGATGTGTAGCTTGCACTGGCGTTTGCTCCCGGAGCACTCGGTTCTCCTCAGTGAGCTTGTCGATCTTCTCACTCATCGTCTCCATAAGGGCTTTGAGGTCCCTTATCTCCTGTCAAGTCTCTCGTACCGCTGATACGAGTTCTTTAATGTTTCCTACTGACTCTTCGACAACAGTCCTAACGAGCCCAAGCTCGTGAAGGAAAATCCCCTGAAGGTCTTCGTACAGGTGGTGAATTTCGTCAATGATCGGCGACGCGAAGTCGTCGTAAGCAAGGACGGAACGATCCTCTTCCTCCATTGGCTCTGAGGGCGGTGGAGGGGAGGCGGTGCACTGGCGAGCCAGGTGCCCGAGACGACCGCAGTTGTAACAATTGCGATTCGACATTCCAAGAGGGGTAGGAATGAAGCCGGGGCTTAGTTCCCCTCCGTTCTCGCTGAGATTCATCAGCAGTGATTAAGCGCATGAACATACCTCTAGACGGTGTCATGATCAGGCTCGCAGTTATCTCCTCACGTTACCCAGATAATTATCAGTGAAGGAAAACATCCAAATACCGTCACCGTGTCGTCGTATCTCCAAATCTTCCACCGCAAGAATGAATCCGCCCATGCCCACCATAGGCGATCACTCGGCTGTGATCGCTAGCTGTAAATTCCGCGATTTGCAGTCCGTACTCCACTGCCTAGTTCCGGGGCCGACGTGTCCAACGAACGACTACCTATTGAAGTCTCAAGGCCCCTTGTTTAATCGCACGGTACATTTAGAACGGGCAGATGTATAGCTCCATAGATTCACCTCCACTCTCGCTCCATTTTCTCCAGATCTAGGTATACCTACCGTACACATCTAGTCCCACCACCTCCCACCACCTCCCAATGCTCCTATCTATTCCCCATCTCACAGTCATGCCATGCCCAGCCATTCTTCATGCCCATGATCATCGACATCATCGATGACAATCCCCCCCCCCTCATACACGGCTAAACGAACAACATGAAAGAAAAAAGCATACATCCAGCAAAAGAAGTATAAAACAGTGTGTAAATACCTCAAACACCCCCCAACCAAAGGCCCAACAACCAACCAAAGCACCACAAACTCTCCAACACCCCCGGAAAAAAAAACTTGACAAAACAAAAACAAAAAACACGTAACAAATCTTACAAACAAACGGTAAAACTCCCCGCAATCTTCACCCGGAAAACACAAGAAACATGGAAAGGAAACGCCTTTGAAACGATGGTTCCCCGAGTCCGTCAGCTTTATAAAGCGTGCGCTGCAGAAGAAGAAGAAGGCAATGACTACTTTAGTATGTAGGGAAATAACGCGAAAAGGAAAGAGAATCGAAAAGGAAAAAGAAAACGGGATATAATGGAATCATGTACAGAAAGGGCAGTTGTAGTTGTAGTCGTCAAGTCAGTCCACAAGGTGCAGTAGGTATTCGATGTCGGAAGGCTATTCCTCATCGTCGTCGACGCGATCGTTGTCGAGCCAGCCTTTGCTGCGGTCCACGGCCTTCTCCCAGTTGGCGAATAGCTTGTCCCGTGTGGCGTCGTCGGTCTTTGGCACGAACGTGGTCCGGTCATCGCGATTGATGCCCTTCAATTCGCTAAACTCCTCCCACACGCCAACCGCAAATCCGGCCGCGATGGCGGCGCCGAGGGCAGTGGTCTCCCGCATCTGTGGCCGATCGATCTCCAGACCTATAAAACGCGTTAGTTTTCGATGGGAAGAAGCGGGTGCGGAAAGTTGTACCTAATATGTCGGCTTGTATCTGCATGCACACGTCCGAGTTGCTCATCCCTCCATCCACAGCGAGCGCGTGCAAGGCGGTACCGCTGTCCCGCTCCATCGCATCCAGGATGGCCCTCGTCTGAAAGCAAGTGGCCTCAATGGTTGACCGCGCGATGTGCTCCTTGGTGGTGTATTGGGTCATGCCGACTATCCATACGGTCAGTTCTGACACTCGCCCAGCACTACTGTGATCTAAACTTACAGATGGTGCCCAGCGCATCGTCGATCCAGTACGGCGCGAACAATCCCGAGAACGCGGTGACAAACACAACACCTCCACTGTCTGCACGGGGTGTCAGTGGATATCCCAGTCGAATGAGGACCGAGTGATGTACCTGGTACTTTGGATGCGAGCTCGCCGATCTCATGCGAGTGCTTGATCATGCCCAAGTTATCCCTCAAGAATTTGACTGCGGATCCGGCGACGGCGATAGATCCTGCGCCTCATCAGTTTCTGCGTTCCTAGCGATAACGGGGATGGAGAACATACCTTCCAGCGCATAAACCGGCTTGTGCCCCTTGAACGCGTACCCCACAGTCGTCAAGAGCCCGTTCTTGGAAATCACCGGGTCGTATCCGGTATTGTAGAGTAAGAAGCAACCGGTTCCGTAGGTATTCTTTGCCATACCGGGGGTGAAGGCGCACTGGCCCACTAGCGCCGCACTCTGGTCGCCCAGACACCCGGCGATCCGGACACCCTTCAACGCGCCGTCCGCCAGCACTCCGTACGCCTCGGGATCCGAGCTGGGAACGATCTTCGGCAGGTTGACACCCTTGACGCCGAACCAGTCCAGGAGGAAGTCGTCGTACTCCAGTGTCCGGATGTTGCAGAACATGGTGCGCGAGGCATTGGACGGGTCGGTGACGAAGCACCCCTTCCCGAGGCCACCGGTGAGGTTGTAGAGCAGCCACGTGTCGACGGTACCGAACGACAAACGACCAGCCTTCAGCGCAGCTGCCACCGCGGGGACATGACGGATCATCCACAGCAGCTTCACCGACGAGGGGTACGTGGACAGCGGCAGCCCGCATAGTTCCGGAAGTTTATCCGCACCCTCTTTCTTCCGGAGCTCGTGGACGAGCCTTGACGTGCGGGTATCCGGCCAGACGATGGCATTGTGTAGTGGCTTTCCAGTGAGGGTGTCCCAGACGATCTGTATCCCACAAAAGTTTTCACGTCAGCCGCGGTCCCGCGAGCGCTCCAGCGATCTCGGAATGACATACCGTTGTTTCCCGCTGGTTGGTGATACCAATCGCTTTGATATCCTCGAGCACGTATCCTTGCTCTTGAAACTGCTTTGCCGCACGGTCGATGCATACGTTGACGCTCCTCAGCAGCTCGTACGGATCGTGTTCGATCCAGCTAGGTATTTCAGTTAGGCTAGGTTCGTTTACAATTTACACCCCCGGACGTCCCCCACAAAGGCAAATAGGAAGGACGCAGAAATAGAGTTCGGTGGCAATTACCCCGAGTGCGGATACAACTGTTCAAACTCAACCTGGTGGCTAGCCGTAGGAGTTCCCGAGCCATCGAATATCAGAAATCGCGAGGACGTAGTGCCCTGATCGATGGCGGCGGTGAAGACTCCACGCTTCTTCTCTACGACTGGCGGCGGTGCGGCGGCAGCGGGTGGGGCTACTTTCGAGGACGCACGGCGGGCGTGGTTGGGCACCCTGCTGCCGGAGGAGGATGTTGCCGACTTGGGCGACTTGGAGAGTGAGGAACCCATCGAGAGATTGGGCAGGAATCGTGGCAGAGATGAGAGAGGTGGCAGAGGACAAGTGAGGAGCGAGGGCTTTATTGGCAGCGCGGTGGAGGTGGAGAAGAAGCGAGTAGAGCGGGCAGCAGAGGTTGGATTCGGAGGGCCCGGAACGACAACGACGACCGCTCTGCTCAAAGATCGTTGGAGAGGAATGGTGGAAGAGGAGGAGAGGAAAGGCTCGACCCGGAGGTCGTCGCCTTTTTGACTGGGGAAACGGGATCTCCGGGGAGCCCGGGGGTAGGGGGGGTGACACAGAGAGAGGGGGGTTGGAGGAGAACCGGATGGGGGTGCGCGTGAGTGAGAATTGTGTGCTCTGGCTGGGTTGGGGGGCAAGAGAGCCAGCTGCAGGTTGTTTGTTACACGTGAATATCCATTAACCCAGAGGTGCAGAAGAAAACGTATCTACCCGGTTGCTCGGTTCTGTCAGACTGGGGTCTCCGTTTTCTGCGAGGCGGGGCGTCGGGGGTGGCAGGGAAGGGGCAGGGAAGGGGCAGGGAAGGGGCAGGGAGAGAGGAAGATGCGGAGAGTGGGTGAGATGCAGAAAGAGAAAGTGAGATGGGGGGCAGGGAGGAGTGGGAGGGGGGGGGAGGGGGGCAAGGGGGGAGGGGAGAATGGGGAGGGGAGGGCGAAGGGAGAGGAATGTTTGATAGGTACTCACCTTCCTTCTCAAGTGCATGCATACGACAGTGGGGGTGGAAGGAGTGGATTCGGGGCGAATGGAGACTGGGGGAGAAGAAGAAGACGACGAGAAATGATTACTGGAAGGGGCAGTATAGAGACTGGATTGCTACGGTATTCTTAGAGTAGAGCGGTAGAGTAGAGAGTAGAGTAGAGTAGAGTAGAGCGGTAGAGTAGAGAGCAGAGCAGAGTAGAGTGGTTGGCTTCGTGTCGGGGTTGCTTCGTGTCATGTCGGTCGTGCCTGCTTGCCAACCTTCCTTCGTACTTGCCTAGCTGCTTTTCTGTCGTCGTCGGAATAACCTGCGGCCTGGGGGGTGCGTTAGGTGCACACTCTCCCACCGAACGAACCAAGGGCGGTAGTTTAGTTTTGCTTCGGTTCCTGGAAGACATGGCGCTATCGGGCGGCACTACCCCGCAACCCGGAATAACTTGCCTGCACTTCGCAAAACCTACCGCCGAGTGACTCCGGAGGGAAGATAGGGGAACCGTCGAATCCCGCGGGTCGACACGCATGCAGCAGATGCAGCAAAAGCAGCATGCGCATGTTCTGGACGCGTCCAATTCGCGCAGCCTAGGACCCGCCGATATTGCTGCGAAAGTCTTTGCGGAGAGAGGGGGTGGTCTGTGGGCACGGCATCTGCTCCGGTCGCTGCAGTCGGAGGGCATCGCAGTGGCCAAGAGACGTGCCCCGTCACGTGCAACGGAGGCGAGTGCTCCGTCCGCCGGAGAGAGCGGCAGAGGGTAGCGCCGAGTCACGGGAGATAGAGGGTTGATCCGGTGAGCACGGATGCACCGCATTGATGGTGGATATAGGGATATAGTGGAAGGCAGGTGCATACCGGTACTATACTTATCCATCCATCTCACGGTGCGACGATCCCCATCGAAGACGCGGGGCTTGGCTTGGCTGGCTGGCTGGCTGCTCGATCGAAGGGCGGGGAAATTCTGTCAGATGCGACCGTGGCCGATGACCGATGACTGGGCTGCTGGGTACATAACATCTTGCTCCGCCGATGATGTCAAGGATCACCGCCGGTAACGACGACGTCGAAATGAAAGAAGAGAGGCAACCATGGGCGCCGGGAGATCCTCGAAAGGCCGCCATGCCGATCAGCCCGCTAGCTGGCAGCAGAGACACTCTAGTGCTGGCCTCTCGCCGTGTCGGTCGGGATCAGCACGCCTGAGCCAAGCCGCCGGCAGTCTAGACGGCCGAGATGCCTGTAGGATTCGCACAGATACACGTACCCCTCGCGGTCGATCGATAGCCTGTTCGGCCACACGTTCCGCAGCTTCGGTTTCGTGGCCTGACTCCACACACAAATTGCTAAACCGAATCCCTACCTATAAACCCGGCATCGTGTCATGCCGAATCCCAGCAATCCCCAATAGCCGGTGGGAGGAAGGATCCCAATTCCGGAGTCGAGTCGGCATGGTTGAGACTTGAGTACGCCCAGTTCTCATATTTAGAAGCAGTAGATGATTATGTAAGTAGACACAAGAAACAAAAAACCGAGAAAACAAAAAGCCGAGAAACTCAAAGGAAATCCTCATCACATGGCATTGCAGCTAAAAAGATTCCCTTCACCTCCATGCCTTCTCCCTCCTAGCCCCTCATTCCAGTGGGCGCCTTCCTCTCCTCTCGGGGCTTCTGCTCGCCCTTCTTCTCCGGCGTAGGATCGGTGGGTTGTCCCGGCTGCGTCGTCGCACTGGTGTCTTGGTTGTCGTCATGATGCATTCCCTGCTTCCCGGGCTGATCTCCCGCCGCCTTCTTGCCAGGATCGGTCGGCTCATCATCCGACTTCTTCTGTTTGTTCTCCTTGACCTTTCTGTCTTCCGCCGCCATACGAGCGATCCGCTCGTCCTCCTCCCTCTGCACGTTCTCCCTCTGCTTCAGGCGGATGTCGGCCAGGTGTTGGCGGGCACCGCGGGTGGGTTCAACGGCATCTCCGATCTGTGCCACGGATCAGCGTGAGGATGACATGTGCTGCCGGAGCGGGGGTTCTCACCTGACCACGGCCAACCAAAGTCATGATGATGCACGCACCGACGACGAAGGTCAGGATGAACCGGTAGGTGGTGTACCACCGCGGAGCCCAGCCCATAGTTGTAGCCTGCGAGTCGGCAAAGTACATACCCACGAAACCCACGAACTGGGTGAGCAGCGCATAGTCGAGCGGCAGCAAGATGGTCGGCCACGCCAGGGCGGGAGCCAGGATGCCGATAGTGTAGCGGCGGTAAGGGTGGGATCCTCCGTATTTGGCCATCTCCAGGCCCCAATGGACAGCACCGAGGAAACTGACGCACGAATCAGCTGATTTTTCAACGGCTTGAGTACTTAGATACGGAAACGAGACGCACCTGAGGATGATAGCCCCAAGTCCAATCTGTGTTGGCTCCAGGATCTCGAGGAGATGCGAGGCCGTGTCTTTACTGACAAAGATGCCCATGCCCGTCTCCGACGCATGGTTCATGTCCCATGCCAGGAACAAGGTACTGGCACTGGTGACGACGTACGGGGCCAAGCCTCCCATGCCGAACCAGAACACCTCCTTTGGCACCTCATGCAGAGCAAATGTCTCCCTAACCGTTGCCTGCCCGGACACACCTGTTACCATTCCTCCATCAATCCAACCGATTCGTGGTGGAACATACCAGATCCGACTTGATCCCATGCAGCATATCCGCCTCGTCGTCTTTCTTAACACTGGGATTACCGGGCTCAAACACTTGCCTCACGGAGCTGGTACTCGACACAGCTTCCGGATGCGCTTTCAGCTTTTCCTGGCGGTGCCGCTCCTGCTCCTTCTTCAGCTGGTCGCCTTTCAGCGCCGCCGCATACAGTCGGACACCTAGGGGCCTGAAGAGTGCACTCTGGACACGGTGAGGAGTAGGACGAGGACGGGTCAATTGCGGAGCTGCTGCTGGCCGGACCAGGTTGGAGAGGCAACGGACGGAGCTGGCGCTGGAGCTGGAGCCGGCATTGAGCTGCAGCAGCGGCCTCGCGTGCGGGAGGGCTTTGGCGATCGGGCGGAGGGATATTGACCGAAGCATTTCTTGTCTCGTAGCGTTGGATGGGATGGGATGGGCAGGAATTGTTTGTGGAAGTTTTTCGTGGGTGAAGATGTGGTTATGATGAGCTCCAGCTGTCACCCACAAACACATGACGTCACGGAGACGAGATGCGCATTCAAGGACGCACAACACATGGCGGTGTAACAATCAGAGGCTGTATTTAGCGATGCCACAGGCTAAAACTGAGTTGCAGTCTTGCAGACGCACGTAAATATCGCCGTTTCCGTGCTGATCGCGCTCTTGAGTTTTAACGCCTCCCCGAGGTAGGTATGGAAGGTGGATTTTCTACCTAGTACATATTGCAGATAGCCCCGGGTGATAAGTGGTGCTCGGTGACATGCAGTACCTAGTAAACGGCTTCGGCATCATTTCCGCCTACAATACGCATAACGTAGCATGTGTTTCAAGCGGAGCTCTTCGTCCTAACTACTGGAAGTGCCCTACCTCCATTCTCGGGCTCTGCCTTGGGTTGATCGGACCGAGTCCGAGCGCACCATCCGGGCCACGGCCCGGCGACCGGCCAGTGCTTAACTCAGCCCGTGCATTATCTAGTTACCCGGCACCTTATCATCTTCATCTCGCCGCCCAACACCAGCGCCCTACCCCACCTCCCCCCAAATGCCGACCCCTACAGCAGACACGCGGCGCCCTGCGGCGACGACACGGCTCTGCGCGCACTGCAACGTTGAGCGGGCCAAGATCCAGCGGGCCAAGACGTACGAGCGACTGTGCATCTCCTGTTTCATCGGCGTCTTCGAGCTCGAAACGCACCAGACAATAGTGGCGAACCGGCTGTTCCACCGGGGCCAAAAAGTTGCGATCGGCGCTTCGGGCGGGAAGGACTCGACCGTGCTGGCCGCCGTGCTGAAGACCCTCAATGAGCGCTATGACTACGGCGTCGAGTTCGTGCTGTTGTCCATCGATGAGGGCATTAAAGGTTACCGCGATGATTCCCTCGAGACTGTCAAGAGGAATGCGCAACAGTATGGAATGGAGCTGTGTATTGTCGGCTACAGGGAGCTGTATGGTTGGACTATGGACCAGGTCGTCGAGCAGATCGGAAAGAAGGGGAATTGCACCGTGTGTGGAGTGTTCCGACGGCAGGCACTGGACCGTGGAGCGGCGATGCTGGGCGTGAGCCACGTTGTCACGGGGCACAACGCCGACGACATGGCGGAGACCGTGCTCATGAACCGTAAGCCCCCATCCCTTCCACCCCCGTGCGGGGTGGGTGGCATTAACTAAACCTTACTCCCAGTCCTCCGCGGCGACCTCCCGCGGCTCCACCGGTGCACCTGCATCGTGACCTCAAGCGCCTCGTCGCCCATCTCGCGCAGCAAGCCATTAAAATACGCGTACGAGAAGGAGATCGTGCTGTACGCGCACCACCGCAAGCTCGACTACTTCTCGACGGAGTGCATCTACTCGCCGGAGGCGTTCCGCGGCAGCGCGCGCAGCTTGATCAAGAGTCTGGAGCGCGTGCGGCCCTCGGCAATCTTGGATATTGTCCGCTCTGGCGAGGCGTTCGCCGAGATGGTGCCGGAGGAGATCCGCGGATCCGCATGCGCCGGTGAGGCGAAAAGGAAAACTACCATTGATGTCGCGGCGGATAGGCAGGCTGAGGCCGAGGCGGAGGAGGGGGGGTGTACGAAAGGGACTACGGGGGATCCGTCGCTGGGCGGCGAAATGTCGCAGTTTGAGAGGCAGCTTACGGAAACCGAGAGGGCGGAGCACCGGGAGACGGAGATCACATTACCGCCACCGACTAACAAGAAGGGTGGCAAAGGTAAAGAGAAGAAGGAGCAGCTGTCGAAGTTCAAGAAGCAACAGCTGGGGTCATGCCTGAAGTGCGGCTACATGAGCTCGCAGGAGCTATGTAAGGCCTGTGTGATTCTGGACGATCTGAACAAGAACAGGCCGAAGATTGAGGTGGAGCTGGACGACGAGGATGAAGACGCGAGTTCGAGTGTACGTCGCAAGATGGAGGCATTGGATCTCAGGAGGTCACTAGTGGAGGTTGATGCCTCATGAGGATATCAGTAGGTACCGGTGTTTCACAGTAAGGAATAATATATTATTCATACCTATCGCCTTGCCAGAAGCTGCGGAATCTGCAGCATTGAGGGTTTATACTGGGCTTGGCTAGATACCCGAACCTGGCATCATCCCTGAATCCTAGCGAAAGTGCCCCATGGGTGAAGCTTTCAACTCAATCGCACAACACCTCTACCACACAGCGCAACAGCATATATCGCATCCAGCCATCCCTTCTCGCAAACAGTCATTCATCCGTTCTCCTACCTGTTCATAAACTCACCACGCCGCCGGAATACACGTAATGTCTACAGTAAATACTGATTTCTACATCCTTGTGACAGGGGCAAACAGGTACGTACACCCTCTCCTGCCGGAGCTTCTGTATGCTATCTCGCCAGTATGCTGACCTTCACAGCGGCCTCGGCCTCTCAATTGCCAAACGTCTCTGCACCGACTTCCTCGCGACGTACCCTACGCACGAGACGCTCACGATAATCTTCACCACGCGCTCCTCTCGCAAAAGCACCACCACGCTCTCCCTGCTGATCGACCACCTCGCCGCGCTCGACCGGTCCGGACACTCCGCCACGCTCCGCATCCGCTTCTCGACCGCGCAAGTCGACCTGACCTCGCTCCCCTCCGTCGCCGCCCTCTCCAAACACCTCATCCACAGCTTCCCGCACCTCGATGCCGCCATCTTCAACGCGGGCATGGGCGCCTTCACCGGCATAGACTGGCTCGGCTGCTTCATCTCGCTCGCCAAAAACTGGGTCGAGGCGGTGACGCACCCGGTGTTCAAGATCCAAGCGGTGGGGCGCACCGTTCCCCAGCCCGCGGTGGGCGGCGGCGACATTGGCGAGGTCTTCTGCGCCAACGTCTTCGGGCACTACTACCTGGCGCACGAGTTGATGCCACTGCTGCGCCAAGGCCGCGGCCGCATAATCTGGGTGTCGAGCCTGGAGGCGTACGCGCGGGTCTTTGACAAAGACGACCTCGAGGGCCGCAAGGCGACACATTCGTACGAGGCGTCGAAGCGGCTCACGGACGTGATCGCGCTGACCAGCTCGCTGCCGGCCACGAAGGCGTGGGCCGACTCCTATTTCTCTGCGAGCGAGCAGGAGCAGGAGAAGGAGAAGGGTGAGAGGAGGCCGAAAATGTTCCTCTCCCACCCTGGCATCTGTGCTACCGCTATGGTCGACCTCCACGTAGTCCTGTTCTACTGCATGACACTGGCGTTCTATATCGCGCGCTGGATCGGGAGCCCGTGGCATACGATCTCTACAGACACTGGGGCGAATGCGCCGGTGCACCTGGCGCTGGCGCGCGATGAGGAGCTGGTGGAGACGGAGGCGCAGCGGAAGAAGTGGGGGAGTGGCAGTGATCGCGCGGGGAAGGGCGTGCTTCGGGTTACGGATGTGGAGGGTGAGAGTGGTGAGGAGTGGGAGGAGCTGGGGAGGGACGTGTGGAGGCAGATGGAAGAGCTGAGGGTTGTCTGGAAGGCTAGGTTGGAGGAGGCGAAATAATCAGTTGATGTGTGGGTGCGTGGGTGGACTTTCCTTCGTGGTTCTAATTGAGTTAACTAGAATACGGTACTGGCTGCGAGTGATTGATCGATAGGATAATATTACATAGACACATTAATGAATACAGGCATTGATAAAACCAGTACATTTTATCCAAATCAATCCTGCGATGCGATGCTCCAAACGACAAGGGGAATATGATATCTATGACAAAAGCAGGGGAAAAAAGCAGCCCAAACTCCGATTACTATCATAATGCAATATTACTCCCAACAAGGGGGCACTCCGGACTACCATTACACCAGCGAGTTTACGGGCGGCGTCATCCTCTTTGTGATTTGCTCCTTCTTCATACTCCGTATCTGCGCCTCGAGCTCCCTGCGTTCCTCACGTTCAGCCTATCACAAGAAAGGTCAGCCATAGTCCTGGTAATCATGAGTAGATGGAAGAAAACAAACCTTTAGTGCCTTCGCCTGCTCAGTCCTCATATCCCGCATCATCTTCTTGAACTCCTGTCTGAGCACAATGAGCGTGGTGCTATCACCAGTCCTTGCTCTAGGGTCCGCAGAACGAGGACCATTTGACTGCACCCCGAGGATTCCAATCTTCTCCTCGGCCACCGCAGTCTCGAGCCCGTCAACTCGTTCCTTCAACGAGTCGATGGTCGACTCCAGCCTCGACCTCTCCTTCTCCGCCTCAATCCCTTGCTTGGTCAAGTTCTCAAAGTCCTTGAGCATGTCGTCGAGCTCCTTCTGCAGCACCTTACATCGCTTCTCCAGGTGCGCGTTATTGGCGCCTTCAGCGCGCTCGTTCTTGAGCCTGACAATCTCGTCGATCAGCTCGTTGTTCTTTCGCTCGAGGTTCTCGATCTCGGCGAGAAGGCCTGGGTCGATGGTTTGCGGCTGCTTGTTCGCCTTTTCCAGAGCCAGAGCGGCGGCTCTGGCTTGGGCGGTGGCGGCGGCGCGCTCGGATTTCGAGCCGTAGGCGATATCGAGCTCGGCTTTCGCCATGACCACTTCCGTCGACAGCTCCGCGACTTTGCGCGACATCTCTTCGAGCTCCCCGTCCATCCGCTTGATCTCGTTTGCTTTCTCCTCCAGCTGTAGCCGGAGGGCGTTTTCCTGCTGCGCAGATGCTTCCTGCGCTTTTGCAGTGGCCTGGAGGACCTCCTCCTTAAGCGCGACAATCTCAAGGTCGAGCTGCGTCAGCTTGCCATCGTTCTCGGCTGTGAGCGCCTCGAGTTCGGCCTTGGTGAGATCGCGGTCCTCTTTGATGTCCTGATACTTGATTTCGAGCTCGACCATGGCCTCCTCTCGTGCGACCAGTTTCCGATCAAGCTCCTCCAGCTGGCTCTCCATTTCCACCCTCGCCTCGTTCGCGATCGCCAACGCATTGTGCTCCTGCTGGAACCCTTGGTTCGCCTGCATCGCTTTCTGCTTGTCCTGCGACCGCTCCATATCTAGTTGATGCATTGCATCCATAAATTCGGCGCTCTTCTTACTGAACGCGGTTCGCGACTCCTCAAGCTCATCGGACGTCTGTTTAGCCACAGTTTCCGACTCCATCAATGCGGTTTGCAAGCCGGTCAGCTCTTCCGTCAGCGCCTCAATCTTCGTATTTGCCGCAACAAGGGCGTCGTCGCGTTGCTCGAGCAGCATCGACAGCTGGTTAACCTGGCCTGCCATATTTTTCAGATCCTCCTGCATCAACTTCATATCCTCATCCATATCGGAGTCCTGCTGATGTGAACGGTCCTTCAGTGTATCGCGTTCGTTACGGAGGTTGTTGAGTTTATTTAGCATGCTCTGGACTTTCGACGAAAATACTGAGATCGAGTATTCCGGGGATGCCTCTCGTTCGTCGTCGCTTTCGTATCCTTTCCCCCGATCCATCTTCTGCTCCCGCGCATCTTCCTCCGACGCCATGATCATGTCCCACAGCGTCATCAGCAAGGTCTCAGTGCGCTCAAACTCTTCCGCCGCGCGACTGGCCCCCGGCGCCGCTGGTGGATGGTCCCGGATGTACTGGATATTTTGGTCCAGCAGCGCGAGCTGCTCGTGGATCTTATTCTCGCCGTCTTGTCCCCTCAACGGCGGCCGCGGAGATCCGCCGCCAGTGGACTGCAGCAGCTCATGGATGCGCATATTGAAGTCCTCCAACCTCTCAACCACAAACTCGTCCTCCACCGGCTTCTTCGTCGTCGCACCCGCACTTTCCGCGCCATGAAAACCTCTCGTCACCCCCTCCCCAAAACCGTCCAACTTATCCGCCGTCCTGTACAAGTGCGGATCGTCAAAGGCGGTTGGATCCGCCACACCGTGCGCAAGCGTGTACTCCATACTCGCACGCTGCGACGCCGTGCCCTCCTTATGCGTCAAGCACAGGATCCCGGCGGAATGCATCAACAGCCTCTCGCGCACCTCGGCAGCGCGCTGCTTATACTTCTCCAGCTCAGCACCCAGCTCATCGCACTTCTTCTTCCCGGCCTCCAGCTCCGGGTCCTCGCGCGGCTGCCCACGCTTCGCCGACAGCCGCGCGAACGACAGCAGCGCGTCGCGCACTTTCGACTCCCGCGCTAGCTTGTTCGCCGTTACGTCGATGCGCTTCGTGAGCTCCGAGTACTCCTTCTTGAGCGCTTCGACTTCCTCGTACGATAGCACCGCAAACGACGTGCTGTCGAAGATTGCCTGTTCTACTAGCAGGTGCAGCGACATTGGGTCGAGCGAGGTCGTGGGTGCATCCTATGTGCGAACATCCTCCGTCAGCTCGACCGACTTACTTCATCCCTCCCGCCTCCCGCCACAACACAGGAAAGGGGAAACGGAAACGGAAACCCACCGGATTGAATCGCGGCCGCGCATATCCTGCTCCACCACCACCACCACCTCCACCGCCGTGCCATGAGTTTTCTTCCGGATCATCGTAATGCTGTTCTTGAGGCGGGTAGCTATTACGCGCTGCTGTGTGGTAGCCGTTCATTGCGGACGCGTGAGTTGATGTTCGTAGTGTGGCGACGTGGAGGATCTTGGAATTAATTCGTCGACGAGCATGAATGGAGTTTACGAGAACACGTTGATCTGAGGAATCAGGGGCGACACACTGGACGAGGCGAGGCGCTACAGCCTACTTACAGGCATTGGAATGGTGTGGGGGACCTGCAAGGATATGGGCGGCAGCGGTAACCCCGTATGACATGTTATACACACTGCACAGTCCTGCTTGTATGGGGGATCGTATTAGATTCAAACACTTCAAAGCTCACGGGGTTTGATGACAAGGAGTCAAAGACACTCCCGAATCATATTGCAAAGCACAGGACAGCTGCAAAACACGATACCTACACCAAGGAGAAAGGCCCATTCCACCCATGAAAAACCATGACACATATTTGCAACGCAAAAAAGAAACCACAAAACACAATCCGCGAAAGATAAATCCCAATTCCGCCCATGAAAAACAAAAAAGCCTAAGAAAAGACCCCCCAGCCACAGCCAATCCTCAAATCCCCAAATCCATATCTCAAGTCTACCGTCTACGACACCGCAGCAGTACTGTTAAACGAATTTACCGCTAGTCCAATCTTCTTGAACAGGAACTTGCGCGAGCTCTCGTCCTTGGTTGGAATGAAAGGTCCTTGTCGGTTGCCTCTCAAGATCAATACGATCCCCGTGCGCTCCATGCTGATTGTTTGCAGCTCCTTGAGCGGTACGTCCCACTCGCAGTATAACTTCTTGCTCCGGACGAGCATGATTCTCCTGCAACTTTATTAGCACGGACAAAAGGAACCAAGTGGAAAGCATGTACTCACGCAAAAGTCAACATGACAACAACGTCCTGTTCCGGAAGTTCCAGGTGGGCAATGTATTCCTCGTTGAAGTACTTTCCGTTGTCCAGCTGCTTGAGCCAGAACTGTCCTAGTGCCTCCCGTTGCGAGTATGGCCGCACGATTCCGTCTTGTGCGATGTAGCGGGTCAGCCGTACACGGTCGAGTCCGTCTTGATCGAAAACAGTAGTGGTGTTCCGGATTCCCTCAGTGACATCTAGCCAAATGATTAGCACACCATTCGATAAGTTTCGCTTCCGAGAGTTCCTTACTTGACGCAAGATCGAAGACACCAATCGCCGGCTTGGTAGCAAGTCCCACAACACCCTTTCCGATACCCTTGAGGAATCCCAAAGCACCTTCCCGCTCCGCTCCCTCAAGCGGCTTCCGTGCTAGACCACCGACTCCACTGGCCACGCTGCTAACAAAAGAGTTTGCGCCAGCCGTGACACCGTACAAGGCGTGCTTCGGTCGGTTTCTCGAGCGTGACATACGTCGTCGATCCTGGAACTGCTTGTCAAGCGTGGCGGCAGTCAGGCCTTTCGAAATACTGCCGGTAAACTTGGACAAACTGTCGCTGACTCCAAAGACAGACTTCTTGACGAACATGGTGGCTCCCTTGGCGATTCCGATTCCCAGCTCCTGTGGCCTATCGTTCAGGATGAATCCCTGGTACGGCTCGTAGAAGATGTCCACAACACCCGAACTGATGTTGTTGAACAAGCCCACCGGGTTACCAAGGAAGTCTGCAGATCCCAGGATCTTGTGGACCTGGTAGAGAACCTCCTGGGTGTAGTGAGCCTGGAGGCGCTGAAGAAGTAGAGGAACTGACACCCGTGCGTTCTCGAGCATCAGTGCGTTGAGCTTCACGGGAGCGTCGTTCACGTTTCCGATCGCCATCGTCAGGATATTCACCAGGAACATCAGCGGATTATTCGATGAGGTCTTGTCTTCGACGTTGACAACATCCGTCCTCAGGAGAGAGAGATCGATCTGTGCTGGCTGGATGTTGAGGAGCTCAAAGTATAGATCCTGGCCAGCATCCAATATCTTGGGTTCGGGAACTTCAAGTGAATCGTCACAGAGTATTCCCTCGCTCTCCTTGGCATCCAGTCCCGGCATCTTGGAGAAGTCCAGTAAGGCATAGATGAAATCTTCGTCGATCTCAACTGTCATCTGCTGCATCAAGAAAGTCGCATACTTGATGTATGTCACACCGTAACTGTCGTCGTTCACGAGAGTCATGGACGAGTGAATCGACGGGTGAACATCCATCTCCTTTCCGGTCTTCGGCACAACACTGGGATAGATGATGATGGGAAATATTCCGCCATAGAGCTGGTTGTCAACTTGTACCCATTTGATGACCAAACTATAGGTTTGGTAAAGCGACGAAGTGCCATACTTGAACTCCAGGTCACGGAAGGTGATGTACGCAAGTTCCTTCAGTTGTCTGTTGATCAAAGAAATACCAATACCGGCAAATCGTATCTGCGCCTGGAAAGTAGTGCCACTGTCGACATCCTTAACCTCGAACCCGGATGTTGCCACGCTGCTGGTCGACGGGTTGGGATTGGATTTGACCTTGTAGATACTCTTCGAAGGCTTAAAGTTAGACAACACCAACGTCTGGGTAGGACCGTTCGCGACGACATTGACATCGATGATCTTCCGTTTGCCTGAGCCGTCGGGAGTATCAACCTTGATCGGCAGCAAGTTTCCAATCTCTGTGAGTGGGATGTGCCGCGTCTGACGACCGGCACAGAGAACCAGCTCCTTCGTTTTGCCTGCGGGATAGTCCCATGCGTACGGCATGATGCTGCGAGGAGGAAGCTTGTATTTGATTAGCCTGAACTCGGTCTTGGAATCCTCCGCATCGTCTTGATTGGGGTCGGTTTGCCAGAACGTAAACTCTTGGGTGCTCTCGTTTCGCATCGAGAAGGGCCAATTCTTCGTCTCCATACTCAGATGCAAGAAAACGGTCGACTTTTCCGCCAATATCTCCACTCTAACCAGTGTCTGCCGCTGATTGTTCCTGTGCATCTTGACATGTACCCGGCCGAGATCCGAGATGTTGAACGGCGCCGACCACCTGTTGTTGATCCCGGGGAACAAGAGCGTCAACTGCTTGGTGTGTGTTGATCGGAGGAAATGCAGCGGCAGCAGCTGGCCAGGCTCAAGCGTCATGATATTGCTCGAGCCGGCACCCGGCTCCCTGATCTGCACGGTCTCTTGGAGCTTGCTCTTGAGGATGAACCTCGGGGACAATGTCACGACCTTAGTCATCTTGTACTTCCCTTCTCCCTCGTCAACGGAGATTCCAACATGAATTTCAGTCTGCTTTGTCGAGGATGGCAGGACGACGTCGTTCACACTACCGACAGCCTCGAAACTTTGCGGTCTGCTCCAGTTCGAATCGCCCACTTTGAAGACGGCTCTGTTCTGCCGATCGTCATTCGGATACGAGAACATGTACGGAAGGGCCTTCTGCGTTGCCGCCGAGCCCGTCTGCATCTGTCCGGCCGCCACTCTCGCCGACTGCAAGAGTGATTTGGATTTGACCATCATGTTTAGCCCGGTCTTGTTGAGAATGATGTAAGGGCTATAGACCGCAACACGGAAAGCCCCACCGCTGTTCGGGATCTTGTAGTAGTGCAGCTTGAGATTTAGTTCCAGACCTTGTTTGTCTTTCGTGACCAGCAACTTCTCCGAGTCGAACTCCGTGCCGTTTGAGTTGATAATGGCAAAATCGCTTTCGCCATACGGAGTGTCTTGCATCTCGATACTCATGAGCAGCAAATGTGAGAGCTCCACGACATGAACGGGGCTCAATCCACCCTTGCGGAGGAAATTTGTCCATTCTTTCTGGTTGTTCTTATCGTAAATGCGGAACTTGAAGTCGTACGGCAGCAGGTTCTGGATCTCGACGGGTGCAGAAAGCCGCACCCTCATGTGCGGATACTGACTGCTCGCAGCATTGTTCTTCTGGTAATCGGCGTGCATCTGGAAGTAGAAGGGCGGCGAATTATTTCCTTCCTCCGTCTTACACGTGATGCAACTGGTGGGCGACCTCAGAAGGTCCCGCCAAAAGATTCGCTCCTTGGACCAGATGTACCCGAAACCAGCGTCAGGGCGAATAACAACCAACTGGTTGTATGCCGCCTCGACAGGTGCAGGCTGAGACTCGCCAGGCAGGACTTTGTAGACCTTGACGAGATGCGTGCCCCGCGCATCGAGTATGCCCATCTCGACGGGGATTTGCGTGTTGTTTTCAATCAGGAACGGCGAGCGGAAAGTGATGTGCTTGACGCTGTCGGTACCTAATCGGACCTCGCAGAGCAATCGATGGAGAATTTCATTCTTCGCGGGCCGTAGGGTGTAGAGTTGCTCGCCCTCACGATTAACGGAAATCTCCTTGATGCTCTCAAACGGACTATCCTCGAGCTTGATGCCAACGATACCACTAGCTCCCTCCGGCGTCAAGTTCTCTCGCATCTTTTCCCACTCCTCGAACCTCCAGGGAGCTGTTTCGCCATCTTGCAGTTTGATCGCCATTGAAGAACTTTCCAGAGGATTGTCCGACGCTGCCCAGACGTGCAAAGGATAGCCGGTCTGGTTGTGAATACGGTACGGCGTTTCCGACCCGCGGGGCTTCGTCAGCACATCCTCGTCCTGCTGCATGAACTGCGCAGCCTTTGTGAGCAAAGCTATGGTCTGTGAAGTAACGGTAACCTCCAACATCTTCCGAGAGTACAAGTCGATCGACAATTTCTCTGGCTGCGATGTCTTCGCCATGTGGAAGCCGAGTTGCCATGGTTCGATCAACGGCTCCCAGGCGCTCTTCGAGAAGTTGTAAATATTCACGAAAGTCTCAATGCTCGTGTCCGCGTCCATCTGTACACTGGTTAATCCTGCTAACACCCAAATCACGCGATATCACTCACCTCCCCACTCCAGTTCTTGACTCTAGCTGTAAATTTCTTCACACTCAAATCCAACAACGGAAGTTCATGCTGATCACCAATCAGGATTACCCGCATTCCCTCAATCTCGGCCTGCAGTTCTTCCCTGCGAACCATGCTGGACGACGTGCCCGGAGTGCTCTTCTGCGGCGGTGCCGGGGTGCTGCGTGTCGTAGCCAGCGTTTTGGGTTTCCCAACCTTCGTCGAAGCACCATATCCACTCGCGGTCCTACGCTTGAGCGAACTCAAGCCCTTGGCGTTCTTCATCTTTGTCGCCTCCTCGTCAGAGCCCGACTTCTGGGCGCCGCCGGACATTTCGCTGGCCTTGTTGAAGATTTGCACCGCCAATAGGATATCCCGAAGAGACACACGGATAACTAGCGGCTCAACTCCAACGTGGATACTCTGGAGCGAGCTGTTACGGCCGATTGCTCGGCTGTCCATAGCGACCTTGAGGGTAAAGTCGTCCAAAATCCGGAGCCTGCTGGTGTCTGGTTTGTCCATGCGGCACAGGAACATCCCGACCTTCTCGACTTGAAGCGTCAAGGCATGTTGCTGTGACAAGAGAACTTGCTTGGTGGACAGAACGATAGCTTCTGAGTTACTGATACTGGGGTTGGCGATGAGGATGACCTGCGAGTCCACGATATTGGCGCGGAATGAGACCATAATCGCTGGAACCCGTGAATCCTTCTGTTTCGCTGGCGCGGACTGAGTCGTCGATTGAGACCGCTTTGAAGTCGCCAGGCTCGCTGGTTTGGTACTCATTGGGGTGTCAAGGGCATCAGATTCGGAATCTTCCTCGAGTTCACTTAGGCCCTCCTCTTCAGGCAACAGTCCGGACATCACGAAGTCCCGCAATGCGAAGATATAATCGAGCGCGAAAATGATCCGCGGGCTGTCAATTGTGAGTAAAGCCACAAGGTTCCGTTCGACGCCCCCGGACAATGTAACGCTCGCCATGAATTGCGATCCCTCCTTGTGGGTCGACGACATGATCTTCCGGAACTTGTTCGTTTCCTGTTTGCGACTATCTCTGATATTGAACGACTCGATGAGAAGTTCCGACTCGAGGGATCCATCACTAATCATCCGCAATTTCACGTTGGTACTATTGAGCGAAGCTCGGGACAGACTGGCCGACTCAAGGTCGGTTATGGCCTTGTCGGGTTCGCAAGCGAAAAGCTCCATTCCGATGCTTCCCACCTTGAACACCAAGTCGAGTTTCGTCCATGTGTCAGGGCCTGTTCCCAGCTCCGGGTTCAAATGAACAACCTTCCCATCTCCACCGTCGTTGTCCGTCGCTCCTCCCGGTGCTCCGAGTTGTGATTTTGCGGGCTCCTTCGTTTCCTCCGGGAGTTGCTCCATAATTTCACGCTCGTCCTCCGGATCACCGGCGAACACACCCGGAATGGACCGCGATAGCTCGAGCAGAAACTTGTACTGATTCTGCGTCAACTTGAGGTTGAGATCTGACATGGAGCCCTCGATCTCGATATCGGGCCTAGTAGCATTCTCAATATGTTCAAGATACGTCACGGCAAAGGTAAGATCCAGCTGATCGAGCAGCTCCAATTCCTCAACCCGACCTCCCTCATAGTGGAATTCACTCGTAAGTCTCGTCTTCCGGATACCAGCCGAGATCTTGTTCGCAACAACCGAGTTTTCCGTGTCATCTAATTGCGCGAATGTATTCTGGGCGTAAAGCTCTCCGAGATATGCTGTCATAAGGTCTCCCTTGGATGTACTGCTGCCAACCTTGGGGAAGACAACAATGGGCGTGCGCATCAAGATGTCGAAATGTATCTTGTCCGCGTTCTCTTGGATCTGGTTCGCCTGATTCATTGCGGCCTGTCGTGCTGCATTGAAAAGCGCCTGCATTCGGCCGAACTTCACGGCGAAATCGATGATCTTCCGGAAAGGCTCTTCGACAAAATTGACCTTGATTGATCCGGACCGCAAGAATATCGAAGAGTTGTAGCCTGGGTACGAGCCCTTCGCCTCTGGATCGAATGTCTCATACCGGAAGTCGGCGAGTTCATCCCCTTGGATACTGACTAGTTGCCGGAAAGGAGAGTTCTCATCGGCACCCTCATTGATATCGTCAATCAAGGAGAAGTTTCCGAGACGACCACCAATTCGGAGAGTTTTGCCCATCACGAAGATCCCTAAGTCGGCACTGTCTAGACTGAGAGTTGCTAGTCGGATTCCGTCGTTGTTCAGGATGAGTGCGATGCTGTCGAGATCGACCTTCACCCGAATCTTTTGTTCTTGCGCCACTGGCAGCACTGGTACTGGCTCGACCTCTGCCTCTTCGCCACCCTCGATGGCTTTCCGTGGTGGTTGAGCTGGTGCATCGGGGTTCGTGAACGTCGTGATGACGAAATCCAGGAGAGTCAAAACGGTTTTCCGCGTGACTACAACATCGATAGTCGAGATTTGCACATCGATATGCTTGTCGATGGCCTCATATACCGACATGAACTCCGGGGATTCCTGCTTAACCTGGATGTACTTGACAAAGAAGAGCGGGCTTTCACTGCTCTTCGTCAAGCCGTCCGATGTAACGATCCGTTTGAAATCAGGAGATGGGTCTTCGTCCACAAGGTCCTCAACGTTCAACGACTTCAGGACCACAACGGCTGACAAGTCGTATGGCCGGATGCAAAGTTCGAACTCAAAGTGTTCAGCGACGAGAGATACTAGCTCCTTGTCTGGCTTGATTCCGTCGGGATCGGCCCTGAACAATGAGCCCTGCAGTCGATCAACGGTAAACCTCAGCTCAAAGTTCTTTTGGTGGAAGGTTGGGGCGTTTGTCGGATTCCCATCGAGGGCCTCTTCGAACTTCTCCTCATCGTCGCCTTCATCATCTGTGTCTTCCTCCAGTATCAATTCTTGCTGCTGTGCGGAGAACTGGAAGGCAGAGGCCCGGCGTAGGTCCGCGTAAGTGGAATTATCCTTGCTGGGCAGCACCTTCTTGTCGGTATGCTGTTGGACCTTCAGAGGCTCATCGCCGTCCAGGTTGGGAATGGCCATGTCAATGATCCTCATCATTGCCTTGTACTTTGTATCCGACATCGCCGCCTGAAGAACAGGCAGATGACCGGTCATCTTGAACTTGGTGAGGTTGGGGGCCTTCGGCAAGATGGATATCTCCAAAATGAAGTCGATATTGATCCGGTCAACAATATGGAACTGTTTCTGGTCTGAACCACGATGCAGCTGAGCGACTGTTTCTTCCATCGAAGGGCCAATAAGAACCTGAAAAAATTAGCGTAAATCTCAAAAACTTTTGGTGCTCCAGGAAATTACCTGTGTCGATTCTAACGTGAGCCTAAACTTGTCGTACATCAGGGATTCCAACTGCTTCCAATCCTGCTCACTGTACCGCTGATTCTGCTTGGATTGAATCTCGCCGATATCGGTTCTCGACACCAAATCACTTGAAAGGGCGACGTGACCGGCATCGAGAATAAGGCAATTGGTATTCTTCTCCGTACAGCTTTCCGGAATGATGATAAGAGGCGCCTGGAGATCCAGTTTTGCATTGACAGTCTTGTGTTCTTCGAGAGCAAACTCAAGACCCGCCCTAGTTTGCTGTCTGAGACCTTCTACCGTCGCACCGGCAGACTCCATCAGAGCTCCAATACTCTCCATGTGCCGCTCCGGCGGTTTGAAGAATTTGTAAATCTCCTCGATGAATTTCGGATTGTAGATGATCTCCATACTCCTCATCTGGACGGTTACCGCCGAGTCTGCACTCTCATCGAGCGGGTTCTGCTCGAAGCTTGCGCGGAAGAAGGGAGTAAGGGGGTCTGCCTCGTTCTGAACGTCTTTCTCTTCGTCATCTTCGCCTAGTTCCTCGATACGGCCGGCTTCTACCGGGGGAACCACGTTCTTGACACGTATAATCTGTGGATAGAGCGTTCCCTCGGTGGTGCCATCGTACAACCGGAGGCCACCAAGGCTGAGTTCTCCAAAGAGTGAATCCGGCCGCTGCAACACTCTAGCCTTGAATGTGTCGAAGAGCAAGGACAATATCTCCTTGCTGCTACCATGCGGATCCCTCTTCAGCGTAAAACTACCCGTCTTGAGGCTTGCTTGTACCTCCATCTTCACCGTCTCCCTCGGTAAATCGATGGCTTCCGTGATGGTTTTATGCTCGTCCCACTCAATAGCCTCGTACAGCTCTTTCCGTTGCTGCTCCGTCATAAGTGAATCGTCCTCTTCCTCCTTTGGCTGGCTGGTAACGAACGACGATAGGTAGGATCCCCATCCTTGCTGTTTCTTTTGGACTGCTGCCTTTGGTACGAGTGTACGCTCTTTTCGCATCTGGTTCCTCGCGAGGGATCGATAGAAGCGTAGATCCTCATACGAGAGTTTTCTCTCCAGTTTGGTGATCTCCTCGACTTCCTCCTCCGGCGGGGGGTCTTGCCGCTTGATATGCTTGAACAAGTCGATGTATCGTTTCCTGTCATCCCGGCGCTCCTTGAAGTATTCCCACGACCATTTCCGATTTTTCTCATGGATCTGGCTGAGGACCGCATCCGTCGCGAACTTCAACCAAGCCCTTGGATCCTCCTTGGGAGAAACACCCTTGGGCTGGTACTTTTTGTATTGTTGGTGACGGATATAGAAGTGGAACAAGTCTACCATCATCAAGAGGTCGCGATACTGGTCCTCATCGAGTACGAAACCAATTTCGTCGAATAGCAACTGACTCTTCACTCGTGGACGATCGTTGTTATTCGTCTTGTTCATCTCGATTCGGCCAATGCCATTGACAGGCTTGAGGACGAACTGGTGATTCTTCGCGATATTCTCCCTCTCGCCACCCGCTATCAGTCCCTTGAACGCCTCTACCACCTCTTGATGAGGCTTTCCACTGAGATGCTCCGAGTCTGTGTTCCAGTATATTGCCAATGAGCCCAGCTTCGCAAGCTTGTGCGATATCTCGACGTGGCCCTGGATGAAGTCCGGCTCCCATCTCTCGTTCGTGGAAACGGCCGAGAATTCCTCAAGTGTGAACCCTAGCGAGAAGGGGTGGCCGGGGGTGCTTATTGAGTCTTCATAGCGGATATGAATGTTCTTCACAGTGATTTGAAGGTTGTCCAATATCTATTCCGTGTCAATACTGCGTCACCATAATCCCACTAGAAGCTGCTATCCTAACCTTCGTCGTCAGACTCGCCGCAAAGCTCTGGTTCTTCTGTTCTTCCTCCGCGGTCATGCCGGCGCCGCTGCGCTCCTGTAGTAGCTCCGCATTCTGCAGCTTCTCCATCTTGAGCCTCTGCACCCTCTGTTCCTCTTCCTCCTCGTTATACTCCTGATCTGACCGCGGCGCAGCAAGCAAGAACACGTCCTCGATGATGACCTTGACCGGCTTCCCTTTCAGATTACTCCACGGAATTTGTAGCGTCAGTTGCCCAAGATGCCCTTCGAGAACGTTGAGCGGGAGCTTCATCTGATCAAGCGCCTCTTTCTTGAGCTCCAGATTCCTGAGTTTTACATCTCCGCTGCGCACCTTTAGCCGCCTATTCCCCCCTTCTACCTTACAACTGTAACCGGACCGGGAGAAACACACCTCCATATTCCAACATTGAGCTGTGTTCCGTCAAAGTTCTTGATGTACCTGCGCCGTCCATTAGCTTTCCTATACCACGTCTGTGCCTCAACCTTCGCTTTCAACTCACATCCCCAGGAATCGGTTCATTATCGAAGCAATCTATCCGCATCACCGTTAACCGCGATCCCCCTTCCGCCGCCACCAAGAACAGGGCGACAAACCAGTCCTTCCAACATCGTGGCGGTAGTTTTGTGCTCTCTCTTGCAGCGTGCGTCGTGTGTGGTATCGTATCGTCAGTCGTGAATCGTGCGCGTGCGGGTCGTTTATGCAAGCGTGAGCGTTAGAAGAGGCGTCGTCGTCGTCGTGCTCGTCGTCGGGAGCTGGTCCATTAAGGCCCGTAGGTAGTAAGTTTGTCTTGATTCGCGGGGGGCTCGGACAGTGGTGCTGCTGGGTGTGAGGATGACGTATGATGCGGTTCGGTTCGATTCGCGGGGTTGCTTGTGCCGGGCTCGTGCTTGTGGAACGTAGCACTTCCAGCCACCGAGCACAAAAAACCAGTAATCGCGCCGGCAAATATGTGAGCAATTCAGGGAGATGAGGAGAGATCAAAGGCCTGATTTGAAAGACTCGTTTCAAAGACGTCCTCACGTCTGTAGGACATCACGCCAGGCCGCAGCAAACTGGTTATTCGGCTGTAACGTGGCCGGCACATGTTCTTCGGCTGTGGTTAGCGTGGCCGGCACGTGTTCTATGGGCCGATAGAAGTGCTACCCCCGCACAACTTCACCTCATTTTCCTATATACCGGTGCGGTACATAGCGAGTCTTCAACAAATTCATGACGGCCTGAAATTTCATGCCGCTAGCTTCCTTTTCGGTAACTGTGGAACAGTGTAAATGTATTTTCACATATCTGGACAGGTTCTGAATGATATGAAAGTGCAGTACCCTTCGAATTCACGGAGCTCGACGAGGCTTTATTCGTTCCCGCAAAGAATCATAGCCTCTGCACTTCCAGCATCAAGTTAAAACAAGAACATTATCGGCAATTTCCTCAACATGAATGTAGGAAACAGAAAAAAAGATCGCAGTGCAAATATCCCTCCAGCGAGCAACAAGCATCAAGCAGCTGAAATATCAATCAAATCCAGAAACAGTGGCAGTCAAATGGAGTAAAAAAAAACAAGAATACGTCGCTCAAACTACCTCAACGCAGTCACCGAGAAAATCTAGAAGTCCCGAGATATCCTCGTGGTCATGCTCATGCCCCTGCTCATGCTCCTCCTCCACCTCGTCTTTTTGCGATACGGAGAGACGGTCCCTCTTCTCCAGAGGAACAGTATCAATTTCAACTTGCTCTATGGGCACAGTAACTATGTGGCAATCAGTAAAGCCAGGAATTTCAGGTAGAGAATCCGACCTACATGCTAACCCTTCGTCCTCTTTACCCCAGAACTCCTGAGAATCATCTTCCTCCAGGTTAAACCAGAAGTCATGATTCTTCTCGGGCTTGTTCTCCTCCTGCTGTCCGGGGGTAGTCTTTTTGAAAGTATTCTCCTTGTCGCTCGTAAGATCACTACGGGGTTTCTTCCTTGGGAGGTCTTCGGGCGGAGGTAAACCCCCGATTCCGAACTCCAAATAATCTTCAGACTCACTTTCTGAGTCGGACCAACCTTCCTCAAAGAGGGGCTCTTCAGCAACAGCGGGCAGCTTCCTTGTCACGATGGACTCCGAGGGGTGCACAGTTTTCTTCTTCTTTTGGATATGCTCCTGTGGCGGTGCGTCATCCAGATCGGTTCCATCTATCACGCGTTGGGGCTTATTAACTGCCGTGAAGGAAGGAAATGAGTATGATTTAGGGCCGGAATGCAAGAAATATGGTTCCTCCTTGGGCAACGTGGTTTTCTCATGGAGGCGGCGAAGTTTTGCCGGTTCGGCCAATGGCTTTTCATCGGTCAAGTCAACGATTTCGACGTTGCCCTTCCGAAGTAGCTGTTCCAGCGATCCAGTTTTAAAGGGACGTTTGGCCGAAGCTTTTAAAACCGCTTTTGATATTCCGGAATCAGCGTTTTCGGGCTTTGTTTGCTTGGGCTGAGGCTTGAGTTCAGCCAACTCGTCATTTTTCTGGAGGGTGGAAATTTTTCGCTTTTGTATCTTTGGTTGTTTGTCGAGACCCTCTCGGCAACACATGTGCTTACATCTGCCAAAATATCAGCGCCAAAACTTTGCAACGACTGGTATCCAACTTACTTGGTTTTATCCGCGCATTTATGGCGGCACTCCCACTTGCCGTTGGGAAGTTGAATGGGTTCCGGAGCAGTCGTTTCCATTTCGATAGGTTCCTCCTTCTCCTGCAAATAATCTGCTGTAGCAGTATTCATCGCGTTTCGTTCGTGGAGAGTGTTAGTCTTCCTACACTGATTAGTGAAGTTGCATATGTCAAATTCGAGATCATCGAAGATGTCAGCATCCCCATATTCATCATCGGAAAGTAGAATCGGGTCTGCCGTGGGTGAGGTGAGCTTCTCCTTTATGGGCGTGTTCTTTGGTTTGGGAAACAGCGACGGATCGATATCAAACTTTAGCTCAGAGCTCTTCCAAGTTCCAGCTGCACCGTGACTGTTAGTTGAGCTTGGAGACCACAAGAAAGGGCATTACCGAGTTTTTCACACGCCGCATGGCAGCGTAAGAACTGACCAGGGGACTCCAGTGGAAGTGAGAATCTAAAGGTTTTCCCATCTGCCAATGATTGAGCGCTATGATAAAGTTAGTTCGAGTCTTTCAGAATCAAAAATTATTAAGGATGGCGTACAAAATTCTATGAACCTCAACGAGAAACCCATCTGACCTCTCGGCCAAGAAGATAACCGGTACATCCGGAGTACGAGTGCGTCCGCCGCAGACGGCATCTGGGTTTTCCAGTCCCATTTCCGCCATAATCTTGAGCATCGGAGGATCACCTTTGCTCCTCTTGAATCGGTCATCAATGAATGCCGCAACAAACCTGTGGGAGAGGAACTTACTTTCTGCATTTCAACCAGCCGCGCAGAAACCTTGAGATTAGGTATCCTCTTCACCTGTTCGAGAAGCTTGGTTCCATAGGGGGGATTCCTCGAAAGTATGGTTTCGATCTGGTGGGCTTCCAGGGTTGCCAACTTCCGAATGCTGCGCACATCGGCATTCACAAACCTTCTGACCATACCCGCACCAATACCAGACAACTGGCGGAGTTCACTAGCAGTATTCTCCCATACCCTTCCCTGCATGCAACGAGCCAGTTTTAGGGCACTCAAAACAGCCGTGGCGTCCTTCAGTCCCTCTTGACAGTCTATGAGGCATCGCAGGATGCGTACAGAGTGCTTGAAAACCATGTTTTTGTCCTGTGTCATGTTCGTCTTCATTCTCTGGAAGTTCTGATCCCCGGGGAATTCCAGAAGCCCAAGCTCAAACTATGATGGTCAGGCACTACTTTCTGGCCAAACGAGTGAGATGTATGACTTACCTGGATGAGGATGGCCACTTTGTGGGCTGACGAGGAGATATCCTCTTTCACTGGAAACTTGATACCGAGATTCTTATTGATCTCTTTGTAAAGACCTTTCTCGCCGGCTCGCAGCCTAACCTCCTTGAATTCTTCGGCTTGGGAGAGCACCTTGAGCTATAGTGCCATTAGTAGGATGCAGTGTATGGTTGAAGACGGGACAGTTACTACGTCCGGGAGTGAAGCTTTCGGAGACATCCGGAGGATAGACTGCATGGTTCCCATCTTGACATAGTATCGGGCCATAGCGTCCCCATTTTTTGTGAGTGTGAGCTTCCCATCATTATCCGTTACCATACCTTCATCTACCAGATTTCTAATTTCCCTCTCGCAGATCTCGTCTAGTCGCTGCTCCGAGTTATTGGCTTGCGTTTGACCGTCAAGTTTGTAGAAACGCGGGTTTTTTTGAAGACGGACATTCAAGAATGTCGATTTAAGCCACTGCTTAGCCGTGTCCATGTCTGTGATCGTGGTGAGACCAATTTCCGCGTTCTACCCTATGCGTCAGTATGCATATACCACGGGAATCCCATGGAAGACAAACCATATTCTCCACAAAGTTCAGGTGTAATCTTTGCCGAAGTCAGCTTCCATTCACGATCCTCTCACGCAAACGTACCTGCTCTCGAGTATCTCAGCTCCCTCACGCATCTTCTCGTAACGATCTCTCTTCTCTTTTGCAGTCAAGATGACAGCAACACCGGTTTTGTCGAACTGAGGACGACCGGCTCTACCCAGCATCTGCATGATCTCCAGGTCCACGTATTCCTTAACCCCGCTCTCGGACCAGCAGACCGTATTCTTTATGACGACTAAATGGGCTGGCAAGTTGACTCCAACTGCTAAAGTCGAGGTGCAGCAGATTACGCTGAGTTCACCGTCGAGATACATAGTCTCCACCAGAGTTCTGTCTGCTGCATTTATGCCAGCATGATGGAATGCGACGCCGCACTCAGCAACAGACTGCAGGTCTCTGTCCCCAAAGGTGAATTTCTTCTTCGGAGCTCTCCAGGGCTGCTGTCTGTTGTTCCATTCTTTCCACTTCCCTGCGAGTAGCTTCGCGGTCGATACGCATATCGCCCTAGTCATGCAGAAAACCATCGTAGGTTTTCCAGCTGAATGTTTTTGGACAAGATCCGGGAGCCTACAATCAAACCATCAGCTAATAGCCTTCCACAATCACGAGGTGGCAACTCACGACTTGTCGAGCACTCTATCAAACTGAAAATCGTTTCCCGGGTAGTTAAAACCGTAAACATGCTTCTCCAGCTGAACAGGACGAAACTCTGGCCCGAACGTTTCACGATGGGCTGGTTCGTCCGGTGCTAGAGAGTTCCTGCCCAACCATGTACAGATATCATCAGAATTAGGAACCGTGGCACTCAATGCGACGAAACGGACATCGGAGCCGATGGATTTCATCCTTTTGGTGGTCAGCTTCCAGACTCACAACAATGGTTGGAATTACTCACCTAGATACCACCACTTCAAGTGTTGCGCCACGTGTTTCCTTCAGGACATGAACCTCATCGATCAGGAACAGCCGTACCATGTCCAGCAATCTGCGGTGGTCCCCCCATCTACGGGTCATACTGTCCCACTTTTCTGGAGTAGTGACGATCACATCGCCGTTGCGCACGCTTGAGAGCTGTGCTTGGTCAGTATCCCCCGTCAGTTCCACAACCCCGAGGCTCAGGTGGCAGAATTTTTTCTCCCAGTCTAAGATAGTCAGCATCTTTTACTTATAATGAAAGATATTCAGCCCTTACCTCTCTTCCGTTCCGCACACAGTGCCTTCGTTGGCGCCTGGTAAACCACCTTGTATGTGCTAGGCTTGAAATCCCGGGAGAGAGCACATATCGCGAGCTCCATGATTGCGGTCTTTCCCGCTCCAGTAGGCGCAGCAACTACAATGTTGTCACTGGACTCGTATACCGAGTCAAAACACTTCGACTGCACAGCGTTGAAGAGCGGAAACGGGAAGACCGAGCGATGGAGTTCCGGCAGACGGTCCACTGGAACGAGTCGAATCCCATGGACAGTCGGAACTAAACTCTTGGGGTTGACTGCGACTCTCTCGGGCTCATGTAGACCCATTATCCGCTGCTGTGGAGACCTAAACTTCTCCACCTGGCCATCATTGAAAGCCTTCCTAGCGTCATGCCTTGACGCACTCATGATCGGTATAAAGGGCCTCGATGTTCCCTTCTGGGCCCGTATCGGACTGGAGCTGGAAATCGGATCACTATCATTTCCTGGCGTCTCTGGCGCCCTGTGTCCTGGGTTGAACCGAAATCGTTCTGGGCCGCTCATGTCAGCAGAGAATAGTCCCACGTATCCTGGAAGGAACCCACCAAGCGTGTTGCGCGGAGTCTGGGGCGCCTGGATTTGCGAATCATAGCCATGACCGGTACTTTCTCTTCCGAAGTGGTTGGAATACGATTGTCTATCGAGTGATTGCGACGGTGGCGGTGTGGACCCTGAATGATACAGCAAGTGGTTAGCAAGTGTTACTCAATGAATTCAGCAGCAACGTAAGTTCACTAACTATGATCGAAATCGAAGTCTGAATGACGATCTAGCTCGTATCCTCCTTGCGAACTATTGGGGTTGCGATATGGTTCTGTGCCAGCGCCAGTGCGCCAATTGAATTTCGCCGGGCGGGATCTTGGAAGGTTGAATTCCTCTCCGCTGTCAATGTCGTATCCGTTGTAGTCGCTCACGGCAGATCCAGATCTGTGCAGACTCACGCGCCTCGGGCTCTGGGTCTGCTCGCCGCATCCGTAGAAGTTGGAGCCCCTCGGAATCTCGGGCGCATTGTATGTAGTGGGATTACTAGCACTGAAGTCGAAGCGTAACGCCTCTTGGAGCTCGTCCACGATGTCTGGCATTTTTCAAGACTGGCAATGTAGATGAGTGTTTTTTAATAGAAATATTTTTTGCTATTGCTACTATTGCTGGAGGCAGCAATAGGTGAAGGCTGCGAGGAATGTAGCTAGGTGGTGGGGTGGTGGGGTGGTGGGAAGGTGGGGTGGTGGGGTGGTGGGGTGATGGGGTGATGGAGGAGGCAGAGTGACAGAAAGGGAAGAGTAGCGGCACCGAGTGAGGGAGGAAGAGCATCAAAGAAGAGGACGAGTGAATCGACGAGGAAGACGACAGAAACAAAGCCCTTTTTCGGGGATACAAATTGAATCAAAGAGAGTGAATTGCGAAATCGAGTCAGTAAGAATGAAAACGTGCATGGTATAATACCGAGTCCAGCTGCCCCATTCCCGATTCTCAATCCTCTTTTCCATCTATCTCACCATCCACAGCCCCACCATTCTGCAGTCCCCTACGCTTTCTCCACGCCAACACTCCCCGATCAAAGACACTATGACTAACCCCCTTTGGCACCAGGACCATCAAGACGCCCAACTCTCTGTCGACCTCCCTATTCCTACTCTCATCGTCAAAGAACAGCATTTCCTCATACGCCAGTCCCGTCTTCCCGTGCAAACTCTTAAAATGCTTCACCTTGCTCCCGGGATAAATCTCAAACTCGTCGAAATACTCTATCGCCCGCGTCTTCTCTCCGCCGGTATGAGCGGGGTCGAGATGCAGGAGTGATAACATCTCGCGCGCGAGATCCGGTGCGTGGGTGCGAGACGCGGCCGCGATCTTGATTCCTTTCTTACGCAGCTGGTAAAGGAGCGCTGGGATATCGGGATAGAAGCTCCAGCTGTCCTTGTAACGGTCTTGGACAGCGTTGTAGAATCCCATCGCTTTGAGGGGGGGAGTGACATGCGTGTCTACCCAGAATGGCCTGTGGAGGGGTTAACTCGATTTGAAGATGTGAGATTTCATGATGCGGGGTATTACCAGAGGGTGTAGTCCAGGTCAAAGGCCACGAGCTTGGGCAGGGGCCCACCGTCTTGGAGAGTCGACGGGAACGCGATGTCGGAGCCACTGGGTGATACTTTCACTTTCTTCGGCATGATGAAGGATGGGCTAGAAAACTCAAGCTGGTACCTGTGGTGTCTGAGTTTTAAGGTATTGGCGTTCAAACAAACTTGATGCGCGAGCTGATTAGATTAACCACTTTCCTACAGGTAGATTAGATAATGATTCTCCTCAGGCGATCGGTTCGGAATCCACGTCCGTCGACAAGCTACAAATTTCACAGTAGGGTTCCGTTTGAGCTGAACTACAATAGCAGCATCATCACGTACGCGAATAAACCTTCATTTGCAAAAAGGAGGACAATGGTTAACCAGCTCACCTGAATTGAAGAATTCGACGGACGCAGTGCACCGTGAGTTTAACTTGAAGATTTCGAACCCAAACCCAGCAGCGGAGTAATAGAGTGGGTTGTATCTCGGATCCGCTGAAGCTTCCGTACCATGCGTGCCTCCGTCGATCTTGGATCGATCTGGTTACCGGTCGCGAACTGGGCTTGAAATCCAGACTGACTGGGGACTCCCCACGTCACACAACAACTCAAGCTAAGATTGGAGTAAGTTCATCGTCCATCCCTTTCACATCGCCAGCGAAGCACCCAAACCCGGAGACCCTACCGAACTTCACGAACAACGCTTTCGGTCGAGAAACAATCCCAAGCGTCCCTCCTTGCGGCCCATCACACACGTTACGCTACGCTACCGGTTACCCGTGCCTCTCCGTCGCAGCCGCCGTGATGGTGGCCGAGGCTGTTCCAACCTTCTTGGGTGTGCCCATGAGGCTGGTTTCGCTAGCTACGGTATGAGCCTGCGTTTTTCGAGAAAGAGAGAGATGCTTAGGAAGGCAATGCTGACTTTCACAAGCTCACGGTCCAAAACTCCGCCTTAATTCTTGTAATGCGAGACCCATATCCGAGCTGGAGAGACCACGACGCGCTGATCTGCCCAGATAATGCACTATTCACGCATCATGCCGATGACGGGCTCGAACCGCTACCTCGCCTCCACCGCGGTGCTGCTGAACGAGGTCCTGAAGCTGGCGCTTTGTCTGGCGGTAGCCTTCCGGGACCGACGGAAGATTGACGGATCCATGTCGTCGTTGTCGACCACGGTGCAGAACCTGAGCTCGGAGATCTTTCGGCGCGACAGTTGGAAGTTGGCGATACCCGCGTGTCTATACACCATTCAGAACAGCTTGCAATATGTCGCTGTGTCGAATCTCGACGCGGCTGCGTTTCAGGTTACATACCAACTTAAAATACTCACGACTGCTATCTTCAGTGTTACGCTACTCCACCGGAGACTAGATGCTACTAAGTGGCTGTCCTTGATCACTTTGACGGCAGGTGTAGCTATAGTTCAACTTCCTTCGCCTTCGTCGGCTCCGGATACAGACCATGCGCACCATCACCACAACCACCGCTCCGCAACGTACCAGGGCATCGTCGAAGAGCACGCCATGTCGACAATGGACCCTGCGAAAGGCCTCACCGCCGTTGTAATAGCATGCATGATCTCCGGGCTAGCCGGCGTCTACTTCGAGAAAGTTCTGAAGGGCTCCAGCACATCGCTCTGGATCCGCAATGTCCAGCTCTCGGTGTGGTCACTGCTCCCGGCAACCATCGGCGTCGTTTTCATGGACGGAGCACAGATCATGGAGCGGGGCTTCTTCGAGGGCTACAATGATGTGGTATGGACGGCCATCGTCTTCCAGGCCTTCGGCGGAATCATCGTCGCGCTCTGCGTCAACTTCGCAGACAACATCGCGAAGAACTTTGCCACCAGCATCAGCATCCTGATCAGCTGCATAGCGAGCGTCTACTTCTTCGACTTCGTGGTCACGATCAATGTTCGTTCACCCCCATCCCATCCAGTCCCACACCACCCCCTCTAACAAGTCTGCAGTTCATCGTAGGAGCCGTCGTGGTCCTTTTCGCGACCTGGCTCTACTCGAAACCCGACTCGGCACCGCAATACGCTCCCGTGCAGAATAGCGAGCCTGAGACGGCGGCGGTGGAGGAGATCGAGTTCGATGTTGACATGGAGAAGGGAAGAAGAGGCTCGGGGGCTGGTCCGAAGCGGTGATGATGATACCTCCTGCAAGCTGCAAGCATATAGATGGGGTTCGATATCCACCTCCCTTTTCCACACCCAGTAATGTCGGTTGAATTTGAAGTTTCGTGCATGGGCGATTATTGTATGGGTACTCGGGGAAGGAAGGGGATATGGTGTAGAATATAAAGCGAGCGCATTTGGGTGTAATTTAGGATAATGGATGGATCGATGGGATATCACCACCCGGGAGCTGGCGCAATGCGTGACGAAACATGAACACGACGCTCGGGGGCCAAGGCTCTAGGTATGTAGAGTACTTACCCCGCCTCGCAGCCTCGGTGATGTGTTTCACACAGCAACATTCCTGTCAACCCAGCTGTTGGAACTTGGGACTTAGGACTTGGGCTCGCCGCACGCCCACTCCGCGGCGTTTAACCGCTCGTAAGTACTCTAAATGTCGGCCGAGGTGAGTCCACTTTGGGTACAGCATCACGAATCCATTCCTTCGCCTCCCCCTCTGAGTCCTCCGAGTCTAACAGCCCTATCCTGCCTGCCTACGGTGAGTGAGCCCGCGCATAAAGCCTCCAGCCTCCTACCTCCTACCTCCAGCCTCCCTCCAGCATCAAGTCGCGCAGCACACTCGAAACATAGATACGGTACCAAGACGCTCACTGCCCAGTGCCCCCACGCCGCGCACGGGAGTTCAACCCGTCTTACATACGCGGGGACAAAATGCAAATTGAACATCTCAACCGCCGCAGCCCTATGGTAGATATTACCTACACATACTCTAGTTGGACATACGGTAAGCCGGTGTGTCTGCCATCTGGGTGTCTTAGGGATGGGGTAGATATCGCTGATTTGAGACTCCAACAATCGATCCGGCGAGCAACTGCGAGCAAGCGCTCGGAGTGGATGGTTGATTTATCATTTACCGCCGGTAATGGCTCCAAGACACGCACTTTTGGACAACTCATGCGCGTATGTGGAGGACTGCGCCTGTTGGCCATTTGCTCTGTGCTCCATAGGTACTTTAACGCCGGTCTTGCAGAAGGGAAAAGCTCTAGCGCCGACGGGAATTCTAGAGATTCAGCTGCTTTGGTCTCTGTTGAAAAGGCTTGAACCGCGGCCGCCGATTAGGTCTTTGTTGGCGACGCCGTGGGGATGCTTTGGGAGCGACATCCTCCCGAGTCCCAACCGTGATACCTGAACAAGAAGCCCGAAGTCACAAGTGAAGCTCTTTGTTGCCATCCGACACAGTACAGTACCTACCAGTATGTAAGCTTGTGTACCGTACTCTAGTAAGGGCAGAAGTGAACGCCCTGCTGTCCTACTGCCAACAGCCAGCTTGGCATCCGGGGCATACATGATTTGCCAGGGAGAGGCGGAAGTTGTGGGCAAGGAGAGAGCGAGAGAGCGAGAGAGAACTGCAGAGATGGAGAGAGAGTTCGGACTGTATGCTGTGGGATGTCTTTTTCCACAAGAAATGGCCTTTTATTGTCTTTGCACGAACGACGCGACGGTTGGAATGGCTTGCTTACTTGTTATAATGTCTCTGATTTTTTCTACCACTTACCAGGTGCTTTTTGTTGGTCTTTCGTCGCTTCTGTGCTTTTCTTGCATTGTCTATTTATTCCATTTCACCATCTGTCAAGTCAAGTCATTCTCTCTCAGCGTCGCCACAGCCTCTTGCTGTATGCTGCTTGGAATTTGTAAATCTCTCAGACGGGTTCAGGGCGGATAGAAGATATGGGGTTTCCACGAGACGAGAACGACCAGACAGGCACTGGGTGAGTGACACTATATGAGCTCGTTCAGAGCGTTCGGGGCGTTTCTGGCCACTGCTCGTCGTCGCTTCATCGGGGCGGGCTATGCGATCTTTGGTACTCTACATACCATTTCGGTATGTCCAATGTCCATGGGCCTTCCTTTTCCGTCATTCCTGTGCGTTCGTCGCACGCCCGTCCGCCCGAATGGAGCCCGAATGGAACAGTTCGCAAGGCGATGCGGCGGCGGCGGCTCCGTGATCGGCGGCTTGGCTTGGACTCTTGGCTGAGTACACAGAGTACATGGAATTGGAAGTGGAAGTCAGATGGGCTGCTGCGATACTTTTGGTTTCGTTGCAATTGCATACATGCTCTACTAATGTACCACTGAGAGGTTATATCGTAAGGCCCGCCATGTTGTGGAATTCAATCGGCAAAGGTGTCGGAGTACTTAATCTTTGTCGTCAGGCCCCCTATGTACAATACTCGTTGATGGTGCACCGTGCTCACGGGTATCGTGGTCGGCGCAGAGAGAGCCGGGTTGCTACATATACGAAGTGAAGACGAGAGCTGAAAATGAACGACGGGTTGTCGTTAGGTAGCTGAGAAGTACTCTAGATGGCCTCCTGCCAAGACGAGTGCGAGGTTATGGGTGCGAGTGTGGAGCCGGGGGGGAAGGGGGAGGCTGATCGCATTGATCTGTTCTCATTTACTCTACAAAGTATCCGGACACGCAGCCATTTTGTTGGATGAAGCCTTTCCTTAATCAGCCGTTTCTCGTCCAAAATCTCCGGTTCGAGCGAAGATTTGGATTGCCATGCGTGCATACTCGGGAAATTCGATCGCGCCAGAGTAAAAGGCTCCTCCGGATACTTTATGCCCCCACAGGTGTGTGCCTGGCCCGGGTTAGTCCGTCGGTCGGTCCGCTGCAACATGGCCCGGTCCCCACTCCTGCTGCGACAAAAAGCCTGTTCCGGAGCAATCGAAGGATTCGCTCATGATTGCGATGTGGCGGCGGCGTCTTGGCTGGGTGGCGCCAAAGCGATGGTTTTCAGGGTTTCTCCCACGATGGCTGTTGACCAAGAGAGCTTAACGGAGATCATGGCGTCATCGGCGGAATGTTTCTGAGTCGCTAAAGCAGGCAGGTAGGGTGTCCATGTGCGGGTGTGTATGTAAGTCCGGAATGTATGTCCATAGAGTACCCTAGAGTGCTGCTCCGTGTCTTGGTTTCAGATGTAGAAGCACATTACCGTGCGATGGATGGAGCATGCGAGGGGAAGCTTCCGCTCACGCAGAGGAAGCAGCGGAACGTGAATGGAGGTCAAGAACGCGACGAGACAGAACAACGGAATTGCTCGAGACTAGCAAGGTTGCGGGGGGCCTCTGCTGTCCCTGCCTCACTCCGCTTCTGAGCTTATCGATTGTGCTCAGCCTTCCTTTCCTGCTCCGCTCGGTTAGCGAAAGGATTGGGGTGCGCATCTGCACTGCATGCGTGGGTCGGGGGAGGGTGGGGGATCCGGATTCCCCTCGAAGCCTCTCCGCGCTCTCTCGATGGCGTACCTACCGTATGATGGCCGCCGGCTGACTGCGCACCACCGACCACCGCCTCGATCTAAAACATGTCGCATCTTGGAGACCGCACGCATATGTGCGCAGAATGCACCATGGCCGCGGGGAGGTGGCCACGACCCCGCCAGTCGCTTGCGGACCCCTCTCCCAAGCACCAGTTTGCTTGCATGCGGACACCTCATTCACTCGAGTAACTCGAGTAGCATCCCGCGCATGCCCCCCGTGGCCCCAGGGGAGCGCCCAATGCGCGAAGCCCCTTCTCGTCGCCGAATCCAGAGCTGCTGCTGCGGATACTTACCCTGGAGTCTAGCTATGCCACTGCTTCTCTCTGCCAGTACCTGCTCCACTGGTAGTCGCACACGAACCCAGACGTGACGGAGCGCACCTCCCCACCACCTCCGCACCACCACCTCCTCACCACCTCACCACCTTGCATGCAGCACTTAGAGTGCCTACGAGGTCGATACCCTGCCTACTCTGCGCGATGTGGTCCGGCATGTCGTCGTCTTTGTCGCTGGGTGGACGACTGCTCTCGGAGTCCAGGGCGGTGCAGAGCTCCAAAGTGAGTGGCAAGTGCCCTGGGTACGTACCTGCCTCGCGCTCAATTCCAGAACGCACTCTATGTACTCTACGTACCCACACACGTCCTCCTGGCGGGCATCGTCTGGAGAGTAGAGTAGACACCGCACATCGCAATGAACCGCGCCTCACCGAAACTTGCTCACGACCCAGTCACGTCGCCGTGGCCATCTCATCGACGGCCTGTCTCCCGCCCCCAAGAAAAAGTCCCAGCCCTAAATCCTCAGCCGCAGCCTGTACATACAAGTATCTATATACGCACGTACCTGGTCGGATGCACGACGCTCGCTGCTTGCAAATTCCTCTGCGCACCCGCAAACCTGACTAAGTCCAGCGTTACGTGAGTCGCAGTGGCTGAAAATGCCGGGGAACTGGTGTTTCCAACTTTCCAATGTCCATGCCGCCCGCGTCCACTAGAGTGCATCCGTCCGCCTGAAGCTGTAATCATACGGACGAGGAAAACAGAAATAAAGGAGGAATGCAGCTAAAAACCCAAGCACCTGTCCCTCTTATGGCACGCATCCTGTACGCTGCGAAGCTCGCTCGGCTTGCTTGTTTTTCTTGCCAGTTCTCGCTTGCCATCCTGTCTCAAATTCCGCCTGGGTCCTGGCCCTCCTCTTCTCCTTCTCATCACCTCTTCCTCCCTGCCTCCCTCCCGCTTCTTTATCTTCCGTCCCTTCTACCTCTCGACTTCCTTTGTCTTCTCCTCCTGCTTCCTTCCTCCGATCACCCACCCAATTTTCTTTCATCGATTTTATATGCACCCAAGTCTCGCACAGCCTCCTCCGACTCCATCTCTTTGACCCCCCCCCCCCCCCCCCCCAATCCTCCACCCGCCAAACCACCGCACACCACACCACCACCTCCTCCACCTCCACCTCCAATCTCCATTCGCTCCCGCATACCAGCAGTCAATCGCAGACCCCTATTGCGAATTTGATTCGGTTGATAGCGCGTTGCATATTCTTCCAACATCTAGGTCCGAGACACTACCAGCAGCCCGGTTACCCAGCACTGCCACCGCCCATCAAACACACCAAATAGCAGCCAAGCCCGGTCACAAGGACGAGAAAAAATAATAAAGACCCAATAGCTCTTGTTCCTCGAAGTCTCGAACATGTGTAAGCTTCCGCCGCTACTTCTACCTTTGTGCTTCCAGGCTTTCAACTCTGCTCTTCCTTTCCCCCGCTTTCCGTCTTCCCACACTCCCCCATTTGGAGCTCGTTCGTGGTGATCCCTATACCTTCCCCCCCTTCCTGCGGCCCATCCATCTTCTCTGTCACTTCTCTTCCCCCTTCGTCGATGCCAGAATATAACACTATTTGCTACCGCCGTGCCTTCGTGTCATCCACCGACCGCCAACCCTCTTCCCCTGCGACTTCCAATTGGCGCGCTTGCTCGTCTCGGCAAATTTGAAAGAAGCTAATCATCGCTCCCTGGCGGTGCTTGCGCGCCTGCCTGGATTTTTGGATCTTGTAGGGAAGCTTAAGAGGCGATTCAGCTCGTTCACTCGGACGTGCAAACACATGCCGCAATTGATGGATGATGTTGAGGGGGACGCGGGCAGCACGGAGGCGGACGGATTGTTGAATGGGAATGGAAACGGTCACCACGCATCTTATGGAGGAGCGCAAGAACGCCCGCGCAAGCCCAGGAGGAGATCCCATACATTTTGCAGCTACTTGTACCACAAGCTCCGGATCGTCCTGACTAGCAATTATGTCAACGTCTTCTTGGTCTTCGTTCCTCTCGGCATTCTCGCTGGCGAACTCGGTTGGCCATCGACGGCTATTTTCGTTCTCAACTTCTTGGCCATCATTCCGCTTGCGGCGCTGCTGAGCTTTGCCACGGAGGAGCTTTCTCTCGAGGTTGGCGAGACGCTGGGTGGTCTGATGAATGCTACCTTCGGCAATGCGGTTGAACTGATTGTGAGTTCACCACCGTTGATTTCTTTTTTTTCCTTATTGCGAGCAAATTTACTGACTAGCGCGCGGGGTCTCAGGTCAGTGTTGTCGCCCTCACCAAGGGTGAGATTCGCATCGTGCAAGCCAGCATGTTGGGCAGCATTTTGTCGAATATTTTACTGGTATGTAGCATCTTCCGCCGGCGCCGCGCAAGCGCGCGCGGTTTGACGGGAGTGGTTCGCTCACAGAGGATGCACTGCAGGTTCTAGGAATGTGTTTCTTCTTTGGCGGATTGAAATACCACGAGCAGACCTTCAACAGCACGGTAGCTTCAACGATGTCATCCCTGATGGCAGTGGCAACCTCATCGTTGATCATCCCCGCCGCTCTTTACGCTACTATGGCCAAGACGGAGAAGCCCGACTTCGACCAGATTCTGCTTTTGTCGAGGGGAACTTCCATCGTCATCCTGATCCTCTATGTCATGTACCTGGTCTTCCAGCTGAAGACTCACACCGACCTCTTCGTGGGCACCAACGACCTGGACGAGAATGGGGAGCCAGTGACACCTGAGCCGGCGTTGCTCACTCCCTGGGAAGCTGGTATCGTCTTAGTCCTCGTGACGGTCCTCGTGGCTATCTGCGCAGAGTACTTAGTCGGATCGATCGAGGGAATCGTAAAGACTTCCGGGATCAGTAAGACGTTCATCGGATTGATTCTCATCCCGATCGTGGGCAATGCGGCGGAGCATGTCACTGCCATCGTGGTGGCGATGAAGGACAAGGTATGCGCAGTCCCACACCCGTTTCCGGATATATCCCGGATGAAGGAGCTAACAACGCGTTTCACAGATGGACCTGGCTATTGGAGTGGCTATCGGGAGTAGTATGCAGATTGCACTCCTCGTTACGCCGTTCCTGGTCATCCTCGGATGGATCATTGGTCAGCCGATGAGTCTGTATTTCCAGACATTCGAAACGGTGGTGTTCTTTGTGAGCACCTACCTCACCTACTACGTTGTCCAGGACGGAAAGAGCAACTACCTTGAGGGGGCAATGCTGCTCGGAATGTAAGAACATCTACGCGTCGCTCCCCTCTCCACATCGAAACTGACACGTACCCCCCCCTAGTTACACCATCATCGCCCTTAGCTTCTACGTCTATCCCGACAATGGCGGCGACCCCGGCACCCCTTCATAGGTGCCACCCACGGACGAGTGGACTCCCTCGATAATAGCAGAAATTGCGTTTTCCTTTTGTCATTTGCACGATCACAAGCGGATCACGATATCTCACAGGAGAATTTCCTTTGTTTCGATCCGTTTCTTCTTTTTCTGAGATTGGTTCGCGGGGCCGGATCACCAGTCGCGAAGGCAAAAAAAAGAGTATGGATCATGGAGTTCAGGTCTCAGGGTAAAGGGAGGGGGAAGGGGATTGGTTTTTTTAATCGATTGTAATCCATGCACGCACACTCGTGTTCACTTTGTACCATACCATTCATTCATTCGGCATCATCGCATCGGCAAGCCTTCGATACATGATCTGTATATTTTATTTGATGTGGCGTGCATGTAAGTGTTGTTTTATTTTCAAGTTGTATCTAGATTCTAGAGTTTCAAATGTGGAATTGATTTGGTATAGGTACTGGACGGTGTGTGGTTCGGTGCGTGCTTCGACTTCGACGATTGGAGTGTGGATATTACCACTCTCTGGCGCTCGACGGGCCCGTGGACGCCATCTCGCTAGCTAGCACTTCTCCTGATCATCGCCTGCAACATGGAGATTTGGGAAGGGCTTGAACAGCGCAGTGACAGCAGATGAAGCCCGGGAGGAATCAATGCCGATGGCGATGCTACATGTCTACTCTACGGATACGTGCCCAATAGGGGAGGGATACGTAGTGGCGGGGACGGCGGCCGGAGCCACCGCCGCCGCCGTTGGTAGAGTACATACCTACCCTGTCTGTAGGGTCTGAAGGATGGATGGCTTCGAAGTTCGCGCATCCGCTTGACCATCTCGGCGATGCAGAAGTGGGATTGAGATCTCATCGTCGGATGCGTGACGTACCGTATCGTACTGTGCATAGGATGTCCGCCCCAAAACACGCACACTTCCGCGTCGGCTGCGCGCGGAAGTACCTAGGAAAAAAAAACCCTCACCACCGCCGCCACCACTAGCCACCGCCACCAGCGCGACCACCACCACGACCACGGTCTACTTCGACCACCACGACCACCCCACTACAACACTACAAACAATGTTCTCCCTCGGCCCCCGAATACACCGCCGCTTCCTGCGGACGCGCATCCGCTCTTTACTCGTGCGCCCTTCCCCCTCCGCGCCCCCGGCGCCCGCTGCGCCCGCCATCCCCGCCGGTCCGCCACCACCCCCACCGCCCCCAGAAGGGTTAACAGCGTTCTCCTACCACTGGGAAACGGTCCCCCCCACCCCCACCCAACTCAGCTACGCAGACAGCTTCTTCACGCGGGGCATCCCGTCGAAGCACTTGTGGTCGCAAGCGAAATTCGGCGCAATAGAGATCGGGACGTCTCCCGAGGTGGTATTTCTCGGGCGCAGCAACGTGGGGAAGAGCAGTCTGCTGAATGCCATGATGGGACATGCCGGGCTGGCGTTTACGAGTAGTAAGCCCGGGCGCACGAGGCTGCTGAGTGCCTTTGCCGTTAATGGGGGGAAGGCGGTCGTTGTGGATTGTCCGGGTTATGGGCATGCGTCTAGAGAGGAGTGGGGCGTGCAGGTTATGAAGTATTTGAAGAGTCGGAAACAGTGAGTGTCCGCGAGGGAGGGGGGGATGTGGGGTAGCGGGGAAGGGCGATGGCTGATTGGATGGGATGGAATAGGTTCCGCAGGGCGTTCGTGCTGCTGGATGCACGGCATGGGCCAAAGTCGAGTGATATCATGTTGCTAGAGCACCTGGGGCGGGAGGGGATCTCGTTCCAGGTTGTGCTGAGCAAGGTTGATGCTGTGAACCAGCGGGACGGGAGCTTGCGGGGTGCGTTTGAGGACACGAAGTATCTGCTCGAGACTGGAATAGCGGGCGTGACCGGGTTGGGGGAGGTGATCGGTGTGGCCCCTAACCCGGCAAAGAAGGGGGTAGCGAAGATCGGGATTAGTCAGTTGAGGTGGAGTGTGCTTGTTGCTTGCGGCTTGGACGCGGGCGTGAAATAATTGCGAACGGTAGGGCTCAAAGGATAAGTGGCCGAGTGACATGCGGTGATTCGGAAACATCAACATCAATTCGCGGTATCATTGTTAAAGCAACCAAAACTCCCCAGGACTAAAGTTAAAAGTACACATATATGTAGGCTGTAGCCAGGCATCACCTCGTATTTACGCCTTCCTAGCCCTCTTCCTAGTAACCCTCTCCTGGGTAGCTGCAAACTCCTCTTCCGTCGGTATGGCGGCAGCACGCTTGGTAGCCCGCTTCTTCTTCCCCGCGCCGCCATACTTCGCCTCCAATCCGGCGATCATAGCATCCATCCTATTCGCGCCACGGCCTCTGATGAGGGCCGCAAGCGCCGCAGTATCCTCCTCGCCGTCCTTCTTCCCCGCTTTCCCCTTCGCCTTCCCCTTCTTATCACCAAACAACTCCTCGTGCACCCCCAACCTCCTCGCCGCCTCCTCCGCCTCCTCCGCCTCCTTCTTCGCAGTCCTCACCCTCCTCTTCCTCTTCGCCTCCCCCTCCTTCCGATACGCCACATAGCTCTCCACCTCCCCCGCCCCAATCGCCTTATCAATATACCCCCGAAACCTCTCCTCATCCACGAGAGGATCTGAGCAGACCACATTCTCAAAGACGAAGTCGAGATCCCCCTTCCCGTCCACATACGCCTTCAGCACATCCTTCCCCTCCTCCTCACTGCTTTGATACTGCAACTTGTACTCCTCAACCGCATCCTTGTTCACCGCGGTATACTGCGCGGCAAAAAACTCCGCCCAATCGAACCCCTCCTCCCCATCCCCATCACCGCCGAGGACACTCTCGTCAGTAGACCCCGTGCGATCGTAACGCGCTCGCCGCCCAGCGTCGCTGAGAATGCTGTACGCAAACGCGAGCTCTTGGAATTCCACGTGCGCCGCGTCGCGAGAGCTGGTCGGGGCTTTGTCGGGGTGTCGCAACAAAGCGAGTTTGCGGTACGCACTCCGGATTTCGGCCGCTGTGGCGGTAAGGGGGACGGAGAGGACGACGTAGGGGTCGAGGGTGGTGGCGTTGGTTGGGAGGGAGGAGGAGGACATGCTGGCGTGGTTGGGGGTGTGCGGAGTGCGTGTAGGCGGGGGAGGCGGCGGGATTGAGGGCGGATAGAGGACGGATTGATTCGAATGGAGGGGTGTCGTCACTTCGTGCGCTAGGTTTGAGGGCGGAGGTGGAGGTGGAGATGGAGAGGGAACACGGTTTTGTGGAGGTGTGGACGATTAGAGTACTAGTTATTGCTAGACGACGCGCCACGGTGGACGTGTTATGCTCGCGCCAAGACTAGTACTGGTACCTACAGGCGCACAATTCATCACTCGATTGGCTACCTTTCATGGACTTTTCTCGATTGCCTGCTGCTAAGGTCTACCATTCATCCTACACCCACACACCTACTCCTCACCCCTACGTTTACGTGTATCTAGGTTCCTCTCAATCTCCGCCCAGTTCACCATCTTGGTTTTGTCACATGGAGTTATCACCACCATTCACTCGTCCCACGTGGTTTTGCGGCATCAGACGCTTTCAAGACAGTCTCGTGGACGTCCTTTACTTTACTGCAATGGGTAGTACCGAGAGGGGTAACCTATATGCAAGCGATCCATGGTTACAGAATCTTGGAAGTCATTCGTGCATCAGAGTGACTTTCGGTGAGGCTCCCTACCTACATACTCTCGACGACAACGGCGGAACTTGCACTCGCGGCATTCATTAGTTACAGGCTCGGCCCTCGACGACATAGTTTCCCCTCTATATAGGAGTTGGTTTCGGGAGTGCGGTTTGTTGAAGGGATTATGCGGTTCTACGTACCTAGCTAGGTCGAGCTATGTATCTACAGCAGCTGCAATGGTTTTTCACGGCGGAGCAGAAGCTATCAGTTCCCTCGCTACCCGTGGTTGCACATCTGACGAAGCCGGCGTCCTGAATCCTAATGAACCTCAGTTTCACCTTCCGTCCAGCCTCACATCTTCCTCACCCCTCACCCCTCAGACCTCTTGATATGTAGCATTGTATGTAGCATTGGATGTAGCATGGAGAACTCTGGTGTATGTCTCGCGATGTGGTTGGCGTTCGGAGCAGTACTGCAGATACAATTGAAACCTCCCGAATGATGCAAAATCATCATGAGCCTGGTCAGCCGTCAATGAAGAATCGAGACGAACGAGAGACTGTGACACTATGTCCCCGCTCCCCTCGGCTCCTACACACCTATGCCGTTGAGCGGGACCGCATCCATGATCCTACAGCTCGCACTTCGGAACAGCCGAGTCTGAGCCAATGCTGCTTCAGGACATGTATATAGGAAGCACTTGATCATGCCTAGCGGCTGGTTTGCTCTGTTCGACCGGTCGCCGAATCGACAGTTCACGTCATTGAATGACGACGTTTCGCCGACCATTTGTTTGAACAGATGGAGCGACTCCGTATCAACCGACGGACTGGGTTGCGTTTGGCAGGTTACACTGGGGGCGATGTTTACAAATCTGCGGTTACAATTGAAGGAAATGAAGTCGTCATGCTTTCTCTTTTGCTTTCGATCGTCACTATTTTGTACCTTCACTTTGGCATCAGCATTTCGTCGCTGAGAGTTTGTCGACTTCGCCGTGCGCAAATCTTGTTACAGTACGATAGGCCTCAAACGGTGGTTCACAAGAGACTGCAAGATGAGAGGAATACTAGAGCATCGATAACAAGATTGCGGCTATGGCATATTTAAGGATATAACAAATAAATTCCTCCAATATTGTTCACTTTTCAACGGTGATTGCAGAGAACCACACATCGACGAGCGATCAACATTCGAGCCTGCAGACTGAATGTTTCGCCCCTACGATCAGAGTACTGAACAGGTCCTTCGAATCTATCATTGAAAAATCCAATGTTAGCGGTCATCCCAATTGCGAGTGAAGCAAATAACGAGTAAAGAAACAGAATCAGTAATCTGCCCGGTCAAGGGCGGCTTCATCAACACCTAAAGAGGCTATGAAGACCGTCGTGAGTTTGATTGATAGATTTTCATCATGGAAGGCAATGTGTAGATGCGCGGGGGTTAAAGAGAAGCATACCACTTGGATCGTCGATACAGCATGGCACTCATTTTCATTTCATCTCTAGCCACACTTTAGACATTGTTAGCAACTGAACCACCAATGTTCGCCAGAATAAGTGATGCAAATAACGGGTATCAGTTCGTCCAGTTCTCGTCTTCGCGGTTAAGCTTGGACATATGCTTGTCATTGGTTAAGGAAGATCATCATAAAAAGTCGAGCAGACAAAAGAATTCCACGCGCTTACCATGAGCAGCGAGTAGTGAGCGAGACGAGGTTGTTGCAAATGTTCTGGTATCTCTATTACTCCCGTTAGTAATAGACCTTCATCCTTTTTGTTTTCAAGGCAAATAATGAAACATTCAATGTCAGATAGGCATGAATGGTTGTAAAAAAAAGGTTATCGGCATCGGAAACCCGGATACGACTCGTCATCTAAGGGAATCATCATAGAATGTTGGGGTCGCTAAAACAAAAAAGGTATGGGTGAGTTATACCAATTGAGCAGCTGAAGCGGGTTTCGTTCATGTCGAGTGTGATGTATGGGAGTCTGAGTCAAAATGGTCAGTTTTGTTTCGAGAAGCAGATGCAACAGTAACGTGGAGGGTACGAGTCCAGATCAGTGGACAAGGTTTCTGAGGCCTCGCCGCGAAATGGTTATCATCGCTGTGGATCAGAGACCAGTGCTCTGTTTGTGTATCATCACAGGACTCTATCGCGCAATTCGAAGACAAAAAACGTCGACATACCATAAACATCGATAACCGAAGCTCGAGGGAGGAATCGAAGGGTGTTATGGTGCGGATTTTGCGAGAGCAGCATCTGAATGTCTTTGAAATGTTAGCATCAACTTCAGAAACCCAAGTGTGCATAAAAAACGAAGAGTCCAATCGGAAAAAAGATCAGAATTCAGCCATTTGCTTCGTCAGTGAGCCGAAGCCCTTGGACGGTAATTTCCAGCGTATTTCTACGTCAATTGCTCATCACAATATTTTCCGATTGGGGAGGGGTATCGAGGTGCAGTGCAATAGGAAGTGAAGAGTCTTACGTTGTAGCAAATTCATTCAGGCGTCGCGAAGGGTCGAAGCATCTGCAGGTGCTGAAAAGACCATTAGCATGATCTCAAGAAGAAACATGGGACAGTAAAAGTAATAAAGTCAAGTTCAGCCTGACGTGCAAAATAGTTTCATGCCTCTTCGTAAAGAAGTCAAAGACTCTAGTTATGCGGTTTGTACAAATCATCATATAAGGAGGGGAAGGTTGCGATGGTGTTGGGGTAGACAAACCGATTGAGCACTGAAGACTGGCAGCCATGGTATGGTGATGTGGGTCGGGGTGGAGAGGAGATGTTGCGGTGTCGTGATGTTGAGTGAAAGTGGTTATGATGTGGTTGGTGGGATGAGGGAGGAGGTGGAGTTTGGGAGAAAAATCTCACTTTAAACAGAGGCGGCGAAAATTGGTGTGTGGAATTTTTGCCGGTCGCACCAACTAATCAGCAGCGGTGAAAAAATACAGCGGTCTTGGCGGCAGAGTGATGAGATATGACGACCTGACGGATTAAACGCCGAAATCGCCAGTTGGAAAAGAGTATTGCCTCCATTTTAAAGTTTTTTGTTATAGGAGAGCTCTTCTATAATCGACAAGTAGGAATTCGTAAAGCTATTTTTTACTTTCATGCCGTACCATCGCTATCGGCCTCCGAATTCTGGAGTTTTGGTGGGCTTTCGGTTCTCTAGAGGATGGATGTTGCTCGGCTTTTTAGAAGAGCCGCAGCTGTAGGATGGTACAAACTGCAGATCATAGTGGCAGTGATCATTATTATCACGAGTATCTACATATTTCAACCTATCTTGAAAATGACGGGTCCAATCGTGCGGTATCAAGTTGACTGGTCTCCTATCATACATGCCAAACTCGAGCACTAAGGAAGTTATTCCCCATATATAGCCAGGTCTCGAACTGATCTAAGCACTGCCATAACGTTTGGCAGCCGTCTTCCAGTTGATGACATCCCACACGGCACCGAAGTACTCCGCCTTGCGGTTCTCGTACTGGAGGTAGTAGGCGTGCTCCCAAGCATCAATACCTATGATTGGCTGGTACTTGCCGACAACAGGGTCCTGGTTCTATATGCAACACAACCACATCAGCACCGTTGAATCCAAGAGCTATGTAGGACTAGGGGTTACGGACCGGCAAAGAGATAATCTGGAGCTTGTTGGTTTCCTTGTCCTTCACGAGCCAAGTCCAACCGCTACCCTGAATTCCAGCAAGGTAGGTGTTGAAGGTCTTCTTGAAGTTGTCAAAGTTACCCCAGTTCTCGTTGATGGCGGTTGCAAGCTCGCCAGTTGGCGGGTCTCCTCCGCCGTTCTTCTTGGGTGCAAGGTTCTCCCAGAAGAGAGTGTGGTTGATATGTCCTCTTTTCGACGAGGAGTCAGCGACCACACTGATTCAAGGCTTGAAACGAGTTTCCTACCCTCCGTGGAACTTCAGCAGAGCCTGAAGGTTGATCTGGGCCTGCACGTTGTTGTCCTTAGCTGCAACGGAGTACTTCTCCTCGGCCTCATTAAGCATGTTGACATAGGTTTGGTGGTGCTTGGTATGATGAAGCTACTCTAATCAGCACCATCGACACCGAAGATTGTTCCGATGAAGACGAACCTCCATGATCTTTCCTGAGATGGAAGGCTCAAGCTCGGCGTAATCATAGGGCAGGTCGGGAAGGGTGTGCTTCTGGCGCGCGGCGGCGTTGATGAAGCCGCGGGCGGAGACAGCCCGGATGGTTGGGCGGACAACTCTGGAGGCGAGGGACATGATTTAAGGGTGTTGATGAAGCAAACGTTTGAAGATGATTGTATGGGGTCGACGTCATTCACAGCTTTTGTGCACCCCCGCTTAGTAAATGCACGCGTTGCCCAGGGTCCCGCTTCGATGATTACATACGGCGCCCTTTTTAGTACTTTCTGTCGCTGGGAAGCTGATCAGCAATTCAGCATGCATACCTACTCAGTTCAGGACGGAAGGCCTACTCATATCCCTTGGTCCGGCAATCTTCTGTGCAGACCCCACGACAGTCAACGGCTTTCTCTATGAGCCGAACAAATCTTTATTGAACCTGCTCCCGTTAGGTAGGCCCACATTCGCTGGTGCACTGCCCTACAGATAATCAACACCAACGTTTATTGCCATTGAGTTGGCTCGAGGACTGCCGGGAGGAAAGGACAAGAAGGCGGGATGATTGTGTACATGGAAGGGGGCGGAACAGTGTGTGCTATGTCTCTTGCCTTTTCCGTTTACAGATGGAATGACTCTATCGATGTTTCTGTACAAGTGGCCTGTCTTTTCACCTGTCACTCGGGGTCCTTCGCGCACGTATAAATCTCCGCGATAACTTCACAGAAGGGGTAGGGTGGGGAGTCGCCATAGTCTAGACAGGCCCCGCATGCGACAATAGAATGATGTTCTCTCTCTCTCTTCACAAAAAAGCTGGAGCTTTGGGGGGAAAGCCATGGTTAAGGCTACCACTTCGTTACATGTAGCAGGTAGATTGAATAAGCTGAATGCTGTCGTTCACAGCATCGATCGTAATGGAGTTGCGCTTCTTTCGCTCCATAGCTTTGCACCTATCTGATGCTTGGTTGAGTTAGCTTCTCGGTACTGATTCTCCGGCTGTCATGCGTAAACGTGCGTCCTGAGCACGCCGCACTAAAACCCAGCCCTAACTAACCGACGCACACAATATCTTTGCAGTCACAACATTCACGTGCCTCGACCCTCGCACACACAGATGCCGCACTAGCAGCAATATTCGCGGGAGACGATTTGGACGACGACGAACGACGACGAAAATCACGCCCAACTAACCCACCCCGACACATCAACCAGGAACCCCAGCACCCTCAAGATGGTATGTTTTGCAATCACGGAATTGATTTGTTTGAAGTAGGACTGACACTTCGTTACAGCCTTTCACCAAGCTCGTCAAGTCCAGCGCCTACTTCTCGCGTTACCAGACCAAGTACCGCAGAAGAAGAGAGGGAAAGACCGACTACTATGCTCGCAAGAGGTTGATCACCCAGGCGAAGAACAAGTACAACGCCCCCAAGTACCGTCTCGTCGTCCGCTTCACCAACCGCGATGTATGTTATCACCTTCCACCAGTCCCTGGGTCCGGTCTGTTGCGATGCGCATTGCCCTGAACCTCAAGCATTCGCATTCGCTTCAGAGTGGCGGAAACGTCCAGAGCAAAAATGTGAATGGAGGGGGGCTAATGTTGCGGCCTATCTTCTGCTACACAGGTTATCTGCCAGATCGTCTCTTCCGAGATTGTCGGTGACAAGGTCTTCGCTGTTGCCTACTCCCACGAGCTTCCCCGGTACGGCATCAAGCACGGTCTCACCAACTGGGCCGCGGCCTACGCTACCGGTCTCCTTCTGGCCCGTCGCACCCTCGCCAAGCTGAAGCTCGACGAGTCCTTCGTCGGTGTCGAGACTGTTGATGGAGAATACAAGCTCACCGAGGCCGCTGAGGTCGAGGGTGAGACTTGCCGTCCCTTCAAGGCCAACCTAGATGTCGGTCTTCACCGTACCTCCACTGGTGCCCGTGTCTTCGGTGCCATGAAGGGTGCGTCGGACGGAGGTCTTCTTATCCCCCACTCCGAGAGCCGTTTCCCCGGTTACGACATGGAGACCAAGGAGCTTGACGCCGAGACCCTGCGCAAGTAAGTATATTCGATATGTTCCGTACTGTCGTCCTTATTGCTGACTGGTTGCCTCAGGTACATCTTCGGTGGACACGTTGCTGAGTACATGGAGACCCTTGCCGACGACGATGAGGAGCGCTACAAGTCGCAGTTCCAGAAGTACATCGACGACGGTATTGAGGGTGAGTTCGATCATACGAATCCTGCTGTGCGATGTTCAAAAATTGACTCTTTGTTTCCCAGCCGACGGTCTTGAGGAGGTCTATGAGGAGGCCCACGCCAAGATTCGCGAGAACCCTAACCTCGCCGCTGAGGGTGAGAAGAAGGATGCCGCCTACTGGAAGTCGGAGAGCCAGAAGTACCGGTCGAAGAAGCTCACGCGCGAGCAGAGACGCGAGCGCGTCCAGAAGAAGATCCAGGAACTCACCGCTTAGGTGTCTCCTTCCATCTTTTGTTCGCACGCTGTATCTTGCAATGCCAAATAAAAAGCATGGGTTTCTGGGTTCAAATTTCGGTGTTCTGGGGTTTGGAGGGGATATCTTTGGGTTGATCGCAAATGGTAATACAGTCTTATTGTGACTGCACCTGAAAGGAAATGCCTCATCCATTCATCCCATCATAAAAGTGTGGAAACATCCTCGGTGCGAATTGTTGCAGAGAGAGTGAAGTTCTTTTTTGCGTGCCACTCAAACCTGCGGACAATCCTTGCCATGCCTGCCCATGCCTGGCGCTCCGCTGCCATTGCTCCGACGATAAGATACCCGACACGATAAAGTAGACGCCAACCCCTCCGCAGCTCGCCCCATCCCGCACCGCATCCCACTTGTTTCATCAATTCATCCTTAAAATGCCTCTTGTGTCCGAATTGTGTTCGTTTCGGCACAGTTCTGCAGGGAGCTGGCTGCGACGGGCGAAATCGGAGTCACAGCTCGGGTTGCTCGGTAAAACGCTTTGCCATCAAGGGCCATGTCAGGCACGACCGGCAGACGCCGTCCGTGAAACTTGCAAGCATGCTCGCCCCACGATGCCCCGCCTCGGTCTGGCGTCCCCCCCTCCCCACCAAAGCTTCCCCTCCACAATACGTCACGCTTATTGCCGGACGCTACCCAGCTCCAGAATGACCGAACCCGACGAGCAACCGGGCGTTCCGCAAAGGCAATAATGCGCGAAGCAAACGCAGCCTATCCTGAGCTTGCTATTCCTTAGCTCCGGAAGAAGCTGTGCGGATCATGCATGTATCTGAGCACAGCACTCTATGCTCCAGGCCAATTGAACCGGCCGCCGTCGTTCCTAGTATACCCCCCGGAATCGCAATCCTTCCTTGAGTGGATGTGATAGACATCGTGACCTGTTACCTGCATCTGCTCGTGCCCATCCATCTCATCTCTTCTTATTTCAACCTCTCTCTCCCACTTCCTCTTCTGCTCCTTCTTCCCCCTCCTTCCATCCAGATCCTTTCCAGATACCAGACCTCATCCCGTATATACCCCGATATATACATACCACCAGCCATTCCCAGTCCACCGAAGCACAACAGTAATCATGAACAACGGCACAAGTGAACACTCGGCGGAGGTCAAGACCGACATCATCACCCTGACCCGGTTCTTGACGGAGCAGGAGCATCAGCTTGCTACCCATGCCACTGGAGACTTCACGTATGCCTTTCTCTCCGTCGGAGAAACTCTCGTGAGAGTTGCAACATGGGAGCTTCTTTTCTAATAATGATGTTTCAACAGATTGCTCTGCCATGCCCTCCAGTTCTCCTTCAAGAGTATTGCGTACTACATCCGTCGTGCAACTCTGACCAACGTTAGCTCCCTCTCCTGTTGTACCTTGAATTCCGGTATAGTCCGGCTAACATGCTTCCCTATCATAGCTCATCGGCCTCGCGGGCTCCTCCAACATTACCGGCGACGACCAGAAGAAGCTAGACGTAATCGGCAACGACATCTTCGTGAACGTGATGCGCGGGTGCGGCAAAGTGAAGATCCTGGTTTCCGAGGAGGAGGAGGAAGCGATCATCTTCCCCGGCAACGGGAAATACGCGGTAGTCTGCGACCCTATTGACGGATCGTCCAACCTTGACGCTGGTGTGTCTGTCGGAACTATCTTTGGCGTGTTCCGTCTCGCCGATGATAGCGAGGGAAAACCGGAGGAGGTCTGCCAGCCCGGCACAGAGCTCGTGGCGAGCGGCTTCACCATGTATGGTGCCTCGGCGCAGTTGGTGCTTACCATGAAGGGCGGCAATGTCAATGGCTTCACCCTTGACAATGCTCTGGGAGAGTTCATCCTCACGCATCCTAACGTTCGTCCCCTTCCATCCCCCCCCCCCCCTCTTCGTGACGTCACCTAACGGGAAAATAGATGCGGATACCCAGGTCCCGCTCCATCTATTCCGTCAACGAGGGAAACAGCGTGTACTGGGACGATGCCTGCCGCGCATACTTCGACAGCATCAAGTTCCCAAGCACTCCCGAGGGAAAGCCCTACTCTTCTCGTTACATCGGATCCATGGTGGCCGATGCCTACCGTACCCTCTGCTACGGTGGAATCTTTGCCTACCCCGCCGATAAGAAGTCCAAGAAGGGAAAGCTGAGGATTCTCTACGAGTGTGCCCCGATGGCTATGGTTATGGAGAATGGTTAGTCACCCTACTGGCATACTGTGATGTGTTGAAACTGATTGTGCGGTAGCTGGTGGTCTGGCCGTCACGAGCGATCAGAAGCGCATGCTTGAGGTTGTGCCCGAGCACATCCACGACCGGTCGGGAATTTTCATGGGATCGTACGATGAGGTTAAGAAGGTCACTGAGATTTACGCTAAGTATGGTACCGTCACCAAATAAGTTTCGGCTTGAGGAGGGGATATGGAGGGAAGAATGATCGGTCTTGAGTTTTCGGTTGTTGGTGTTCAGGGTGTATTTTATTGATTGATGTTTATGGCAAACAATTTGATGGCCTGGTTATTTATCATGTCTCGCTGCTCCCGCCTATTGTGCCCGAGTAGTTTCAGGGGGGGTGGTTATCAATTTTATTTTGCATACAGCCTGTCTATGCCCGAACAGTGGGTAGAGCAGATTAATGCGAGATGTGCATAAGCCCGAGTGACATCACGTGGAAGCCGCATCGAAGTCATTGATTATGATACCATCGTATGATGCAACAATTCCCTCGATACGCCATACGCTACCATTCAACGCTCATAGGGATATCAAAACCCATCCAACGCTCCCGGGGATGTCAAAACCGCGTCTACACCTTTCTCGCCGCATTTTCCACCGTCTCCCTCTGCACCTCTTCATACCCCGGCGGGGCATCCGCGGGCACAGGGCCATGACCCAGCGCATCCACACTTGGCGGCGGGGGGCCAGAGTCTTCATACGTCGGCAGATCCTCGAGATGGACACCAGCGCCGCCGCCATTCTCGATCACCTGCTGGACGCGCTCCCGTACGCGCTCGAACGTGGTGCTGAAATCGAAAGCGCCGCCGTCCTTAAACACCAGCTTCATCTCTATCGCGGACGTTGTCGCCGGGAGCCCGCCCGAGGCCACCGGGTTCACCGCGCACGACCACGTGTTCGGCCCGAAAAACGGCGCGGACACCCGGCTGTCGAGGAGGTGCGTCAGTGGTGCGCTGAAGGACTCGAGGACGGGTGTCGGCGTGCTCGGGATGTAGATAACCTGTGCGGACGGTTAGTTGGGGGAATCCCGGGGCGGCGGCAGGGGGACTAACTCGTTGGTTCGTGATTATTACTACCCCCGACGATGAGGTGATGTTGAGCGGGTTTTGGCCGGTCGAGGTCAGCGCGAAGGTGGTGCGCGCTGGTGAGGTGTAGAGTGTGCGCTCGTTCGGCAGGGCGACGAAGGTGTGTGGGCTTGTTCCGAGCATTACCCAGCTGTTGGGTTGTTAGCTAGCTGCTCTGATCTGCTCTGAGCTATGGCGCGATGGAGGGGATGGCGGAGGCTAAGTTACTTTAGAGACATTTTTGCGGTGGTGAAGATGGTGGTGAGAATTCTAGGATGTTTTGGGTCAGTCCACACAGTTATGGTGGTGGTGATGGTGGTGGTGATGGTAGTGGTGTTGGTGGCAGCTGAGCATTTGAAAGAGAGCTGCGTTGGAGGTTGGATGAGCTTGAAAGTCGGATTGCGGCAATTGGTGGGGCGGGAACAACTCATGCGAACAACCGCCACTACCTGGTTAGTGGTATTGTGGCTAATTATCTGTGGCTAACATACGTCATTTGGTCACGGAATATCACTGAACGAATCTGCACAATATCACGACAAACAGGCACTCATTTCTCCCAAAACCTATCTAGCCTGGGGATTCGAACCCCTCCAACCTCTACTGGCGAGGATGGTACATCGGTGGAAAGTAGTGGTTGCGCTGGCCGCTGCTTCCACTACGACTACGAAACGCAGCCGCGTGCTCGTACGGACCCTGACCCGGGCCACGACCGGGAGGACCGGCACGAACATGGGCCTCCTCGTAGTCAGAGAAGGAGAAGCCTCTAGAGGTGAAGCCGGCCGGCCCATCAATATAGTTGGGCAACCAGCGTGGCGGAGGGGCAGGAATTCCCGAACCGGGAACGGTTTCCGGCATGATGGGCTCGGTCGCCGCGGGCATCTGACCCCTGTTAGAGTCGTAGATGAGCCCAGTCGACGACCGGAACGTGTTGAAGGCTTCCAGCATCTGGAAACCGGCCTGTAGGATTTCTTTTAGTTACGTGTCGTACAGAATGGAAGAGAACAGAGCTTACCTCGCCGTAGAGTTCCTGAGTATCCCTACTGCAGGAGACGTTCTTACCCTCGTTGTTGCTGTCTGATATCAGTATTTTTCTATTGCAAACATGGGCATGTAGGATGACTTACGCAACGAAGATATGGCGCAAGAACGACATCGGAACGTCCTTGACATACAGCCAGCGGATGTCGAACCGCCCCTTCCACCTGCGCTCGGTCCAGATCCCGACCATCGTGTCCTGGTCGTGGGTGCTGAGCATTTCAGCAACACCACAGAAGCGTCCACTTCCGTTTACGGAGAAGAACAAGAGCACATTGCCATAGCCGTGATGAGCCCTGAGGGCCTCGCTCAGACGCCTGTTGCCGAGCTCGGTTGAGGTCCAGATACCCCACTTGAGGGCGCTGTACACATCCATCTCGTTGGTGGACTTGATGACGAAGAATCTGGTCTTCAAGTTATTAGCTGACTTATCTATCAGTATTGGGGTCACTGGGATATACATTGCTGTTCCACTTCTTCAGGACTGGGTTGATCTCGTTCTGTAGGACCGCCCAGTTCTCGGCCCTAGCAACGTGAAGCGCATCAAGACCACGCATGAAAGGCTTCTTACGGCGACCATCAGCCTCGTGGGTCTCCGTCTCTCCAGTTTGAATTGCACCGAAGCCCTGTGCCAACTGCATCTGCTGGGCCTGAGCAATCTGTAGCTGATGCTGGACCTGAGCAATGTGCATCTGCTGCTGTTGCTGCTTTTGGTATTCAGACATCGAGGAGAGCTGAGACTGCGAAGTAATGTGCATCTGCTGCTGCTGCGCCTCGTTGATTAACTGCAACTGTGAGTGGTAAGGAGGCAGCATTTTCGTCTGTTGGAAAGGTTGCAGAGTCTGCAAGGGCCTGGAATGCTGATGATGCTGATAGTTGTGATGGTTCTGATGATTCTGATGGTGCTGATTATGCTGATGATGCTGCTGCTCGTTCGAAATATTCTGCATATCAACCGAAGGGATGTATTTCTGAGCCGCCGAATCAAATCCACCAACATGAGAAATGTTGACCGGCAAAAGAGCTAGGTTCCTGGTCGACATCGAAGCCGAAGCGTTCGTAAATCCTTGAAACGGGTAGTTGGCCTGACCGTTCTGGCCATGCATCTGGGAATATTCGGGCAGTCCAGTCTGTGCTTGAAGGAAGTCCCGGCCACTCTGTGCAGGTGTTTGGTCGAAGCTACTGGCAGCATGTGTAGGATTAAGTCCCAAAGACCTCGGGGCGGCATTCTGCGCAATAAAGGTGCGGAGAAGAGCGTTTTGCTTCATAATATCGTCATGCAGCTGATCATTCTGTGTCATCTGTCCTTTAGCGGCGACCTGCTGCTTCTGAAGTGCAGTCTGGACAGCTTGGACGGCAACTTCCTGAGCGATCGCGCTCTGGACTGCCTGGGCGGCAACTTCCTGAGTGGTTGCGTCCTGGCTCTGAAGTGCTTTCTGAACAGCCTTGGAGGCCAGCAACTTGATGAGATCCGGCTGTCCATACTGGTTGCCTATTGGACCAGAATTATCCTCTGGTTCAACTGATTAGTACACGGCCTTTCATCAGGATACCGTTCAGCTTACCGGTATTGTTATCCAAAGGAATGCCGCCTTCATTCTCCTCTTCATGTAGCCGACCTTCGCGGTGACGAGCTCCGAGCTCTGTAGCACTGCGACTGTAATGGCGCTCCAAGAAAGGGCGTTCCGCCTGAGTCTGATTCTGCTCTTCTCCAACGGCCTCCCTGGAACGACCCCCACTGATATACACACGACGGAGTGAATTGAGTCCCTCACCAGTGAAATTCTCGAGAGCCTGACGCTCAGTCTCAGACAAGATGTAACCTCCATTAGGACCCTCTAGGACGAAAGAAGGACCAGCGGGAGCAGTGTCACTCTCCTCCTCACTCGGACGGAGCTCTGGAGCGCTATGACCCCGACGGACTGCGCGCGAACCGATCGGGCCGAGATCACTCTGGTTGTTACGCAGTCTCGGCATCGGCTGGACGTACAGGTTCTCTATGCTGTTGGTATTTGCGCGGCGGAGACTGCGGTCGGTAGCTCCCGGAGGCGCAAGGAACCCGTTGATGCTGTTGTATGTCGGCATCTCTTCTTCTTCCTCTGTATCCCAAGCTTTAGCATTCTCGACTTCGGAACTATCATCATCTGAAATTTCGCCCCCTAGGTAGAAAACGAATCGCTTCTTCTTCTTGTCCGGCAAAAGCGACTGCTTCTTGTCTGGCGACATCGAGAAGAGTTGGAAATGGGTGAGTGTGGAGGGTTTGAGGGACTTGGAGGGAGAAAGGAAGAGGGAGAAAGGAAGAGGGAGAAGCAGAAGAGGATGAGACGGAGGAAGGTGATGAGGAGATGGAGGATGAGGAGGAGAAGAAGTAGGAGGATGCGAAGGAGGAGGCAACAAACGACAATAGGAAAGTAAGGAGGGCGAGTTCGTACTTGCGCGTGTTATCCTTCAGTTCGGCCAATGAGGTACAGCCGTGCACTATTCTCGGCGTGCCAAACGACATCAGTCAGCGATTTCGTTCCAATCCAAATGGCATCTGTAGCGGTCTAGCATAAAAGTAAAGAATCGGACAATTCTCGGTGTCGCCGAAGTGATTATCGTCTTCTCTGCCGCGGTGAAGGCGCGAGTGGAGCTACGAGCCATATGCTGTGGCTGAAGCCCACGAGAACTTAACATCCAAGAGTACTTACGGATCGTGTGGATGCGAAATGATGCCTGGAAGATGTTAGGAAGATGCGAAATGATATCTGGAAGTGGGGAGATATACCAAAGAGAGCAGAAAAAGAAATGGCAGAGATGAGAAGGTGGTTGAGGGAGTAAAGAGAGGAGCGAAGATGGTAGAGAGTCCGAAGAAGGATGGAGGATGAACGAATGTCCTATTCGTAGCCGCCGACGAAGAGAGAATATACAGAGAGCCGCGCTTGCCATCTTGAATTTCTTCCTCGCTGCAGTCACTCGCAAATACCTACACTCGACATCATTTCAAGAGTCACGTGCACACGGACCATTTTGATCCGAGATCAGGATATACAGTACTACGGAGTGGAGATTAGATACGGATGAGATGGACCAGAATATACGGGGAGAAATGTTCATGATTTGGCACCAGTTACGTGGCCAGCCTCCACCGATATCACTCGTCCACAGTAAATCACTCCGATATTCGGGCACTCAGATATTTGGGCATTCTGACCGGCTTCAACGGTCAAAAGAAGAGACAGAGGGCAGGCGGCAAGAGCGGTCATGCAGGCCCATTTCAGTCTTTACCGTGTATCTAAATTTCTGGGACAGGCCGGGGCGGAGGGCAGGGAAAGCCACATCGGTGAATCAATTATCGGTTTGTAGAAGTAAAGACATACAAAAAGAAATGCAAGATTAGGTACTAGAACGTCAACACACGATCATGTAAGCTCACCGCAACCGGCAACAAAAACAATGTTTCAGTCGAATCACTACCCCCGTAGATCTAACTCGCGTTCACTCCATCAAACTCCTACGTAGACTTGGTTTTCCTGCTGGGAGACATTCCCGAAAACTGGGGATTCGTTCCTGGCAATAGGAGCATCCAAGGAAGCGGGGACGTCGTCGAGGTCAAAATCCTGATCCTGATCCATCTCGTTTCCTTTGGCTTCATACCTCTTCTCGGACTCTTCATTGCTCGTATCTCCCTTGGTTTCATATCTCTTGACTTCATGTCCGGTGGGGGTATCTCCCTTGCCAACATCGTCTTCGGCTTCAATTCCACTGCGGTACTGTGGGGATTATTCAGTTTCTGTCTCGGTTCCTTAAGGCAACAAAGGGAAAAAGAGACTTACGTGATGTTCGATGTTCTTCAAGGGGTTGCGATACTCCGCATGCATGCGTGCTTCGGTCTCCTTTGACTTCGTAACGCGGTAATGCTGGAGGTCGAGGCCGCTGCTCTTGTTCCTGGTCGATGCCTCCGTGAGGACAGCAAATCCTTCATCAACGAGACGTTTCAAAAAGATAATGGCTGCATCGCGGGTGCACTCTGCATTTTTAACTATTAGTTAGCTGATTATTCGATGGGATTGGTGTGGGAACATACGAAACTCGGCCGCGAGGACATCAATCGAGGTTGGAAACTGTTCAGCCAGCCAGATGTAAGAGAGGCCATGGCGGAAGAAGGCTAGGTCCTTCATACTCTGCAGGAGGGGCTTCTCGGTGGTTCCGTTGAGCAGGCAATCGTAGCAGTAATGTGCGTCAGGGATGCGGGGATCCTTTACGGAATTGTAGCCGTAGCATTGAGCATGCTGCCATTCGTTGCAGATGTCACAACAAAGCATTCCTCCATCATCCGCTACCGTATCTCCGCATTGGCAAGAGATTATATCCTTCCTCCGAGCTCGTCTCGCTTTAGGGGTTTTGTTTTTTCTCCGTTTCTTCTTCTTCAATTCCTCGCACTTAGCGTCCGACAGAACCAACAATTGCAATTTCGTGGTGTTTATAAGCTCGTTGGAATTTTCACTAGCACCTGGTTCGCCAATGACTGACTGCTTGTGGCTGGAAATGGGCATGTGGCTGGGAGGGTGCATCTGGTTGGGAGGAACCGCCTGGGTTTGAGAGGACATCCCCTGTGTGGGTGTTGCATCCGCTGGCCGCGGATCCGACTGCAACAGATGCTCGATGTACTCCTTTTCGAGAGTTTCTCCGGAAACTGTTGGCTCTTCAGCCATGGGAGTTTCCCGGATGATCTCCTGGCTCTGGCTAACGTCCGGCATTTCAGTATCCTGACCATCAGCTGGTTGTGGGACAGCCTTGAAACCGATGGTGTCCGCCTTGTCCTGGATATCTGGTAGAGAATCGCCAGCAGATTGCTGAGTGGCCTTAACCCGGAAGGGATCCGGAGCGCTCGACTGAGAATCGTTGACGGATTGTTGAGAAGATTGGACACGGAAAAGGTCAAGGACATCTGTCAAAGGTTGGAAGTCGTGGTAGGGTTCAATATCGTCGTCAACATTGAAAATCCGCGAAGTCATCCGGCGTCCAGGCCGCCCTACAACCGGCTCAGGGTTCTCACAGCTCGCAACTCGAAGCGAAACCCTGGGAGATCATGTTAGTCGTTTCTAGGAGAGAAAAGCTATGTGGTGTCGAAGGGTAAGTTTTACGCATGGATTCCGGTGTCCATCACCCCGCACTGCTGGCGCACAACATCACCTGCCATCCCGAAACTGCAGACATCCACATTGAGTCTGTGAAATCCAGGAGGATCATATTCCGGAGGAGTATAGTCCTGGTAATGCAAGCGGATGGACAACCAACGAGAATCTAGTCAGCGATGTGGAGTTAGCGACGACTTACGGTACACATCATCAACAAGAACCTACCCGGCAAAGCGTGGAGTGCTTCCGTGATGGCGAGTAGGTTTCTCGTGAGTTGCTGCACCTTCTTGTGGGCATCTGCGACGACAACCTCTCTTCCGATTTGGTTTTTAATGTGAAGGGAAACTCCTTCCTGTTCATGGTAGGAGAAGGAGAAGGTGTACGACTCAATGACCTGTTCCGGATGATTCTCGTCGGTGTATATACCTAGCTGCAGCGCCTTGAGATGGCCGTCCTTCAGCGCTTGAAACACACCGGTCTCGATGTAATCCAGTAGGCGATCAGCGAACTTGTTGACGCCCTTCTGGAGACGAGTGATTTTGACTCCCTGTCCCCGGCGCCCCGTTTCTGCCACTCCAGTAGAAAATGCGCGATAGTTTTTAGCATACTCGGGTTCATAGCGCATCTTCGTGAAGCATTCGTCTGGAAACAAGCCTCTGATAAAGGCAAGAGAGCCAATTGACGCCCCAAGAAGGGTTTGAACAATCTGAAGACTCTGCTCTTGCTGGAGACTCTGCTTTTGAACAATACTCTGCTGCTGCTGAATTGCAGCCGTCAATTTCGGGCGAAAAAGTTGAGCTTGAGCCATGACGGCGGTGTGAATGTGTAAGGAGAGTGGGTTTAAAGAATGAGTAAAATGAGATGAGTGAGAAAGGTGGAGACGAGGTCGGAATGGGTGGAAGTGAAAAGTAGATGAGAGGTCAATGGGAGAAAAGTCAGGTAGTACCGTAGTAGTGATAGAAGATGAAGGAAGGTGATGATCGTAGTTTTTTTTTGTTTTTGTTTGCTCATTGACTGCATGCGACCTATTTAGGACATGGCAATATACACACTCCATTTCCATGTCCACTGTCCAACCCAACTTCCATCAGGCGGCCCGATGTGGCTTCCCCTGCTGTCCGCCTTGGCCTTACCCGAAGATACATGTAGAGTGCACTACGGAAAGAAAGTTAGGAAAAAGAAGTCCGTTCCTCACACCGCCTCGCGCCCTGCCTCTTCATCAGGAGATGCCATGAAAGAGGGGGCAGTGGGGAACAGCGACAGTCACCCTGGTTCCTCAACTCCAGCGCCCTCATCCTCCTCTCGCCTCCTCTCCGCCTGTTTCTCTTCCCGCTCCCTGAGCTCTCACTCGGATAGGTGCCTCACTTTCTGCATCTTCCTCAGCGACCTCCGGGATCCTCCTTCCCACATCAGTGGTGGCGAGAAAGTCCAGGATAGCTTAGCTGCACCGCTCGTCTGCGAAGAGGTCACGGATCTTGAAGCGATCCTTGCCCCTCCCGAACCTCTGCTCACAGGATCTTCTGCCGGCTCTTCCATGCGGGGCAGCACCTGAAGAGGTGCCCCCGGGTTTGGGTCTGGTAGCGACACTATCCGCACCGAGCACGGGGGCAGCTCTTTCTCCACTGGAGGTACTGACCAGTGAGGCAGTGCCCCATCTTCAATTGGTAGAACCTCGAGGCTAGGTGGTTGGAGACCTGGTCCAGAATCGTGTCCGGTTTCTGGCAAGGTTTCTGGCTGTATTGATATTTCTTCCTGGTGACTTTCGCGTCGGCGCATGCCTTGGCCTCCTTCCGCTTGGCCTCCATGATCCCGCACTTCAGGTAGGCGAGCGATGGCGGTGGCAGTGGTCCAGTTCCGTACTGGCTTAGGTAGCGGGATTCCTCCACTCCACGGGCGGTGGAGTTTTGTCGGCTTCCAGCTTGCCCCATTCGTCGGCCTTTTCGTTTCAAGGGATGCACATGGCGGTCGTGGTGATGGTCTTGGAGAGTACCTAGATGAGATTACGACGAGTGACTTGCCGTGCAGCCAAGATGATAAATCACCAACCTGGGTCTGTTTGCGAGATCGATAAGAGGATAGACTTTCCATCTACTGAAAGACAAAATCCTAGGGTAATTTTTGAAGGTGTTTCGTACACCGAGAGTGTTTGTCGATGGCATCTCGCAAGTGACATGGACGCATTACTGAGAGGGTATGAAGGCAGAAGGTCTCCAATACGAGCAAGTCTTCGGTATCGGTGCTATATCTGTAAAGGGAACATAGTGAAAGAGGAAGGGGAATTGCATGGCTATCAAAAATACAGATTTATAGATATCTTGTACAAAAGTACTCCCCTTAGATTCGTTCAAACTCATCATTTTTTCTATTGAACCCGAACCCACACAAAACTCTCGCTCTCGTAACAGCCTTCAAGCCCCGGTCCACCATTAACCAGCCCTGAGCCATCATTTATTTGAGTTTTATACCCATTGAAAAGGTGTATTGGTATAATGATGTTGCCAGCGTTTACTTGAGCTTAGCGAACAACTTTGGGGCAGCGCATTGGGTGGTGCAGTGCATGAGGTGGAAGACTGTCCAGCTCCCGTCAGTTTACGATCAGTGCGGAATTGTACTGAATGGATTGCGATCGGGGGTGAGTTCTTACACTCCTCAACACAGTCCTCTTTGGGGCCCTTGTTGTCGGCGTCCTCGGCGGCGGCAGTGACACGCTCGACACACTCGTCGTAGTGGTGCTTAGCTGGAGAACATTCCTTGGTCTTCTCGCACTCTGTGACGCGAATTAGCTGAAGATTGCTTGGATCGGACATCCGGGCGGTTGATTCCCAGATGACGATAGCGTCATGGCGGCAATGGGCATCCATTGAAACGCAGTAATGAAACATACCCTCCAGGAGAGCGGGCATGATGTCCTCAGGCTCCTCTTCTTCTTCCTCCTCCTCCACGGGCTCCTCCTTAGTCTCCTCCTCTTCCGGCTCCTCCTGCTTAGCGGGCTCCTCCTCCTGCTCGGACTCGGGCGCGGCCGGAGGTGCGTCGGCGTGGACCTCACCAACGGTGAGCGAAGAGTAGAGGTCGGCAATGAACGATGTCAGAGACATATTGGGCGGTCGGTGACGGCGGTGGTTGTTGTGATGGGGATTGGTTTTGACGAGGTGGGGGTGGAGAGGTGTCTCGGAGAGAGTTGAAGATGCGCGAAAAAAGAACGAACACTGATCGGGTCCGGCTGAAGGTGGGACGGTTGGTGGGAACTTTCTCGGCAGTAAATGGGGCTTGGTTGATTGGTCGTGCTTAGCTTAGTCACTAGCGTTGCGTTGCGGGTCCCGCTGCACGTCAAGTATCCCTTCCCTTTCCTGTGGTTAGAGAACTTCGCTGGATGTGTATTCTCCGCAACAAGGAGAAGCTCAGTATGCTCTCTCCCGACCTGATCCAGCGGCGGCCTTACTCTACTCTGCTTGTCGTGTTTGCTTGCTGGAAGCTCATTCTCGGCCTGATTGCCTTCACAACCCCTTCGCCAGCCTACGACACGTCCACATCGCTGCTATTACTCCAATCGAATCACGACAACGCTTCGACGTTCGGCGTCCGGTTTTTGAAAACTATTTGCGGTAGCTTAACCAGATGGGATGCTATATTCTTCGCGAAGATTGCAGAACCTGGCAGAGGGTACTGGAATGAGCAGGAGTGGGCTTTTGGATGGGGATACACTCGGGTGATTGCTGCTACTCGCAGAGGTAATCGTTCTCGGTGGTGGATCTGGCAGCTCCGTGCTGACTTTCTGAATCAGTGCTCTGCTCTTTTCTTCCCCTCGATCAGCTTGCGCATCCGTATCCCGAGATAATCAGCGCCGTGCTACTCTCGAACGCATGCCATATTGCTTCGGTATTTGTCCTCTACAAGTTGGCATTCTTATTCAGCAAATCCCCGCAGCGCGCACACGTACTTGCCTGGGTTACTTCGGTCCTTCATATCCTATCACCTGCAGGATTGTTTTTGTCGGCCCCGTACAGCGAGAGTCTTTTCTCGTTGCTGTCTTTTACCGGTGCCTATCTCTATGCGTTGTCAATGAAGGCTGTGGGCTCGCAACAGCACATGCGCGGCAACTCGCTCACTCTCTGCAGTGCCATCGTGTTTGCCGCAGCTTCCACAGTGAGGAGCAACGGCCTACTAAACGGCATACTGTTCCTATTCGACTTTGTACCCGCGCTTCTCAGCTTCGACTTGGTTCGTGTCGTGGTTTTGGGCGTCGGTGGAGTGTTGGTGGGTGCGGGAGTGGCACTTCCTCAGTACATCGCATGGGGAGAGTACTGTATTTCCACACCGCCACTCAGACCGTGGTGCACGAAGCTCGTCCCCAGCATATACACCTATGTCCAAGATGTCTACTGGTACCCTCACACCGGCAGCTTGCCCTGTTCTGAGATCCATTGTCCATGATTAACATGAAAATAGGAATGTAGGCCTCTTCAGATATTGGACACTTTCCAATCTTCCTCTGTTCGTCCTTGCAGCGCCCACGCTGCTTATACTTTTTGCCTCGGGGAACTGGGTTTTACGTCAAAGTAAGCGCAACACAGACATAGTGTTTCGGCTTGCTATCTCTCAGCTCATTCTTGCCGGAATGGCGATTTTCTCCTACCACGTGCAGGTCATCACCAGACTCAGCAGCGGTAGTGCAGTGTGGTACTGGTGGGTCGCAGTCAAGTTCATTGGCGAGGGTGACACCATGATGCGAAGTTCACGATCGACGGAGTATCGCACACTGGGGTGGATCCTGCGGTGGATGGTCATGTACGGACTCATCCAGGGCGTGCTATTTGCGGCGTTCCTGCCCCCCGCGTAGTACTGTACTGCCGCACTTTGTGGCGGTTTGATAGATAGACAAGTACGCATCTACATATGTATCTATATCAGCATTCATCAAGCCGAAACAGAGCACAGCTACGCGTGCCATAACTACATGCATTTCGTGAATTCGTGAGTAAGTGAGACTCGGCGATTGTCAGTATATCCACCGACCATCTAAAGTAACGATGCACATACCCGGGCACCACCATATGCCGTTGAAAACACATGCACTTTAAATGAAGCGTTCGGGAGTCGTGTCGTTCGTATCCGCCGGATATCCGCTTGATCCACGGAGTACATTGAATGTAGAGGGCGAAAGCACTATTCTACCGACTTCTGCACTTTGCCCTCTGACCTCTGCGTTTTGCACTCAACACTTACCATCTGCGTAGAACGTGCGCTATGTGTAGCGTATGTTCTGTTAACACTGTGTTCAAAGGTATTTATTGCTCGCTGCGAAGATTGTTTGGGTTGGTTGTTTGTCGACTGCGCAAAACTCTTGGCGGGGCAGCCGTGGTTCAAGCAGCACAGCTTCCCCACTGTATTACGCGCAGGTACCAACCTGCTTGTACCTCACCTCACCCAGTCTGACCTCAACAGTCCCTCCCTTCTCCATCCTCCACAACTCCCATCATCAACTCTTTCATCGACAGAGCGGATAGGAATTATCCTCAGCCTACTGGACCTGCTGCCCAACCGACCAGTTTTCCGTTTAACCGCTTCGGACGAGTACCCGCCACAGTCGCTGCAGATCCAGCTCGAGCGCGGTTGGGTGTTAGCTGGCGCGCTGCTCGTTAGAAACGTCATAGGTGCGTCCACCGAACTCATACGCTCTAGGAGAACCTCCGTCCAAATAGCTGATTACTCCTTGTGATTGGATACTTTAAGTTCAGATTCCGCCGACCTTGGATAGCTCTCCGAACCCTCCCCCCACCACCCCCCACCACAAAGTTGACTCCCACCCTTCGATCCACCATGAGCAAGCTACCAGATTTCTTAGTCGCCCATCTCGGCGTCAACGGGAACGACCAAGCTGGCTCTGGCGCCACGAGTCCGGGCGCCGAGTGGCGAGATGACGAAGATGACCAGCAGTCACGTTACAGACCACGGACATACAAATACCTTGAGACCCTTCCCTACGAGGTTGAAGATGAAGCGGAACGCCAAGGCCATCTGAATGAAATCGTCCGGAACCTCTACATTGCCATAGAAGCCCGGGATTTCTCGCCAGGCGCAGTACGCTGGTCGAGGGAGCTTCGCAGCTGGTTGGCACTGAAATATGATCCTCCCCGTAAGACGCGAGCAAAGCTCGTGAAACTCTACTATGAGCTTGCTATGGCACCAGGACTGGATCCCGCAGTTTCCGAGAGATTCGCAAGCATGTTCATGACAATGACAAAGTATATTTCCAATTCCTTTCCTGCTTTTTCGTGCTGTCGATTTTGCCACTCTCCCACTACCATGGAAAGTGATTGCAAGCGGTCATTTGTTTATAATAAAAAAAGAATGCTAAGAGGTTCAAAGGCGGAAACACTACTTGCGTCCAGGGAATGACTTGACTCTGGATTGGAAACAGCTCTACAAAGAGCTCAAGGTCTTCGTGCTGCCCCAAGAATCGGGATACGTTCATTCCACGGTTGTGAAGAGGAATGTGCGCATCCTGACGAGGATGTGCGCATTTGCGCAATTCTACTTCGATCCCGACGGACTCACGGAGATGTTTGAAGAATTCATGCCCTATGTGAGCAAGATGCTGTCTCCCGAGATGTGACTTTTCCAGTTCTGATGTGTCTCAAAAGTTCACCACCTCAAACATAGAGGGTGCCTTCGTAGTGGTTGGTTTGCTCAATCTCCTCATGCCAACGAGGCCTCCCCCGCCAGAGAGTCCAAAGCTTCAGCCTGCGCAGTACCTCCCTAGTCAGAACTCCAGCTTCCTCCAAGTCGTACGGGTGACTGATATGTCTTACAGCATTGTTTGGCCTCTGGTCATTGGTAAATCGGTCGAGGACGTTCGATATCAACTTTTTGGATCTGTTTTCTCGGTTGGCTCGAGATATGCTTCCGGCGAACCACATCCCTTTCAGTCAACACGGTATATTCACGAAAGAACAGTCGGCTCTGATCTTCACCGCGATCTTACGACTCCTCGAGATTCCCGTTGGCCAATCAACATCTCCCTACAGCCATAATGTTGATGCGGGCATCGGATTGGCGATTGCTCTAGAACGAGACCACCGGAAGAGCCCGATAGCATACCACATCGCTAGATGGGTTGTGATGTCGCTTTCTCCACAGTGCCTCAACCAGGAGGATAGCATTCTGTCCCACCTCGAAGGCTTGATACAGGCGGTAGAGACGTTCTTCCATCCATCAAATTCAGGCGCATGGACGAAGACACTCTCACAGCTTGTTTACTACCTGGCCGACTTTTTTGTGATGCGATGGAACCGGGAGAATAGCGGAGAAATGAAAATGCCCGCCGACAGAAAGCTGACCCCCGAATTAAAGGATCGATTTGTCCTATGCCTGAGAGAGGTCACGTTCATGGGCATTTACGCGAAGAGCAGCGCCGCTATGAATTTCTCCCTTTCCGCTCTTCAGAATCTCTCTTACCTGCAGCCGAAATTGATCTTGCCTGGTGCGTTACAGCGGATCTATCCCTCTATGCAGGGCTTGGTTGAGGTCCACCGTACAACTTCCTCATTGCGGTCGCTCCAAGTGTTAGCCCGCACTTTGGTAACTACGAGGGGGTTCCGCTGTCACGTTACCAGTTTATTAGGACTAGCGCTTCCGGGAATTGACGCCAACGATCTAGACAAGACTCTCCATACTCTAGCGTTCGTTCAAGCATTGTCGTACTGCATTCCATTGCACGATCTGACCCAGGAACACGACGGTTCCGGATTGGGCAGCCATCTTGCAATGGAGTGGGTGAGCGCTGAGGTCGACCGACTGGAACGTGAGGGGACCGATGTTCATATCGACTACGATATTGAACTGACCGACGAGTATGAAGAGGCTGTACTCAGGTCGTCAACTTCGGCATTCTCGGAATTCCTCATCTCCTTCCTAGGCCGTATCTTTACTCTCCTTGAAAACCTCCCGGACAGCAACCGTGTTAGAAGCGGATCACCGGAGGAGCATGTGATGAACACTCTACCCGCGGCATTGACTCCACTGTTTGCTGCTCTCTCGCCAGAGCTATTCGATATCGCGCTGCAGAAGGTCGTCGACTTTGTGGGAAACCATGTCATTCACCAAGCTCGTGATCCTATGGCTTTCATCTGCAATGCACTGGCGAAAGTGAATCCAGAAAAGGCGCTGAAAATGCTGATCCCGGTTTTGGTCCGCAACATCCGTACCGAGATTGATGAGAACAATGCGGCGTCCACCCGCAACACCGGAACCGATGTCCTTCCACGGGATCGAGGGCTTGTATGGAGCATCAGTATTCTCAGTATGTCTATAGTCCATGTGGGAGACGCAATCCTCAAACATCAGAAGGATCTGTTCGATATTGCCATGTATATGCAGCAAAAGTGCAAAGGGAATCCGACCATCCATGTGTCGAACTTCATCCACCATCTGCTTCTCAATCTCACGGTCACATATACATCGGACTATGATCTCGTCCAGTCGAAATCTGACGGCACTCCGCTGGGAATCGAGGCATGGGGCATTCTGGAGGACTGCAAGGACCTCACGGTCAAGTGGCATGTTCCCTCGAGGGCGGAGATCGATTTCGCGGTGAAGCTGTTTTGCTCACAAGCGGAGGGTGCGGTACAAGCACTCCTATCATTGACATCCGATGATTCCGGCGTCAAGAGGGACGGCATCGGCAAGGAGTGGTCCGACGAGGTTTCGAGGAATCTAGTACTTCTCCGGCTCGCGATATCGGGTGTCTCGGTTTTGTTCGATCCACGATACATTCCCGGTGGTAAGCTGGCGGTAAGAGAGAAGCGTGGCGAGGATCAAGACACCGAAATGAAGGATGATACCGACGGTGATGGTGATGCGGATATCGAGGTTGAGGCACAGGATGATGAACCCAAGACAACCCATCGCTATCCGGCTGGCTACTCCTTTGACGATACCCACGATCCGTTGTATATCGCCATTCACGAACTGCGTGACCGTATTGGCAACTCGCTTCATCAAGTCCACAAATTTTTAACTTCGAAGCAGGAGGACGATGTGGCATGTTTCAACGCGTTATACACCGTAAGTCTCCCGGGCTTCCAGTTCCTTCATTCGCACTAACAAATTATAGACCTACCGTGCTTGGTTCATTGATGTCGGAATCGAAAGATCAGCCCATATAGTTGACAGGGTTACAAGATTGCTGGTCGCCGACATCACAACCTTCAAAGTTAGCGGTCTCCACAAATGTTACCCTCGACCAATGCTACTACGCAGATCACATTTATACCACCTACAGCGACTGAGGCACAACTGTGGTCCTCGACCGCAGTCCGAGTTGGACAAACAGTTGTTGCTTGATCTGGCAGAGTCATGCGTGTCCCTCTACACGGACATCAGGAGACATGCTCAGAGTGCGGGTGAATCTGCGACGAAGGTCATCGTTGGTGCTAGACCGCTAGTAATCCCGCCTCTCCTCAAGGCCTTCGAAGAGGCAGTCAAGACCAGCGACTTCAAACGAATGAAAGGAGCCATGTACACTTTACTTTATGGAAGCTTGGCAAAAACAGCTGGAAGAGACTGGCACTTTGCGCCGTCGTTGATACGATCCTTCATCTCCGCGAGCACCGCCGACAAGCCTTCCATCCAGAAACTTGCTACAGGCATAGTCTATCATATAATGGACTACGGTCGTCCAGTGGAACGTATGGTCATTCTGAACGACATGCGGGTGCGGAGTATTGCTCCCAATGAAGACCTTTTAGGTCTCATTGCCAACAAGCGGGAAAAGCTTCAGAAAAAGAGAAATTTTATTGAGCGCAAGAAGGCGGAGCTCGCATTGGAGCTGGTTGAACTAGCCAAAAACTCGCATTGGAAAACAGCTTCACGAATTGTCACTGTCATTGTCAGCTTGGGTCTGAGATTCACAACAATTGCTCCCCAAAGTTTGCTCGAGTTGGCTACTGTTGGAACGGTAGATTCGCATCCCGGACTCCGGGGTCTGTACTCTGGTGCACTGGTAGCGGTAAGAAATTTCTCACTCGCTTTCAATGGTGCTATCATGCTAATAAGGTTTCTAGCTGTTCTGCCTCATCGAGTTACGAGCCATATGTTCTCATGACATGAAGAATCTTCTCATGGAGAATTTCCATCTTCCGCAGAAAATCTCGGTTCTGACGAAGCGAGAAGACCCCAACTGGACGAAGGAGTTCCTCTCAGCCTTTTCCGAGCCCGAAGCGGAGTACTTCGTGGATCACGACTACCCGGGGTGGCTTGTTTGGGGCAAGGACTTCCCTGCGTACAAGATTGACCCACAGGAAGATTTACAATACGACGAAGTGGAAGAGAGCGCCAGGAGAGCCATCGGAACGCATTTAACTCGCGCATGGTTCAAGACTTTCTTCGGATATCTCAAGCAAGAGCCTCGAGACGGAGTCCCGGATCGCTTCAGAATGGCGGGTTCGATGCTACTGCAGTATGCATTCAACCTTGTGAGGGAGGGAGTCGCGGAGGCTACCTTGGACGACATCAAGGAAGAGATTGTGGATGTTCTGGGCGATGGCAGCGACAAGCACATGCATCGCGCAACTGCAGAGATCTTGGGTGCCTTGGTCTCGTCGTATAGGGACTCGACATTGACCAATAGAACAATGATGTGGGATTATGTTTTCCCAATAGTGAAGACGATATTCGAAGAGGGGTTGACTCCAGAGAACGCTTCGTACTGGATATCGTTCTTGCATTTAATTCTGGTATGTTTTCTCCGTGGGTGTGTTGATACTGGGGCCTTTGTTGACGTGAATCACAGCAAGGAAGAGATCCGAGACGGTCATGGCCTATCGTGGAATGGCTGACTTCTTTCCGGCTGGACATGGGTTCCAACGCTGCTTTCAAGGAGAGCTCCAAGATACAGTTGCTGCAGCAGTCCATCGTGGAAGCTGGTTGGCATTTCCAGAGCGAAGGACCTATCCTAGAGGACTTCCTAAAGCACCTTGACCACCCCTACAAAGGTAAGAATTGGCCCATCTCCGTCGAGTAGAGTAATGAAGTTAATTTTTTTTGTTTGTCTAGGGGTTCGTGAAGCCATGGGAGGAACCCTTGGAATGATCTATCGCAATAGGCATCACATTTCGTATGCCAGCGTAGAGGAGTTGATGGAGGCGCAAGCCAAAGCCTCCTCTGTTGGGACCGCCCCCTACCAACCGACCGCAGAATTCGCGGCGACGATAGAGGACGTGTTCAACCGCCTCAAGAAGTGGCGCCATGAGCGGCCTCCAGGAACGCAGGGACCTACGTCGTATACTTCCGCCAGCAAAACGGTGCTCTTGTGGCTCGAAACAACGCTGTCGTCGCACGAGTGCACGCAGCTAATCCCATTCTTCCCCAACCTCTTCATTCCCGAGATGCTCCACATGATGGACATCAAGGAGGACCCAGAATTAATGTCGCTAGCCTATCATGTTTTTCGACACCTACCCAACGTTCCGCATGCTGTGAATCAGGACCACGAATTCATCACCTCGCTCGTCAACATCGGCACCACATCGACGCTATGGCACCAACGGCTGCGTGTACTCATCAACATGCAAGTGATCTACTTCCGTCGGCTCTTCCTAATCTCCCGCGAAGAACAAGAGCGCATCTTCACCTCCGTCTCCAACATGCTCGAAGATTCGCAGCTTGAAGTTCGTCTCGGTGCCGCCGCCACTCTGTCAGGAATGATTCGCTGCTCACCTGTCCGCCTCCGCGAAGGAATCCTACAAGAACTCAAATCCAAGTTCACCACCATGTTGGTTCAGAACCCGCTGCCCAGACGTGCGGGAGCAGGTACACCTACGCCGGATTACAATAGAATCGTGTTGATCCGTCACGCGGCTGTGCTCGGTCTTGGTGCCCTCGTCCAGGCGTTCCCATACACCTCGCCACCGCCTAGTTGGTTGCCTGAGGTGCTAGCTACGCTTGCCTCCCGTGCGGCTGGAGATCCAGGTGCGGTAGGTAAGAGTGTCAAGACTGCTCTGGGAGAGTTCAAGAAGACGAGACAGGATACTTGGCATGTGGATGTTAAGGTGAGTCGTTTCCCACTGGGTTCCCCTGATGATGCAGTTTGCTAACGAAATTATCCACAGGCCTTCAGCAGCGATCAATTGGAGGACCTCGAGGGTGTTCTTTGGAAGAGTTATTTTGCTTAGAGGACTGTAGTTTAGAGATCGGGCCCGAGGAATATGATGAGTGATGATGCGCATGCTTTTACTCTCTTATTTTTTTTTATCTTTTGTTTGGCTAATTTGTGGGAGGGAACGGAGTGAGTACTGCTTTGCTTGGATGCTCTCATCCTGATAATAGAGATCTACTTGCTATGCTTCTTTTTTTCTTTCTTTTGTCATAATGCATTGAATCCAAATATCTAGATCATGGCATATCTACACGCTGTTGCTGTACTCGTTCACGGTAGAGTGTCCCGAATTCTTCGTGCAACTCGTGTGAGCACCCATGAACCCAATTCCGCACCACCCAAACAGGGCAAAGCGCACTTCCCACCCGGCACGCATCCATGCATGCGGCTCCACTAGTTACTCGTTAGCACCAGGCGCGTGTAACCACTCACGACGTCCGACACGAGCTTTCCTACTTTCCTACCTACACATCCGCCTCCCATTCCCACCAAGTTCCAACAACCACACACCCCCCTCCTAGAAACACGACACAACCACAATGCCGCCCAAACGCATGACTGCGAACCCCGTGCGGCCTGCACGGTACCGCCCAGGCAAGCCTCTCGCCGCCGCCGCCTCCGAATCCGAATCCTCTGACGAGTCCGGCTCCGAAGAAGACTCCGGCGGCGAAAGCGACTCTCCGCCGCCGGCCGCAGCGCTGCCGAAGCCAGTGTTTAAAAAGAAGGTCGCCGCTGCGCCGGCACTGAAGGATGTGGATCTCGACAAGCGCTTTGATGAGGGCAAGAAGAAGGAGGAGATGCGGCTGAAGAGGGAGGAGGACGAGAGGAAGCGGAAGGAGCTAGAGGGCAGCGCCGATGAGTATACTACTGAGGAGTCTTCTGACGAGGAGGAGTCCGATGAGGAGGAGGAGGAGGCGGCGGCGGAGGAGGAGGCGGAGGAGGCGCCACGGAAGGTGTTCCAGCGGCCGACGTTTGTGCCGAAGTCGCAGCGGGGGGAGAGGGTGGAGCGAGTAGTGAAGGCGGAGGACGAGGAGGAGAAGGCGCGGCAGCGACTCGAGGCCGAGGAGCTGCTAGAGCTGCACCTCAAGCGCGATGCCGCAGCCAAGGCTGCCGGCCGCAAGGGCTGGGACGACGACGAGGACCCCGACGGCCTAGCCCTCGACGACACCGACGGCACCGACCCCTTCACTGAGCGCGCGGCGTGGAAGCTCCGCGAGCTGACGCGTATCAAGCGCGAGCGCGAGGCGTTCGCCGCGATCGAGGCGGAGCGCGCGGAGATCGAGCGGCGGCGAGAGATGGATCCGGCCCTGAGGGATAAGGAGGACCGCGAGTTTGTGCGTGACCAGCGGAAGGAGAAGATGGAGTCGCAGGGGAAGATGGGGTTCATGCAGAAGTTCTATCACAAGGGTGCGTTCTTTCAGGATGCGGATGTCCCCAAGAGGAATTATGCTACGGCGGAGGTCGAGGATCGTGTCAAGAACAGGGAGGTGCTGCCGAAGTACCTTCAAGTGCGCGGCGATGAGGTCGGAAAGAGAGGGCGTACACGGTGGACGCATCTGGCGGCCGAGGATACGAGTATGCAGGCCGGGGGCAGTCCGTGGTTTGATAAGAAGGGCGGGTTTCCCGGCGGGGGTGAACGAGGTGGCGGGTTCGCTGGCGGTACGGGCGTCAATAGCGTTCCGGTTGCGGCGGGAGTGGATGAGAGGTTCAGAGCAGACAGTAACGGGGGCCGGGCGCCGGACGGGAGAGAACGGGGGGAGAGGAGTGGCAGGGACCGGGACGAGAGGACGGGTGAGCGAACCAGTAGATGGGACGACCGTGAACGCGATCACAAGCCGCGCGACCACGGCGACCGAGATCGAGACCGCGACCGCGACCAGAAACCGCGCAGCAGATGGGACGACGACGGAGGTCGCGGCAACAGCAGACCGGAACGGCGCGGAGGCGGCGGAGGCGGAGATTCCTATATCCCCGGTGGTCGAGATGGCGATTGCGATCGGGATCGGAAGAGACCACACTCACCGCCCCGAGGAGGAGACAAGGAGAAGCGGAGGAGGCGAGATGCATCACCTGTTTAGTTTAACTCTCATAATTCATTTCACGATCGCTTTGTGTATATTACTAGTTGGAATGACAGCGTGCGAGCGATACTCCGAAGCACAGGAAAGCACTCGTTTCTTACACATGCTCATGCTCACACTACCCCACCCCATTCCACCCCATTCTGCACGTCGTCCCGCATCGTATGCACACATGCACCGTCGCATCGGCAGTTCCAGAGTTCCAGGCCGGCCAGAATCAGCAAGTCCAAGTAGTTATCGGCATCCGCCCCCTTCTCGGTAGATCATGGATCATACTCTAGATGGGCGGAGGGCGGAGGGCGGAGGGGCGGAGGAAGTCGAATCCCGAGCCCGAGAATCCGAGATATCTCCGGCGTCCGCCTTTCTACTCTACCTGCGCTACTAGAACTTCCGGCTATGCATATTTAAGGACTTATCCACGCGCCCAAACCCCCTGCTCGATGAGTGGGCGGCGATTCTCGGTCTCGATGAGGATCCGGTCCCCCCGCCCCGCCATGTGCACGCACGGACAAAAAAAAAGGCGAAAGAAAAAGAAAAATTTGAAGAAGAAGGGGAGTGGCGTGATGTCCATGTGGATGTCGCTGTCTACCAGATATGTTACGAATACGGTACGTCATTGCGTGTATGATAGAGGGATGAATAGATGGATAGGTAGAGATGGATGGATAGACGTCCGACTTTCAAATGTCAACCTGATCCTACTTCCAGGTACCTGGGTACCTCTCTCTCTCTCTCTCTCCCGAATACGCATACGCATACGGTGCGCACACGGTACATACAGTAGATACGCACACGGTACATACTTCAAACCCCCGTAAAGAAACCCGCAAAACCGCAAAACCCCGTAATACGCAAACACAAACGCACACGCACACGCACACGAATACGCGAATCAAAACGGGCCAAAAGTTCAAAACGAGTCATACTCTACCCATACCGTATATAGAGTACCCTGTCCCTACGGTACGTACGGTATGTAGAATAGAGTAGGTTCGGATAGATTATCGCCCCCCCTCGTGCCCCCCTCCCCCCTCCCCTTCGGGTCGCAGACTCGCAGGCGGAGCGGGACAATCATCGCCGCTTCCAGGTCCAGAAGATAGAAGACAGAAGACAGGTGCATACTCACTGCTCCTGCTCAGTGTGACATGTGTGTGTAGGATAGGTAATAGAATTGCACTTGCACTTGCAGATAATCTATTCAAGCTCTACTCACACGGCCAGAAATTTTGGGGGCCCCCCCCTGCACAGTTTATTATCTGAGATTAGATCTGTTAACAAATCCTGTGGCGGAGCCACACACAACCAGAGATCTAATCTCAATTTAAGCACAAGCTCGAGCCCAAAGCTCTCTTGGTATATGGTATATGGAATGGTATATGAACAAAAGTGGAGATAACGACCGCCGAAAAGAAAAGAAAACACCACCAGAAAAGACCCACCAAAAAGAAAAAAGAAAGAAGAAAAAAAGTCGACAGACTTCCAGTACTTGGTATAGTAAATCCAAATCCAAAAAGCAAAAAATGTGGTAGCAGTGGTGATGGTGGTAGCGGTGGTGCAGTGACGGATCCAGAAAGAGCAAGAAGAACGAAAAGAAGCGTCATGTGCTTCGAGGCAAGACATGCTCTGTTGCAGTATTGCCGAGAGAAGAGAGCGGGAACACAAAAAGGTACATACAAAACAAGCAAACGGAAAGATCAACCCATCTATGATACATCGAGAGAGAGAAAAAAACACAGTCCAAAAATGAAGAGCGCGAGCCGGGCGCAAAGTTGAAGGCGCACTGTCGTAGGTAACGGAAAGAGAAAAAAAAACAACCCCAAAAAGAACTCCATACCGCCTCCCGCCCCAACAAAAGGAAAAGAAAACAGAAGAGAGAAAAGAAGAGTAGAAATCCCCAGAAACCCCAAACCCGCGGCCAAAGCTTTTTTTTATGGTCGTAAAGTCGTTAAGAATGAAAGTACAATAATCAACAATGCTGGTCTAGTTGCAGGCGATCATGTCGCAGCAGAGCGCTTGAAGATGCAGCTGATCATCGACCTCAAGCCGAATCGTCTCCGTTTTTCCGACTTCTCCTTGCCCAAGCCAACTGGAGATCCGGATCTCGACGAGTTGGCTTCGCGGGCCCGCGTATACTCGGATGGCGGAGTTGAGTGTCGATTCCGACCAGGGAAGCTCCTGGTCCCGCATCCGGCGCTGGGAGAGGGTGGTGTGGCGGGAGGTGGAACACTGATGGGACGTGCTGGGCGTGGCTCCGGAGGGATCAGCCTTACGGATGGCTGGGACTGTTCCGGAACCGGTGCGGGAATGCTAGGAGTTGCACTTCTTCCGAACGGCCGGGATAGTCTGTTGATGTTTAGGGGGTTAACGAAGGAGACGGGGCTTCCGACCGATTTTGCCCGCTGGGGCACCTCCGTCGATTGCGTGTCTCTGCTGCCGCTGGTAGTCGCTTGGTGGGCCAGATAGGTCCCTCGTCGATGTATTCTCCTCGCCGACTCTTCTGCAGCGGCCGTGCTTACGGTGGCGGAAGAGGAAACCGATCTCGTGGTCCGAAACGTTGAAACCGTAGGCGATGAGGGTAAGGCAAGTTCTTCCGTGCGGTTACCACTGGCGCCAACCGACGCCAAACCCTCTCGAAGGGCAATCCATGTTCCCGTCACAACGATAAGTTCCCTCAATTGATCCGAGATCTCGCCATATTGCGCCGAGTGGATAGTATCGTCGCTGGACATATCCACATCGATGACCGACGCAGGAGGCGTGTTGGGCGGTGAATTTGGCGATGAAGTTATGCCAGGCCCTGGAAATCTGTCCAGAACGTCGATACCTTGCCGGCTCACCCAAGCCAGGATGGGCTTCTTCCGAGTGACATTGTCCAGTATGCTGAACTGAAACCTTCGCTGATCCTCCGGCTCAGGTGTTGCGCCGGCCATGCGTTGCTGTATGGACTGGCTCGACCTCCTTCGCGAAGTGGGCGGCTTCGGCAACCACTTTGCGACCTTTGTTATTCCGTTGGCCTCGCGTGCCACGAACTCATATCCTCCAGATGCCAGCGGGCTCGCCTCCCAGACGAGGCCATCATCGAACCGAATCATCGTCGTCCTGATCCCCTTCCCATCATCACCGGGTGTCCTCCGATATCCCTGCGAGACCGATGCCACCATCCTCCTCGAATTCAGATCGTTCTCGTCGTCACTGTCCCCCTGGACGTTTTCCGACGCATACTGCTCACTCTCAACGAATGCTATATCCTGCTGCCCGGCCCCATGCAGCATGTGTCCTACCCTCTTCAATTTCGAACCAAAAACCGACGACGGCAGCACATCCAGGGTCGGTAGCGGGCGGGTGGTGTTGGATACCTTCTGGAGCTGCACGATCAACGTACGTTCAGCCCTCGAGCAGTGACGGTGTATCGCATGAGAGCCCGGTGGCGGCAGCGCCAGATAATAGCTCGTCTTTGTCCGCGGGGGTTTCTTCTGTTGTGGTGGAGGTGGTGACAGGGGAGTAGCGACAATCTCCTCCAGGACGGTGGAAACGGAGGAGGCCATGCTCGAGACTTGCCGCATCGGATCGGGCGACGCCGTGTCTTTTGTAGTTCGGTATCGGCTCATCAAAGCTGTGGGTGAGAACTCATGGCCATGGGCTGCGGCGGCATCTGCGGTGAATAGAGTCAGGAATGACATTTCACCCTGCAGCCGCATCGAGTATAAAGAGGAATCCGCGATTGTTGGCGGGGATATTGAATTCTGGCCCCTCTGCCCAGTTTACACCCGATCGGATTGTTTGGATTGGCCGGATAGCAGTCGGGAGCGATGACGGATGGTGCAGAAGCGCAGCTGAGCTGGTGTAGTAGTAGTAGTGGTGGTGGTGGTGGTGGTGGTAGTGGTGGTGGTGGTAGTGGTGGTGGTAGCAGTGGTAGCAGTGTATATGTTTCCGGGGCGGTGGGTCAGGGTGGGATATATGGGGGGGTGGGTGGGATGTACCGGCGTAGGAGGGATGGGTTTGGTAATTGTACGTGGAGGTGGAGGGGGGGAGGGTAGGGGGGGGGGGTGGTAGTCTAGTAGCAGGGCTGACAGCAGATGTGCGGCGGCCGAGTGTGAGTAGGTAAGGAACGTAAGTATTGGATGGATGGAAGCCTATTGGATACGAGTATGGAGGCAGTGTTATTTGTTGTTGTTATTGAGAGTTTCGAGATTGTACTAAGTACTAGTGCCAGGGCGTCTACATATATACGGCGAATTTTCGGTGTGGGCTGTGGGGGGCGAATTGCGACTGGTCGAGCACGGGCGTTGGGGTGCAGTAGAGTACGGGTACGGGTACATGAGCATTAAATCGAGCAGCGATCCATGTCGGAGCGCCGGAGGGTCGGAGGCGGATGGTCGGAGGAGGAGGAGGAGAAGGACGAGGAAGAAGAAGAGGAGGAGGAGGAAAGCGAGTGGTGTGTGGTGTCCAGTAGTTCCGTGGTCATAGGCCGGGACCTTGGGAGGCCGGGACCTTTGGATGCCTGGCGCCGGTAGGCTGAATCGTGTGTCCGCATGGCACTTGGTGCAGAAATGGGCAATGTGCTTCCTATGAGGTGTAGTTGTTCGCCTCGGACGCTCTCGATAGGTCCTGTTCGGGAGTTGGGGTTGCTTGCTGACGACCAAAAAAAGGCCCTGCCATGCGAGACTGTGAAGAACTCAACATCGGCATTGACTATCGAGGCCAAGGGGAGCAGGGGTGCGGCGGGAGGGAGACGCTGGAGACATGGAGGTGAGGGCGCATGTAGAGTATGTATGTGCGATGTACACATGGTGTTGTATGGCGTTGTATGGCTGAAGAACTTCTAGCCCGCACGCTGAACTCCATGCTGCAGCTCTAGCTGATTGGTTGGTTGGTGCCCTCAAGCGATGGAAGGCGGATTGAGAGACATGGGAGCTGAAGCCCGCATCTGCACGGCCACGGTCCAGGGATACCTAAGAAGAGTTGGTGGAGATGGGTACTACTCTATACTATCGGAGGCTGTGGTGGGACATCGCCAGTCACGAGTTTGGGGTCCCGTCTGCCCGTCTACTGCGACACGGCACTCTATAGGTACATACGGTTGCGACTGCTCGCGAGTGTGCATGCTCGAATACCGTACCTACATATGTGCGGAGGACCGAATCGCTGCCACTTGGGCCTCCACCGCCAGCTGGAGAAGAATGCCCGACCAGCACGCGGCCCCGGAATAGAATCGAATAGGATGTGTGTCTCGACTAGTATGGCGGCTGGCCAGGCCAGAGATACCTATTACCATAAACAAAAAAGCCCCCATCCGGGGCCATAGAACACCCGGCTTCCGGTCCAGAAGACAGCTCGTGTGGAGGCGCCCCCTCGATCCTTAACTAGAGCATGAATCTACGGCAGCCCAGCTTACCGGCCGTCCGCTGGCAGCTCAGCTCGGGACCGGCGCTAGCAATGGCGATGATGAATGGGCAGGCAGGGCAATTGGTTAGTGAGATACCGTAGTCAGTTATCTAGCGATATGAGCCTTTGTGCCCCAAGTACCCTTCTCAGACTCAGCACTTGGGGGGGGACGCTGCTGTTTCGAACCAGGCCCCAGTGCCCAGTCGTGTCTGCAGGACCACGCGCGCCAACTGCACTTGCGGAGCCGTCTCGCTCCTCCTCCTCCTCTGCGCGTCAATAATAATAAAAAAAATAGAAATAGAAAATAAAAAAGCAAAAGCCCGACGGCCGGGAAGGGGAATCAGTCAGGCCGAAGGAAGCGACCGCCCTTCCTCAATCCCCCGATATCCATCCAGGCAACAGAAAATACTTCACCGTTGCAGAGAAGTATTATCATAGTAGGTACCAGTACTTTGCTATGCCCCCGAAGCCCCGCGTGGCCACGAGCAGGTGGGTGAATCAGAGTACCCTGGCCTGGCCTTGAAGAAAAGCAAAAGACCATGATGAAACCCCAAACGTCAATGCGCCGCCGGACACTCGGGATCCTCCGATTCCGATCGCGCAAAAAAACCCCCCCTTCCCCTCCATCCATCCCCCATCCACCCATCCACCATGCATGGCGGGGAGGGAGGGAGGGATTGAAAGCAGAAAAAAAAAAGAAAGGAAAAAAAAAGTCTGTGGACGTGCGCGCTCGCTCGCCTCGGATCTTGGTCGTTCCGGCGCCCGACCACACTCACACTTACCTGACGGACTGACGGACTGACTGATTGACTGACGGACTAACCGCACGCGGAGTTTTTTTTCCTCCCTTCCACGTCGTCGGAGTCGGAGTCCCCGTCCCGTTGCAAGTGAATTCCGCGCCCGCGCCGGCTCCGAGGTACACGAGCAGTTGCAGTTGCATGCTCCGTTGGCGGGACGTCTGCTAGACGATTACCGGTGATAGGTACCTATGGTACTTGCCTAGTCGCTCTATATACGGCTTCGCGTGTTGGAACTTGGTGACTCCGAGTCTCCATCTTTTCTCCTCCACTGCTAGTGATCTACTAGTAGAATGCTCTACCTATGTACACCACGGTTACATATCGTAATCCCTCGTCGCGATCACGACAACTGCTCCGTAATCGGGTGAAGAGGTAAGCTGTCGATGACTACATACAGTCTACGGTAAACCCCGCTCCCGGGCTCTTTTGGATCTTTTGGATATGTAACTGCTAGTGCATAGCTTCCTGACGATCTCGAAGCAGCCGGGGACCCTTTCACATGGAATCGTGGAATCATGGACTGTGAGCAACCGGTATTACATACCGGTACATGCCGGTAGTCCCATGGACATCATGGACATCATGATTCATACCCAGGTAGATCGGAAGACCACTGACTGCCTATCACCTACATATCACGCACATTCGGACTCTGCCAATGAGATAATGAGACTCCCGGAGCAATGATCTTTTCGTTGTTTACCTACCTGCTCGTCAGCACCGAGTCGCTGGCAACCTGCCGGTCAATCGTCAGCAAAACAAGGAGCAGTGGACTGGAGCACCATAATTCCGAGAATAGGCCGCTTACCTGGGTTACTTGCGTGTGGAGGAGTAGGTAGTCGACTCGAGGTCCTTCCAGGAATTTCCATTCTCACGATGGCCTTTGCAGGTTCCATTTACAACCTATCAAGCTTGAATCATCTAATCAACAATGACCCGTCATGCCCCCACATCTCAGCCCTCCGTTCTCGGTTGCAGGTGGCATGTTCCGTCCCTACAGACAGCTCGAGGACGGTCAGGTAAGAGCTTATGCTTCCAATAAACCCGATATCTCCAGTGTCTTCTCCGGGAAAGACAAACATCGCTTCCAATCCTCTGTCCCATTTACAACCTACACATCAAGCTGGATTCTAGAAGCAATGATATCCAACCGTGGGAATTTCCGTACATACCTCCTATGTCATTGCAACTGCCAACCACCTTCCCCTCTAGCCACGAGGACAATTTACAACATCTCTGAGTAGATAACTCTCCGATCGCCGATAACAATGAGCCCACCCCTTCTCCCTTCCACCTTCAAGAGTCAACACACACTTTGCCCAACGCCTAGCCATATAACAGCAAAACCGCCGAAAAAGGCCCATGTTATCCACCGGATGACACACTTGCCCTGGTGGCTCCGACGAGTGCTGATTCGAAGCTCGGCGCCGGTACAAAACCGCATATCGTACGACCGGACATGGCGGACTTGACGGAGCCCGAACTTCCGTACCACAACACGGGGGCATCGGACGTGGGCCAGCGTCGACTACCTACATACGGTACATACTTATTCCGAGTGTAAGCTTCATACATACATACTATACACATAATCGAGAGACAGGGAGCTCATACATACACGAAGGCTGGCTGGTATCATCGGAACCTATGGATCGATAGTACGCTACAAAGCGAGTGACATCTTCTGCACAGGAATAGCACCATTCACATTCCCATAGGCCATTCCCGTACAAATCTGCACGGTGACGGTAAATACAGCCTTGCAGCGCCCAAGGGAGCTGTCGGGATTCACATCTGACAATAGCTACTATATACCCACATAACTTCTCCAACAAGTTACAACTTACAACCCAGTCAGCGAGCCAGAAAATGACACGGACATGGAAATCCCCCCCTTATTTGACCCGTAGGCTGCCGGATTGGTTTGCTCCTGGCCTGTAGATATGTAGGTACATATGTACCTGCCAGCACTCTACATACAATGTGCGAATGATATGTACATATCGTACACGCGCAAGGCAAGGCAACAGTAGAGGTGGAGGTGGAGTCAGTAGCCCATGATCAAAAGTTCCAAACTGGACCGTCGAAGCGTCGGCACCGGCGTTGGGAATCCGCCGGTCGGTCGGTCGGTCGATGCCTTTCTACGGAACTTTCCACATGTGTCAGTGTCATCTTCTGATCTGCTCTGGGCCAGGCGAATGGTAGGTAGGTTAGGTATGTAGTCATAATGTCACATACTTGGGTGGTATACAGACCAGCACACAGCACACAGCTCTGCTGCCACGGATGGTGGATCGGTCATTTGCTGTTTCTGCTGTTTCTTCAGGTGTGATATGTTTATTCTTGACACATACCGTATATACGTAACTGGCAAATCATCCGCCTGGATAGCTAGCAGGGGCAACATGGAAGCTGACGAATGACCCCCACCGAAGAAGCTTCCGACTCAATGCGGATGATCCTCGCGTCTTTACCTAGCCCATGGAAGCTCGGATGCTTGTATTCCCGCCCGCTGCTGCTGCTGCTGCACAAATCCTGTGCATGCAAATCTGCCATACATATTTCATTTAGAGTAAACACTTGCCCGCAGGAAACATCTGCCTAGGTAGATAGACTCTGGACTCTGGACTCTAGAGATCCCCATACATCTTGCACATACCCATCCCACCCCACCCCCTCCACCCCCGGTATGTAATCTTACGCCCAGCGTCCCAACTCGACCTCGTGGCCGCGAATATGTACAGGTATACCTAGCACCTAGCACCTAGCACCGTAAACCCCATCCAGCGGCCTGGAAACAGCTGTCCTTTCCTTTCCTTTCCTTTCCTTTCCGGTGCAAACCGTGCATTCGGCTTTCTCCAGTTCCGAGCTCTCGCCTCCAGGTTAGTTAATCCATATGCAATGCACGCCTACTCTATCTGATCCATCCGGAGCAGCGTCCTCAGCCGTTCCGGCAACGGATACGGGCGTTCCTCAGGGACCAAGCGTTCGGCGTCCGCCGTGCGGCCCTGATCAAGGAGCGCCTTGATCTCACTCGCTCGGTCGGTCACATCATTTACAGGGTCAGCTAGTCACATATAAGTTTCCGGGGCCGGGGCCGGATATCCCCCGAGTCCGGTTCGGTCCGCACCTCGATCCTTAGGATCATATCCTGGATCCACTCCGCACACACGCCTCTGCCAATACCGATCTGCACGCTCCTCCAGGGCAACCTCCTCAGCTCCACATCCCTCTCGGGATCCCACTGCACCATTACCGCTTGCTCGCGCTGCTGATCACTCAACCGTGCCTGGCTATAAGCCCACACACGCGCGCTCCAGCAAGCCCTCGAACTCCGCGCGCCCCATAGTGATCGCCAGGATCCGCGCTTGCCGCAAGTCCTTGAGCCCGTACCAGCTCCGGTACATCATCCAGTTCCAGCTCGGCTTGATCCAGGTCATGCGCGAGAGCGAGAAGTCGGGTGAGGCGGCGAGGGATTGCGTTGAAACTGCGGCAACCGCGATGGAAGCGGAGTACGCTTGGTACACCGTTATTGTGCTGCGTGTGTATTGGGCGCGGATTTGGCGGTATGGTGGGGTGGAGGTAGGGGATGAATCATCGTCGAAGCCGGCGGCGCTGAAGGTGGGCGCTGGTGAAGGCATTTGTTCTCAGAGAGGGATTAACGGTCGTATTTCGATTACGGAAACCTTTAACCCCCACGAGTGAAGAAGCTGAAGAATGCAGACTACATGGAACTACATGGGACTTTTATATCCATGTTGCACCACTCCGGGTAGGTACTTGCGGAGGCAACTACTTGGGTACTTCGTGGTACACAGGTCGGTACTTCGCGTCGTCTCGTGGTGACTGGTGATGAGTTTCTCGCTCCGCCCCCCACCGCCGCAGGCCCCAACACCCCCAATGCCGCCCACACTCCACCCTCAGTACTCTACTCTCGTTAGCTTCGCGTGCGCAGTGTCACCCCATGCCGTCCCGCTTAGCTGGAAACCACAAGGCACCCCAGGCGACTGCGCCTCATTAGGGACGACTCAGCCTCAATGATCTTCGTTTCCAAGAACGTGGTTGTGGCGGCTTGTGTGACCGTAGAAGTGCAGGGGTGGAAGGGGGGGTCCCTGCACAGTGGCACAGTGCACGTCTCTGGGAACTGCGTGAGCTGTCAGAGCTCTCGAATACGAACCATCACCACCTGCTACATACTTGGTTATTCAACACGCGCACCCGTCACTGCCACCACCACCATCACCACCACCATCACCCATGGCCCCCAGATCGCGCCTCGCCGAAGCGGCGCTGCCCAAGCCGCCAACGATTCTCTCCTCGACGCTGGTGATATCGGAGCACTGCGCGATGGTCGGGACGCACCCCGTCAAGATCGGCAACCACACTGTGATCCACCCCCGGTGCCGTCTGAACTCGACACTCGGGCCGATCACGATAGGCGACTATTGCATTCTCAACGAGCGCACGCAGATCACGCCGAGCGATTCCACCGGCATCACGATCGACGACCACGTCGTCGTCGAGACGAATGCCGTCGTCGAGGCGAGGTCCCTCGGTGAGGGCTGTACGGTCGAGGTCGGCGCGAAGATCGGGAAGAGAGCGGTCGTCGGGAAGGTATGCTTGTCCTTACTTCCTTCCTTCCTTCCTTGCTTGCTTCTGTACAACGGTGGGACGGGTGCGGGGGGATGTGGCATGTGCGAACTGGGTGGGTGGGGGGGATGGCTGACAAGGTATGCAACTGTAGAACTGTAAATTCACGCCGCTGACGGTGATTGCCGATGACGAACTGGTGGAAGATGATACGGTTGTGTGGGGGTTCGGCGCGCGGAGGAAGGATATGAGTGGAAGCAAGGAGGCGCGGTTGAAATCAGTCGAGAAGCAGGTTGAGGCGCTGAGGGGAGTTGTGGCCAGCAATCGCACCAAATTCCTGTCCTGAGAAACCGAGCCATGGAGACTTGCTGTGTCAATAGTAGGTCCGAGAGCCAGACACCGCCCCCGCTAAAGAGAGGAGACGCGTTCTCGGCCCATCTTCACACACCGGCTGGATGCATTATGGGAGTGACATTGTATGATCCGGGTTTGCCAAGCCATGCAATGACGAATCAGCACACGCAAGGTGCCTCCGTTTTTGGCTGCACGTCAATCAAAGCTAAACTCCCACAGATCTTTGTCCGTAACTAACTAAAATACAGAACACTATGGCTCAACCATGGACCGCAGCTCCCTAGTACTGCGGTTCTTCTTCTCCTTCATCAGCTTTTCTTAGACAAACGTTCTTGTGTTGTTGTTCTCTCATCATACCACATTCTACCTTGACGTCCACGTCCCTTGTTTCTACGCCGTTCGTTCCTCTGTCGCCCTGTTGTGATAGCTCAAGAAAATCGCATGTGCTACTATCCGCCATCTACACCTCACAACGACCACCTCCACCACCACCACCACCGTGAACTAAAACCCTTGTCTTCGGCATCAGATCACACACAATACGTACCACGCGCACGCATCAACGGGGAGCCCAGACGATACCCGACACTTTGATACCACGCTCGAACCGGACGTGTGTCTTGCCCGTACGCTTTACCGATCACATCTAAATGTCCTACGCGCGCGCGGCTTCACCCTCGCGTTCGGACGTCTCCTCCGATCTTGACCTCGATCTCGAAGAGCTCGATCCCACGTCGTCGTCCGGCACGTTTCGCCGCTCAATCCTCGGGTCGAACCACAGAAGCTCCTTTTCGTCGCATCGACGGGGGCGCAGCAGCGAAGACGGTGGTGCCGGCGGCGGTGGCGGCGGTGGCGGCGGCGGCAGCAAGGTCAAGAGTCCCAGTAGGATAGCGCTACGAAACCTGGCGATGGGATACGGCGGGAGAGGGCGGCGCGGGGATGCTGCGCAGGCCGAGGAGGATGAGGAAGCTCTGTTGGGCAGGCGGCGGAGTAGTGTTGCCGACCACGATGATGATGATGGTCGCGGGGAGATGCCCTTACTGCAGCGGATGACGTCGCGCATGTCGATTCGGAACGGTGCCTCATCGCCATCGCCATCGATACATCCCGACTTTACGCCTTCGACCGAGACCCGGACCGTAGTCCTGGGCGGGGGAGCTGCTCCGGCGCCCGCCAGTGGGAAAAAACCGCCGTCCTACCCCCCAAATATTATTTCGAACCACCGGTACACAGCTTTTACGTTCCTGCCGCTCACGCTGTATCACGAGTTCAGCTTCTTCTTCAATCTTTACTTCTTGTTGGTCGCGCTCAGTCAGATCATTCCCGCGTTGCGGATAGGGTTTTTGAGCACGTATATCGTGCCGCTGGTTTTTGTGTTGGCCATCACTCTGGGGAAGGAGGCACATGACGATGTTGCCAGACGGAGAAGAGATAAGGAGGCGAATAGCGAGCCGTATGAGGTGTTGGCCCTGGGCGCTGAAGACAGCAGCCCAGTAGGCAGGATACGCGGACTGGGCAAGAGAAAAACGGCGTCGTTGTTGTCGTCGTCGTCGTCGTCGGCACGAGCGGAGGGTAATTCACTGCGCTCCGATGAACGGGAAAACATGAGAACAGTGATAAAGAAGAGTCGCGATCTCAAGGTGGGCGATATTTTGGTGCTCAAGAAGGATCAACGTGTTCCTGCGGATGTGGTAATATTGAAGTCATTATCGAACGAGGTAGAGACCGCCGACGACCCTGTGCCCCAAGACAGTGATGCTGCCGGGGAGGCTTTTATTCGGACCGACCAGCTCGACGGGGAGACAGATTGGAAGCTTAGAGTCGCCCCTCCACTCTCCCATGGACTACCCACCGCGAAATTTGAGACTCTACGGATCACTGCCTCGGCGCCATCGAGAGAGGTCAACAGCTTCGTGGGCACTCTTGAGTATCCTGGATCCGGCCTCACCGCGGAAGGGTCCGGGAGTACTGCACAATACCAGAAATCTGCGTCCGTTGGACTGTCCATTGATAATACTGCGTGGGCAAACACTGTGCTTGCCAGTAACTCGGCCACGCTGGCGGCTGTCATTTACACGGGCCCGGAAACCCGTGCAGCGCTGTCGACATCGAAAGGACGGAGCAAGAGTGGACTTTTGGAGAAGGAAATCAATAACCTAACCAAGATCTTATGTATTCTCACCTTTACTCTATCCATCGTGTTGGTCGCCCTCGAAGGCCTCAAGAATCACCCCAATAACCCCGGCGTCAAGAATCCCGAACAGCCCGGAGAGGTTGTCAGTGGACCTTGGTACATCAAAATCATGCGGTTTCTCATCCTGTTCTCCACCATCATTCCCATCTCCCTCCGTGTTAATCTGGACATGGGGAAGAGCGCGTATGCCTGGTTCATCGAGAAGGACAAGGACATTGAGGGAACGGTCGTGCGGACGTCGACCATCCCCGAGGAGCTCGGCCGGGTCGAATACCTGCTCAGCGACAAAACCGGAACCCTGACGCAGAATGACATGGAGCTGAAAAAGGTGCACGTTGGAACCGTCAGCTATGCCGGCGAGGCCATGGACGAAGTTGCGGAATTCGTGCGCCAGGGCTTCTCCCAGACAACGGCGGAAACATCGCTCGTCACTCCCTCGACCAGTGCTGCTCCGCATGCCAGTGGCACGCGCACGCGCAGGGAGATTGGGTCCCGCGTCAGAGATGTTGTGCTCGCGTTGGCGCTGTGCCATAATGTTACGCCGACCACCGCTACGGAGGAGGGTCAGACCGAGGCGGTTACGACATACCAAGCGTCGAGTCCCGATGAGATTGCTATCGTGAGCTGGACCGAGAGCGTGGGATTGCGGCTCGTCCATCGCGATAGAACGGGAATGAAACTGGTCAGCGCTGATACCGGAGAGGTCGTTGTTCGTGTCAAGATTTTGGAAGTGTTTCCTTTCACCAGTGAAGGGAAGCGGATGGGCATCGTCGTCCAGTTCCTCGGGGGAAAAAGTAGTGAGAAGAAGAAGGAGCAGGAGCAGGATCTTCTCGGCGATCATATCGAAGAGGATGGAGCTTCGTCAGACGAGGATTCCGGCGACATCTGGTTCTTCCAGAAGGGTGCGGATACCATCATGAGCTCCATTGTGGCTAGCAATGACTGGCTGGATGAGGAGTGCGGAAACATGGCCAGGGAAGGACTGCGAACGCTCGTCATCGGACGGAAGCGGTTGAGTGCACACCGCTACCAGGAATTCTCGGCAAAGTACAAGGCTGCCTCTCTGCTCCTCCAGAACAGGGACAAGGAGATGGAGAAAGTCGTTCAGGAATACTTGGAACACGATCTGGAATTACTGGGAGTCACCGGAGTCGAGGATAAACTGCAGAAGGATGTCAAACCTAGCTTGGAACTCCTACGAAATGCGGGTATCAAGATCTGGATGTTGACGGGAGACAAAGTCGAAACCGCGCGGTGTGTCGCCGTTAGCGCAAAGTTGGTTGCGAGGGGGCAGTACATTCATACCATCGCCAAACGTGCGTCTCGTTCCCCCATCTATCCCGTGTCGAAGGACTCTGCTAAGCCCGGTGAAAAGTGAAACGGAAAGATCTCGCGTACGATGCGTTGGAATTCCTACGCAACAAGACGGACTGCTGCCTCCTCATCGACGGAGAATCTCTGGCTCTGTTCCTCGATAACTACCGGGATGAATTCATCTCTCTGGCCGTCCAGCTTCCCGCCGTAGTCGCATGCCGCTGCACACCCACCCAGAAAGCCGACGTTGCCCGTCTGATCCGTGAATTCACCAAGAAACGCATCTGCTGTATCGGCGACGGAGGTAACGACGTGTCGATGATCCAGGCTGCCGATGTGGGTGTCGGTATCGTCGGTAAGGAGGGTCGGCAGGCCTCGCTGGCAGCAGATTTCTCCATCACGCAGTTCTGCCATCTCACGAAGCTGTTGGTCTGGCACGGAAGGAATTCTTATAAGCGCAGCGCGAAGTTGGCCCAGTTCGTGATGCATCGTGGTCTGGTGATTTCTGTGTGCCAGACCATGTTCAGTATCGCGAGTAAATTCGAGCCTATCGCCCTGTACCAAGTAAGTCGGATGCTTGGATTTTATTCCGAGATAATTCACTAACTCGTGAATAGGGATGGCTACTCGTTGGCTACGCGACATTGTACACCATGGCCCCGGTCTTCTCGCTCGTCCTTGACCGTGACGTCGATGAGCACCTTGCCAACCTCTATCCCGAACTCTACAAAGAGCTCACGGAAGGCCGCTCGCTCAGCTATCGCACCTTCTTCGTCTGGGTACTCGTCTCGGTCTATCAAGGCGGGGTAATCCAAGGCCTCTCTCAGATCCTCGTTGGACTCGACCAATTCAAGCGGATGGTAACGGTATCATTCACGGTGCTCGTGCTAAACGAGCTGATCATGGTCGCTCTCGAGATCACCACATGGCATCTATGGATGGTTCTCGCCGAGGTGGGCACGGCAATCGCGTTCGTCTGTTCCATCCCGTTCCTGGGAGACTACTTTGAGCTCGATTACGTGCTCACCCTCGGCTTCCTGTGGCGCGTCGTCGTCATCAGCTCCATCAGTCTTATCCCCCCCTGGGTGGTCAAGGCGGTCCGCAGAAGACTCAAGCCGCCGAGTTATGCGAAGGTGCAGGGGATTTGAGTTGTCTCGTGTCGTGTTTTTTCTTTTCGTTTCTTTTGGGTATAGAGTTTTTTTCTTTCGTCTCTCTTCTTTTCTTTGAGGCGGTGGCATGTACTACTACTACTACTACTCTACTACGGATGGGTGGGATGGGTGGGATGGGATGGGATGGGTAGAATGGGATGGGATGTGGATCTGCTTTTTGGGTGATGCGTTTCGTTTCTTTTCGTCGGGTGGATTAGAATCGATATGATATGGCGGAGGGATGTATGTACCTCAAGTGGTGCACGTGCACGTTACGATTATGAATTGAGCTGTTTCGGAATCCGATCTGATCCGGGCGAACAAGTTGCTTCCAGAAGTGAGTGGACTACATAAATTTACGTAGGTGGTGTAGGCACTGCCGATATGTACTTCTCAATTCCGTAGGGACTCGGGAGTCGGGGGCTCTACCGTATTCAGCTCAATCGGTATAGTTTTCTCTACAGTAGATATGTACTTATTCCGTAGGCCTACGGAACTTCCTGCACCAGGTACAGGAATGTCGTAAATGCATGCTTGCGTTAAACACGTCTCACTCACAGTACGTATTCTTGAAACTATCCAGAGGGTAGCTACAGTATGCATGCCGGATTCAGTGACCGGAGCATTCTGCTCAGCACGGCGTTTCGGCCGTAGGACTCTTGTCGTCATAGTTTTATTACAGTCTGGGTAGGGACTACTTGAGTAGCATGACAACGGTTTCTCTGCGCTACCTAGGTGCGTTGTTGTGCGAATAAGGTGGTTCTCTGGCAGTTCTCTAGTAGTTCTCTGGTGGTTCTCTGGGATTCTCTGGTATTCTGGACACCGCATAATACTTTGCATTCAGAAGAACTACGGTAGTTCTTCCGGCTTTTCAGCAAGCCAGTATATAAGCGTATCTTTACAACACTGCGTATAATTGTCGATACATACTGTAGAATTGAGACTATAGGTAGAGGGGAAATATACTAGAGTAAATCTGTATTCTCCTGACAGGCTGAGACTGCTGGATTGAAATCCGTGCGGTAGATGTGCAGAGTACTACTGGAGACCTTCGGCATCAATCGCACAACTCTTTTCGATGTGTTGTTTCTTCAATCATCATTGCATTCGACCTTAATACTGTACGGTAGATCATGGCAGATGACATACCCGTTTCCACCCGGCTGAGCTCGATATGTATGATACCGGTTCCCTATTGCTCTCCGCCCAGCCCTACATGCCCGCTCAACACCCACTGGCGCGAGTTGCCGCTTGTGACGCTATGTACATAGTGCTTGTGGCCAGCAAGACCGAGTGACCGACAATGATGCCGTGGAGTTTACAGGTCGACCCACTCCTACGGTTGCGTGTGGTGCAGTGTGATGATCATGGAGATGGTGGGCGCGATGCACATCTGCTAATAATGATATATATCCAGCATGGCATGTCGGGTCATGATATAGGTAGATGCTGTTTAACCCTCCGCTGGCTGGTTTTGTCGCTTTCATGTCCAATCATAGCACATACCATATTGAGCCGTGTGCTAAAGTCAGAAGCCTTATGTAGGCCTTATATAAAACGCGGAAACTATTTATGCCTTCCATGCGCCACTCATGAGCACGTCCAACTCATAAAGTTTCCGTAAGAGTTATGTCCAAATAAGGCCAATGTTCTCATAACCCTAGAATTCTCGTAACTCCTACATAATGCCTATGCAGCGAAAACCGCTAGTACACAAATTGGCCTTCAGACTCACTGTGTAATTCTTGGGACTTTCCGCAGGCCTATGTACCTAGTCGTTTTTGACATGCAGAGCCATCCAGTTAAGACATTAAATCACACCTCTTCTCCGTTGATTTATGGAGAAGACTGCGAGGAGTCCTTGGTCGGTTGGGGCGCCCTACTTCCCATCACGGTGATAAGTTCGAACTTTGAAGTGAAAAACAATTGGCAGCGCGAGTGATGTATGGTGATCCAATGTGATGGCACCCAATATTCTGCCACGAACTGGCGATGATGGTTGGGGATCAAGATACACCCCTTCTGAGACGCAGACTCCCCTTTGGGTTTATCTCAATGATAGCCTGGATGCCACGTTGTAGTTTGTACGTACATAATGTATGTCCTCTGGGTATGATGTGTATGATGGCATGTACATCTGATGGGATAGGTATGTGTCGTTGGATTACTTCGCTCACTGGAGCTCTACTACCTAATACTATAGCACACGTACCAAACCGAGTTCGCTGTGCCTGTCATAATAGAGTATAGGTACAGATATAGGTAGTAGAGTAGTTCAGGTGCTCCACAAAATGGATCTTTCTCCGGGCGAGCGAGCGAGCGAGCGAGTGACAGCCGTGAACGCGACAGTCGAGATTACTATACCTACTACCGAGAGACCCTCGACGGGTACGAGCAACTGATGGACATGATTCAATTGAAGAAAACAAAACAACGAGAAAAAGCAGACCTATGACTGGGAATATCTGTGGTTTTAATAATGTCTGATGTGTTGAACAACAGACCGACCGACTAGACGAACAGAAAAGCAACAACTGGAAACAGTTCAACATTCAACGGCCGCATAGGGTCTGCCCGCCATCACACCTTGGTCTCACCGTACTGCCGCTCGCCGCATCACAGAGGCACCTCTACTTCTGTGCTCTCTTAATAGTTAGATGTAGATAGGAGTTTACCGCGCCTTCTTCTTTTTCACAGACTCACGCAGTATCACCCGTCCATCATCCTCCTCCTCCTCCTCCTCCATCAATGAATAAACAAAACCAAAAACCCTCCCTCCTCCCCATCACCATCCATAGAAACCACGACCCAAGCGTTCTCACCGCTCATGGGAAATTATCTCCCCCCACCCCATCCCACATCCCCCACCCCACGGACCCCAAACCCAGACCCAGACGGTCAGACCCGGGCCCCCCGGACCTTTCCTCCCCCCCAGACCCATTCCCGGACCCCAAACCCGGCCCGCCCCCACCGGCCCACCAGGGCCACCACTTCTCGATTCAGGCTCGGTTATGTCTTTTCCAGGTCCCCAGCCCGAGCCGAGAAAAAAAAGGAACTCGAGGGACACGAGGGACGCGCATGTTTCTTCCGGAGGCATGGGTCATTGGGTCTGGGGCGCTGGCCCGCTGGGGAGTTCGCTGGGGAAACCCTACTAATTATACTTTGCATGCTTCTACGGTATATAGAGTAACTGCTAGGTAGTATGTAGAGTAGGTAGGCAGGTACCTGGCTGGCTGGCTGGAAGCCGGCGGGTTCTTGGATCTTGGACCTTGGGATGTCCCATGCACGGTACTACACCTATACTACCGGTTCGTGCGGAAGGGAGGAAGGGAGGAAGGGAGGAAGGGAGGAAGGGAGGAAGGGAGGAAGGGAGGAAGGGAGGAAGAGAGGATGGGAGGAAGGGAGGAAGAGAGGAAGGGAGGAAGGGAGGAAGGGAGGAAGAGAGGATGGGAGGATGAAGGGAAGCGAAGGGGGCGAGCTGGATGTTGCAATGCGATGCTATGTTATGTTATGCGATGCTGTGCTGTGAGCTCCTGTTGGTTCAATCGCGGGATGGGGAGGGGCTGTGTACTACCTATACTACAGGTATCGACACGGAATCGATTTGGATGTGTGCACTGTGTGAGCCGTGGGCCAACACCGGGAGAGAGGCGCGCACCTGGACGCCTCTCGCCGGGCTTCTCGTGCCTTCTCGCTCTACTCCTGCGACTCCGGATCTTCGTGGCTCAGACTGCGATCTTCATGGCTCTGGACTTTGGAGTTGCGTACAATACAAGTTGTACTCTGTAGGTATCATGTATGTGCATATCCGTTCTCGCAACAGCACAGACAACCCACCGCACAGATGGGTAACAGCATTGGTACTTATCTCATTACCTACATGCTTGGTGCTCTATACAACCACGAGCATCTGCCGAGCATCGTTACCGCGCCGCGCCGCGTCAGATGCGATATGTGTCTATCTTCAAGACACGGAATGTAACGCACCTCACGCACCTCACCGTTCTTCAGCAGCGTGACCACCATTAGTCTCGGGCGGTGGGTCTTGATACGGCATCTACAGGTGTGTGTGTACTCCCCATAGATATGTCACTGAGGTTTTTCTGACATGTTTGATGTCTCAGTCCACAATTCTGACGGGACTTGTAAGTTGTTTCCGTGTTTTCTCGAGTTCTGATAGGTACTCGACGGCGGGTGGAGGCGCAGTTTGTGTGTGGGTTTTTGTTTCGATGCTGGCTGAAAGAGGAGATGTGGAACAAGTTGTGCTTCTAGAAGGTGCATATGCCCTTTTCTTACTTACGTTGGTCTAACTGTGCCGAGTCTACTCTATGAATGTAGCGTAGGACTTGGCTCCAGGCTGAAGAAGCTCCCAAGGTTCCGTTCCGCATGTTCGCAGCCGCAAAACTATACTAACAAACTATTTCATGTGTCACAGACGCAAAGTTACGGTTAATCTACGCACGAGTACTGCCTGCGTAGGAGATTTGGTGGTGGTGGTGGTGGTCAGCACCCTTACTCCACCCTTACTCTACCCTTACCCTTGCCCTTGCCCAACCTGATGAGATGCCTGTGCTGCCTGTGCTGCCTGCCGAGGGGCAGAAGGAGATGAGCTCTCAAAAAAAAGATTCCGAGCTCGAGTGAGTGACGCAAACAATTCCCGGCGAGCAACCGTGGTGGTGGCTCGGACACCTACCTGGCCATACCACAAAAAGTGGATGCTCCATAAGTAGTAGCCATGGCATGTTTCATCCCGTCCCTCCTGCTGCTGCTGCTGCCCTTCGGAAGCCGTGTTTATAAGCCCGCCCTCATCCCATCCCAATTCTGCGTGAACATCCCCACGATTTCTAGCATTTCCGCGCCCCCCTCCCCCCAACCATGGCCGAAAACCACCAGCGATCGTACCCGCCCCGGGCCAGCAGTCCCGACCTCTTCCTCCTGCCGTCACCACACTCCCACCGGGGAAGCCGCACAACGCTCACACCCTCCGCGCTGCTCCTGCGGTTGACACACCTGCAGAGCACCCTGCAACAGCGCCGCAAGACCCTCGCGGCCCTATTCCTCCTCACCTTCAGCGTGCACACGCTGCTCTGGCCACCTCTGTCCCCCTCAGAGCCACACATCCCCGCCGCCCTATTGCTCTGGACGTTATTCCTCCTGCCCACCTCCACGCCCTGGGTGTTATCCCGCCTCCTCGCGCCAGCATGGATCTCGCTGTTATTCCGTCTTCTCGCGGGTGTCCTCCCCGCGCTCGTCGCGCCCGTCTACGCCCTCTGGGCGCTATCGGTATACGGGTGGGCGACGCACGCCGGCGTCCGCGGGTACGCGGACGGCACGTGGGCAGTGAGCGAGGAGGCAGCGCGGATACGGCAGGTACTGGCGGACGTGGAGGGCTCTGTTGGCGACTTTGCGACGCGGGTGTTGAGCCGCGTGTTGTGTGCTGATGTGCGCGGGGGACGGGTCGTGGAGGGGACAAGCCGCCGAGAGGGCACCAGCTGGACAAATGCTAGGTTGATGGTTTTTCGCCCGCCCGCGGGGGATAGGAAGGCGGTCTGGGCCGAGTTTGAGGGCTTCGTGGCTGCCGCAAAGAGTGAGATTGCGAGTTTGAGTGCGGAGGTCGAGGGCTTGCTCGGTGTGAAAAGGATGGGCGCGGAGGAGATGGTGTATAGGGAGCGGGTGAGGGTCTATGTGGAGACCACGCTGGGTGTGTGGGAGGGGCTGTATGCCGAGTTGATGCATCCGCACGGGAAGGATGAGGCCGCGCGGCCAGAGGTTGGGGAGAGGTTGCCGAGGAGAGTTGCGAACGCCGTCAGGTGGTTTGAGGCCGTGGAGGAGAAGGGGATTGAGGTTGTGGTTGTTGATGAGGAGACCTGAGTTCATGCTTTTCTATCATGAGTTACGACGAACGGGTGTGGCAGTTTGTACTTATTGGTGCTGCAGTAATGGTAATTCAGGCTCGTGGAACATTTACGGCCAGACAAGCGATGATCGTGACCGCCCTACAACAACTCTATCTGCACCTCGGAAGACTCCAAAACATTTAGCCCGCCAAAATGGTATAATATTCAAAAAACCTTCAAAAAACAGAACCCGGTACAAATGGTATCACATCTACTCGTCCACCCGGAGACTACTCGGTCTTCTCAATGGCTGCTGGACCCACAATCTCCCTGCCCACCAGGAACTCCAAACCCTCACCACCCTACACGAGCGTCAGTGTTCGTCCCACGCAAACCGAGGAGAAGAAGGATAAACTTACATAGCTGAGAAGCGGTGACACCTCGACGCCGGCCGCCGGATCCTCCGAGACAAAGGTTGCGCCGGCTGCCACAGCCCACCGCTTGCCCTGGTCCATCACATCGCGCTTGCTGGTGTCGGGGTCGTCCTCGCCGGTTCCCCTCGCGTTCTTGAGGGGAGAGAACTCGTCCTCGCGCTTAACCTCCATGCAGGCGAACTTCTCGAGTGGGATCCGGGGGAAGATGTCGAACACGAACTGCTCGAGCTTGATGCCGTTAGGCTTCTCCGGCTTGTGCCGTTCCCCGGTCTCGGTGTCGCAGAAGGGGATCTTCTTTTTGGCGACGTGGTGTGGGAGGGAATCAACCCAGTCGGGGATGGTCTCGAGGAAGCGGACGGTGTAGTAATGGTTCACGATGTTCGCCGCCCTGAACTTGAGGATATCCTTATTTTTTTCGTCCTTGGCCTCGGCGGTGTCGGAGTCTATCTCGGAGTACTCGACGACATCAGGCTTGCCATTCTTGAGGAGGATGAGACCGACGGACTCCGTGGCGTTGCGCTTGCGAACGACCTTTGTGGCGAGATCGACATCCTTCGACGCCGAGAAACCGATAAACACTGGGTCGGCAACCTTGACCAAAGAGTTGTCGACACAGTACGCGTGAACGTGCTTAATGCCACGCTTCTTCATGTCGGGGATGACCTGCTCCGTCAAAGCACGGTAGATACCACCGTTTCCGTCGGGTGCCACAGCAACCTATCCCATTCCATCGGTCAACCTCCAGCCTATTTCCACCTTCCGCCTCGTACCGATGGAACATACCTTGGACTTCGACTCTAGCAGAATCTTTCCGTCGTTCGAGATGCATGGTAACACACCCTGCTCGAAGAACACGACATTCTCCTTCTTCAATCCAAAATAGTTGTTCTCCTCGAAGAACGCCTGAGTAGGTCCCCTCGTGGGTCCCGAAGTCATGATGTACCAAGGAACGACAACATTCGACTTCGCGACCTTCTTCGCCGCCAGACTCTGCACCTTATTGATCCTCTCCGCCTGCAGCTGGAACAAACTCTTCTTCGAAGGAAGCCCAACATCGAAGCAGCCCTTCGGTGCCGAAGAACCAAGCCGAGTTCCCTGACCACCTGTACAATTCTCACATCAGTCCACTGACCCCACCCCGCGTCTGCAGATGGAATCATCCATACCAGCCATGAGAACGACAGCAACCTCATTCTTCGCGATCAATTCCAATCCGAGATCGTACCACGCCTTGATGCTGGAGTCGGGGCTGTCCAGGATCGACGCGGTAGCAGACTCTGGCAGGGGCTCGTAGACGGGGGTCTCTGCGGGCGGCGGAGGGTTCAATGCCTCTGTTGAGAGTTTCTGCGCGAGTCGGTCAGTCGTGCCATTACCCCACAATGGACAGAAATAGAAATGTCACCACCACCACCACCACCACCACAAACGATGCGAGAAGGGGGAACTTACGGCGATTCTCTCGGGCTCAAACTTGGAGAGCTGCGCGAAGAACGACGTCTTCTCCGAATCCGACAGGTCGTTCCAGAAGGATAGGACGTGGCCCTGGCCCACCGTCTCGAAGCTGAGGCGTAGAGCCTTCACATCGGCCTCATTGGGAGCCTCGACGTTCTCACCGAGCGAGAGCTTGTTGAGGACCTTTTGGATACTTGCGGCCATATCGTGCTTGTTGTTGTACGTGGAGTATAGAATAGAAATATGTGGGATTAAGTTATGTTGACAGGAAGGGGATGCTGCGAGGGAGGGAGGACGGAATAGTTGCACGATTAAGGGAGATGGAAGGAGAAAGTACGAGGATGGGAGCGGAAGACCACGATACTAGTAGTGGCAGCCGTCGTTGCATTTATGCGGGCTCTACCTGGCTGGCTGATGGCTGGCTGGCTGGCACGGTGACACGGCCTTGTGGCGGTCCACAGTAGTGGGGTGAACTACCCCCGCCATGGACGACCTGTCCCGGCTTGCTTGCTTAGTGCCGTGCAAAGCGGGGATCATAGCGTAAGAGCTCGCGACCAATACGGTTGGACTGCAGAAACACGCTCTGGCCGCCGAAAATAAATCTTATTGAAAATTTTCTGCACGAGATCTAGAGTTGGAGCACAGAGCTGTCCTTCCGGAACGGATGAGAGAGAACAATGACATCGTCAAATCATCGCGTCGCACCTTGAAGAATGATAGTTATATTCATCTCGCATAGAAAAGACGAAGGTGAAGATGAGCATACGGAAAAGCAGACGTACAATACCAACAAACTCCATTGCCCAAACAGAATGTAATTACTAGACATCATCGTCGACATTTTCACTACAGCTTCAAGAAGCTTGCACTCGTCCCCACCTTGCGCCCCTTGACAGCCGTACCATCGACATTCGTCTTTTCTCCACCCTTTCCGATGACGGCGACATTGCCCCTCTTCAGGGTATCCACCACATCCTTCTTGCTACCAGCCTTGACCTCGCCGCGTGTGATTCCAGCAGCAGCATTCCTCTTCCTGATCTTCTCCTTCTCCCTTCTCCTCCTGCGCTTCTTGTCGTCGCTCGACATCTCCCTCGTCGAAATCGGTGCTCCACTCTTGCCCACGATCTCGCGGCCACCGCCTTCCCCGACCGGTAGATACGCCTTGTCCTTACCGGGCTTGTATATTTCTTGCGGTGCGAGCATAGACACGTTCGCGGCCATACCGCCGGCAGCAGCGCTAGGCTGGGCCTCTTCCATCGAGATGGCTGGGGCATCGGATACGATCGCTAGAGTCGGCTTCGCGGGTTTCGGTGTGAAGTGCCAGCTGGTGAGGGCGTCGAGCTTGTGAGAAACATCCAGCCAGATGGCTTCAATCTCCCTGTGCTCTTTCTGCACCTTCTCGTCGGCCGCATCGAGGTTCTCGTCGGGATTCGTGGACTTGAGATGATCCTGCGCGTAGATTTCGGCCAGAGATTCCTGGGGCTTGGAGTCGTCGAGCTCAACCCGTCCACGTCGGAACTTGTCCGTAACATCGCCGGGTCGCCTCTTGATGACCTCGTCGAACTGTGCATCCAGAATACGACGTTTTATCATGTCCTCCAATCCCTCTGTAACCTCCTGTGTGATGACCGGTACCGGTTTGCCAGACCTCTCGAAGTCCATATCTTCCTCCAGCAGCGAATTGAGTGGTCGATCCCTCGCCTTCGCCTCTCCAGCCATCACCCACTGCTTCTTGGCGATATTCTCCTGTTCGAGCTTTCTGATTTCCTCCATGAGCGCGGCTTGACGTTTCTGGTGAGTCGAACGTCGGTTCATGGGATCGGCCATATCGCCCATTTCGACGTCTTCGTCGGACGCCTCATCCTCCTCGTCGAAAAGATCGCGACGAACCCTCGCCATATTTGACTCCATCGCCTCGAACTGGGCCTCGGGATCCATCTTTCGAGTGTCTTCCCTCCAGAAAACCTTCTTCTTGTCCTTTGGTTTCCCCGAATTCTTCTTGGCCGGTGGCGCAAAGAAGTCCTCATACATAAGATCATTCCCATTATCGCCCGTGCCCTGGTCAAGATCTATGTCGTCGTCGCCGTCGTCACTACCCTCCTCATCTTCGTTTGCGAGGCCATTCTGTCCCGAATTTTTGCTGGGGATGTCCTCCTCTTCGTCGTCTTCGTCGGCAGCAATAGTCGCAGGATCAGCATCGTAATCGACCGCATCGTCGTCGTCTTCGTCAACCGGAGCACCCCGTGAATCTTCTAGTTCGAGAAGCTCGGTTTGTCTGTTGAAATCGTCGATCGAGAAGAAACCGTCGTTGAGACCGTGGACATCTTGCACAAACTCTTTGGCTTCGCTGTCGTCCTCTTCGTCGTCCTCCTCGTCCTCTGAGTCGCCCATATCCTCTCCCTCGAGCGCAACGCCACCTTCGTCGGCCTCCTCATCCTCGGCCTCCTCATCCTCATCTTCGGTTTCGTCCTCAAACCCAGCAAACTCTCCCTCCTCCCCACTAGCTTCCGTATCGCTATCCTCACCCATAACCACATCCTCCTCCTCACTCTCACTCCCACTCTCACTCATCGCCTGCTCAATCGCCATCCTCGCGGGCAACGCCAAATCCTTCACGAAGCCGTTCTCGACCACGCCGCGGACCTGTTCCCAGACCTGCTCGACATCGAAGCCGTCCAGGTAGACCATTCCGAGGCCATTATTCCCCTTCTTCAGCAGCGGGTCGAAGTACTGCTTGACGAGGTTCAGCGCCGCATCTTGAATCGCGTTGCCGGACGGCTGTAGGAACTCGTGCGGCGCATGTGTAAGGATCGACGTGAGCGCAGGCGTCTGTGTGTCCACTACCGAGACCGTCTTCGATGAGGAGGTAGAGGCAAAGGAGCCTGCCATTGCGTGTGTGTGAGTGTGTGAGTTTGCCGTGGTTGGGGATTCTTGACAGCAGGTGGCAGCAATGCAGTTTTGGCACGGATTAGATATTTTTTTTGCGCGGGGGATGGGTGAGGCTCTGCTTTTAGCGTGATCTGATGGATTGGGTATCGCTTGCAGATGCACTCCGTACCGTTACGGAATTCAACATTTTCTTATATGTAATTGGCTTCCCATAGCCATACGATGAATCACTTTCTGCAGACCAAGGGCAAGGGATTTACGAAGCGATTTACATACTGCGCGATATCTACATTATTCACTCATGATCAATCACTCGGCATTGTATGACGTCATTACAGTACCAAGGCCCCACCAAGAACCGTGATCGACCGAGCTTTTGAGTAACTCTTGTTTATTAATTCTCTCCGCTTTTGCAGAAAGATAAAATACAAGATGGAGTCAAGAGTTCATCGAGGTCTCAGATTCGTCACTATTGAAAAAGGAAAACAGACAGAAAAGACCCATTTCTCCGTAACGCAACACCGATCATAAAATGCTCCAAGACTCAAGGAAAAAGGAAAAGAATCAATTGACTGAGGTCAATTGATCTAGTGGGCCACCATGGAACCGTCGGTCATGTTCGTGTCACCCTGGCGCTCGGGGTTCTAATGAGATGTTAGTTGATGTTTTGGGAATACTGGTAGGCATGAGGTGGCTTACGGTCTTGGTCTGAGGACTTCCGTCGCGGAGAATCTTCTTGACGCATTCCTCCTCGTTGGAAGTACCAAACTCATTCTCCAAAGAGGAGTTTGAGGCGGTATCCATTATGCCCTGGGCTCCGTGCCTACAGCTCAATTAGTACGAGATTGATGTGAGGAGAAAGCAGAGGGTGCATACTTGTGGGTGGTGAAGATCTTCCATCCACTCAGGACCTGAGCCAAAGGCACAGACTGATCCTTCTTCCACTTCTGGTACTCCTCGGCGGAATCGACGATGACAACGTAGGAGTTGTTGTCCTTTCCCTTGTAGATGATCTTGGTGAGTTCAGCGTTTCCACGAGCCATGATGGATGTTGTTAGGTGGTAGTTTGGTGGTGGTGGTGGTGATAGTTGTGAAGGGGATTTTTCGTTGGAGCGATTGTATTGGGTTTTGTGTGTGTGTGTGATGAGAATGAGGGGAAGGAGAAGGGGCGGGGCGGAGGATATAAGTAGGATTGTTGCTGTCGGTGGGGAAGAGACTGGAACGGGCAATGACATCATTGCGATTCGATCGACGGCCGCCAAGGTGGGCATCGGCCGCTCCTGGCACAACCAACGTCAACAAGGCGACCAGTCGCAGCTTAGCTTCGGCGGATTGCCTTGGTGAAGCCCAACTTTGGGGAGGTCCTGGCTACGTAGGTGTTCCCTAGTAGAAAAGGGAACATCGCGTGTTTGTCTGCGTACCGGTACTTGTACCTGACGGCAGATCTGGAGATGTCCCTGGATCAAAAACGTCACGGGCAGTGTAGACGAGGCGTAATCCTTCACGGCCCGGTGTATTAGATATCACCGCTATCACCGATGTCACATTGGAAGCTACGCATGTTCCGTCAACAAGCCCTGCTCGCACAATCTGTGAAAACTACATCATCACCAGACACATTTCCAGTTTACCAGAGTAGTTACGTTCAAAAAGCATCGATTACGCCAACCACGAACGCCCTTATAAACCGCTAAATTTGATAATGACTTTCCCAAGCTCCCAATCCGTCTAACTATCTTCATCGTGAAGCACCAGCCTGCGCTTCTTTTTCTTTTTCTTAGGCTCAGGACTTTTCTTCCGCCTGGGACCTTCGATCCTGACGTTTTCCTCCTCACTTTCAGTCTCCTCCTCTTCGAGACTGACGGGCATCTGCCAACCGCCGACGTCCTCGCCTCTCACAGGCTCAATGGTCACTACGTCCACCTCCTCCGTCTCCAGGTGCAGCCGGCGCTTCTTGACGTCCTCAACGGGCTGGATGTCAAACTCGTCTTCACGCTCTTCATACTCAACGTTTTCCTCCACCTCTGCAAAGTCAGGGGCTAGCGCGGACCAGCGCTGTGGGTTAGTGGTGGCCCAGATGTAGATTCTGCCAGTCTCAAGTCCTACCGCGGCGACGACGGGACGCGTAGGATGCCACTCACACACGCCGAGCTCTTCCTTTGGACCCTCTAGGATCTTGATGAGAGAGCCCTGCGACCGCTCCCAGATGTAAATGTCGTGGTTGTGGTAAGTGGAGGCGGCCACGTACTCGCCATCTCCCGAGAAGGTGACATGGTTCCAGAGTAGCCGGTTCACCACGTCCTGGAATTTGTGTTCGACTATAAGTTTCAGTTCGTCGGGGACGAGGGTGTCGGGGAGCACAATGGAACGGATTATGCGGTCGCTTGAATTGAGTACCATGTTACGGCCCGATAATGTGAGGCGAAGGTAGGTGATGCAGCCGTTGGTCGGACGCATAGAGTACACGGTCTCTTGCGTAGCCGTCGAGATAATGTTGATCCACCCCTTGCTGGTGCCTGTGATGACAAAGTCACCGGTCGAGGTAAATACCGACGCTGTAGTCAACTGCTTCGCGTCTTGCACTGCGCGTTTCTCGGTTGCTTCGGTATCGGAGATCGCGGCGCGCTTGGGACTCGTCGGTAGAGGAAGTTTGAGCGTATTCTCGGTGGTGATATCAACAAGGTATGGTACTTCTTCGTAGAGAGCGCAACAGAACATGCCGCTGCGTCAATCTTATGTTAAATCTAGTTGCTGGAAAACCATGGAGGATCGTACGTACAGGTTCTTGGGGTGGAATTCAGCACAGTACACAGGTGCCTGGAAGCGCACCGTACGGGAAGCTTCGAGACCAGACTTCGTCAGATCCCAACGGATCACGCGGAAGTCCTGCGAGCAGCTAAGAAGGTACCGGCCGCATGGCGACCACGAGAAGTATTGGACCTGTCGCTGGTGACCGCGCAGGATACGCGCCAGACTGTTCGTTTCGACATCGAATAGGACAATTGCACCGTCAATCCTGCCAGATGCTAGGAGGTCCCCTTTACGGTTGAACCGAATCTGACGGTAAGAGTCAGCGACCAGTCACCCACCCGTCACTCACCGGTGAATTGGGCGAGCCGAGTTGAGGCGAACGAGGCCAGGCGCAGTTGGACTGACTGACTCACACAGGTAGAATGTCCAGCTCGTAGCTCGGAAATCAGAGATTCTGGGTAATCCTGAGCGAGAGAGAAGGGGTCGAGAAGCGACAAATTCATATCAGTGGTTGTCGAACAGCGGAGGAGAACGAGTGTGAGCGTGAAATGGCAAGTGTGAGAGCTTGGAAAGAAAGCAAAGCTCTGACGGCTAGCGTGACAATGGCGCTAGCGTTTACGCTGGCTTGGCATCGCCACTCTTCCACACAGCGCTTTTCCTTTGCTCAGTGGCTATCTCACCTCAAGTCCCTCTCAGCAACCTACAACACCCCTACTAACGACACCTTTACTAGCCACCCACCCTCCTCGACCGACAAGACGACTTGAGGGAACATCGCCAAACCCTTCAGAAAACCCTCTCTATTGTCCCTGCTCCGGAAGTCGCTCGCTCGAAGCCATAGAAAGTTGGGAACCTGGAGGAAGCAGGCGACCTTCGCTGGTCGACAACCTCACGCTTCCATCTTCTTCTTCATCCACGACACCACTCCTTCCGTCTTCCACCACACGACAACCCCCCAACTAAAACACGACATAGCAACGACAACTATCGACCCCCACCTTCGCGTCGCTGCATCTTTCCACCTTCCATCTACTTCTCAGGGACACGTTTGCCCTACAACAGACAAAAAGACGCGTTTTTTCATTTACAACGGACGGAACAGCTGCAAAAAACTTCGTGCTAATAACTCGAACCTCCTGCGGCGCGCGGCACATCGACATACACAGAAAATAGAAACCGTCTAAAGCCGCAATCATGGTTCTTCTTTTCGAACATTCGAGCGCGCCTTTGCGCACGATCCAGGAAATTCAGTTCGGTCTTTTGTCGCCCGAGGAGATCAAGGCGATGAGTGTGTGTCACATCGAGTATCCAGAGACGATGGTATGCTATACTTTGCTCTGATGGAAATTTCGCGGTGGAATTCTAGCTAGGGTTGTCTAACGTACTCTTAATAGGACGATGCTCGACTTCGACCCCGAGAGAAAGGATTGAACGACCCGCATCTCGGCTCCATTGATCGCTCTTTCAAGTGCGCTACTGTGAGTTCTCTTCGCCGGACTACTTGTGCGCATCCATATTCTGACATCTCAATAGTGCGATGAAGGCATGACTGTCTGCCCAGGACATTTCGGTCACATCGAACTCGCCACCCCCGTTTTCCACGTCGGTATGTGGCTTGTCGCTTCAGCTCTATCCCTGCATGCTCCCTCACTGATATGCTCGCAGGCTTTATCAACAAGATCAAGAAGGTGTTGGAGACGATCTGCTACAACTGCGGAAAGATAAAGTTGGATGAAGTGAGTATCACCGAACAAGTGGTGCGACTTCAGCGTGAGCATATGAGCTAATGGCCTGTACCTGCATTACAGAATAACGATGCCTTCCGCAAGGCTTGCGGCATCCGTGATCCGAAGGGTCGATTCAACGCTGTCTGGCGACTATGCAAGGCCAAGAACGTATGCGATACGGATATGACCGAAGAAGAACAGAACGAGGCCGACAATGCTTCGCGACCGAAGGTTTCACACGGTGGATGTGGAAATAGACAGCCTCAAGTTAGGAAGGAGGGGTTGAAGCTGTGGGGAACATGGAAGCCTGATAAGGAGTCGCAAGAGGACAATCCTCAGCCGGAGAAGAAGCGATTGACTCCTGGCGATGTTCTAGCGCTCTTCAAGCACATCAGCAATGAGGAGATCCGGAAGATGGGCCTTAGCGAGGACTATGCGAGACCGGAGTGGATGGTTATCACAGTTCTGCCGGTGCCGCCTCCGCCCGTTAGACCCAGTATCTCGGTGGATGGAACTGGTCAAGGAATGCGAGGAGAGGACGATTTGACTTACAAGTTGGGCGATATTATTCGGGCGAATGCCAATGTTCGACAGGCCGAGACGAATGGCTCGCCACAACACATCGTCAACGAATTTCAAGATTTGCTCCAATTCCATGTTGCCACATACATGGATAACGATTTGGCGGGCCAGCCTCAGGCGCTCCAGAAGTCTGGTCGTCCAGTCAAGTCAATCCGTGCACGTTTGAAGGGAAAGGAGGGCCGTCTGCGTGGAAATTTGATGGGAAAACGTGTGGACTTCTCTGCGCGTACCGTCATTACCGGTGATCCGAATTTGTCCCTGGACGAAGTTGGTGTGCCGAGAAGTATTGCCTCGACACTAACGTACCCCGAGATCGTTACCCCTTACAATATTCACAAGTTGCATGAACTGGTCAAAAACGGTCCGAACCAACATCCTGGCGCCAAGTATGTGATCCGGGATACTGGGGAGAGGATCGATCTACGCCATCACAAGAGGGCTGGCGAGATATCGCTTCAGTATGGGTGGAGGGTGGAGAGGCACATCGTAGACGGAGATTTCATTATCTTCAACCGACAGCCTTCGCTGCACAAGGAGTCCATGATGGGTAAATATATCTTCAATTCGTTCTGAATCATGGGCTAATTGATGATTACAGGACATCGTGTTCGTGTCATGCCATACTCTACCTTCCGATTGAACTTGTCGGTCACGTCGCCTTACAACGCTGATTTCGACGGTGACGAGATGAATCTTCACGTCCCGCAGTCAGAAGAGACCCGAGCGGAAGTGAACCAACTCTGCATGGTGCCATTGAATATTGTCTCGCCCCAGAAGAACGGTCCACTCATGGGTATCGTCCAGGACACTCTTTGCGGTATTTACAAGATGTGCCGGAGAGATGTTTTCTTGGCCAAAGATCAAGTCATGAACCTGTTGATGTGGGTGCCAAATTGGGATGGGGCCATGCCTCATCCGGCAATCCTCAAGCCTCGACCCCGGTGGACTGGAAAACAGATGATCAGTTTGATCATCCCGGAAGGTATTAACAAGGTTTCCCTGAATGACGGCAACTGGTCTCCTCTTGAGGATGACGGGCTGTTGGTTCATGGAGGTGAATTGATGTTCGGACTTCTCAATAAAAAGGCCGTCGGTCAAGCTCAGCAGAGTTTGATCCACATCATCTACAACGAAAAGGGATGGCGGAGGTGTATGGAGTTCTTCAACGGTTGCCAGACGGTTGTCAACTACTGGCTCCTTCACAACGGTTTCAGTATCGGTATCGGTGATACCATTCCCGACGCTGCAACCATAGCGAAGATCGCGGAGACGGTACGGTCCAAAAAGCAGGAGGTTGCCGACGTGACCGAAAAAGCGCAGAAGAATACTCTGGAACCTCTACCCGGTATGAACATCCGTGAGACCTTCGAGAGTTTGGTCTCGAAGTCGTTGAACTCGGCTCGTGATGTTGCTGGATCAGATACGGAAAAGAGTTTGAAGGATCTGAACAACGCTATTCAGATGGCTCGGTCGGGTTCGAAGGGTTCGAATATCAATATCTCTCAAATGACAGCGGTCGTCGGCCAACAGTCAGTTGAAGGAAAACGTATTCCTTTCGGATTCAAGTACCGAACCCTGCCGCATTTCACCAAGGATGATTACAGTCCCGAGGCCCGTGGCTTCGTTGAGAATTCTTACCTTCGTGGTCTGACACCTCAGGAGTTTTTCTTCCACGCCATGGCTGGTAGAGAAGGTTTGATTGATACCGCCGTCAAGACAGCAGAGACTGGTTACATTCAGCGTCGTCTGGTTAAGGCGTTGGAAGATGTGATGGCCAAATACGATGGAACCGTTCGGAATTCGCTTGGAGACGTTATCCAGTTCGTCTATGGCGAGGATGGCTTGGACGGAGGTCATATTGAGCCCCAAAAGGTCGATATCATCACTTGTTCGAACGCCGCATTTGACCAGAAGGTGCGTGTCGATGTTATGGATCCCGAAAAGTCCATTCCTCCGGAGTATCTGGAGGTAGCCACGGAAATCGCCGGTGATGTCGACGTCCAGCGAGTTTTGGATGAAGAATACGAGCAACTGAAGCGAGACCGAAAATTCTTGCGGGAGCTTCAATTGACCGACAAGCTGGAGGACAACATGCAACTTCCCATCAATATTCTTCGGATCCTCGAGAATGCACGGACTATATTCCGTATCAAGCACCGCGCCCGCAGCAATCTCCACCCTGTTGACGTCATTATGAAAGTGCGGGAGCTCGTCAAGAATCTAGTTGTCGTTCGTGGCAGCGATCCCCTATCGATCGAGGCTCAAGATAATGCGACCAAGCTCTACATGTGCCATCTACGTTCTCGACTATGCTTCAGGCGATTGGTTCTCGAATGCAACCTTAACAAAGTGGCGTTTGACTGGGTGCTCGGAGAGGTTGAATCTCGGTTCGCTAAGGCGGCTGTTAACCCTGGGGAGATGGTCGGTGTGCTTGCAGCTCAATCTATCGGAGAGCCTGCGACACAGATGACGCTGAATACCTTCCATTTCGCCGGTGTATCCTCTAAGAACGTAACCCTAGGAGTTCCGCGTCTAAAGGAAATTCTCAACGTGGCCAAGAACATCAAGACTCCTTCTTGTATCGTCTACCAGATCCCAGAGAACCGGTTCAATAAGGACAGCGCGAGAGTTCTTCGGTCGGCCGTGGAGCATTCCACCCTACGATCCGTCACCGACTCTACCGAGATCTGGTACGATCCTGATCCCAAGGAAACAGTCATTGAAGAGGATATCGACACCGTCCAGTCGCACTTCTTAATTGAGACCGACCAAGACGATGTCGAGGGCCAGTCGAAGTGGATTCTACGTATCGTTTTCGATCGTAAGAAGCTGCTGGACAAGGATCTGACGGTCGAGAAAGTCGGCATGAAGTTGATGGAGGAGTATGGCAGTGACATGTCAATCATCATGAGTGATGATAACGCCGAGATCCCCGTCATCCGCTGCCGCATGAAGCATGTGGACTCAAGCAAGGGTCAGGAGGAAGACGTTGATAGCGAGGAAGACGTCATGCTGAAGCGTCTCGAAAACCACATGCTCGACGAAGTCACCTTGAAGGGAGTCAAGGGTATCTCCAGGGCTTTTATTAATAACAGGGATAGGGTTAGAGAGACCAGCGATGGAGCATTGAAGCTCAATCGAACCGACGACCTCTGCAATGAGTGGATTCTCGACACCAGCGGAACCGCACTGAAGGAGGTCCTGACTGTAGACGGCGTTGACACGACTCGGACATACTCCAACTCCTTTGAAGAGATCCTGAACGTGTTTGGTATCGAGGCGACCCGAGGACTGTTGGTCCGCGAGTTGACACAGGTGCTGGCTTTCGACGGTTCCTATGTCAATCATCGTCACATTGCTGTTCTTTGCGACGTGATGACTACCCGCGGCATGCTGATGGCGATTACCCGTCACGGTATCAACCGGAACGACACTGGTGCTCTGATGCGTTGTTCCTTCGAGGAAACAGTGGAAATCTTGCTGGAGGCCGCGGCTTCGGGTGAGCTCGATGACTGCAGAGGTATCTCCGAGAACATAATGTTGGGACAACTGGCGCCCATGGGAACTGGAGAGTTTGATGTGTTCCTGGATGAAAAGATGCTTCAGGATGTTATTGTTGACAACTCGCGCATTACCGGGGCCGACATGGGAATATCCAAGGGAACTATCGGAGACGGATCAGCAACTCCGTACGACTCGGCATCTCCTATCTACGTGGATGGCACATACATCGGTTCTCCGGATGCAGGCGCAGCATTCTCGCCTATGGGTCATACCGGATCGCAGACTCCAGTTGGCTTCCCGATACTCACCCCTGGCGGATATGGTGGTATATCGCCATACCCTGCCGGAGGCGCAAGTCCGTTCAATCCAGCTTCGCCATTCGGTGGCAGTCCTACTTCGCCTGGAATCTTCTCTCCAACTTCGCCTGGTTACTCGCCCACCTCGCCCAATCTCGGATACGGAAGCACTTCCCCTGCCGGGTTTTCGCCTGGTTCGCCGTCATTCCGCGCTGCAAGTCCGGCTTTCTCACCCACTTCCCCGAGCATGCCCTACTCGCCCACGTCGCCTAACCTTCACGGAGGCGCGTCCCCCACATCTCCGTTCTCTCCGACTTCGCCGTCGTACTCGCCTACAAGTCCCAACTTGTACTCGCCTACGAGTCCTGCGAACTACTCCCCGACCAGTCCCGATTATTCTCCGGCCTCACCGAGAATGGACGGTGGCAACGGAGTTAGCCCTACCAGTCCCATGAGTTACTCTCCCACGAGTCCTAGGTTCAGTCCTACATCTCCGAGATACTCCCCGACTAGTCCCGCGATGGCCAGTCCCGGTCAAGGATGGAGTCCTACTAGCCCAGGACCATCTTACTCTCCCAAGTAAGTATCCTCTTTCCCCATCGCTCTCCATGTATTGTGCTAATGATTTCAACAGCTCTCCCAAGGAAGAGGGCGATACGCCAAAGGACGACTAAATCTTGGCAGGCGTTGCATGAATGGATACGGCGGTGGAAGGTGTTGTGACATTTCGAAAGCCGAGTATTTTGTGTGCTTCTTTGCATTTGCTTCGTAGTCATTGTCCTGGGTTTCTCTTTCTGTTTCGAATTACTGGGCATTCTTCTTCTGCTTGTTTGTGTTCGTCCGTCCGTTTTCACTTCGTGTACAAGCTTTCTGTATTACTACTTTGTGACATTTCCACGTCCGCCATTGTCTTTTTTTTATTTTTTTACTGGGAGCCGATGATATAGATGAAACATCATGCATTGAGGGTTTTCGTGTAGGGTAGGTTTGGGATGGGACGGGGAGAAAAGTGAAGGCCCAGTGGGTGCCGTGGTATCTCTCAAACGGTGTTGTTTCTGCATCTCATTACCATATGCTGTTTAGCTGACGTGCTTGTGCCTGTTTTTGCGTGGTGGGGGAAGGATGATCTTGGTATTGATTTGCATCTACGATATGACAATTGATCGATCGATGGAAGTGGGCTGGCAGGGGGATATGGTTTTCTTCATCTTCTTAGTTGATACAAGGCTGTGGTCGTCGGGAGGTACCTACTGTATTCATACTCTGATGGAAGTTGGATGATGGGGGCGATTCGATCGAAGCGACAAATTGACTGGGCTGGATTGGATTTGTGTTTCATCATGCCTATTGCATTCTACATTTTCCTAATCATGGTAAACGAAAACCATTTACGTCTCCGACTCAACCGTGACTACGTGATAAATTGATGGGATTGCTTTGCTTGCTTGAAGGTCAGCGGCGCGGCGCGGCGCAGAGTGGGCGTGAGAGGCCATGCACCCTGGGAAACGATGACTCCACGGAAACACCTGCTGCCCTCGCTCCCTCGCTCCCTCGCTCCCTCCCTCGGGCGGCGCCGAAGTGCGGTCCAGCGTAGAGCACTCTACCTACCGTACCGGGGGTGGATAACGATAAGTGCCCCGAAAGGGAAGGTTTCGACCTCTCGCGTGTGTGTTGCACTTGCTTGCAAGTACATAGTGGGGGATCTGGGGGTGCGCACAACGAGATATAAAACAACCCCCGCTGTCCAACCGTAGGTACGGAATGTGAAGTGCAACTCAGCTCAACTCCGCCGCCACCGCCGCCGCGATGTCTGCTCCTGCTACTGCTCCTGCGTATACGACTGCTAAGCCCGTTACGGTTTCCCTGGCAGAGCTGGAGGACGGTATGTTTCCACGGCGGAAGGTCGGGTTGGGTTGAGTTGAGTTGAGTTGTAACCAGTGTTGACATGATCGCATTCCCGCAGGCAGTGTCTCCTCCGCCACGCTCCTCGCCGCCTTCGGCCCCGACTCCCTAGGCATAATTGTAGTGACCGGCCTTCCCTCACAGTTCACCGCCCTCCGCACACAACTTCTCTCCTACACCAGCCACGTCGCCGCGCTCCCGCCGGCAACGCTGCGCACGCTCGAGTCCCCCGACTCGAACTACCTCGTCGGCTGGTCATGCGGCAAGGAAACACTCTCCGCCGACGGCCGTGTCGACACGCTCAAGGGCAGCTACTACGTCAACTGCGCGTACTACACGTCGCCCGCCCTCGATGGCGCCGAGGGCGCCGATAGGTACCCCGACTTTCCCGAGTACACGGCGGGAAACGTTTGGCCGCCGCTTGAAGGGTTCGAGGAAACGTGCAAGGAGCTCTGCAAGCTCATCATTGATACCGCCGCGCTCGTGGCGAGAGCGTGTGATCGCTACGCTGCCGAGAATGTCGAGGGGTATACCCCCGGGTACCTGGAACATGTCGTGAAGACTAGCACGACGACGAAGGCGCGGTTGCTGCATTACTTCCCGCCACCGGGCGAGGTGGCGGACGGAGAAGAGAAAGAGGAGGATCTGGACTCCTGGTGCGGCACGCACCTCGACCACGGCTGTCTCACGGGTCTGACCAGCGCGATGTACGTGGACGAGACCTCGACGCCGCCGGACATTGCGCAGGGCGTGGAGCTGCAGGAGCTCTCTGGCCCGCCGGATCCAGACGCGGGTCTGTACATACGCGATCGCAAGGGCCAGACGGTCAAGGTGGGGATTCCGAGGGATGCACTCGCGTTCCAGACCGGAGAGGCGCTGGAGAGGATCACGAAGGGACGGTTTAGGGCCGTCCCACATTTTGTGAGGGGCATGAGAGCGGGCAAGGGAAGCGGCGTCGCGAGGAATACGTTGGCCGTGTTTACGCGTGAGTTCTCTTCTCCGACCCCGGAGCTCGAAGCAGTGCGAGACAGTGGCTAATCCGATTATGCGTGAGGCAGAACCGAATCTGTGGGAGATGGTCGATGAGACGATGGATTTTGCGGCGTTCGCGAAGATGATTGTCGATAAGAATACGGCCATGTAGGGTGTGTCTTCTATGCATGGGCTCAATCACATCACTCTTCGTGTCAAACAACCAACCTGAGCCAACACTTGTGCCCGTTTTATACCCAACGTAATCCGCAGCCCTTCGCATCGTCAATATACAAACCCCGGGTTATCACCGTGACCACCACCCGGTATTATAGATAACGGATAGAGAACTGGACCTGAAGCCGCGGTGAAGTGCCGAGAGGGAGTTACTCGCCAAAAGCAAGGAAGAACGCGCGATTCGCGAATAATGGCGGGACATTATTGCCGGTGATCGTAAACAGGAGCAAAGGAAGCGGTGAGTGTAGGGACAGCATTGACGCCTTGTCTTGTCTCATCACGATGCAGTGATCATCTATTATGGTACCGGTGGTCGGAAGGATTTGATTTTGAGCTGGTGTGGATTACTCCATCGGGTGAGATGACATGATTCCCCACCTTCACCTTCCCCCCTTCCCCACCACCTTCCCCACCACCACCATCCTCCCAGATCCCTCCATTTCCGGACCCCCCGCAAACGTCGGAAGTATGTAAATGTAAATACCATTCCACCCTCGCCGGTTGCCTTGCCGGACACGGAAGTAGAAAGAAGGGAGAGGGAGGAAGGAAGGGAACATGCAGGATTATCCCTTCCCTTCCCTTCCAAATTCCCTTCCGTTGAATCCGCTCCCGCCGGCGGTCGCAGGCCGTAGTGCTATAGATAGAATTGAGTGTGCTGTGCTGTGCGACGTATACCAGCTAGATACTGGCTACTACCTAGCACCCTGGAAGTCTGGAGGTTGGAAGTCTGGGGGTGGGTGGACGAGAACGGCTTCTGTTTTCGTGGTGGACAGACTCCGACAGAGAGCGCGAAAGGGTGAGAGAGAGGAATTGAGTTTGTGATTGTGATTGGGGCAGCTCGGCGAACACTCTGGATGCGTTGGGATTAACTGTGTACATATTGGGTTATTTGTCATCGTCCGGTACAGCCGAATGCGATCGCAAGCTGTGTTGCTGTGTCCCTGTGAAAGCTGTGCAAAGCTGCGGATACCCAGTCCTGGTGGGCAGAGTATTGTACATACGAACTCGTCGCCGGTGATAGGTAGGTAGGATGTGGATAACGCTCTGTGCTAGGTAGCTGGGGAGTGGACACTGGAGGATATAGCACAGCTTATATCGAGATTCGACGCCCGGATGCCGCGGGTGGACCGTGGATGGACGCAATGCCCTACTTACTTATGCTACATAACTACTGGGTATGTTATGCTATGCTAGGTATCTCCCCATCCCATCACAAATCTCATCTCGATTCTCCACGAGTCCACCTGGCATCTTCACTTTCACTTGTATCGATCTCGATTCTCGGTTGACCAATATTATCGCAGTTACTCTAGTCATATAGGTAGAGTACATCTAGGGCATGTACGGTAGAGTACATCTAGGGCATGTACGGTAGTGCGGTCAAGATCTAGATCAGCGAGCGTGACCTGCCCACTCCAACAAAAAATCTGCATACTCATCCGCCTGCCATCTGGGCAGTGTATCGTTATTGATATACCCATATGATTCAAGAGGATAAACCGTGACCCCTCCCCCTCCGCCTTGCAACTCGCGCCACGCGCGGAAACCTTGCATCTTGCAGCACCGTACTCTACATAGCATCGCAGCATCGCAACATCGCATGCAAACAGGTGGCACAGGCACAGGCGTAGGGCGGGTGTGATAGATTGCTGTCGCTGCAGGCACAATACATACCGTACTTAACTGCGGGTTGTGAATGGACGTACTAACTGTTATTCCGGGGAGAGGGAAGGGGAGGGGGCTCGAATGATAACTTCTCGTCGGCGACTCAGCATGACGGGCAGTGGACAGTGGGCAGTGGACACACGGGGACCGAATGGCAGCCGTGGAATGGATTGACCCTATGCACCCCCCGCACCCCCCCTCTGTGCCCCGTGATCGACTCTGCGGTGACGGCTTCTATGTAGAGGACATAGCTTCCACTCTTCGGTTGGATCGAGCCGAGGCGGCGGTGGTGGATATCATATGTACGAACAAAGTAGAGGACCTCCGTCGCCGTTCTTTGTGGGGTAGAAGCCCGTGAAGGGGAAACTACGGGATGGTCATTGGATAGTGACTGCGTCGCGACTCGCGACTCGCATGATGCCGGACAAAGTAGGTGTGCATTGTGCATAAGGGACAATGGGACAATGGGACATGCCACTGATGGCCATCCCGGTGTGGGGAAGTTATTCTCAGTGTTGGGTGTGCTCTAACCATCATATCGTAGTAGGAGGACAACTTACAAGTGGTTATCGATGCCATCGTGAGGATGGATGCACACGACCTTTGCCAGCTAGTTGCGCCCGAGTCCTGAATCCTGACCAGTGAAAACGCATGCCCAAGTGGGGGGCAGCTAACCACAGCTCCACCTATCACAATTGACACCCACAGCCCTGCAATCCCAACCCGAGCTCAGTTGAGTCGAGAGTCCAAAGAAATGGGATCGAGCGCAGTCACGACACGTGATTCCTTTCCTTTCCTTTCCTTTGTGACGGAGTTGCGTTCCGTTGTAAGTAGAGCATCTATGCTACCTGTCGTGTGTGTACCGAAGCGTCGGCGGACTTCTGGAATCTGGAGGCTCGAGAAACGAAGACGAAAATAGTTAGTTAGTTGGATAGGGATGGATGCCAGATGCCAGATGGGCGATGGGCGCTGATCGATCGTCGTCTCGCTGTGACTGTGGCTGCAGTGGCTTTAGCTGGCAGCCCTGTCCGTGGGCAGTGGGGAGGGATCTGGGGCGGAGCCGCGAAGGCGGGCGGCCACGCACCACGCGGACGATCGACAAGAGTTCAAACACCAGCTGTTTTGAGCTTTTCTTTCCTTCTTTCTGTGTTTCAAACGGCACTTTTTTTTGTCTCTTTTCTTTCCGGATTTGTTCCGAGGGTAACCAAATTTGTAGGGAGATGTATCTACAAAGAAGATGGATGGACATTGGACATTGGGCAGCATTTTCTCTGGGGTTTTATTTTTGTTCTTTTATTTTTACTTCATGTACCGCGTGCAGGACTGAGGATGCTGGATGCTGGATGCTGGAGCTGGACCGGCGCCGAACCGAACGGGCGGTTTGGGGTTTCCGTGCGGCGTGGAGTGAGCATACATACGGAAGGAAAGAAGGAGAAAAGGAGGAAAGGGAGGGAAACGAAGGTGCAGAATATGTAATAATAAAAGAGACAGCGCGGGGGAGATGGGGGGCGGGCTAGGTGGCTTTGGGCTTGCGGTGACGATCGACAGGCATAGGTAACATTGAAATTTTCTCGTGATGAAGAGAGGGAGAGGCCGCGAAACTCTGCTGACAGTCTGATTGTGGTGAGAGTAAAGTGGGATGTCTCCTTGAGTGATACGCGAATAGCCACACGAGCAAATAGACCGCCCGAACATCAGACTACAGATAGTCCGGCCGGCGATCATGGTCGTGGACATGACGACGATCGACGAAACTCGCAGACGACGCCTTGAACGAGTCCACGCGTACGTAACCCTACCATAGCACCATAGGTACCAAGTACCCAAGTCCCTACTCGCGCGTGCATGCACACTGCACACAGCGTCGCTCCGCAGAATTCGTACCTTACATGAAGTGTTGCATCTCCATCTCCCTCCCCCCTCGCTCGCTCGCTTGCTTGGTTGCCTGGTTGGCTGCGTGCTGCCGGGAAAGAGCGGCGGCTCATCGCCCATCCCGAGCCCCTGCCCACCATCCAAATAATCACACCGTGACACACCGCACCGCGACACACTGCGACACACCGCACCGCCCCCGTTCCTTCCTTCCTTCCTTCCTTCTTCCCTTTCTTCCTTCCCTCCTTGTCTGTCGTCATCTCTCCCCGTTGGCTGCTGGCTGGAGCCTGGCTGGACTGCCGGCTGCGAACTGTGACTCCCCCCCCCCCCCCCCCCCCCATCCCTCCCTCCTCTCCCGCTCTTCTTACTCTAGAGCAGAGTAGTCCCGACTCCCGCCGCCCCCTCCCCCAAAAAGATAATCCCACAACTACCCATATCCTCACCCCCTGGCCAAACCACAATCAATGCCACGCCTCACCACAACCTGAGCCCGCTCACACACTCACACACTCACGCTCACACGCTCACACACACACGCTCCCTTGACATTCAAACAGCCCTTCGAAACCCCAAACCACCTCCAACTACCAACGTCACCATCACCACCACCACCAACTGCACCCGCTAGACCCCTTCTCCCCTCACTCTCGTTCCACCCTTCCCAACTGCCAACTGCTAGCCTCGTCTTCCCTTCTTCACTCACGTTCGCTTCTCAACGCCCCAGCAGCAATCTGTGCGGCCAATCTTGCAATTTACCCAGCTTCTCCGTACTCTACATTCTACTCGTTCTGTCCTATTGCTCTACTCTACTCGTTCCACTCTAGAGCACTCTCTTGTCGCCCACAAAATACCTCTCCCAATAACAAATAACAAAAAGAGTCACGTCATGCCTGGACTGTAATCAATCAATTCCCCCAACATACCCCAGCGCCCTACTTCATTCCGGAAAACCAGTCGGTTCTTGCTGCAAATACTGCAATCACCATTCCATATTCCCGGCCTGCTTACCGTCCACTGCCCAGAGCGAGGGACCGGACAGACAAGTCTGCCTCTCCGCCAACAACAACCGCAACCATCGAGCTCGTGACCGTGAGCTCGATTGTTCGATGTTACAGCTCGTGCTCTAGTTCATCCAACGAGTAAGCCTCCCCGTCCGATAGCCAGTCGTTCAGGAGAATATTACTCCGCCCCCGGCTGCTTTCCCGTCGTGCAAACTCAATTGGCTGCTTCCAAATAAGGCACCGAGTCTGACCGAGTCAATAGGATCCCGAGAATCACCTCAACAACATCCACATCCCCTTCCCACCACCACCATTCCAGCTCGATCGTCCAATCCTCTTCACATTCTCGTGTGCTCCAATACTACTACTGCCTGCCTATCATTAGATACCTGCACGACATTCCGCCGCCATCTGTCTGCACCTGTCATTATCAACTCGGGGCCGGCGCCATCCGCCTGAGTTGAAAGAAAAGAACAAGAAAAAGTAAAATGGCTTCCCCAACCCCCATGGATATCCTCTACGGCGATGGCCCCGTGGTCCCCTACCGCAAGCCTTCGCAGGAATCCTCGCCTCCTCCTTCTCCCTCTCCGACGACGACCACGAACATACACCGGTATGACCATGTGGATAGGGAACTGACGAGTCCGCGGTCCCTGCCGTCGTTTTCCACATCGTCTACGCCCGCGCCTCCGAAACCTGCGCCTCTCGATACGAATGTGAACGCCTCCTCCGCACGGCCGAAACTACCGGGACGACAAGAGACGCCGCCATCACCACCCAACTCGGTGCTGCTGCAGAGCAATCGGGGATCGCCCATCACTCCGGTGGATAACATGGGGGCCGTAGATTCAAAGATTGTTCAAGGACACGGTGGTGGCAGTGGTGTCGACTCGCAACACAATTCGTTGATGGAAAAGTTCACCAGGGTTTTCAGAGGCCACAAACGCGGGAGTTCGGAAAATAGTTGGTCTACGACCAAGGGTGGATATCGGAGACATCGGAAGGATAACTCCCATTCGACGAATAGCACCGGGAATCCACTCTCACTACACTATCCCATGGCGTCGTCGCATACTTCGTTGCAGGATGACCTTGAGCCCACAATAGAGAAGCAGGGGCTCTATCCACACAACAAGAACATCAGCCCAAACATCAGCCCTATAAGCGCCATTAGTGCCAGCCAGGGATATGTTGGGAGCAGCACGGGGAGGAGGATTATCAATGGAGGTGAAGTGAGGATAGAAATCTTTCCGCAACAACAACAGCGACAGTCGACGGTGAGAGATGTGGCACTTTTAGGCCACAACGACGGAAGTATGAAATACTACGACTACTACACGAGGTCGAAACCAACCAGTCCCGCTGGTACACAAGAGGACGACATCTCCGAACATGACATCTCGCCGGTTAGATTCGTGCCTTCACTCATCCCAACAACGCAACCCCAGCATCGAACGTTGCGATCACGACATGATCTTGTACGTAACGGAACGGTGGATACTCAGTCTTCTTCGGAAAGTCGGGAGAGGAGGTATGTGGAGGAATCTATGGCTCGGGAATATGGGGGGTTTCAGTTCGAGGTTACGACCGACTCGCCAACTTCATACGCTCCCGTCGGCATGCCCAGGACCGAGAGTGAGACCTCGTCGAGGCCGTTCGATCGCACCAGCAGGAAAGCGAGCAGTGGTGTTCTGAACGATCCATCGCGAAGCGATTCGAGCAACTCGCGGAGCCAATCGTCACTGACCAGGAACGGCACAACGGGGAGCACATCGAGGCGACCGGTAATGAGCAGGGAAATATCGTCGAGCTCGTTCATCATCAACGGGCGAATATCGACGCAGGGAGCCGGCGGCAGCACGACGGAAGAGCAATTTGCGCAAGGATTGAAGAGACTGAGCAAGATATCGGCAGGAAGTGGGGTGAGCGGAGTTGCTATCGTCGTTACCGCCGACGGGCCTGCATCTACGCGCCGCTCCGCAGGGAGCGACGGCGCAGACGACGACGACGATCGTCATGGTGGAAGCAAGTGGACGCGGGAAGAGAAAGGCAAAGCGAGAGCGCCGTCATCTGAGCCCGGCACACACGACCAGAGGAGTCATACGCGGTCGCGAAGCGGGCAGAGCGAGTGGACGATCGGCACGGCGCCTACGCGCAGCAGCGACGATTACGACGACTCGAAAAGTCTGATTCCAGCGATACCGGACATCTTACAAACCCGGAAGCTGAAAGCACAAGAACCCAACGAGGATGTTATCGTGCACCCAGCGGACCCGAGATACGAGTTGTAAGTTTGCCTTTTTGCAGTTCCCGTCCGCTCGGACCAGTGCATATAGGATCATTGCTGACCGCATCAAGCACTTACCGTATGCGCCAGACATCGGATGACAACCCGGTATTTGTACCACAATACCGTTACGACGCACCGTTCTCGTTTCCCAACCGCAACGCGCTTGGTGCGCCCACTCCTGCGCAACCTCCCAAACCCGCAGATGGCTCCCAGTACCCGTCGTCGTCGCCGCTGGTAAATCGTGTGGGTGGTTCGCTCCTCAAGCGACCGCCAAGTGCCATCCTACGTTCGCCTGTTACCGACCCGTTCGTTGGTGATATCCCGCAAGGAGACGACACGTACGACGTGCCACCGGGTAAAGGTCAGAAGGCCAGGGTGTCTCAGACTCATCCCGCATTGAGAGAAATAAGGAACGGTGGCAGCTTGACCAGCCTAGAGATTTTTGGGAGCGGCATGAGGGCTGGTACTTTCGGTGCGGAACACAACAGACTCGACACTGGCAGATCTTCCCAAGATGTCGCCACCTCCGAGGATGGGCAGAGAATTACATGTCGCGATAATGGCCTGCTTCGGCCACCACAAGAAGCCCATCGTTCCAGTTGGGACCCGTCACGGTTCCTCGGCCAATTTCCCGCGCGGCCCAGACAGTTTATGCGTCGTTCCTTGACGCCACACCTGTACAGCCCGCAAGACGTCGACATGGACCCAGCAAAGGTCGACCAGGACCACAGTACTTTACACCGACAACAGAAGATCGGTCGGCTGCTGCTACTGGCGTGTGTGCTGTTTCCACCATTGTGGTTCGTGATGGCTTGCGGAGGGTTTGATACCTTTGTCGCGAACTGGACAACTGGGGCAGTTCGCGGAGTCGGAAGCGTCGAGAGGAAGATTGCGTTGGTCCTTGCTACTGTTGCGTGCATTGGTGCTGTGGTGGGAGTGATCGTGGGCATAAGTGTGGCATCCACAGCAGCGTAGAGGGTGGGGACAGTCCATGAAGGTGTACATATATCCATCCACCCGCACCATGACACCGGCAAACGTCTTGTTTCCTTCTGTTTTTAACTCCAACATCTGGAACGCATCATTACTTACTCTCATACCTATCTCTCACACCTCGTCTTTTCCTTTTGTTGTTTTTCCTTTTGCTTGCTTCGGTCTTGGGGAAGTTATTCCACACATACAAGATACATGGATGGGTTATCAGGGCGTTCTTCTGTTTTTTTCTTCTTTTTTTTTCTTCTTGGCTTTGGCTTTGGTTGTTTTCAAGGGAGTGCGCAGTACCTACTTTACTCTACAGTTTAGTTTTTTTGCTTTGCTTTTTTTTGCGTGCTTTTTGCGGGTATCACGGCGGTGATGGTGAGGGTGATGGTGATGGCGGAGGGGGTTATTGCTTCTTGTATATCATTTAGGGGCTGGAATTGCGGTTTGGAATTGCGTGGGGGGGGCTCGGTGGTTGGTCGGTTGGTTGCTTGTGTTTTGCTGAGCGGAACATTTCCGCTCGTTCGTTCGACTTTTGGGGGACGGGACTGGGACTGAGACGGGACTGGGTTACAGACACTGGGTTACAGATATCACACCGAAGGAAGTCACTTCCTTAATATTTCCTTTTGCTTTTTGCGTTTCTTGGTGGTGGTGGTGGTGGCGGCGGTGGGTTCCAATGGAGAGTTCTATACTACATTACGCTAGGAATAAATTAGCATCGAATGTCACTCGACGGATACTAGTGAACACACTCGATCATAATGATATTATGTGCGGAGAAAGTAGTGGTTTCATTTCCGCAGTGCGGTCTACTATACACGTATCTTAGAGGTCACATGCAATTTGAAGATAACAAAAACGGAAATGGAAACAAAACGGAAACAGCAGCAGTGATAGTAACAGCAACAGTAGCCTTCGTCACTTTTGAGTCTGGAGAACCCAGTCCAATCCAGTCCAGTCCAGTCCGACGGGGGAAGTATTTCATTATTTCATCTCTCACAGGTACTATGTAGGTAGGTACACTCATAGCTCCGTCCGTCCACTCCTCTATCCGGGTTTCCATCATTATCATTATCATTATCATTCCTTCATGTCCCCCCACCCCCACCCCCACCCCCTCCTCCTCCTCCTCCTCCTCCTCCTCCTCCTCCCCACCCTCCACCGCCGCTCCCTCTCCGTCACCACCGCGCTCCCGCTTGCCTTCGTCGCGGCGATAGCCGTTCTCGCGCCCGGCCTATGGCTAATCCGTTTCCGCCGGCAACGTCGGCGGCGCCGCCAGGCAGCGTTGCGGCGCGAGCAGCTCGACGTCTGGATTCCGGCTGGCGATGACAGCGACGGACGCGGGTACCGCGGCGTCGGTGTGGGACGCGTGGATGTGCGGCGCGAGGGCGTGACTGAGCTTGGCGAGGTGGATGGGGTGGGCGGGAGGGTGGTTGTGGGGGTTGTGTAAACTACTGTAATATATAGAGGGGGACCGGGGGATCAGTAGATCCCCCTCCACCCCCTGCTTTCGCGCTTCATTCCGAGTCCCACGTACCGTGCGGCCGCGAAAGCGAGGAGGGCGCCGACGTAGCTGGCCGCGGTGAAGGCGATGAGGCCCTGGTACCCTCCGCTGCTCGCGGCAACGATTTGTCCCGCGATCGGGATTCCCGTCAGCGTCGCGAAGCTGACGAAGAAGTAGCACGTGCCGTATTTGGTGCCGTATTCGCGCGTGTTACAGATCTGGCCTACGCATACGGGCGTGAGCGAGATGCCAGAGCCGGAGCCGAAGCCGTAGAGGAGCGCGAAGAGCGTCATCACGGATTGTTTGCCCACGAGCGTGGGGATGTAGGCCGCTGGGAGCCACAGGGAGAGCACGGTCAGCAGGCAGAAGGAACACGTTAGCAGCATGATGTTGAAGCGCCCTGTCTTGTCGGCGACGAGCCCGGGCAGCCACCGTCCGAACACGGAGCCGACGTTGAGGATCGCGAGCATCTGGTAGGAGAAGGCATATGGTAGGCCGAGGTGCAGAGAGTATGAGGTTAGGTAGGTTATCGGGATGAAGACGGCCCATTCGATCATGAACACGCCGACGGTAGTGAGGGAGAACCGGGGATCAGCAAAGGCTGTGAGATCGATTTTGACGGAGGTGATGGCGTGGCGGAGGGATGATTTATTGTTTGCGGATGTGGAGGAGGAGCTGGGAGGGTTGATAATTGATGTCCGGGCTTTGATCAGGACGTTGCCTAGGATGAGGAAGGTGAGCACGATGAAGCCGACTATACGGATTGCCCAGCCGAAGCCGACGGAAGGGATGGCGGCTTGGATCACGAGCGGGAAAATGATTCCGCCGATGGAGCCGCCGGTCGTGGCGACGCCCGTGGCGTACGCGCGCTTCTGGAGAAACCAGTGCCCGACCGAGGCTACCGCAGGAGTGAAGATGAGTGATGTGCCGATGCCGCAAAGGACTCCGAAGGAGAGCATAAAGTGCCAATATACTACATAAAACGTCAGTTTTTCTGGTCATCGATTGGAAATGGGAATACAAACCTGTAGAGATGCTGAACAACATCAATCCCACCACTAAACACACCGTTCCCAGCACCAACAGTGCCCTCGGTCCAAACGCATCAAATATCGGTCCTGCAATCATCAGCCCATCCCATTCCTCCATTCGTTGACGTCGCAGAACATGTGTACATACCAATTTGTATCCCGCCGAAAAAGCTCAGGAAAGAATACATTCCAAAGATCCACCCAATCTCACCCGTGGAGTGTCCCGAAAGCTGGTGTTCGCTGAGGTGTGCGTGCAATGTCCCAATGGTGTTCATGACGCCAAAGCTAGCGATCATCGAGATGCAGCTGCCGAAGACCACCGTCCAGGCTCCCCGGCCGCCTTCGGGGTATTCCACCTCTGGCCCTTCATCATCATCGGAGGAGGCGGAGCTAGGTTTCTCCGGGTCATGCTCGGCGGAGGGGTGGGGGCGTGTAGCCGATGTATGCGAGAGGGAGTGCGAGAGTACTGGGAGATCGGTCGGCGCCTGTGTGGTACCCACGTCGTCGTCGCCGGCAATGTCTCGGAATCCGGTGGTGTTCGAAGACATCTTCCAATTGAATTCCGAATGGCAATGAGACAGAGGATCCGAGTCAACTTAAGTACATATGGTAGCCGGTAGGTAACCTCCGCCACCAAAAAGATGGACAAGCTACCCGCAGATCTAGCGGGTTCCGTAGACAGGCTAAAGGCTACGCCTGCCAGTGTCGGATTGGATTGTTCGTTCTGTGCGCGTGAGACCGAGAGAGTTGGATTGGCGCAAGAAATGTAGGTACTCTCACTCCCCACAGTCCCCACAGGCTGGCAAAGAAGCTTTAAGCTTAACGGCCTTTCCAGAGCGTTCAGTGTGTTCCAGACCCCCACAATACCCATCCAGACTGCGATGTTCCAAAGCGAATGTTCGTTTTCTCAGGCCGCGATCTGCAGGAAGGGTGGGGGCGGTTTTTATACACGCTTCGGCCATCGCCGACATGTTGAAAAGCGACTGCACGGTACATGCATACATATCCAAAGCGCGAAGAAAGAAGCGACGGGGAGAATAGATAACCTTGAAGCTTGTCCAAGCCGGATATTGCGGATGCTTAGACTGGTCTGGAAGATGCCATTGAGTTACGTAATTGCCGAAGGAAAGCGTGCGCTGTCTGCAGGAGCGGACCGAGAGACGGTGCCGGCCGGTCGGGTACCGTATGGCTGGGTCTTCGGGCTACGGAGAGCGAGGCTGCGAGACCAACAGCACATATCGTGGGGAGGTCCTGTTGGTGGGAGAGAACATCAAATTATTATCGCATACGGCCTGTCTAGACTATGGCGATCCTTACCCGGCCCTTCCTGCCAGACCCCGCTATGTACCTTGCGGTTCGTCACTGTGCTACCTACCGGTATTCTGGCAGCTGGAAAAGTCATCACAACAGATGGTACCGGATGACTAGCGGTATGATGGCGTTCGTTCATGGCCTCAAGCCCACAATCGGCTAATCAGCGCATTTACATCTTTCTTTAGGAGGATGATTCGCTTGGTGTTGAGACTGTGCGGTTGACTTGACACGTGACCCTAAGCATTTGTAGACAAGCACCAGCTTGGTTTAGAGGAGCCGACCCTTCCAAGACCTACTTACCAAATGCGTGTAAAAGGTCAACTCCACATTCCAGAAGGGCTTGCTTCTCTTTCCCCACACTTTCACTTCTCCACTCGACCTACCAGTAGCTTCCAAGTTAGAGTTCGGTACACTTCAACTCGCGCTTCAGGTTGCTGCTAACTACAGGCTTGCGATTTCTACCGTATTATCTTGCCGTTGCTGTGGACATGTACCCCGCCACTGAACTGCACACTCCACCAACGCCTGATTGGTTCATTTGGTCAAACAGTCTTGACAGGACGTGGACGGGAAGTCTGGAAATCAGCCCTGGATTAGTTATCCCCTCAAGACAGCGCCACTAAACAAATCAAGCGCTGCATGCCACAGGGCTGAGTCGATGGTGTTACTGACGCCCATGCTCGCAGGCCGGTGTCCGACATCCGGCTTTCTAGTAAAAAGTCAACAGCAGTCGTCCTCATATTGCACTCTTCCAATCACAATGGGCGTTCTGCACCAAGCGATATACCTATGTTTGGCATTTCGACTTCGTATTCAGTCGTTTCGGAGACTCAGCCTTGTCGATCCTACTACTAAGCCTCAACGGTGGCTGTGTGATGTTAATGGGTTGCTCTGCTGTGATCGTTGATATAAATTGAACGTAGCCTCTCTAGATCGCCATGCATGTAGTGCAGAGTGCATACCTTCGAACATGAACCCCACATCCGTCAAACCAAGGACCCCTCCAATCGACCCGATGGCAGACGACGACCGTAAATCCTATCCATCCCTCTCGTCGTCGCCGCCCGCCTACAAAGAAACAGCGGACGCCCGCCCTACAAGCTCATCCTCCACCTCGACCTCCACCGCCGCCCCCGTCAAGACCCTGCACGTCTACCACTTCCCCGCCGCCAACTTCCAGCGGGCCCACGTTATCAAAAGCGCCGACAAGTTTACGGTCGAATACACGGTGACCTACCACACGCGCAACCCGTTCTCCTCTGGGTCGGCGGCGGACATCCTTGTCTACCGCGATGGGGTCGTGGGTGACGTCATCCTGCACACCTTCTCCACCAAAATCCACTGCTCGACGGTCGAGAGCGATGGTGTGAAGAGACCGTTGGTGCTCAAGCCCGCCGGTGCGTTGAGCAGCAGCTTCCGCACCGATTTTGGGCGCATGGGTGGAAGCGTCGTGTGGAAGGCGACGATGAAGGATACCAGTATGTGGAGCTGGGGGAATTTGAAGTTGGTGGAGGAGGGCACCGGGAGGGTGATTGCGAGGTTCATGAGTAGTCAGCACAAGAGCGTGAAGAAAGTGGGACGGTTCGAATTGTGGGGCGAGAAGACAGAGGATCCGGAATGGGTTACTGCCGTGGTTACTACCGGGCTCGGGCTGTTGGAGTGGGATAGGCGGTTACGGACCTAGGCGGATGTGATGCAATGGTTCGGGAGTTTTGGATTTGTGACTGGAGCATATGTAACGGCTATACCAATGTGATTCTTTGATCAATTTTGCATATGTTCATCGGGTCCTTTGATATGATCTCCTTGACCTCCCCATCAAGCTTAACTACAGCCTAGAATACAGCAAACCAAGTGGTTGATGTTCCAGGCAGGGGAGTGGTGCGACGAAGGAAGCTGTGGCCTCCAATCAATTGGCCAGCTAGCCCAAAGATGTCAAGGTCAACAACCGCCTCTACCGCCGAGACTGCCATCGGCATTGCTCCAAATTCGATTCCACGGCTATCGGTAGATAAACATAGCTGGGTGTCGTGCTCACTGGGCGGGGAGGATCATAGACTCCACCAGAGCCGGAGCCGGCTGCCTCACAAGAGATGATTAGAAGACCGAAAGGCGGGAAGAGTTGTTGTCGTTGTGAATGCCGATACCACTTCTGCTTTAGGAATGAGATACACTCATATATAGCAGCGCGTAACCAAGTGCCGCCCTAAGAAATCAATACACCCAGTTTTGCTACAGGCACAGTGCCTGCACGATCCACTCGCACTCCACTCTAGTTACTATACTCTATCTTCTCTGTCGGTGATTACTCAAGCAACTTCGATTCTACACCTCAACACCAGATGTCTTAATGCGTGTTTTCCACCCCCCGAAGAGGAAGTGGATCCGAGAATTGACGCTGTGTATCTACCGGGCAGGCGCGGCATTCACTGGTGTAGCACATGTAACAAGCCAATTCCGCATCGCCGTTGGGATGCGGATGCGGAGGCGGCGAGCGCCGGATCGACAGTACATACAAGCTTCATATGTACCTGCCCGAAGAAGCGCCGTACGAACTAGCGATAGGGAAATTGCTTGAGCACTTACCAGACCTGTCGATATTCCTTTCTCCGGCGGGGGACATACTATGTGGATTACTCCGATGCCGCGTTCATTATCTGGACCTGGGACCTAAACCTGGCCCGTAACGTCATTTAGTTGCACCGTATCGATATAACACTGGACACTGGGGCTCCACTACATCGTCGTGTGGTGAATTGTTTGCATTGGGATGGTGACTTCCCAGGCCTCGGTATTGCCATCATCCCTCCGGGAAAGCCATGGTCTGTTAGCAGCCCTCATGAAAAGAACGGTATTAATATCCGTTGAGGAGGACGGGCGGGTACGTGAGGTGTACCAAGTACTTAACCTGGCACTCCCGCACATGCTCTAAGCTCTTCTTCACGCTTTCGAGGAGCCTTGGTCTCGGTATCCCTTCGTTGGATTCTAGAATTTTCATAGCTCGATCATGACGCTCTTGATATGGTTGGCACTCGTGCCCGCCGTGGCCATGGTTGCGCAGGCGACTTTGACACCCGAGTGAGTTCACTTGCCCATCCGTCGGCGATGGTGATCGTACAGCTTGCCCGGAGACAGATTTAGCTGACCGTCGATGCCTCATATAGGAAGCTTATCAGTGCACCGAGACGAGGAGAGGCAGTTCCTAACAACTCCGGGGTATGAATGGCTACTGTCGGCTGGTAAACAGGAGGTTGGTTGCTAAATCGTCGTTGCATTATAGAAGTTGGCCATCTACTCGACCTCCGAGTACTCTTTCGAGACACACTCCAAGAAATCATGGTACAGCGTTATGGACGTTAGCACTGGCAGGAGCACTGTTCTTACCAATGATTCCGCCGTGGAAGAGATCGTGTGGGTGGATGATACTACGCTACTATATATTAACGGCACGAACTCGGACGTGTCCGGCGGCGTAGAGCTGTGGATTTCTACGGTGAATAAGTTCACCAGTGGGTATGTACACATAGCTTCTGATGTTGTATAGCATCCTAATCACCATCTTCCCTCAGGTACAAGGCCGCCTCGATCCCCGCGCCTCTCGCAAATCTCAAGATCGCCGTCACAAAGAGCGGAGACATTAACTTTCTACTTTCAGGCCAGGCTTACGCCAACGGCGCCGTCTACAACGAGGAGCTCGTCGAAACCCCCCTCTCCACCGCCCGAGTCTACGACTCCCTCTACGTCCGCCACTGGGACGTTTGGCTGACCTCCGAGACCTACGCCCTCTTCTCTGGGTCCCTCAAGGGTAGCACCAAGAAGACCTTCGACGGGAAACTCAAGAACCTCCTCAAAGGCACCAAGAACCTCGAGACACCCGTGCAGCCGTTTGGTGAGGGCTCCGACTTTGCTATCACTCCGGACGGAAAGACGGTAGCATTCCTGTCCAAAGCTCCCGAGCTGCCGCAGGCAAACAATACCGCCTCGTATATCTTTACCGTGCCGCACGATGGCTCCTCCGTTGCAAGAGCAGTGAACGCACCCACATCCCGCGGAACTCCCAAGAACGCCCGTGGTGCATCCTCGCTGCCAACGTTCTCGCCAGATGGAAAGAGCCTCGCCTACCTGCAGATGGACGATGCCACGTATGAATCCGACAGGAACAAGCTGTACACGACCAAGCTCGGCAGTGGCGTTATCAATGGCGTCGCGCACAACTGGGATCGCTCGCCAGCCGGATTGTCGTATAGTGCCGATAGAAAGAATTTCTTCCTTTTGGCGGAGGAGTACGGTCGAGAGAAGCTGTGGACCCTGCCCGTGTCCTCCGGTGCGAATGCCACGCCGAAGGCAATTACCCACGAGGGCTACATCGAATCGTTCTATCAGATCTCCAACAACAGCATCCTCGTCAGCAACAGCAGCATGGTCTCTTCCACCGGCTTCGCCGTCATCAGCACCAGCGGCTCCAGCGAGCCGAAGGTGCTCCTCGCCCCGAACAAGATCGATCCGCAGCTTGCCGGGCTATCAGATTCGCAGGTGGACGAACTCTGGTACGAGGGCAACTGGACCACGATCCATGGGTGGATCGTGAAGCCGAGTGACTTCGACGCAAAAAAGACATATCCCCTCGCGTTTTTGATCCACGGCGGTCCGCAGGGATCGTGGGCGAATAGTTGGAGCACGAGGTGGAACCCGGCGGTGTGGGCGGATCAGGGCTATGTTGTTGTTGCGTGGGTTCCCTTTCGCAATCTTAGACAGTGAAGATACGTGACTGATGAGCGTCCAGAATCAATCCTACCGGATCCACCGGCTACGGAGAGGAACTCACCAATGCCATCCAGAACGACTGGGGCGGCGCCCCGTACGACGACCTGGTCAGGGGCTTTGACTATGTCGCCGACAACTACGAATACATCGACACGGCCAACGCCGTAGCAGCGGGGGCATCCTACGGAGGCGTAAGCCTCCCTTCCCCATCCCATCCCATCCCACCGCCATCCATCCCACTAACACCGCCCACCTAGTATATGATAAACTGGATACAAGGCCAGCCCTTCGGCCGCAAATTCAAGGCGTTAGTGTGTCACGACGGCGTGTACTCCACGCTCGACCACTACCACAGCGAGGAGCTATTCTTCATGCAGCACGACTTCAACGGGACGCTGTGGAACGACCGCGAGAACTACGAGCGGTTCGATCCGACCCGCTTCGCGATAAACTGGGCTACCCCGCAGCTGGTCATACACAATGACCTCGACTTCCGTCTGCCCGTGAGTGAGGGCATTGCGCAGTTCAATATTCTGCAGGAGTTGGGCGTGCCGTCCCGGTTGTGAGTTTCTCTCCCCCCCACCCCCCCACCCCACCAGTATCGACGGTAAATGCTAATTGAATACCTATATAGCTTGAACTTTCCAGATGAGAGCCATTGGGTTATTAAGCAGGAGAACAGTCTGGTCTGGCATAAGGAGGTGCTGGGGTGGATTAATAAGTGGTCGGGTGTTAAGGGGACTGTCTAGACTGCAGAGGGAAATGATGTTATTTACGGTACATAAGTGTTGGTTAATACTGATTGTCAGTGGTTATGTGTAATTAAGAGTTGTCGGGTTCAGGTATGGAGGTGAAGTAATATCTGATGTCTGGCCGAGTGGATGGATGGCGGCGTGCGTTCACAGTAGGTACTGAGGGTGGACACCACAACGTAGCCGGATTCCAAGAAAATCCGGCGAGGGCCTGGTCTTGTAGGTGTCCACCCTCCGTATTAATCGCCCGGTTCCCGGCTTCTAGTTGCAAATACCGGAATAGAGGTACAGTTTCGCGAAGTTCTGACTCCCAGAGAGAAGTAGTGACATCAACGGACGTTCATTTGATCATTTACATGTTTAGGTATAAAAGACATCCCAATGCCGCAGTTATCCCATGCTTACGATCTCTGAATACCCAAACTCTCCGGCGGCGCACCAAACCTTTCCGGCTCATGCGTCGGGGCATTACCGAGGGCCTCCTCAATCCTCTTCATAATCTCAGGCGTAAGCTTATCGACCACCTGAAGTGCGCCAATGTTCTGGATGACCTGCTCGGGCCTGCTCGCGCCCGTGATGACGCTGCTGATGTTCTTGTTCTTGAGGATCCAAGCGATGGCGAGCTGTGCCTGGGGAACACCGAGCTCCTCAGCGATGACTCCGATCTTCTGCGTGGTCGCCAGCTGCTCCTTCATCTCCTTATCGTTGCCGAACTTCTCGCGGAAGCCAGTGATGAAGGGGTCCGCATTCTTGTTGGCTTCGCCGAAGCGGGAGTCCTCGGGGATCGTGGCATTGTTGTATTTTCCAGTCAGGATGCCGAGTTTCAAGGGCGAGAAGGTGGTGAGTCCGAGGCCGTGGCGCGCGTACAGCGCGTGGAACTCTTTCTCCACTTTCTCACGGGAGAGCATGTTGTACTGCGGCTGCTCCATCTATGTTCCCCGCACAAGTTCATCATCAGTATGTTTACCTAGCAGACTTGGTATAGCAGGAGGGGATAAATACCAGCGGCCCGATCAACCCCAACTTATCCGCCACCCTCCAGGCATCAGCAATCTCCTCCGCGCTCCACTCACTAGTTCCCCAGTAGAACGCCCAACCGCGCTCAATAACATGATTGAACGCGCGCACGACCTCCTCCATGGGCGTCTGTCTGTCGGGGCGATGCGCATACACCAAGTCGACATACTCGAGCCCCATGCGATCCAGACTTGCACGCATACCCTCAACAACATGCTTCCGCGACAGTCCTATCGTGTTCTGCGCCCGCGACTTGTGCGCGCTGTTGCCGCCGCCGAAGTTGATCTTGGTGCTGATGACCACGTCGCAGCGGTTCCAGCCGAGCTCGCGGACGGCCCGCCCCATCACTACCTCCGACGAGCCGCCGCCGTAGCCTTCGGCTGTGTCGAAGAAGCTTTAGGTGCGGGAAGGTTAGATGCGCCGGGAGAGAAGCGAGTGAGGGGGCTAACTTGACGCCGTGGTTGTATGCGGTCTCGAGACAGGCGAAGGTCTGTTCGTCTTGGACGTGGCCGCCGTAGGTGAGCCTGTGTGAGGAATCCGTGTCAGCAAGGTAACCAATTGAATAGAAGACTGCAAGCGGGTAGCTACCATCCTCCCAGGGAAATGGCCGAGACCTTCAGTCCCGAGCGGCCCAGGAAGCGGTACTCCATGGGGGAAAGTGGTTCGGTGGCCATTGTCTGGTAGGTATGTTGCGAGTGTTACTAGGTGTTTGTATTGTAAGGAAGGTACAGAGACTGGAGAGAAGGGCCACGGTTCAGTCGGAGGTCGCCATTAAATAGAATGTCCGCCATGACCAGCGCCATGCTATGTATGATGTCGTCCCGCCCCGCTAGGTTAACTAGTGGGGTGAACTGCATCGGTGGCTGCGGGGATTCGGACCGAGTAATGCGGGGTGGTTGAGCACGGGGATTAGCCCGGCGATAGCGACATTGATGCGGATCCGGGATCCCCATCAACGCATCTATGAGTCCATGTGCTCGATTGATTAACCACATGCGATGGCCATCGACAAGGTTATGTATGTATAAAGCGGGTTTTTGGGCCTGCCGGGGTGAGGAGGACATTTTTTCGGTAGCAGACCGGGAGTTTTTGGTCATCACTGTGCTGAGTGGACTGTGGACTTGATTCTTGATTCGGTTTTCTCGCTGTCTAGAGTCCAAATGTGGAAATAAATAAACATTCCCAGTTTAGGTATCCATGTACTGTACTCTACTCGTGGTTCCTTCCATGGAGTTCCGTGATCCATCATCCATCCCCCCCAACGACACAATCATCCCAACTTCATCACTGTCTCAGCCTCTACGGCATGATCTCTCTCCGGTAAAGCCGGCGAGCCGGCGAAACACCGTCCCCGACTCCCGGAGGACGGTGCACTCCGACGCCGACAGATACCAAAACGGACATGATTGGTCGTCCAGTCGTCATCGGTCACGAATAAACCCTCATATCTAGTACCTCGTCGAGTACATACCTCATACCAGCATGGCAATTTCCATGTCTGGCCGCGTTCGAAGCAACTGGGATGTCATTGCGTGCTCGTGATCACCACTTCCGCTCAGTGGGGCGAGATGGATGGATGGATGGCTACAGCGGCGTTAAAAGGACATGTATTGTACATAACTGAAGCTTCCCAGGTCGATTGCGGTTATGTATCATACCACTGACTTTTTGAGAACCTTTTGGGAATTTCAGCGAATGATGGATTGAGAGTTGGTTCTCCCTCGACAGTTTGTCGGCCGTCAACTACCTCGACACGAATAAGCTCGTCAAATGACCTCGATGAGGCTGTTCCTAGGACTCGTAATGGAGTCTTTTCTTTTCCCACTCCCCTTCCTGCTATGGTTAATGTTCGCTGGGCTGCGTGGGGCCGCTGGAGGAGCGAGTCTTTGCCACGGCCCGATATGCGGAGCGAGGTCATCTACGGAACCATAGAGCAGCCGGTTGCATTGCTCACAAACCCCACAACTAGCGATGGCAGCGGCCGTAACGGGGGATTGATATATCTGCCGCAAATTTCCCAACGGCCAACGCTAACTGGCACACTGCCATCGGTCTTTGTTGCGAGCAGGAACCAATCATTCACCGTCACTCGATACGGCAATCCGGCATCGTGATTTGTCACTCGTCAAACCACCAAGCTCCCGCAGGCCGCAGCTCCGCTTCTGCTCGATACTTAATCACGCAAGAGAGTATGACGTACCGGTATATGGAAAGCTCCAAAACTACCGTTGGATCCATCCGCTCCTGAACGTCAAGCTAGGAACATAGGCGGCCCAGTCCGTCGGCACCTAGAGCTGCAGTACCGTAGTTAGAGTGGGCAAACCGGTCCGGTCTCGCGAGACACAACTGCCTCTCTCCTGTATGGGGCTAGAGCATCTACTGCTAGCCGGTGATCCCACCGGAACCTGGGCGGCCTCGTTAAATGCTTATTCTATGGCGCCCATCTCGGTGACTTTATGTCAGAAGGTTTATGTCGATTCTTGACATTGGCAACACATTAATTTACTTCCTCGTTTACTCTCGAAACACGCTGAACGGCTAAATCGCAAATATAACGTGCCTGATAAAGTATAGTACAGAAAAAGTAAAGTCTATCAATCAAGGTATTTAAAGCAACGGGTATAGACGACGAACGATCCAAAACAAGCAAAAACCACAGTCCAAACCAAAAAGAAGCGCTCCCCCAATGACAAACTCCTCCCAAACAGAACTCCGTATCACCCTCGACGCCCCAGCCAGCCCTCTACTTCCTCCACCAAGTCAACCAACTCTTCTGCCCGCCCCCAGTGCCATCGACGGCAAACTTTGGCGGCGGGAGACTAGCCACGATCTCGGCGGCGCGCTCCTCGTCGTCGAACTCCTCGTGCCCGCCGTCTTTCCACAGCCGCCGCTCGTACTCCGTCGCCCACAGTGCGGCGCCAGTGCCCGTCGAGAAGAGGAAGAAGATGCTGGCCACCGGAATCAGCTGCAGACACACGTGCACGAGCCCGAACAGGAAGTAGCGGAAGCGGTTGCGCCGGATGAAGCGGCGCCGCTGCGATTTGTCCCAGCCCAGCAGCTGGAAATAGCGGTAGTGGCAGAGAGGGCCGAGGTGGAAGCCTTCACGACGGACGGACAAGTCAGCGGGGGGTATTGGGGGCGGTGTGAGGGGGCGGGGAGAGGGGTACACACCTTGCAGGCAAAGGAATATCGCCGTGCCAACAACGGGGATGAAGCACAACGGCAGCTCGAGGATGAAGTAAACACCCATGCGGACGCTTTCTCGGGACTTCATGTACGGGCTAAGTCTGTGATTCCCCAGCCGCCGTCTGCCGTCCTCGTCCACCACTAGATCGCGGGTAACCCTGACCATAGCCTCGGCGCGCTTGTTGAGGCCGCGCACTCGCTTCGTCCCTGATAGCAGCACGATGTCGAATACATCGACGATCTGCTTTTCGGTGAGGAACGACTCGGCGATGAGTGCGACGATGGTGCCGGACTCGGAGAGGATCATTGTTGCGGCGGCGCTCCGCGGGAACGGCTCGTGGAAGAGGCTAAGGATGAAGACGTGGGGGAGCCATAGGAAGGCGAACATAAAGATCACCACGAAGAGCGATAGCAGACATAGTGGCAGGACGCGGGAGTAGAGTGAGGGGTGGAGGGAGCGGTGGGCGATAAGATGCGGGATGCCGTGGATCGGGTAGAAGAAGGAGCGTTTCGGCAGGCCCTGGGTTGCATGTTGTGGGGTTGGTGGCGGGCGGGGGCTGATGGGGGAGGGTGCCAACAATGGCTGCGCGTGTTCCGACATCAGCACTCCTCAATACTATATTCTGTGAAGCGTTCAACTGGAGGAGGAGGTTTTACGTTTCTTTCTGACGACTGCCGATTCCCCATAACTAATTCTTCCCCCTTTTTTCTTTGTCGTTAGCATATAACGGCACAGACCCACCCGGGTGAACGAGATCCCTTTCTGCTTCTGGCTTGGGGGTTTGGGCGGGTATCGTGAGCGTGTGGTGGAGGGAACAGGGCGGCTGAAAAGTAGGCCGCTACTTTAACCAATTCCCGGCGCGTCATGTGCTGGGCACGAGCACAGCCACACAGACAGCGGGGCATTCACGTAGAGGTTCTCATGGCAGTCCATCACGCCGTGATTCGGGCCTCTAGGGAAGTCAAATTTCAGGAAATATGACGAATATCGAACATAGTGAACGGAATACGATCGTCGAGAAGCATTCCGGATCCACCGGGAAAGATTGAAGGGACAGCCGTACATAGCGTCTTTCGTTCGGAAGCTTGAAGGGAAGACGGATTCATGCAGGGACCCAGCCAAAGCGTGTGACTGGACTGCTGGTAGTTATTGTCCTAACCCTACGAAGGCAAAGATACGATAGGCCGAGACACGCTGGACGATCCGGACGGTAGTTGCAGGACCGTCTGCACATGTAGGAAGTATGTACCTTGGCATCACCAATTTTCGGGACACGGGGAACCACGATTGCGTGAAGAACCCATTATTACATAGACTACTTGTAGGTACTTACACTACTCGGCGCCACAGAAAAGATATCTGGAGAATTCCTCGCCCATGGAAGCAAAGCCAAGTACATATCCAAGTACTTAAGTGGGTAGACAAAGGTATACATGTACAGGAACAAGAAGATTGGGAAAGGACAACTAAACACTCCATCCATACCGCACTCCAAGACAATGATTTTAACCCCACTCGTCTGCAAAATCCATCTCGTCAAGTCATCCCTCGCCTATCCATATATTAATCCGCCTTGATGGCACTACAATAAAAATATTAGCCATGTCACTGATGGGTCATTGTAGGAAGGGAAAGACATACCCATAAATCTTCCTCACGAAAGCGTAACTCGCCAAGAAGCCGACGGTTCCCACGAGCACACCGTAAACGCAACACGCCAGGGCACTGTAGGCAAAGAACAGTAGTCCACTGACCCATCCGTGGACCGCCAGTCTCGTCCAGTAGTACCAGCCGGAGTAAATGAACACCCAGACAGCACTCCCGGCACCCACCAAGAAACTTCTCCACCACCACTGCCAGTTCTCGGAGCAGAGCATAAAGTAAGTCATGATGATTGAGATTTCCATGACCGTTAGTAGAAGCACTCCGGCAATGAGCCCGAGGAACCCGAACATGTAGTAGTAGGTGGACTTGTCCTGCCAGAGCGATTTGAAGACAAAGAGAAGCTCAATGAAGATAACCGCAAAGGGGATGAGACCACCGAGGAGGATCGAAGGGATCGTCTTGAGGTACCATGGCTGCGGGGGCATTTGGCGGGCAATCATGGTTGTACGGGTTGGGTGCTCCCAAGGGTCGCGTTTGAAGCCAAGGTAGGAGCCAACGAACACAAGAGGAAGGGCGATACAGAGCCACATGAAGATCAGAGCAAGGAGTGTGGTGAACGGGATTGCCGTGGATGAAGCCTGGGCCCAGACGAAAAGGTTAAGGACGAAGACCGAAGCAAACATGAACCCCGGGAAAATAAGGGCGGTCATCAATGCGTTCTTCTTCCAGTTGTCACCCTTGAAGGTCTTGTAGACGCGGGTAGAGAAATAACCGGAGAAGACACCACCAAACACGAAGAGGAAAAGGCCGAAGGAGATGAATCCTCCACGGTAGCTGGGGTTCAAGACACCTGTCGCGGAAAGGACGATCAGTGCAATCATGACCAACATGAGCTGCACACCGCTGCCGACCACCGGCGCAAAAAGACCTCCCATGTTCGGTGGGCGGAAAACATCGCCGTGGACCAATTTCCAGCCGGTGACATCCTCCAATGCTTCGTCTTCTTCAGCTTCCTCGGCAGCTTTCTTCCTAGCCTCGGGGTCGCTAGAGGGGCCGGTTTCGTTGTACTTCTGAATGTCGCGGGAAAGAGTCCGTAACATAACAATGGCAACGACGATGGTGAGCAGCATGGCGATGACGACGGAGTTGACGATTGCCAACCAGTGGATGTGCACCGACTCTTCGTCGTTGACGAAGTAGCGATCCCACCTGTTGGCCCAGTCGATGCCATTCTCCTCCTTCCAGTAGACCGAGTATGTGTACGGGATGCTCAGCTTTTCTCCGTCTTTTGGCACACTGAGCTCCAACGCGGGCTGGTTCTCCAAGTTCTCGGGGCATTTGCCCGCCGGTCCGGCGATGGATTTAGGGTAGACCTCGAACGCAACGATGAGTTTGCGGTTGCTGTTGGGCGCCCGTCGCCAGCGGATGACGAGAGTAACATGGTTGTTGAGGTAGACTTTCTACACAGCTGTCAGCACTTGCCTCTGCCAAAGTTTCGCAAGTTCTTTACCGAATCCTCGAGGTATCCTAACTTGAAGCCGGCCGCGTAGTATTTCTTCGACTTGTCAACCGTCACAAATGACGTCGCGCCCGGAAGGTTATCCACGATCCTGCGAAAACCCCATCAGCACTCTCTCCACCCCCACCCCACCAACCGCAGGAACCGGAGAAGCCCACCATTCGACAATATACCCCTCCCTAACTAGGTCCCTAGCCCACTGGATATCTCGTTTCTCGACCTCCTTGTCACCCAGATGCTTACACGCCTCATCTTTCCCCATGACGAGCTCATAGTCACTATTCGAGATGCGATCGCCGCGCAGCACCTCACCCAGATTCAGGCCAATAGTTCTGGACCCGAATTTCGACCCAAACCCATCTTTCGTCGCCGGGACGACGAACGGAAGCTCGGCGTACGCGAAGGGCAGCTCCGTCGTCGGCGACGAAATCTTGTTCGTCGATAACGCTATGGGATCGTTGTCCTTATACGAGCGGACAGACCAGCCTACATATGAGCGATCAGCGGGGGGACGTCCCATGTCGCAGCGCAGAACCGCGTCCGAGCGGAGATGCGCGCGGAAGGGGGAGGGGGGAGGGAGGGCAGCCCACCTGGAATGTAGAAGGCCGAGCAGAGGGGTGCCAATGCTGCCGGCAGCAGCAGTAGAGTATTGGAGAGCTTCATGACAGTGTGTATTTCCGCGAGCCGGTGGTCTCGAAAGCTGAGAAGTTGGGATGGGATATGCAAGTGGAAGGAGTTATGTGGGGGGGTTTCGTTTCCAAATCCCACGAAAAGCCTTGCGGCGGTTCACAGTGAATTGACTACAGGCTGCAAGATGTCAGGATCCGAACAAAGGTCAGACAGACGTAATGCACAGAAGGATGTGTATGTAAGACTTACGACGCTCGTTGATTGAGGATGGCGTGTTGAGGGAAGATTGTCCACGGTCAGGGACTGGATCGCTCCCTACTCTACAAGACCTCCTAACCCAAAGTCAGTGGCGGCAGTGTCAGCTTCGGATGACTAACCCAATCAGCCTTACAGCCACATGACGGTCATGGTTTATCACTAGTCTAGGGACTCCAGTACCATGGCTAATTAGGTGTCACGGTTTTAACTCAAGACCCATGCCAATCAAGGTGGCCTTATATAAGCCTTCATGATAGACTTTGAGGAAGAGAGAGAGAGGGAGCGAGAGCGAGAAGCGGTGAACCAGTGATTGAATTGACTGTCTACTTGGTTGAGAAACAAAAGAGCGGACAACATGGGCGGTTTATATACAACAAGAAAACGAGAAATACAGTACTATACTGAACGACACCTGTCTTCCACCTAATCCTCGAGCCTTTTCTTCCCATATTGCCTATGCTCATTGCGAATAGCCATTGCGTGTCATATCTTCTCCCACATTACGCGTCCTGGCTTTTGAGTTTGCCAGGCTGTGGCGACACACTTTTCTTCAGTACATACCGTACTAGAAGGTAGGTCTGGTATGAGGTAGGTACCAAGCAGGTCCAGTTCAAATAGTCACGCTGACAGATTTTCTTCACCGACTCGATGGACGGACAGGTTTGATGAGAATAAAATAATTGGATATAATCGAACTATAAAGGCAGCCAGGCAGGCAGGGTAGATACATGAAATACAATAGGAAAAATCAAAAACCCTCCACTGGCCCTTTTTTTCATCAAACACCTCACTTCCGCACCAACTACCGTCCAGTCCAGACACCGCTCTCCCAGTAGTCACAACGGTCTTTTCTGGTATCCGCTCCATCGACATTCTCAAACTTCAACAACCCCACATTCAACATCTTGACGTAAGTGCCCACGGTGGCGGGCACCATATCGATCGTCGGGGGAAGGGACCCCGTCTGTCTGTACGTATTGGGGCTTCCGGACCGGACGAACGAGGTGAAGTAGCTCTGGAACCCGGTGGCGAGATTCTTCTCGGTGATGAAGTTCAGGTCGAAATCGAGCTGGAAGAGGTTGTAGATGTTGAGATCCGTCCGCCAGAAGGTGAAAATTAGATCGAGCCCGTGGACTCCCGGGGGAACGGCGAACTGGTAGGACCAGGCCTTACCGGCGTACGCTTTTGCGACGGCCCGAACATTGCACGTGACGACCCAGTCCCCGATTAACTGGACTAGGCGCTCGTAGTTGGAAAAGAATGGACCGAAGATGCTGGGATTGGGGTAGAGATCGTCAAGGGCGTCCATGTTCGCGGTGGAGATGGACGGGAAGTTTGATGCAAGGAGCTTATCGACCTGTGAGTTGAGGATCTTGGTTGGGTCGGCAAAGATGATGCCCTCATTGCTGGTATGTCCGACGATGACACTGACGTCCTTCCAGTAGTTGCCATTGGCCATCTCGATGCTCGGTAGGTCCATGATGTATTGGTTGTCCACTGCAGGGCCAAATCCAAAGGTTCCATACTGCGCATCTCCAACGATAGCCAGGTTTGCGGCCTGCAGCTCCTCGGTAGTCTTTGTGCGAAGGCAGGCAAGACCCTTGCCTGCACAACCGGCCCCTGACTCGAAAGCCGCGTAAATGGCCTCGAGACTGACTGGGCTGTACATTGGCTCGAAAGCCGGGGATTGCATGATCGCTCGCTTGAACAACGGGTCGCTTGAGCCACCGTTTCCAACAAGGTGATGCATAATGGATCCTGCAAGGATATTAACACAGTGTACTAGCAGGAGGTGGAGAAGATAGGGACTCACCAGCACCCGCACTCTCTCCCATAGCGGTCACGGCAGTCTTATCACCACCAACGAGGCTGATATAGCTCTGAACCCATTCGAGTGCCTTCTTCTGGTCCCATAAGGCCGCATTGGGAAGACCTTCCGCTTCGACAGTAGGACCGCTCAAGAAACCGAATGCACCAAGCTAACGGTGGAAACATCAGCACTCACTCGCGTCGGAGTCGGGAAAGGTAGAACTCACACGGTAGTTTGGCGCAACATAGATCATGTTGTTATCCGCAGACTTGAGTAATGGATTCCCATCGTACCTGGTACCAAAAACCGTTAGCAGGCCTTTCAGGAAATTACACGGTACCATTGCCGGAGGTGGAGCCTACAAGAAGAACGATTTCGAGCCCAAGACTAAGATTTATCCACGTTAGCGTCAGGGTCCACAATCCCAGGCATCCGGGCCGAAGAAAGCAAAGCGAGCAGCATCCTCCAATATGGAAGTCATGTACGAGATGCAAGACTTACCATAACCACCGCCAAAGATCCAAAACAACACTGGCAAGTTCTTGACCTCTCCGCGAATCGCCTTTCCGGGAACTTGGATGTCCAAGAACAGGCAATCTTCGCTCCAAGGCTCCAGATTCGCAAGCAATGGGTAGGCAACTATTTCCATTGATCAGTTGCACGGTTCTAGTGGCCACAACGATGAATACCGGGACCGGGCACGGAGCGAACTCACAGCTCAAAATCTCAGGTAGGGCCTGAGGGCACTGGGACCCAACCGATCCATCCTGAATGGCCGTCTCTACAGCTGGGTCTGCGGGCTTCTTCCACCGCAAGTCTCCAATTGGTGGCGCTGCGAAGCGGATATTCCTGAAGGTGTAGTACTATGATCTCTGGTGTTCAGTATGAACCGGATCTGGATAATGGGGGGGAAGGCTGCTCACGTCGTCCGTGACATCGTACGAATATGCCTTGTAGGAGGCATACGGCAGAGTCAGAGTGGGCAGGTCATTGCTCCCAGCCCCAAGGGTGATACCGAGTGATAGGGGAGCCGCGAGGGAAGCGGGAAGCAGAGAGAGGAAGAGAAGTCCAAGCATCTTGAGAGGAGCCAATGGGAAGAAGCCTGAGTGTCTGTTTGTCTGGAGAACTTTCCAAACATGGCGATTCTCCGTCCCTTATGTAGAAGCCAAAGATTCTTCCCTCCAGTCCAGCACATACATATCACCGTCCTGGGGAAACTGTCTCCATGTACCACAAGCACTACCACCACCGGAAGATGCCATAGCATCTCTGAGGGGCCGGCGGGCAGAATTTAGACCGCATGACTAGGTCTTCGTTAGCTACCTGTCCGGATGACTTGCCTCCCGGTACCGACGACGGGGTTGCCGATATATGCCGGAGGGATACCTATATGAGCAATGCGCAAAAAGGGGACTTTGTGTATGCTATAGTGGCTGACGTCGTCCTATACTCCACACCCTTTCTTTCAGCCCGCTGCCGAGCTGTACCTCTCCTCCGCAATCCCTTTACCCTCCTTATCCTCCTCCTCAAAGGACCCCGGATAGCCCCCATTGCCCAAACACATGCCCAAGCCCGCACGGTCATGAATCCAAGGTATCTCGAGGCCATCAATCCAAAGAGAGTACCGCCCATTCGAAGCGGAAGCCGTAATTCGTATTCGTATTGTTCCGTCCAGGTAGGTATTTCCAACTGCTGATGACAAACATTTTTTTCTCCCGCGAGTCCAGAGTTCAGAGTAGCCATCGGTGCCTGCTATCAAGGGACCGTGGGTACTATCATACGTACGCACGTACATAGAGTAGTTGGGCGGGTAGTTATCCGGAATTCGATCTTCAGGGGGCCCCCTCGTTAAACCACCTTCTGCTAACATACTCCCGGCCAAGGAATCCCGGGGGTTGCCGGCGGGGTATGGGGTATGTAGGTAGCGATCTAGTAGTCTGGGGTAAATACCTAGCTGAGCCGTTCAGGCGGGAATAGTAGGAAGTACGTGGGTAGGAAGTATCTACACATCAACCGAGTTCGTTTGGCGAGGCGAGGCGAGAGAGATTCCGTCGAGAAGCAGAAGGGAGACTCGAGACAGCTTGTGATGCCGAGGAAAGGATGGTCCGATGGCTGGTGAGAGTGCTTTATATGCCAGGCTACGCGGGGACCCCGCGCCCCGCATTCGCTGGGGTGGGGAGGGGGAAGGCCTGGAAGGTGTGTGGGGGGTGTGGGGAACAAGATCGGCCTAGAATTGGAAGCAGTCCGGGGGTACGAGATGTCAGAAAATTCGTTCAAACCAACCAGATGACTCTGGAACCTGCATGGCCATCGGTGCTTAATACCCAAAGGGGGAAGGGCCCACTACTCTAATTTTCCGCTTGAGGCTTGAGCTCCAACATCGTCAGTTCACAGCTCAGCACACAGCTCAGTTCATAGCACACAGCTCCCACGGTGTTGCCACCACCACCAGAGCAGAGATTCTTTCCACACGACGGGAATGCCTCGGCCGACCAATACTCCCCCCAGAACTCGACATGTCGACACGAGAGAGGCACACGGCGAGCTCTGGTTACTATACACTCCGCCCATGGACCATTGCTCACGATAGCACCAACAGAGCGGGGTAGCTATAGAGTATACAGCCTGCGGACCGTGTCTCAAAAGAGGCAGGAGGCCGTTGTCGGATCTGTAGCCGTAATATCTGTCACTGACCATGTACACTTTACGAACATCTCGAGTTCTGTGTCCCCCACGTGCATGGCCTACGTATTATATAGTAGTAGCCCATCGGTTGCTCACGGCACCCCGCCCCCCGCACTCCGCACGCACAACTATAGGCAATATACATTGCTGGTATGGTTGGTACTTGTTACCCCACACGACATCAATATTCTGAGAGCAGTCGCTTAGGTACCGTAGGTCGTCTTCCTGCGCCAATGCAGGAGCACCTACCTAGAGTCTGTAGGTATGTAGATAACGGACGTTCCTCGCTTCGAAGCTCGATCATAACATGAGTTATACGCCGGTTCCATGTGGCTGTAAATAGGTAGGCGCTTGGCGTACGGCGCCAGGCAACAGCTCAGGCTGGAGGGGAGTCGCTGGGCAGTGGACACCCGAGGAGAATCGCTTGGTTGGTAGAGCCGCTGCCCCGCAGACCCTGTCGATTCGGGAGGAATATAGATATAGATGGATATATTATGCACCTGGGCAGTCGGCTAGGTAGCCGGGACGTCCGCCGTCAATGCGCCGTGGCTAGATATCGATTGCAAGTCTCAGACTCTCAGCCCTGCCGACCCCCACTTCTCGTACAAAGGTCTGTAGAACGATGTGGCTTGCGATTAACGGCCTGGCCGATGCGTATGTAGGTACCTACGGTACTACATCTGTAGCTCCGCCTGCCATTCGTCCGATGTCAGTAAGCGATGTGAGCGCACCCAAGGCTCACTGCACTCCTGTCGATCGGAGATGCAGCAAGCGCAGCAGCAGCAGCAGCAGCAGCAGGTACGGCGCTCGCTAGCTACTCGTCTCTCGGCCCCTTCAACCGAGCGGCAGGAGAAGCATGTGCAAAACTCTACATCACTGGCAGCCTGAGCACTGAGCACTCCAGAGCAGACACACTTGTAAGACCCAATATATATTCTCGTTAGTCACCCCCTGTCACCCGTCCACCCGCACCGCCCAGCTAATCCATAGCCAACAAGCTCCTCCCGCCATCCTCCGTGACCCTCTTCCTGATCCTCACCCTCATGTAGCGAACGCCTATCTTCTCTATCTTTGCCTTCCCGCAGCCGGCGATGCCAGAGACCTTCATGTCGCCCAACTTTTCCGTCAAGTCCTGAAGCGTAGGCCGCACCTTTCCCCAAAACATCTCGTCCGCCACCATCTCCTCACGCACACCTTCACTATTCCCGCCAGCAGGGGGCTTTACCGCCACTTCCTTTGCGGCCACGAGCCCACTGGGCGCAAAGACGAATGCCTCACCGCAGTCCAGTCCGACCACGCGGGTCATCAAGCCGCCACCGCCGGCCCTTCCGTCCTGTTCTGCGGCGGCGATGTGAGCCTTTAGGAACGAAAGCCACTCGGGCGACGAAAAGCGGTGGACGATGGTGAAGCTGCAGAGATCCAAAAGCTTCGACGAGATTGTAGGCTCCTGCGTAGATATCACCACCCGTGTCCCTAAGTGCCGCTGCAGCCGGATGGTGCTCAAGAGCGTGTCCGTAAATCGCTGCGCGGAGGCGCTGCCTAGCATGTACTGTAGTTCTCCCACTCGGTTATTAGGTGCCGTGCGTAGGTACATCGGCCTGGAGGAGTTCGGTAGCAACGTGAACGTATGTGCGTACCTTGTGGGCTTCATCCACTGCTATGACTTTGCCGGTGGTGACCGGGCGGTCGAGGAAGAGGTGCAGGCAAATATCGAATAGTGAACACGCCGTGCTATGTCCCATTAATCCCACCGTAAAACCCCCCAGGAAACGTGCGTATGTACGTACGATTCATCCACAAAAGGATCACTCAGATCAATGATAGTCAGATGTCCCGGCGTGACGGACCACAAGTCGACCTGCTTCTCCGCCGCATTGGTCGCCATGAAGCTCTCCAAAATCTCGAGCCTCAGATTCAACGGGGATCGCTGCTGCGGTGTCAAATCGACATTTTTGAGCAACAGTTTGAAAGATTTATAATTAAATCCCGTGGCGGTATTAGCCATAGCCCTTAGAATCTTCCTGACGACTTCCATGTACAGCGGCGGCTTATCGTCAGAAAGGTCCACCGCCATCAGCGTGAGCATCCGCGTCACGTCCAGATCACTCTCACGGAACCGCAGCGGCCGGATCGTGAGCCGCTCATTGGCGCCTGGGATCAAGGGGTACAGCTTTGTCGCCCGCGTGAATGAGGAGGGCGCGACGAGGACCGTCACGGGGATCCGTGAGGCTAGATACGCTGCCTCGCACGGCTTTTGTAAGTGTTTGTCGTAGTGGAAGACGAGGCCTGTCAATGGAGCAGGCAGCTCGCCGATGGAGGGGTCAGAGAGCAGGAAGTTCTCTGGAGTGGTCCGTCAGTGAGACTGGCTTTCATTTCAAACAGGTGCAACGTATGTATGTGTGTACATACCCAGCATGCACGAAAGAGTATTGCTCTTGCCCGAGCCTTGCACGCCGCAGATGAATGCAGACAACTTTATATGTACTTCACTTTAGCCATCTATACCTGTACATAGATCTGACCACTACCCTGGAGTAGACCACATACCGGAGCATTCCCATTCAAAAACAACCTCCCATCCAAAGCCACATCGTGCGGCGTAGTTCTTCCCGCCTCGGGGTCCAAAACCTCCACCTGCCGGCCGAGCAGCGCGAACTCTTGGTATCCGGGGAGCTCGTCGTCGAGGTCAATCTCCTTTCCTGCCAGCGAGGTAAAAATCGGAGCGGTTTTCACCGTTTCGATCCACGCCGGGTTTAGACTCCCGTGACCGCCAGAGAGCAGCTCGTTGTGGGCGTCGACGTTGTCGTCTGCGTGGGCTGTGAAGGACATGATTTGATACCGATCGGAGTGATTTGAAGAAGAACGAAGAGCGGGCGGGGGAAGCGGTTCGTCTACATATCAAGGACAATTTAGTATCATGCTTGCACTGCAAAAAAAATTCTCCAATTTTTTCGGACCGGCGAGAATAGTGGGGGGTTCCAGGCGATTCGAGCTCTGGAATTCGGGAATTCGGGAATCTTGCGGCGGATACCCGTGACTTATCTGCCGTGATTCGTGAATCCGTGATTTTGGAGCCTACATACATATCGGAATCCCGCGTAAGGGACCAGTCACCGAAAAATTGTAACAATGGCGCAATGATAGGTTGTGAATGTATAGAGTTGTCATGATAAGTAGGGTTGTGCTTCTGTGCCGTCGTATACATAACAGTATCAACAACGGCGAAATTTTGTCGACCAGCCTCATCCGCTTCGTCCAACATTATGAACCGCGGCCACATGCGCTGCATGTATGGGTGGGATTTAAGTGTTGAGAGAACTTTGATCGTACTGGGTGAGTGAATGGGAAAGTGAATGGGACACTGCAGACACTTGTGCTAGGTGGGTGAACGGCAGAGTGAATGGGACGTTGTAGACACTCGTGCTGAACTCACCGAGTTAACAGAATAACGATGTCAATACATTTGATGGGGTCGACTCAAAAAAATCCCATGGAGGGGTCAACCGTCAACCCCGCTTACTGCGCACTCGTATGTACTGAGGGGGGACAAAACAATGCGACCCAGACAGGGGTGTTTTCCGTAGAGAGGTTGTATGCCAACGGAACCTGTATGTCAACAGAATGAACCCAACCCTCTTTAGCTAGCGTACTCTGAAGAGGCTTGAAGATGCTTAGCGCGAGTGATATTTGATGATATAAAATATTCGGCTTCGTCGCGGCGGCGATTCGGCTGCCCGCGCATGGAGTCCTTCTTACAAAATCCCCCCGAACTCAACCAGTTTTGCTCTAACTAAGTCAAGTACAAAGTCAGATTAATCCTCAGATGTAGGCCGTTTCAGCTATTGTGAAAACTTCAATAAAAACAACTCGTATTAAGATTTAAATACTCCATCTCCAAGTCTTTCAGTCATCCTCCTGCCCGTCCTCCGACCCACTACCACTTCCCTCTTCCAGAGTTTCTTCCAAACGACTAATGTCGTCTCTCAATGTTTGCAGGCGGCTTATCTCCCTTTTTTCCTCCTCTTGCAACCGAGCAACTGACTTCAAAGTGGCTGGCAGCCGTTTTCCATCCTTCTCCATTCCCATATATTTCTCTTTCTTTGCTGTTAACTCCTTCACCCGGTTGGCCAGCTCATCAGCTTTTTCCTGCATCCTTGCGAGCCTTGCAAGGCGAACATTCTGTCGTACGTGCTAGATATTCCTCATACTCGTCTATCTGTTGGACAGACGTAAATTGTCGGCTCTCATCTGGAATTCTTCGCCGTTTTCGCGGTTTTTGTTGTTTTCTAGCTGACTCCCGCTTGGCTCCAGCCTCAAATCTCTACTCCAAATCGTCGCAATGGTGAAGTTTCACTATGTGAGCTTTTGAAACTTTGCTGAAACCATGGCGAAGCCTCCATGAACGTGGACTGTTGCTTTTCAGACCCAATTCAAGGGATTCGCGGAGTTAGTGGAATTCTCGATGATCCCGAGAGGTGGAAATTGCGAAGACCTCGGCCGCAGAAAGAGATGATAGTGAACGAATCGGAGAGGAAGTCGATAGCTGAGATGGCAACTCAACACTGGCTTGGGTGGCTGTTGGTTTTTCAATGTCAAGAGTTCTTTGAAGAACCTCGAAATCCAAAGGGACTAGGCCGGTCCACCAGAACCCACTGCGGATATTCTCCGATGTAAATGCTATCTTCTCTGCTTCCAGCAGAAAACGATAGAAGTTTCCTTTCCAAATACCATGCTCTCCAGATTCGGTATGGCGCCGTAGGACATCGGAATATGCAGCCTTTAAAGGTGCGAAGAGGGCAACATCAAGGGGTTGAGAGAAATGGGTGGTGTGGGGAGGAAGACACACAGGCAGAACTTTGTAATCAAGACAAGTCGACAGGAATTCGCGGTTGACATGAGATATATGCCCATCGAAGATAAGCATCCGCCACTTGCCAGCAGCTTTCTTCTCCGACGGATATTCGGGGCCGAAATTGTGTTGCAACCAAGCAAGAGCCTTGCCGTTATCTGTCCAGCCATTGGGCGATACGCCGAATAGAACATCGCGAGGAACTCCATCGAGGTTCTGAAACCATGTGTCCTGTAGTCCCTGGCCCTTCATGATAACCGCTGATGGAAGATAAGTGCCGTCTGCACAAATGCAACATATCATAGTCGCAAACTCGCGTGAACCATCTTGGATCCGTGTAGCAGTAGGCAGTTGAAACTCCTTCAAATCCGGAGGAAAAGGGCGTCCTTTCGTATTGCGAGGGTGCCAGATCACATCTAGTACACGTTGTGACTGTATATTTCCCATCACAAATCCGGTTTCGTCGAAGTCGTATGTATTCTTGGGAATGACCTCGAACTCGGCAACTAAATCTCGCATCTATTAAGTCACTGAAAGTCAGCCATCGATTATTTCGCCAAAGATAATTATGTAGAAGGAAGAACGGTGGTAAACGGTACATTTGAAAAGAACAAATCCAACGCAAAACATTTGTTGCCATGATGTGCCCGGATTCTATCGAGCTGTTGACTCCACCTGACCTTCGTCTCTGGATGTTGATTGTAAAAATATCTGTCAATCCATCGAGGGCTGATGGTTGCTGCTGGGACTCGTTTCCGTAAAATGGTTTGGGCCATATCTCGAACATCTCTCAGGGTCTGTGGAAATCCAGCTTGCTGCAGAATCTCACAACGCCAAATCAGAGTTTCTTTCTCTCCTTCCAACATCAGCCGACAGGCCTTCTCGTAGTCTGCCTTTGTTCTTCGTCCAAGTGATCAATGTACAAAGGTAGACTCTGCCATCATTGCTATCACTGCAGCTCCCTTCTTCGATGGTACGCCACCTCGCAGGTACGCTTGTAAACCCTCTTGAAACCGAATATACTCGGGCAGGTTTTCGCGTTCGAACGGTGAATTGCTGTTTCCTGAAGCTGATATGGTGTTGTCATCGCCGGTTGCAATCTGGTTGTTGGCTGGGAACTCGCTATTTCCGAAAGTCTTCATCACCCTATCGCCTCCAGCAAGCTCCTCCTCCCCGGAGACCCTCGCCGCTTCCCCTCCTAGCTCATCACCCCCAGCAAGCTCCTCCCCGACAACTTGTGAACCCCCTTCGCCGCCAGAAAGCTCCTCCTCCCCCGAGATCCTCGCCGCTCCCTCTCCCAGCTCAACTTCATCATCCCCAGCAACCGCATTGCCGACAACCACTGACAGAACCTTATTGCCATTCGCCATTCGCTGAACTCTCTCGCTGCTACAGAACAGTGTATCTACCATCTACATAGGTAGCTAGATGCCTATTGCCCGCTGAGTGAAGCTCCCCCTGAAAAAAATGAAAAACCTAGAAAAAAAGAAAAGAAAAAAAGAAATACACACACGAACCATCTACTAGCGTCTCCGTATTTGTCTGGGCATTCTCATGGCATACAGGTTCCGTTGGCATACAACCTCTCTACAGCGCCACATCAGAAGTTATGTCCACTACACCAAAATCAAAACATCACGTCGCCGTCGCGGAAAATGGTGTGGTGGACATGACTTCTGATGTGGCGCTGTACGGAAAACACCCCTGTCTGGGTCGCGTTATTTTGTCCTCCCTCAGTACTGGGGAACTTCCTCGCTATCGGTGACTTGGTGGTGTCTCGTGGCGTGCATGTAGGAGTGCTTATTTATTTGCCCCTGTTCCTGCAAGTGCCCGACAGGACCGTGGTTGTGTGGAAGGTACCCGTGTCCCTAAGCATTGCAAGCAATGGTTACGACCCGGAACGCAGATGGCTGTACATATTTGACTGGACGAAATAGTCCCTTGGACCATGGCTGGCATAGGGTGGGATGACCGTCCCATCCATCATTCCTCATGCCCAAGGACCAGCCCATCTAAGTGACGTCCTATCAAACAGAACTTACTGGGTCATCTGCGGCCATCTGCGATCCTGCGCTCGCATTCTTGCGACGCCGGGGTTGGCCCAGCTGCCACCTGCAGCGCAACCTGGGAATGAAATTCCAAAGTTCACCTGACCATGATCTCGAAACCGTGGCTGAGCATTGCGCACGGTAGAGGGGAAATAACTTAGAATGATGATAATGTAAGCTTGTTATTCTTGCGTATATATATCCGACCTCTATGGAGATTGTGGAAATCATTTTGGTGTTTTTTCGGAACCTGTAGGCCGGCGTGGGAGCAGAAGTAAAAGCGGAAGTCGATGTTCGCTATTCGACATCCCCTAGGTAGGTATTCCGGTGAATGAGCTGTGCGGAGGGTTCTATCTGCACAAATCCTCAATAGGTGCGAATTCGTCCCATGAGTAGCTGCATGGCAGCGTGGGGCTTGTCGCCGAATTGCACTTCTAAGTCTGAAGTCAACGCCATTGCTGACGTACATTGAGCGTTGGTATATTTTCTCAACGGAGCAATTTCTTCGTGAATGTAGATTGCGGCGTCGGTATGCTCTCGATGAATTCCAATTTTGATACATGTCAAGTTGTGATCGAAAAACGCAGTTCTGGACGCTGGGGTCCCATGAGAATGAACAGGATCTCGCTTCTCGACGAACCATCTTTCTAGCATTTGCCGTCCAGCCGTCCCAGCTGCCGGCTTCACGCCTCGAGGTATGGTTACTGGTCATTCGCTTTCACTCTGTAACCAAGAATTCAGAATTCCACATAAAAGTGGCGGTTCGGTAGCTGGCACATGAAGATGGCAGTGTGGCAGTGCAATTACAAGAGCGGCTGTGGCTGGCTAAAGTGGCTGGAGCTCCTAGGGATCCATTCCTCGGAGGGGCAGACCTCGTCAATCCGTCTCATCTGCGTTTGAGGACCGGCCACTGACCGCCATATCCCTTAAAGTTAGTGCGTAAGATGTCGATCATCACTCGTCACTCGACTGTGTGTAGTTAGTGGCGCCCGTGCCAATTAGATCGCAGATCCGGTAGGCCAGATGTGTAGCTGAAGGCGAGGGATCGACCTGAAATATCCGTGAGGACAAGCTTAAGGGGGTTTGTGTTTAGGCAGGTACGTAGGCGGGCACCGGGCCTTTTTTTGGGCGATGCGAGCTGCCAACGACTGCGTGCCCAGGGGCTTCCACATGCTACGTTCCTGGGGGGCCGACACCGACTGTCACCCAGTAACACGCCGATGCCAGGGATGGAGCGCACGTAAATAATTTGCCATCTCAAACGCACGCTGTTTCTCCATGGCTAAGCCTTCCGAGCGGATCGGAGGGATCTACCTTACAGACGCACTACTGGGGCGCTTAGGTGTGGGCGCCGACCCAACCGATTGGTTACCACCAGGGGTAACTAGAGGGTACCTGCCGCTGAGAATGTTATCCCTTCCGATAACCGCTCCTGCTATGCACCAGCCCAGGGACCGCCAAAGTTTCATGTTGACGCTCGAACCTACGCGGGTTTTGCTGGATTCCTCAACGCCACTGGTCGAGCGATCATGAGCCGTCTCGAGCTGCAACTTCTAAATCAATTGGGCGTGCACGCCCTATGGTTGTGAACACACATTCTTCTCCTATTGCCCCTACTCAGCTCATGTCGAACCTATATATGAGGCCCTCGCCCATCAGCTTGAGTGCTTCCATATTCCAACTTACAATCATTCAATTCGGCCTCCAGTACTCGCTTCGTCTGGAACGTTCTCGTTTTCCTTCCTCTTCTCTGTATCTTTTTAGGAACTGGTTTCCAACACACTCCCTCCTCTTCTTTCACTGCATTTAAAAGGAAAATCATCCAATACTCTCTCTCTCTTCGGTTTCGGACAAAACACATACAAACTTCATCAGTCAGAAAGAAAAGGAAAAATATGATGTTTTCAAAGGCTACCCTCATCTCCGTCCTATTGGCCGCCGCCGCCAGTGTCAATGGGCACATGCATATGTCGAACCCTCCGGCGCTCGGCGCATCAGAGAACAAGTTCACCGCCGCAGTAGATGTCAACATCGACGCACCCCTCGCCTCGGACGGCAGCGACTTCCCTTGCCGCGGTCATTTGAATCTCATCGGCACCGCCGCGGGCGCTTCAGTCGCGGATTATACGGCCGGTAGCACGCAGTCAATCACCGTTGCGGGTGGAGCCCGTCACAACGGCGGGTCCTGCCAGGTTTCACTCTCGGAGGATGGTGGGTCCTCGTGGAAGGTCATGAAGACTTTCATCGGAGACTGTCCTGCCGCCGGTGCACCTTTGGGATTCACTGTGCCCGCTGAAGCGAAGTCTGGAGAAGCAATCCTTGCTTGGTCCTGGTTCAACCAGGTCGGCAATCGCGAGATGTACATGAACTGTGCGGCTGTTACCATCAGCGGTGGCGGCAGTGGCTTGAGCGCTCTCCCGGATATGTTCGTTGCCAACGCTGGTAACGGATGCACCAGCAACGCCGAGGGAACTGGTGACCTCGAGATCCCCAACCCTGGCGAGGACGTCGAGAGGAAGAGCACCAAGTCCAGCCCCCCGGTTGGCAGCTGTGCCTCCGGTGGTTCTCCAGCTCCCCCGGCCGATGACTCGTCTTCAGCTGATGCCCCCACCGCTACCGCGCCTGCCGAGACCGCCACTGAGCCCTCGCCAACCAGTGTCGTCCCCACCTTCATCATTCCCACCCCGGAGCCTACCATCCCCGCCGATTCTCCCACCGCCCCTGTGGAGACTGCCCCGGCGGAGACTGCACCTGCGGCGACGAACACTTTCAACGATGGCCTGTACCGCCCCACCGGCGGAGCCAAGACCTTCGACGATGGGCTCTACCATCCCAAGGCCACGGCGGCGCCTACCCGCGTCGCATACCGTTTCCGCGCCTAGTTTGGAACCCACTTTTTTGTAGATTTCGTTTTCATTTTCTTTCGGTCAACTAACGGTGTTTGATTTCCGGGCTCATTTTTATATCTGTTTGATAGTCTTGGATGAAGGTTCCAAAACGTTCCTGGTACAAAGGTAGATTGGTGGGAAGGCTGGCTGGGCCCCTTGTGTTTTATATCGCGGCGTTGTGGGCGGAATTTGATTCGGTGTGGGGATTTGTTTGGATAAAATTTGAAACTTGCGCCGCAAAATAGTGAAACCCTTTTTTCTGTCTGTTGAAACTTGCGCCAGGAAATAGTGAAACGCTTTTTCTCTCCATGTGACGGATGCCCGATGATGAGGGCATGTGATAAGTGTTGGCAATTATTGCCCATGGATGGTCGTTGCTGCCCAAACGCAGCCGAGTTACGGTCCATGAGTATCTTAGTAATCCGTCATCCCAGCTAACTCTCATAGGTAGAGCTGCCAGTTCCGCGGCACCAGCTTCCACCTCACCCACAACGACCACCACCGAAAACACCACAATGCCCAAAGCACTTCGATTCAAAGGCGACAAGAAGCCCAAAAGGCGGAAGCGCGTCGCCGCAGAAGGCGCCGACTCGGGCGACGACACAGGCATGAACAAGCCCTCGACCGCGCTGAGCAAGAAAGCGTACGACTCCGACGACGAGGGCTGGATCGATTCGGAAGCATTAGGTAGCTACCTCCCTCCTCTCCCCCTTCTCTCCCTACGGTGTTATACGGGAGTTCTGACGCATACCAGAGGACTTCACGGGCCCCCTCCTCTTCTGCATCGCGACGACACCACCCAGCGCGCTCTCCTCAGACGCGACGGGTGCGGTCTTCGGCTCCGCGCTATCCGAGATCGAAGGCGAGAACCTGTCGACCGCCGAACCCGCGCAAGTACAGCAGGTGTGGGTGTGCGCCAAGATCTACGGCAGCACAACGCCCAAGTACTCGTTACGCGCGCACACGGGGAAATACCTTGGCTGCGACGCGCATGGCGTTCTGTCGGCTACCAGGGAAGCTATCTCGGCGGAGGAGGAGTGGGTTCCTATCCCGCAGCCCGGGAGTGGGCGCTGGGCGTGGCAGACTGTTAGGGGCGGCTTCATAGGCGTCGAGGAGAAGGAGGGGAAGGGGACTGTTGTTAGGGGGGATCGGGAGGATGTGGGGTTTAGGGAGACGTGGACGGTGAGACTGCAGAAGAGGAATAAGGTGAAGGTGAAGGCTGGCGGAGGGGATGCGGGGAAGATTAAAGACCGCGTGACTAAGAAGGAGCTGGAGGAGCTGGTGGGGGTGAGTTTGGATGATGAGCAGGTCAAGAAGCTGAGAAAGGCGAGGAAGGAGGGCGGGTTCCATGAGGCACTGCTAGATATCAGGGTCAAGCATGGCAAGCATGATAAATTTGCGTATTAGCTATGGCGGGAGGACGCCTGGCATTGAATGTAAAATAATGAACGAACGAACGAAGAGCAGCAGATCCCTCTGGAGTATATCATTTCGTAGATATACACTCAACTAGTCCTTCCTGTAGATTGATCTATTGAAAGATTGGTTTCTGGCCGAAATGAAACGGAATAAGTGCTCAAAGTAAATGAAGTCGACAAAAAACAAGAAAAAAATAAAGCCAGCCAGAAGCCAATGAAAACCCGCCCCACGCTTGAACCCTTTTTATGAGCACAGCGTTTTTTCCCACACCTAGCAACGCAATGTCCCTGCCCAAAAGAATCATACAGAGCCGTCGAACCCTCGTAAATCCATTCCTCCACCCAACGGCATTAAACAATCCAACCAACACCAAGATTACAAATGAAAAGTACACGCTTAGTACACACGCTTGAACGGAGGCACGGCCTTGCACTCATTCTCGTCAAGGGTGTTAGCCTGCACAGCACGGTATCCCAACTTGACCTCTCCATGGGGCTTCTTCTGCCATGAGAGGGTGTGCTTCATCCAGTTCTCGTCGTCACGGTCGGGGTAGTCCTCGCGGGCGTGTGCTCCACGAGATTCCTTACGGGCGGAGGCAGATGTGGCGGTCTGAGTGGCGCAGGTCAACAGGTTACCGAGCTCGAGAGCCTCTACCAAGTCAGAGTTCCAGATCATGCTGCGGTCCTTGATTCCGATATCGCCGTAAGTCTGATCCACCTTGATGATCTTCTCAACACCCTCGTCGAGCGACTCCTGAGTACGGAAGACAGAGACATCAGTCTGCATAGTCTTCTGCATAGCCAGACGGATCTCAGCGGTGCTCTTGGGCCCAGAAGCGTTGCGGATCTTGTCGAGGTGAGCGATCGACTCGGCACCGATGTCAGCGCTGGCTGCCGGGAGGGGTGTGCCGGGGGTAAGAGTGTCGCGGATGGTGTGGGCGACGGCACGCCCGAAGACGACCAGATCCAGAAGAGAGTTGGCTCCGAGACGGTTGGCACCGTGGACAGACACACAAGCGGCTTCACCGGCAGCGAAGAGTCCGGGAACAACCTGGTCGTTTCCGTTCTCGTCGACAGTGAGAACCTCTCCAGTGTAACGAGTGGGGATGCCACCCATGTTGTAGTGGACAGTCGGCAGAACAGGGATAGGAGACTTGGTGACATCAACTCCAGAGAAGATAGAGGCGGTTTCCGAAATACCGGGCAGACGCTCGTGGAGAACCTCAGCTGGCAAGTGCGACAGCTGCAGGTAGATGTGGTCCTTGTCGGCACCGACACCACGGCCCTCACGGATCTCCAAAGTCATGGAACGCGAGACGACGTCACGGGAAGCAAGATCTTTAGCGGTAGGAGCGTAACGCTCCATGAACCGTTCTCCCTCAGAGTTGAGCAGGTATCCACCCTCTCCACGGGCACCCTCAGTGATCAAGCATCCAGCACCGTAAATACCGGTAGGGTGGAACTGAACGAATTCCAAATCCTGGTTGGGGAGACCGGCACGAGCGACCATGGCCATACCGTCACCGGTACAGGTGTGGGCCGAAGTGCAGGAGAAGTAGGCTCGTCCGTATCCTCCGGTAGCAAGAACGGTCTTGTGGGCGCGGAAACGGTGAAGGGTACCATCTTCCTGGTTGTAAGCGATCACACCCTTGCAAACACCGTCCTCCATCAGCAGGTCCATGACGAAGAACTCAATGAAGTAGTTGGTGTTGTGGCGTAGCGATTGACCGTAGAGGGTGTGGAGAAGCGCGTGTCCAGTTCGGTCAGCGGCAGCACAGCACCTGTAGGCCTGTCCACCCTTTCCGAAGTTCTGCGATTGACCACCAAACGCCCGCTGGTAGATCTTGCCGTCCTCCGTTCGCGACTAGTTTCAATGTCAGCCCAAGAATCCCACACATATTGTCCGGTGACTTACGAAAGGACAACCGTAGTTTTCCAACTCAATGATCGACGCCGGCGCCTCACGGGTCATGTAGTGAATAGCGTCCTGGTCACCGAGCCAGTCCGAACCTTTCACAGTGTCGTACATGTGCCACCGCCAGTTGTCCTCGTGCATGTTTCCGAGCGCAGCATTGATACCACCCTGAGCAGCAACGGTGTGCGAACGAGTCGGGAAGAGCTTGGAAATACAAGCAGTGTTGAAACCAGCCTCGGCCAAACCGAAAGCCGCGCGCAGACCTGCACCTCCGGCTCCGACAACGATGGCATCGTACTCATGGTCCTGTTGTAAAGCCAGTCAGCGGAAGCTTGTGAGAGAGGGACCAATTGTGCTGGGTTGCCGTACAATGACGGGGTATTTGTTGGAAACATGAGAAGTTGCCTCCTTTGCTCGCAGGCTATTTGTAGGAGCCCATATCTTCGCTGCAGCACCGGAGAATCATGTCAGCGATCATTACTGAGAGCAAAGCGATGACCACCGAAAGATACGCACCAGCAGGTTTTGTTGAGTGAAATGATCGCACCGACACTCTCAGAGCGGGGGAAATCTATAGCGCATCGTATTAGCCCCGCCATTCACTTCTTGCTTGCGCCTTGTCAACCGCCATCATCGCCGAGAAACATTGTGTTTCTCCGTTCTCCCCTCCTTCTCGGCGCCTAGCGGGGTTCTTCGGACGTATGGGGAAAGCACTCACGCGAGACGACGAGACAAGTCTCCGCAGGGCAAACGAAGACATGGTGGATCAAAATGCTTGGATTCGGTTGCGACAGAACCCGGTATGGTGGAATGGCGGGAGGGTGAGATGTAGAGAAGTGGCGCGGAGTGGAGAGGGAGTTGAGTCTGGTGGGTTGAAGTTGTCTCTTGGTGTGGGCGGGAGAAGGCGGAGGCGGAGGTAGCCAAAAGCCCAATAGCAGGTGTCTCGAAGCCTCCGATTGCCGAGGATGACCGCAAGCAGCAAAGCACAAATCCATGCGCCTACCGGGAAAACCATACCAAGCCGCATGACTAACCCGAGTCCGCCAATCACGGCTTCTACTTTACAGAGCCGTCTGACAGTTTCTCCGAGGTCAATTCCGTCAACGGAACATGGGTAATCAACCAGAGTGACCAGGGCTGGATATAATGATTCACCATCCGAATCGCGGCTCTCGATTTACACACGCCGACACGATGCCAGTCAATACATCACTCTCGCCGGCATCTACGGCTGTTGAGATTAGTAACTTTGTATAACGAAGAAACGAAAAATTGGAGAGATTGAAAGATTCACATGACACAACGGTAAAGCCAAGCAAGCATCCAGATTCCAGACACGAGAATCAACGTTGATCGGGACAAAGCAATTATTTCCACATCTTCTACTGTAACCAGGTAATTTACACAACCCAATAGTATCCGACCAGTCCCTACGCAGCAAGAATCCCACCTAATTGTACTGCATGTACCTTGCGGTAGAGCTGAACTTGAGGTTGCCCTTGATGACCTTCTCAACAGCTGCAAGGAAGTCCTTCTCATTCGCCACCTTTCGTCGCGCGCGAATGGCAAACATACCTATAGATCAGTTAGTGATGATTCATGAATACGGCTGAAATACATAAAACGTACCGGCTTCCGTGCAGACACTCCTCAGCTCGGCACCTGTGCTGTTCGGGCACAGACGCGAAATCAACTCCCATCGAATGTCCCTCTCCACGCTCATGCTCTTGGCGTGGATTCTCAACACGTTCGCCCTACCCTCCAGATCCGGCAAACTGAACTCGACCTTTCGGTCAATACGTCCAGGTCGGAGCAGGGCAGGATCCAGGGTGCTGGGTCTGTTGGTAGCAAACATGACCTTAATGTTTCCTCGTGGGTCGAAACCGTCCAATTGTGTGATGAGCTCCAACATGGTTCGCTGAACCTCGTTGTCACCTCCAGCACCGTCGTCGAAACGGGCACCTCCAATAGCGTCGATCTCATCGAAGAAGATGATACACGCCTTCTTCGTGCGGGCCATCTCGAACAACTCACGAACCATGCGGGCACCTTCTCCGACATACTTCTGGACAAGCTCGGAACCGATAACACGGATGAAGGTGGCATCGGTACGGTTGGCGACGGCACGAGCGCACAGGGTCTTTCCCGTTCCAGGAGGTCCGTACAACAGAATACCCTTTGGCGGATCGATACCAAGGTTCACAAATCGTTCCGGCGAGAGAAGAGGCAGCTCGACAACCTCACGAAGCTTCTCAATCTGCTCTTTGCAACCACCGACATCTCCGTACGTAACATCGGGCTTCTCTTCGACCGTCATCATCGTGACCGAGGGATCGATTCTAGGCGGTAGAGGTAGGAGGATCTGGTACTTTTGGCGGTCGACTCTGTAACATCCACAGCTGTCAGCGACTACTTCTCGAGTGATCCCAAGACCTTTTCGGAGTACTCACCCTACTCGCATACCCTCCTCGATATCCGTTGGCGAAACACGCTCTCCAAGGTTCACGACAAACTTGGCGATCTGCTTGACATTGATGACATATTTCGCCTTCTCTGGATCGTCTGCGCTTTGGATGATCTTGGTGCATCGGGCGACCTGCAGCGGCTGCTCCTCCTGCATCCTCTGCTTATCGGCGGCGATGTCCCACAGATGTGGCGGTGCTAGGCCTGTATCTGATTCCTATCACGGGTGTCAACAGTTATGCCGCAAGCACAGCGCGAAATGATTGTTGAATACCTTGACACCTATATAATGTTAGCATCGACAAGGAAACGTACATCCACGGGGGTCATACCAATCTTCTCGTTCACCCTCTGCTGAACATCCTTGAGCTCCTTCTCCAATCCCTTGATCTTAGCAGCGTATGGAGCTGCACCGTAGGTCTTGAGAACTTGGATATCACTGTCGCGAAACCAGTCGTCAGTCACACATTTCATCTCAAGCTTCCATCTAAATCTGCCTGTCGACAGATACACCGATATAGAAAACATACTCTTCGGATAGCGGTACAATCTTCTTTTCTTCCTCTTCGTCGTCGGCGAACTTCTTCTGGTACTTCTCCCAGTTTTGACCCGTGGCGCTAGGCATGATGGCGGCCCTGTAAGGGAAGTATCGACGGAGAGTGGTTGTTTATTGGTAAGGTGATGCGAGCGGGTAGTGCTGCAGTTCGTAAGAGGAACACCGGAGTCTTAACGGATGGGGTGTAGATGGATGTTGATGAAGGGTTGGGTGCTCGAGAGCTCGCTCGTTGCTTGCCAAAAGTGGCGGATGGTGAGCTACTGGGTTGCATGACGCCGCCGCAGAGCCGCATTCAGAAAACAACGCAGGCTGTCAGAATACCAAGTCACATGCGCTCCACGAGTGATAATTCGATTGATTGATAACTCATACAGCTTGGAACCCTAAGGTTATGGCTGGTAGAGGTGGAGATATCTACAATACTGCATTTGGCAAAGATATTCCGCCATCAAGCCCCCAGAAACAGAAATGACAGTCCAAATACCTGTAGCCTCGCAATTTTTGAGAATGAGCCTCCGAAGAGGCTCGAGTTGTCAGTTGTGCGCTGTAGCGGCGCATCGTAGCCTCCCTCTTCTCCAAAACACCCTACTTGGTACTACCCTTAACATAACTCGTCTAGCGCACACGGCATGGTGCTCGAAGGGAATCGGCGTCTGGGGGTTTGCGTAGCTGTCAAGGCCGGGTCCCAATGAATAGTAGCGGAACGTAATTGGATCGAAGGCGGGGTTGGCTCGCGAGTGATAGTTCGCAACATAGAAAGATGACGTCTACGAGCCGTATGAAGAGTTATGTACTTGTTCGGGCTGTCTAGAATGGAGGTATTGCTACGAATTGCTTGACGATCGGAAGAGATTATATACACTCCATCCATGGAAACCTTCCGATAGGAGGGTTCTTGCCCCGCCGTAGGTCGATTACTCTGCTGCCGCCTTGACCGTATAGTCAGCCACAGCCCCGATATCACGCCGGGCACACAGAGCGATAAGGTAGCCTACCGGGAGAGCCCTAGGGCCACCAAGAGCCTTCTCCAACCCAGCATGGGGAAAGGTCCTGGGAACAGCGGGCTTGTCGGGGTAAAACATGTAGACGACGCCCATGAACGAGAACACGGTCGCAACGAAGACTCCGATCTGCAAAGCTCCCTTTCCGGGGGTGACCCAGGTGTACTCCTCGGGAGAGAAACGACCCAAGATATCGTTATCCTCGTGAAGCTATGGAACTCCGTTAGATGTGTCCGGCATCGCTACGCAAGCAATCAGATGTGGCTGTGGAGCGTACCGGCTCTCCGTAGTTGCGGCGCTCCTGCTTGTCCCACCAGTCGGCGTATGGGTCCCTGAACTGGCGCTTCTCGGGAGGAGGGTTGACGTATCCTCCATTCTGCCCGCCCAGTTAGCTACTGGGCAAGTCGTCAATGTCGTACATTCTCCGGGTGCACCAACCATTCCAGGGTCAACCGTATCGTCGAAGCTCGGGTAGTAGACCGGGTCCATAGGCTCGGTGGTAGGTTTTCTGGGGAAGCCGACGATGAACGAGCGAGAGGCAGTGGTGGAGACGGGGATGACGCGGGCTTGTCGGACAAGCGGCCGTGCCGAAGCGACCAGTCGTTGGGCGAACATCTGTGGGGCGGCACGTCAGAGATCCGACGTACCGGATAGCTATTGCATCAACGGGAAGGAGAGTACCATGTGAATAGAGTTCGGGGAGTTACTGTTTCGTTGGTGGTGTTTGGGCGATAGTTATGTTATCGTCGTCGTTCTTTCGGCTAGTTGGGTGGAGGTGAGCCTACTGCACTCATCCAAAGTCTTGGTTTTTCTCGAATCGGTTGGACGACGCAGAGCCATCCATCCTGGAAAGTGTGAGGCAACCGAACCCATCAGCAAATCCTCTCCTCCGACCGAGAATTCACCGCCCCTCGCAATAACTCCACAACCACTCCCGCCGCCAACCTCAAATTCCGTGTGCAGAGCCCTTGACAGCAGGGCTTTCTCTCGCTACCAAATTCTCCCATGTTGCCTTAGATTTCGTCCGACAAGCACGACTGCTAACCAAGAGCCCGCCCTTCACTGTCAGCTGTGGGGATGCGAGCCACGCGGAGACATTCCGGAGAGTCCGGCTCACAAGGTAATCAAGTTTGTTCGATGCGTCTTCTCTCTCTGCGATGCTAATTCGCTTTTTTTCGTGTTTGCAGAAAATGGACACACTACACCCGAGTTGAGTGATGTTTTGTCGGACGCGCCCGTGACAACAAGCGACGCCAAAAAGTCATCCAAGAAAAGAAAGCTTGACGACTCGCCACCATGGAAGAGCGCAACGACTCAGACCCCGACGGCATTCATCATCGACGGTCGACGCAAATCTGGACGAACCAATCCAATACCACCCGAATTCCTGGCGCATCCTACTCCCACGCGTGACAGGAGGACTTCGCAGAGACACGCCGTCTCCCAACCGCCCAATGACGTGTCTTCTTTTCGATCAGCCTCTCGTTCCGCTACCAAAGCCCCAAGCAGATCGCAGACGAACAGAAAAGCCCGACAACAATCTCCAACCCGTGCGTCGGGCCGTCAGAACAGAACACCGACCAAGCCATCCGGAGCGGCCAGCGCTCCACGCCCAAATTCTACGAAGAAATTGGCTCCTCCATCAGCGCGCACGGCGTCGAAAACAACACCGACTAAAGCCCAGTCTTCGAGAGCCAGACCCAGCCCAGCTATTGGCACCAGGAAAAGCGCTCGCGCTCTGAAGAAGGCTGTGGCTGCCGCTGAAGAGGAACTTGCAGGCTCAAAACGTCGCCACGACAACGATGGTTTTGCCAATGGCTTCTCAGATGGCGGATCCAGCTTCGACTCTGATGGGGAATTCGATCTGAGCCCTGGTTTCAAGGTTCCGAAAGTAAAATTGAAGCTGAAGTTTGGCGCACCAAAACCTGTGATTACGCATCCGTCTCAGCTCCCTCCAACTAAGCCATTTGGATCTTTCGAAGAATTCCTGCAGCAGGATGAATTGGAACACAACCCGGCACTGCTACAGGGGGCGGAGGAAAAGGCGCGAGAAGAAGCAGAGCTTCGGAACAGGATAGACTACGAAGCGCGCTTTGGTGTACTTACGCTCGAGAATTGTTCCCTGTTTGTGCCGGAAAAGCAATTGGAACCGGCCCGACAGTATGGACATCAGGATCACCTCGCGGCGCACGCCCTCAATTTTCGCAAGTTAATGATCAAGGAACGTAAGGAGCATCAGGAACTCATGCGCAAGCGGAACGTAGCACTCATGGCGGAAATCAAGAGGAGAAGGCCGAGGACGAGGGAGGAGATTGAGCAGGAGCAGTACATAGAAAATCGAAAACAGTACAAAGAACAAATTGCTCAATTGCGGAGGAAGTGGGATGAGGTTACGAAGGCAAGTGACACATTTTCATGCTGCCAGTCCATTCCACGAACATCCAACTAATACATACGGCAGGAGGTTGACAAACGGAGAATCCAACGCGCCGAGGAAGAACGGCGTCAAGCAGGCAAAGAACATCTGAAGAAAATGCTACAGCATTCTACACAACTACTTGACGCTCGTCGTGTTGACCGACCAGGGTCAGTTGCCTCGCTGTCGGAGTTAGGTGCTGGGGAGGAAATGGTGTCTGGGGAGGAAGAAGAAGAGGAGGATGAAGCTGATTTTGAGGGCGATGCCGATGACAATCATGATATTATCGACGAAGATAACATGTCGACATCAGAATCAGAACATGAGTCAGTGGATCAGGACGACGATGCGAATCTCACGGTTGAACAACTAAAGGCGAAATATGCGGCAATCGGAAACTCAATTTCGGTACATAAACTATCGGACGACTTGGGCGATGTAGACATTATGGACGTTGATGTTGATGAGATACCCTACTCGGATCAAGAGACGATGTCGGACGCCGATATGCTTGACGAGCGACCAGAAGAGCCGGGTACTCTAAATGGTGTAAATGGTGTCGAAGGGGCAGCCGATTCGGGTGACATTGCGATAGAAGATGTCGATGATATACTTCTTGATGATAGCGATGAGTCGACCGATATGGAAGATGAGGAAGAGAGTAATGACAGCATGAGTGGAGATGATGATGACGATGATGAGGATGGTGTCGATTCCGGGCTGTTGGGATTCTACAAAATGCGAGCCGGCCCAGGACCGCAGGACGACGCATCCAATGAAGAAGTCGAACTAATTGGAATTACCGATGGACCCGAGGAGGCAGTGGAAGAAGTGCCCGAAGTGGCGGCCAAAGAGGAGCCTGGGGACGAACCTCGTGTGGTGGAACTAGAGGATGACGGGATCACGCCAAAGCCAGTCGAGGAGGTGCCTGCAGTCGAGGCTAAATGTCTTTCTGTAGACGCAGAGACCACAGTACCTCCATCACCGGCAGACGCGAAAGACAGTGCGCTTCAGTCATCACCAACTACATCTCCCGAGGAAACACCCCCACCGCACCCAGTGGTGAAGACCCCTATTCCCTTTCTACTCAGAGGCACCCTTCGCGAATACCAGCACTATGGACTGGACTGGTTGGTGGGTCTGTACGAAGGCCATACAAATGGAATATTGGCCGATGAGATGGGACTTGGGTATGTTCTGGCCACTAAACCATTATTACCGGTGGATACTAATGCACATATATTAGGAAAACAATCCAAACCATTGCTTTGATCGCTCATCTTGCGTGTGAAAAGGGCATCTGGGGACCTCATCTCATTGTTGTCCCGACCAGTGTCATGCTCAACTGGGAGATGGAGTTCAAGAAATGGGCACCAGGTTTCAAAATTCTCACCTACTACGGGAGCCGGGAACAGCGCGCCGAGAAAAGGAAAGGTTGGTTCGACAATAACCTGTGGCACGTTTGTATCACATCTTATCAGCTCGTACTTCAGGACCAGGTCACCTTTAAACGGCGAAACTGGCACTACCTGATCCTAGATGAAGCTCATAATATCAAGAACTTCCGTTCCCAGCGATGGCAAACGCTTCTGAACTTCAAATCGCAGGCTCGTTTGCTGTTGACGGGTACCCCGCTGCAAAACAACCTCATTGAGCTGTGGTCCCTACTGTACTTCCTCATGCCGTCTGGCACATCCAGCTTGCCCGCAGGATTCGCCAATTTGAACGAGTTTCAGGAATGGTTCGCACACCCGGTAGAGCAGTTGATGGAGGGCGGTCGTGAAGGGATGGATGCCGAAGCGAAGAACACGGTCACCAAACTCCACAAGGTTCTGCGTCCATACCTATTGAGACGACTCAAGGCAGACGTGGAAAAGCAAATGCCCGGGAAATACGAGCACATCATTTACTGTCGGCTTTCGAAACGCCAGAGATACCTGTACGACGACTTCATGTCCATGGCAAAGACGAGGGAAACATTGGCCTCCGGCAATTACCTTTCCATCATCAACTGCCTTATGCAGCTCCGCAAGGTCTGCAACCATCCAGATCTTTTCGAAACTAGGCAGATTGTCACGTCTTTTGCGATGCAGAAGTCCGTGGTTGCAGACTACGAGACCAAGGAGCTGCTGGTACGGCGGCGACTGCTGCCGGAAGATCCATTCGATCCCTCCTTCGGCACGGACTTCTTGGAGTTTGTTGGTCTGGTGCCCGCGAAGATCAATCGGTTCACGAAGCAGCATTCCAACAAGATTCAGATCCTTTCCGCTACTGATCTCTTGCGGCACTACTACGAAGAGAAGGCCGCCTCCATCGAACCCGCCGAGCCGGACTTTTCAACCATTCAGGGTAATGCACGGTACATGAGATACAAGTCGGAGCTCTCGCATCTCGACAAACTCAAGTCTTGTGTTCGACTCAATCGGATACGAACAGGGTACCAGCCCCTGTGCAGTTACGATCTCATCGAAGCATGCACTCGAGACATCTCGGTCACACCTGTGAGACCGGAACCAAAGAAACGGGCACAGATAACCGAATGCTTTATGAGTCAGACCGAGATTATCCACAAGATGATACCCACCCTCAGCGAGCGAGCGGATTCGTTGGAAACCACAATCATAAAGTTCGGCTGCATCACACCCGCCGTTGTCGCCACGGACATGCCCCAGATTGCCCTTGGACCTCAAGGGGTCGATGTTGTCCGAGAATGTCAGCAGAAATACCCATCGGATCCGTTCCATCAGCCACGGATACGACTGTCAATTGCGTTCCCAGATAAACGGTTGTTGCAGTACGATTGCGGTAAACTGCAGCGGCTGGATGGTCTCTTGCGGAAGCTCCAAGCCGGCGGTCATCGCGCCTTGATATTCACCCAGATGACGAAGGTTCTCGACATTCTCGAGCAGTTCCTCAACATTCATGGTCACCGATATCTCCGCCTAGATGGCTCAACCAAGGTGGAGCAGAGACAAGCACTTACAGACCGATTCAACAACGATAATCGGATATTGGTGTTTATCCTGTCAACCCGTTCCGGCGGATTGGGTATCAACTTGACCGGAGCAGACACGGTCATCTTCTACGATCTGGACTGGAACCCCGCCATGGACAAGCAATGTCAGGATCGTTGTCACCGCATCGGACAGACACGGGATGTCCACATCTACCGGTTTGTGTCGGAATACACGATCGAGTCCAACATCCTCCGCAAGTCGGACCAGAAGCGAATGTTGGACGACGTTGTCATCCAAGAGGGCGACTTCACCACCGACTATTTCAATAAGTTGACGATACGCGACATGCTGGGGGATGAAGTCGTGAATGAACTGGAGGGTGCAGAAGATGCCCCCATCCTTCCCGTTGAAAACATGGAGAAGGCGCTCGAAGCTGCCGAAGACGTTGAGGATGTTGCCGCGGCCAAAGTGGCGCAGAGGGAGGTTGTCGATACCGATGTTGCCGACTTTGCCGAGAGGGGCACGCCCCAAACTCCAGCAGCGACGAGCAAGGAAGCCAGCACTTCCCGCGACGTTTCTGCGCCGGTTGCCACTACCACCGCACCGACGCCGAGGGAAACGCCAAAAGAAACTCCGGCCGAAACTCCCGCAGAACGGGAGGCGCTTCCAGAGATGGATCTCAACCGCGGAATCGGCCACGACATCTACGGCGAAGGTTGGGGCCGCGTCGAACGAGAGCCCGAGCACATTGACGATTACATGATACGGCATATGGAATGGGAGCTGATTGATGTTTCCGTGGTCATCCCGGATAAAAGCAGGAAGAGGAACAAAAAGGGGAAGAAGTTTTAATTCTTATTCATAATCGTGGGTTTCTGTTAGGTTCGGGGTTGGGTTGTGCTCTCTACTCTGTTTTTTTTCTTTCTCGTCTCTTGCATGCAAGCTCGGAGTGCATTCATTGTGCTATTAGTTTTTCTTTTCTTTTCTTCATTCCGGTGTTCATGATTCTGAAAAAGCGTGTAGAAGACGAAGTTGAGGCGGAACAGACACACGCAGAAGCGGCTGGAGACTGATACGGTGAATACTCCAGTACCGAGCGTGGATGTGGTCTTTGGGAATTGTTTCTTTTTTTTTTCTTTTTCGGGTTTCATGGGAGTTAAAGTTCTGGCTTTTTACTGTGTTTTCGGGGGTTCTTCTAGAGAGGGTTCTTTTTTTCTTCATATATTTGGGCCAGTTTAGTTGTTTGTGATAGTGAAGAGAGGTTCTTAGGATGGCCAACCAGAGAGAGTCTCGGGGGCCGACTCCCGCTCTCAATTACATCAATAGTCTGGCAGCAGGACCTTCCATACGTTGTAACATGAACATGTGGACTGATGTCTCCCCCGCTCTCAGCACGTGTTGCTGCAGAAGCCTCCCGAGTCCCAGCAGCCAGTCCCATTGTCTCAAGCTCCAGTAAAGACCCTGCTTCCTCGGCTTCCTGCCGGGGCCGGGTCCCTGTACCATACTTGCTTGTTGCCATGCAACGTCATTGTCCACTAGCATTTTGCCCGCACGCAGGCTGCTCCAGTAAAGTAGCAAGTATTCCGAGCTCAACCTCAACAGAATACTATCGGGTAGCATTTCGGCCTCGGGGAAAAAAACACCCCCACAAGCCCGGCGAAATCTGTCCATAAAAACAACATTCCGTTTTTCTCCCCTCACTCATATCGTTCGCTCGCTCGCTCGACCACACAAAAAAACAATGTTGGGCACATCACTGACTGCCTTGGTCTTCATCCGCACATGTATCTTCGCGCTGCGGTCCGTCGCCCCAATCGCGATCGCGTGCACCGCGGCGTCGGTACTGGCGCGTCGACACTTCTTCCCATGGCCGCTGGAGTTATACTTCGCCACCGAAACGGCGTTCTATGCCTGCTGGTACCTGCCGTGGAAGCGGAGACTCGAACGGGTACCTTTTTCTCCCCGCCGTCCCGGCCGCCCCGTCCCGTCAGATCACTCGGCTAACCGTCTCCGTCTCGTCCGTCCGTGTAGCCCGCTGTGCACCCGCCCGCACGCCCGCCCGCCGAGCGGAGGAAGCTGTTCACGAAGTGCCACAATACCGTCGACTCGCTGGAGGCGTACCTGTCTGGGTGGTTCCACGGGGCGGACCCGGCGACGATCCACAGAGAGAACTTGGCGCAGTTCCTGACGTGGGCGTTTCTGGACCGTGATACGCTACCTGTCGAGGGCTCGGAGGAGGCCAGGGAGCTGAAGGATTATGTCGGGGAGTTCGAGACCAGCTTGGGACGGAAGCTGCCGGAAGGGTTCAATGAGGGCGTCAGGAGCTTGAGGCTTACGCTGGATCCCGTCAAGATGACACATCGGAGTCTGCTGTGGTACTTTGTGGGTTTCCTCTTTGCCTATAGGTGGGGAAAGTGCTGATCGTGATAGATGGTCCACGTCGTAGACGTCCTTACGTCCACGCGCCTGGCGTTCCGCGGCATGAGGTTGTACGCCACACCCGGTTGGTTCAATGTGTTTCCTGGTCGCTGGCACGCATGGCTTGTCTCGGCGGGCGTCAGCTCCCCATCAAAGGACTTTTCGTACTGGTACCGTCCGCATACAGCTACCGATAAGCTGCCCGTGGTGTTTCTGCACGGACTCGGGATAGGGCTGTATCCATACGTTCCGTTTCTGTCCGAGATCGCGGATGAGGTTGGAGAGGAAGTTGGGATCATTGCGGTAGAGATTATGGTACATACATCCTACCACAGTACTATTCTATATATCCGCTGCGAGATCTAATAGCTAACATTCGGGGGTTTGCAGCCGATATCTATGCGCATCTGCGGCGACCCACTCGAGCCGTCCGAATTCTCGTCCCAGATCCTCTCGATCCTCAACCACCACGGCATCACCGATTTCGTTCTCGTCGGCCACAGCTACGGCACCATCCTCTCCACGCACCTTTTGCACTCGCCCACCATCGGCCCCCGGATATCCTCCGTCCTCTTGATCGACCCGATCGCCTTCCTCCTGCACCACCCAAGCGTCGCCTACAACTTTACCAGTCGCCCGCCCCGCTCCGCCAACGAGCGCCAGCTGAACTATTTCGCGTCGCTAGACCCCGGCATCGCTCACACCATCTGTCGCCACTTCTTTTGGGGGCAGAATATTCTCTGGCGCGAAGAGCTTGCGGGGAGGAAGTGTGCTGTTGCCATGGGAGGTAGGGATCTGTTGGTTGATAGCAGGAGCATTTGGGAATACCTGACGGGACACAAGGGGCAGGAGGTGGTGGAGGAGACGACGGTAGATGTAAAAGAGGATGGCAAGGCGGATGGTGGCAACGGACAGCTGAAGGTGATGTGGTATAAGGATTGTGATCACGCACAGGTGTTTGACACTGCGCTGAGGAGAAGGAGACTGGTGGAGACTGTGGCGAGGTTTTCGAAGGATGTGAGAGCTTGAGCTTCAGCTTAGATTTTTGACAGGTGTTTCATGCGATAACGAAGCGATTTCATTGAAGAATAATGTTTGTAGGTCGCTCAACAGGTCTCATAGACTCATACACGCGTGTGATGCACTCAGCCGGTGCATATGTGGTATCCCGTGGCTGGGAGGAACCTGTGATTCACCGCTTCGAAAGGTTGGTTGCGCGTGCTCTTGTCAGACTGCGAGTTCCTTCCTTCCTTCTATCCTTCCACCCTTCCACCCATCCTTCCTTCCTTCCTTCCTTCCTTCGTGCTCCCAATTTGCCTTTTTTGTGGCTGAGTTGTGGTAGCATGATCCTGTTGATCTTCATTACCTCCAGCATTCATCTCATCTCGGCGGCACCTGCAAGTGCACATCGGTAATCGCGCAGGCTCCAGACAACCCGGCTAGAATGTAATTATGCAGAATATCTAGTACTTACATATCATGAATTTTGGCGAGCGGGTGTAGGTAGGTACATAGGGCTGACCGTTCTTTGTTCCGTTCCGGGATGGATGATCTGATGCGCTGCGCTGCCGAATTATTTGCACTGCCGCGTTCGATGAACCGTCTGTGTGGAGATGTGCGGGGAGTCGGGGACGCGGGGGAATGAGATTGGCTGCTGCAGCTTGCATGCGAGACTAGGGATGTAGAGTAGGCATCTCATGGGTCTTCTGAGGTGTCTAACGTGGCGCCTGCAGGAACGAAGCTTCATCTCTCTTTCTCTCGTTTTTCTGGCTCGGAGTATGGCGTGTAAAAGCATGTGATGGAGGGAGCGAAAGACGGATGTGTTTTCAAACACGAACGCCTCTGCCATGGGAAATCCCGATCCCGGTGGCGTCATAGAAAGATGCCATTAGCTTCGTCTTCATCATCATCGGCACATCTAGCCTGGTGATCCAATCTATTAACCTTAGATGTACGATTTGATTTCCGGGAAGGTGGTCCTTCTCGTCCCTTGATTATAACCCCACCCCCCACTCTAGCCTTCAGACAGACCATTTAACAAGAGCAATCCGCTTCGAACACATCTCCTCTCCATCTCTCAACACACAGCAAACATGCGCTTCAGAAGCTTACTACATTCGCCGGCCACCCTCCTGCTCGCGCTGGTGCTGTCAGCCCAGCTCGTACTCGCCTCCGCGGCCAGCAACGCTAGAACCGATGTCGCGGTGCCAACAGTGGCGGAAGACGACCTCGACGAGTTTCCATTTCCCGGACCACCGATCGCAGACGACGAAGACGAAATCGACTCAGATCCGTGGTGGAGGTCTGTGACGGGCGACGAAAAGCACACGCTCGAGAAGCGCCGGGGCGGCGGAGGGCGCGGCGGCGGTGGCGGCGGCGGCAGAAGCGGCGGAGGAAGGACCGGTGGAGGAGGCAGCAGTGGATCCGGCGGTCGCACCAGCTCGTACGTTCCCCCACGCGCGTGCTCACCCCAGGACAGCCCCGACTGACATCGCCTCCCCACAGCACATCCAATACCGGCGGGCGCACAACCTCCGGTTCGGGCACGCCCAAGACCTTCGGCGGCGCATACGGCGGCGGCGCGGCGGTCCCGTATCGAGCAGGCGGGCGTTCGGGCAGTGGCATAGCGCCGGCGTTCCTCGGCGGCGCAGCCCTGGGCCTGCTCCCCGGGCTTTGGCTCTTCGGCGCATACTCGTACCCGTACTCCCGCCACGTGCCGTTCCACAACAACACCTCGGGGCAGAACGAGACGCTGCCCGTGCTCTGTCTGTGTGAGCAGTACAGCGTGTGCGGGTGCGACGAGAATCATAACGCAACGTATACGCAGGCGCTCTACGATAATGCTACCGTGCTCCCCGCCGGCCTCGATAAGCAGTTTGTCAGCGCCGTGGCGGACGTTAACGGTACCAAGACGCTGGTGGTGAATGGAACCCTGGCGAATGGAACCACGGCGGATGGCGGGACGGATGATGACAGTGGCGCGGTGGTGCAGGGAAGAAATTTGGGGACGGTGGTGGTCGTGGGATTGATCGTTGCTGCCATGGCCTACTTGTGAGAAGCTATCTACATGCTTCTTACTCCAGGTAGAATAGAACGTGGTGTTTTTCCTTTCCCGTTCACGATTACTTTCTTGTATCTTACTTTTAATCACCGCAGCTGCCGCACACGGGGGTTTTTTTTCTTTCTTTTCTTTTATACGGGCTGGGCAACCCAGTTCTGGGGTCTGGAGGGTTAGTGGTTTCACTTTGCCTTACGTAATGTATCACGGACACGACTTCGATTGTTGTTTTTAATGTTGGGGGGGATACGAAGTAACTTGAGTTGTTCGATTTATTTTTTAGAGTTGAAAGCACGATATCCACGAGCAAATGGCAAGATCGGCAGGATATGTGCTTACCCCACCCACTCTGCAGTGGCCACACGCATCCTGCACACGCGAGCGCGCTTCAGCCTTCCATGACACCCTTCCATGCAGCGCACTGGATGACGCAACATCAACGGCGCTGCGCTGAGCGAGACCGGCTTTGACATTTAGTTAGAGTCAGAATTGGATCCGCGCGTCGATGACCCAGAAGTGACGACGTTCCAAGGGGAGGTGGGAGGTGGGAGGTGGGAGGTGGGAGGGGATTCTGGAAGAGAGTTCGATGGAGCTCCCGATCATAGTTACAGTCATGTCGTGTTGGAAAGAAGGCAATCTCACCTATGCATACATACCTACGTATTCTGGACACCATGGAAGCTTCCGCTGTCACCACTATGTAGACAAGTAACCAAGTACCAAACGATTTAGAGTTATCAGCAGGGCATTTCACATCCTATCCTTTGCGAGGGATATGCACAGTTAAACGTCGTCGTCATCGGGCCTCGTTCGGGCTTGAGTTCGAGGCCGACTAGGTATATTACCGTCCCTTCTGCCCATCAGTTCCTCTTTGGGCGCGCTCCTCGATATCGACCAGCCCGCCTATACCCAACGACAGTGTGGGACCCGGCGGAAGCGACGCCTGGGCGCGTCTGTTCCAACCCGGCGCTGCGGACCCGGGAGAGACCGATGGCCAAGAAGTTGTGCATAGACTGGGACTCGTTGAGACCAGCTCGGACGAGGGTGTGGCCGAGGGCGGAGAGGGTTGTTGTCATTCGATTTGAGAGCGCGTTGAGAGCGGGTTCTGTCTGAGCTGGGAGCGGGCATGGAAGATGCACGAGCGGGGAAATTTTGCCGGCCTGGCTAGACCAGATACGCTGGGCCAAACGTTCGAGGGGCTCTTGATCATTTTGTTGACCGGTTGATTGTTTTCTCATTGTCCGTCATTCATCTTTATATCCTCATTTCGCTATTCAACTTGCGGGGCACTTGAGGTTCATCACCTGAAGATCAAAGGTGGCTCTTTTCTTTCATTGTCGTTTTCTCTCTAGTCAAATACAATCGGTCCTCTGTCAGTTATCAAAGTTGCCTGAGTGTCATCTCGTCCCCGGTGCTTCAATAGTAGTCTACTTTTTCTTCCACCGCGCTCGCCGTTGGTCTGATCTCTCCAGCAGTTACAGCCTTTTCCGCTTTCCCAAAACCGTCGTGCCGGAAACGATAAAAGAGAGGGACGACATCTTGCGCTTTCTGGTCTCATCTTCACCCTCACGAAGCCGCGTATGTATGATCCGCCTTCCCTCTGATAACGTTTTGCTGAGACTGGCCATAGAAACAGAGTATAACAGTGGCCATTGACTACTACGTTGACTTCGTCGTGACGAAAGTATCAATTGATCGATAGGACACCTCGACACCTCGAGGCCTCGATTTCAAGCGGATGTCTCGGTTCCACTGCGCCGAGTGACCGCCATCACACAATCATCTACGTACTCCAGCCTGGCCATCTCATGCAGGATTGACTTCATCGCCCCCCTCGGGTGCCTGCTGGAACGGAGCGATACATTTGGAACGGGTCCAATTGCATAGAGTGGGCCAGCAGATCTGCAGCCGGGACTGGACGTTCGGCCACACGTGAAATCGACGTTAAATTGAGTGGTACGCAACACCAAACCTCCACCGAAAAAACTATCGTGAGAACTGGACAGTGGTCTGGTGCGAAAGCATGAGCAGTGGGCACCACGAAGGCTCACTTTATTCTCTGGAGGGAGCCAGTCTCCAGAACGGACGGACCAGAATGGACGGACGGACGAACATATAATGGACCTTGGGTGCAGCTTTTTTCCGCCGTTGCAGGAGTGCGGATTGTAGCCATGTCCCAAATTACCGTCCCCAGATACCCTTTTTCCGCCACTGATGGTGTGCCAAGGGCACCTATGCCGCGCACCATCCCCATCTGCCCTTATCCCTGGCAGTACGAGCCTTCTGTTTTGGCGGGCCCCGAGGAGGAGGATGTGATTGAGGAAGACTGCAAGTTCCATCCAGAGTCGAGCTTCGAGAGGAACGTGGGCTGAGGATAGCTATGATGCATAGGGTCCCGCGAGGCTCCGCACACCGTCCCCATCCACCCTTCACCCTGGCAGTACGAGCCTTCTGTTTTGGCGGGCTCAGAGGAGGAGGATGTGATTGAAGAAAACCGCAAGTTCTATCCAGAGCCGAGCTTCGAGAGGAACGTAGGCTGAGGATAGCTATGATGCACAGGGTCCGGCAAGGCACCCCCTCCCGAGGGGGGGTACGCTGCCTGGACATACGCGGACAGCACCTCTAGCTATCCAAGCACGCCTCCTCCGGAGCCCATGCTATTTGTGCAGGCCCCCCTTTCGGCCCGGGAGGAATATGTGTCCCTCCGGCTGCAGTACGTCAGCCTGATCATTCGGTCTCCCGTCCGGCCGTTCAAGAAGAAGTGGCTCCACGGGCGGGATATCGAGCGCCGCATGGACCTCGTGAAGAAGGTGGAGCGGATGGTGCAGCAGATGGGCTTTGAGAAGTGGTGGCCCATAGACTATCCCAAGTATGGGCCGTACTATAAGGTGCTCGACTGGGCGGACGATTCGAAGATGGTGTGGAAACTGGAGCTCAAACAGTGCCTTGGGTTGGCGGTCTGGCCGGGTGCGGTGCATATGGTTGCCGAGTGCATGGTCGACGCGGGCATTACACCGGCACACTTCGATCTCATGTATCTGACGTGGGAGTTGGAGGAGCAGCGGTGGCGGAGAATGGTGGGCAAGGTGAGGAAGATGGCTAGGGACATCAAGAAGGGGATCGTGCCGAAGAAGGCGGCGGTGATGTATTTTTGACAGTTCTACTTGCTATCCCCTATATGTACATATCTCTAGCAAGGCAGCATACGCAGATCCAGTCCCAGAGGGTACAGAAAATACCAGGCCAAAAGTGATCGTGCTCGGAAGAACTCTACGTAGCCATTTGCGCAAATGGCTGATATTCCTCGAGTATACGGGTTTTTTAATAGTGATGGGTTTGAGTGGTGGTGGGTTGAAAGTTGAAACGTCGAAAGATTATGACATTTTAGACTTTTTCCTGAAACTATGGCTTTTTAGACGTTTCCCGAAAGCCTTATTATTCTCAGACATCTACATATGATCTGATATTTTTACATATGATCTGATATTTTCTTCCGCTGAGTGAAGCATTAGTTTTCGATTGCGTGGAAATGGTCATTTTTGGTGTAGAACGGGCCTACGGACACATACTTTTGACCTACATCATCTTTGTACTTGATATCGTGAATAGTAAATACTCCCGTTCAATCCTCCACTTCTTCCTCGACTTTGACTCCATCGGCCTTGACATCCTCACCGTCCAGCTCCTCGACCTCAAGGCACGCCTGCCACTCTACCAGATTCTGCGTAAACCTCTCCTCCCTCTCCCTAACCGCCTTCTCCACTACCTCCTCCGGTAACCCCCTCGGCGCCGTCTCCCCCCTCTCCTCCCGTCTAATCCTCACCCAATCCCCAAGCTCCTTCATAATCTCCAATTTCCTTGCCGTCGAATACCCCGCCACCAGCCCACTAGTACTAATCGCCACGAAAACCCTCGCGCCTTCCCAGCCCTCACCCTCGTCCTCCCCCAGCCTCCACCCATCCTGCCACCCGAACACAAACTCCTTCCCAAGCCTCGTACCAGTCTTAGCCTTATAGATCCTCTCCCAGATCCCCTTCCCAATAACCGCGACACTCTCCGGTTTCCACCTTCTAATCTTCTCCTCCAGCACGGGCACGGATGCTTCCATCTCCTTCCAGCTCAGCTCGGCCTGGTCCTTCGTCGGCCTTGACACCAGGTTAGTATTCCCGAGGCTGTAGAGCTCCGGCAGCCGCAGGTCCTCGGACGGATGCAGCCTGCGGTCGGGAGTGAGCCCCGCCTCGTGCAGGAACCGCCAGAAATGGTTGCTGGGTGCGGAATATGCGTGGCCGGTCTCGGCGGTGCGGATCCCGGGGTTCGTCCCGATGAAGAGCGTGATCATCCCCGGCGCCGTGGCGTCGGGAATCCCGCTGAGGTGGCGGTACTTGCTCGGTGGGGCGTAGCCCGCGTGCTTGGGCCGCTTCTTCTTCGTCTTCTTCTTCTCATCGTCCCCCGCCGGAGCAACGGGGGACGGCGTGGCTTCTTCGGGATCGGGCTCGGGCTTGGGCTTCAGAGTGCTCGACCGCAGGCGCTTTCGGGGCGACGGTTGCGGCGGAGTAGTACTAGTAGTGGCGAGAGCCGAGGCTGCTCTCCGGATCGGCGACGCAACTGCGCTGGAAATGGCCCGCTTCGCTGGCGACGAGGTCGCAGACCGTGGGCCGAATGCGTACTTATCCAGTGAGCCGCCGAAGGTGCCCACAGGCTTCTCGTCCGAATCGCCATCGGGCTCTTCGTTCTTGATGGAGGGAGTGGGCGTTTTGGTGGTGGGTGTGCGCGGCATCTAGGTTGGTTAGGGTGGGCTATGGTCGAGGTGAGGTCGAGGTGAGGTCGTGGTGAGGTCGAGGTGAGGTCGAGGCAGCTGGGGAGTGTGAGCTAGGTAATTGAGGCTGGTTGGTGTTGAGACAGCTGGGAGTACTCGAATAGAGTGGGAGCTGGAGGGGTTGACAGGTACGGTAGGTAGCCTGCTGCCTGCCGCCTGCCAGGTAGTCGAGCTCTGAGTGGTTATGTAATTTTGGGACGGTATATTGCTTTTTCTTTTCTTTCGAGGGTGCTCTCTTTTTCCAAGCGGCGGAGAGCTTCACTGCAGGAACCGTGGCTGCAGTCGTGATAGCCTATATGTAACGATAGACTTGGAACCTTTGCTCAGCTCTCTTGGAATCCAATTGAATGAGACTGATGAGTTTATATAGAGGTAATCCTAATGATCACTCGTGCCAAGCCTCCGTTTAGTAAACCCAACATCTTTAGCGTCTCTGAGCTTGATTCCCTGGCAGCCCTGATGCTCTTCGTTTCCAAGAGAAGGAACAACCCCGGATTCGCGCATTCGGCGTGATGTTACACGGGTGCGTCACGGCTCACGTGTGGGGGAGAAGCAGGGTGTAAATTTTGACGGGCACGACGACGACGACCTCAAGTACCAGTACAGCAAGAATACAGAAAGAAAAAACAGAGCACGGAAAACACGCATGATATCTAGAGTAATCGCTCGAACGAAACAAACGGCGGAACCTCAAAATGGACACTCCACACCTCCATGCAAAGAAGCCCCGTCCCCGACTCCCCGTTCAAGCATCCTTCGGCACCACCATCTTGGCTTCCTTCACCAGCTGCTCAACACTAGCCGACATGGCGGTTTCTCCGTCGAGCGGACACGGTGGGTACAGAGCTTCTTCTCTCGTAGGCGGGTAGGGGGGGAGCGTGCTCAGACTTGGCCCGTCGAGGGCGGGACGGGAAGTGTGTTTTGAGTTATTCGTAGAGGACGCAGTGGGGGCGGCGGCAGTGGGAGCGGGGGACGCCGAGAAGAAGCTGGCGAGGTAGCTGTAGATGCTGGATATGAAAAAGACCATTTTTTGTTTTTTTTCTTCGTGTTACTGCGACTCTGCGAGGTGGTGGGAGAAGGGGGGAGGGAGGATGAAGATTGTTGTGATTTTTGTTGCTGTTTCCAGGGGGAATGTAAGATGTATCATTCTTGTTTTGGGCTGGGATCACGAGTACGAGCACAAGCACAAGCACCAGTGAGAAGCCGCTTTAAACGCCGCGTCTACACCGCACGTTCCAAGTCATGTGCTTGCATTCTATCGTTTAATAAATCCACATTTATCTTGAACATACCATGATACCTCTCCAACAAAAATCCAGAAGAAGTGATCATACCCAATATTCAGCCCGTAGGTCACAGGCTTACATCCCACCATCTAACTGATCAATTGCATTTGTCTCGAACATATCCAACCCAAAATCCAGACGAATTGATCATACCCAACATTCAACCCACAGGACCCTACTTCCTCCCCGAGCCCTCATGTGCAACCGGATACGGCGGTGCAGGGCACAGATCCTCACGCGTGTACGGTGGAAGTGATCTTATACTCCTCCTGCCATCGCCATCCTCCTGCTCCGCCGTCCTCCGCGCCGTCCCCTCCGGCCTCGCCACAGTCCGGTCGCCTTCATCCTCCGCAACATGAATAATCGTCTCCCCAGTGATCACATCGGTCCTCAGCGGCCCCAAATCCACACCTGGGGGCAATTTCTCCTCTTCACCACGCTTCGACCACCGCCGTCGATACCGCCTTAGATTATCGCGGTTGAATGTAAGCAGCAACACTAGCCACATGACGACCGCCGCCACGACAACAAAAACGATGTAGGGCGTTTTGTCCCTGGGCGCGGGGCTGGCGAGGAGCGAGGGGGTGGGTGTGGAGGTGGCTTGCCGTGAGGGAATGTATCCTGCTGTCGGCCGGAATGATGGCAAGGAGCTGCGTGGCCGTGTTGGTTGGTGGAATGGCAGGAAGCTGCCTGGCTCGGCTGGCCAGTGAGGCACGTAGTCGCTTAGCTGTCGGAATCGCAAGAAGTCGCTTGGATGCGCGGTCTGGGTGGGGCGGGAGTAGGAGGTGTTGAGGCTGGATTTTGCCTGCATGGGCGAGCGGAGGGTTGTGTTTTCTGGCTGCCAGTCGAAGTCGGGATAATCTGACGGTTGCGTAATGATGTTCTCCATGCTGTCGACAAATCGAAGGAAGCCTTTGTGGATAGTATTTGATGGCCCGAATGGGGATTTGAAGAATGAAGGCTGTGTTGGTAGGTGGAAGGGCAGATCCTTAAAGGGCATTGAAGCTCTTATAGTCATACGAATTTGGGTTCGAGTTTAACTTCGGAAAGCCTTTGCTGCGGATAAAGTTTGAGTTCAAGACCGAAGCGGGGTATAGATGGCCGAAGGAACTGGGTCTGGTAACGGAACACATGACAAAACTCCGCACGTGCTGCTGGTGGAATATCGTGAGTTTATATCCTAGATGAGGTCATTTCTCATGGCTGTTGGCTGCTGTCGTGGGAATCCGCAGAGGAGAACAAAGTTTCCGGGCCACTCCCGGAAGACTCACGCTATTGCGGCCGGCATCCAAGGGGAAACACCGCGGGTTTCGAACGGATTATTAGCCGGCCAATCTTGGTAACTGGTGGCTTAACATGATAGCGGGTACTATCAAGTTCGAGCCTCAGGGCCTACATCCAGACTCGTAACGGCAGCTATATAGCGGCTGTCTTGCGAACCCACAAGGTGCATACATATAAGCAGAAGTTACCACCGGTTCGCAAAAGTCAGCTGGGAAGTTGTAGCGGCAGATTACTGCCCGTCGTCCGAAGCGATACTTAGGCAGGCGTTGAGAGGAGTGTACTGAGTTTGGATCCTGAACTCTGAGGGATGGCGATGGCAGTCAAGAGGCTGCCACTGGATCTCACACGCAGAGCAGGATTAGGTATGCGCTTGACTGCCAGCTCGAGGGCATCTGACTACTTGCCGTTGAATCCATAGGCAGGCAGCAAAGACAGTATTGAGCTCGAAGTATGATCGAAGTTACAGTTCACCTAAGGACTCACAAGCATGAATACTCAGCCATCAGTGACCGGATGGTTTATATATGAGTCAATGAATCTCGAGTTCCAAACGGCCGATGATGGTGCAGCTACCCATAACCGGTTCCAATGACTCTGAAGCACATGAACTGCGATAACAATCGCGGCGCATATGTAGTGAACACAATGGTTTTGGCAGCAAATATAGTAGGGTTGGGTTTTCTTACTGGGTAGTAGAGCACAATCTAGCCCTGAGCCCTAATCTTCGGTCAGTACACGCGTCGTGAAGAAAAAGAAAAAGCCGTCTCCATTACTGCAGATAACATTAAAATAAAATAAAAACCTGCGATTGGCTTACTAAACTTTCTGCTCGCGGTACAAGGGTTCTCATACATTTTATCTGGGTCGCGCGTGTGAACTGGAACGCGACGGATGGAACAGAGCAGAGGAGATGCAGCATTTTCGAGGGGGCGTTTGAGGTTTCTATTCTTTTAAAGGGAGATCCGCGAGACAGAGAACATTGCCTGCTGTTGCACAGTAGAATAAGATAGAGAGTACGATAGGGAATATTGGAAGCACAAGTAGAGAGAACAGATATATACTTCCTAGATACATACATTGCCTTGCCTGATTCCTTCGATCGTCCACATCTGCTATCTTCGCTCTCAGCCTCATCACCATTTTTCTTGTGGGCTGCTCAGACAGCACAACGCAACCACCCAAACCCATCCCATCAACCAACCCCCATTACCACAACCCCCCAGCAACAACACCAAAACAACCCGCGACTACCAAAGTTCGCTCTTCCTTGTTGTTGGCTATCCCCCGACCCCGACCCCGACTCCTTCTCATTCTCATTCTCATCCCCATCGTCACCCACACCAACACATCCCTCACGGTCGCGACAACGACAACTGCTACTGCTAAACCCACCCTTCCCTTCCCTTCCTTCGCTCTTTACTTTCCCTTCCCCTCGCGCCCCTACGTCACGTCAACCCTCCTCCAGTACCGACAACCAATCACCGCCACCTCCTCCTCCGCCGATTACTACCGCTACTTCCCATCACCACGCTCGTTTGCTCGACACGTGCCGAGTATAAAGGCATCCGTGTGATCGGCTAACGCGCGCGCGCGCTGTCAAAGGAGACTCCACAACCGGGGCGATACCATCGCGAGGACAAACGACCCAGCCTTGCTATCGATGTCGAAGCGCTCAGCCGAGATACAGATTACCAAAGAACAGATGCAGAACGGATCCTATAACTTCTCTGCAGGAGGAGGTGGCGGCCCGGATGATTCCATGGATCCGTCGAAGGCTGCTGCTCCCGATGTCATGTCCGGTAGAAAGTAAGTAGGAAAAAAAGAAAGAAAACACAAGCTGTCCCTTCCGACATAGCCTTTTCCCTTCTTTTTGCTTTACCCCTCTTCTTTATGCCGCGGGTCTTTGACACATCCGGCACACCATTCCTCATAACTTCTAAAAAATCGCAGAAAAGCTGACCATGCAACCTGTGCGTAGGATAGCACCGCTGAAACGTCGAGCTGGAGCGGGACGGGGCGCCGGCGCGCGTAGTACTGGAGGTGGTGCGAGTTTGCCTAATGTCTTCGCCGGTGCGGTCGGTCAGGGTTTCTCCTTTGGAAATGGCGCTGCCGCATCGCCGTCACCAGCTCCAACGTTCGGTGGTGGCTTCGGTGGTGCTCCCGCACCTGCGCCTTCGACTTCGTTTGGAAACGGCACCAGCAGTGGGTTTTCGTTCGGACAGGAGCAGCCAAAGCCGTTCGCTAGCTTGGCTCCCGCTGCTCCCGCTGCTCCTTCTGCTCCGACAAACGGGACATCTGGAGGCCTCTTTGGAGGTGGCTCTTTCGGTGCTTCGAGTGCCGCACCGGCGACCAATGGGATGTTCGGAAATGCGAATGGTACCACCAACCCCACTACCGCTTCATCGACACCTAGCTTTGGTGGGTTCGGAGCGACAGCAAACAACGACAAGCCAGCATCATCCATAGGATTCACCTTTGGTGGCGCAAACTCAAGCGCTGCGCCAGCTGCACCGGCCAGCAATTTCTTTGGAAACACCACGGGCGCGACACCGTCGTTCACGTTTGGTGGGGCGCCTGCAGCCAAAGAAGCACCCAAGCCCGCGTCTACAGGGTTTGTATTTAATCAGCCGGCGGCGGCGTCGACTGAACCTGCTGCCCCCAAAACTACGACACCTTCCTTCAACTTCAACAACTCATCGTTCGGAGGTGCACCCACAAATTCTAACCCGTTCGGTGGTGCTGCACCTACGACATCTACATCGTTTGGTGCTGCGCCCACGACGTCTACGTCTTTCGGTGCCGCGCCTACGACTTCCACTTCATTCGGGTCAGCTGCAACGGAAACCAAGCCATCTGGGTTCGTTTTTGGAGCGAAAGCACCCGAGCCATCTTCAACATCTTTGTTCGGCAAACCACCTGCTGCTGCGCCTGCTCAGGCGACAGGTGGATTCACCTTCCAACAGCCGGTAAAGGAAACGCCAGCAGCCAACACGTCGCTTTTCCAAAACAACAAGCCTGCAGAGCCCAGCAAGCCGCGCTTCGGATATGTGGGGAATGATGATACGAAGCCCATGCTCAGTGCAAAAGATGAGGCGGTTAAGCCGACACCACTGTTCGGATTTGTTGACAATGTAGCGAAGAAGGATGAGCCACCGAAGATAATGTTTGGCGCACCGGCCACTGAGAAGAAGGAAGCCCCCATGTTCGGGTCGGCACCACCAGCAACAGAAAAGAAGGAGGAGCCGAAGTCATTCTTTGGAGCCGCAGCGCCAGCGCCAGCGACTGGAGGGTTTACTTTCAAGCCGGCCGAGAAGCCTGGGATGTTTGGCTCCAAGCCAGCAGATGCACCGGCTTCATCGTTCGGCGCATTCGGCTCCAAGCCAGCAGATGCGCCGGCTCCGTCGTTCGGTGCGTTCGGCTCCAAGCCAGCAGATGCACTGGCTCCGTCGTTCGGCGCGTTCGGTGCTACCACCAAGCCCGCCTCCCCGCCGTCCACTGTCCTTGTTCCCGCTGCTCCGTCCGTGTTCTCGGTTCCCGCCGCATCTTCCTCGAATGCACTTTCTACTGCCCGGATGCGCTCGCCGCCTCTGCCAGCGGAATCCCAAAAGTGGTCGGCCAACCAATTGACGGATTACTACAACATGTTTGCTCTACAATCGCTGAATCATTTCTTCAAGGAAGAATTGTCCAAGCAGGAAATATTTGCTGATCTTACGCCTCTTTGTGACGCTTATACGGCCGAAGTAAAGAATATCAAGGAACTGATTTCAACCAACCAGAGGTACAAGTTTAGTGAGTCGCCGCTCGGCAACGGTGTGCCTGGCAAGCGAGCCTGTGAAGACAACGATGCCGGGGGAGGAAAGCGAAGAGCCCTCGGTGAAGGTAATTAGGACTCTCTACTCATTTTACACCCTTCGTGTTTTGTTGCACCTGTGCTTGTCCGCGCGCGGGTTTGGTTGGAACGTGTGAAGGAGGTGGGTATTCTAGCTGGTAGGGTTTCTCTGCGATGGACGATCCGAAGGGCTCGGTATCCTGCTGCTGTTACACTACCGCTATTATATCCCCTCCGACACTGAAGCTTTTGACGGTCGACGACGGTCGGTGATAATCCTCATGATTCAACGTTACCAAATGTTCCCACCCGCGCGCGTGCATTCGCATCACATCACCTGTCCCATTCATCCGTCCCCCACGATTTGCGATTCGGTCACGACATGAACCTTTTCAGTATCTAATGATGCTTTCTCCTTATGCATAGAACCCAAAGTTACTTTTGCTCCATCGAAATCGACTACATCGCAAACTCTGTCATCTGTACTTGGTGGAGGATCTGCGAACGAGCCGTCGAAGTCCACAGAGAAGGTGTCGCCTGGTAAAACTCCTCCACTGGCTGCGTTAATACTAGTCTGTTGCTAACGGGCATCTACATCGAAGCGAGCATTTTTGACAGTCATTCTTCCGCCCCGGCCACTTCGGCGTGGGTCAATCCATTCAAAAAGGCAGATACCTCCAACCTTCCAGACGACCCGGAGCCAGACTACGGTGATGCTGAGGAGGAGCCTAAACGCACTGGAGGCCTATTTGACCGTGCTTCTCCAACCAAGCAAGACAACCCTTTCAACCCCAGCACCAATCTGTTCTCTCCCGCAGGGGACAACACATGGTCTCCTGAGAAGGGGGTCAAGTTCTTTGCTCCTGCGCCTTCCGGTGGTCTCTTCGGTAACAGCAATGGCATTAGCAACAAGGGTGGTCTCTTTGGTGGAACCAACGGAACCTCCTCCTCTTCCGGATTCAGCTTTGGCGCTAAGCCCGTGAGCACTACTCCCGTAACTTCGGCTTCCGCGTCTGAGTCCGAGACTGGTGGTGCCGCCGACGACGGTGAGCCATCCGATGCTCATCCCACCAAGTCGGAGAAAGACCTTTCTCTTCAAGGCCCTGGAGAGGAAGATGAGGATCCGGTGTTCCAGCTGCCTCGGGCTATCATCTATGACTTGAACAGCAATCCAATCAAGACTGTGGGTGCCGGTGCACTGCGAGTGTTGAAGAACCGCGCCACTGGGAAGTCGCGTATCCTCGTCCGTTCGGACCTCGGCAAGGTTTTCCTCAACGTGGCGCTGAAGAAGGACATCAAGTACCAGCTACACCTGGGAAAATGTTTGAGGGTGCCTGAGTTCCGAGAGAATGGAAGCATCCAGCTGTTCGGTGCGAAGGTCAAGGCGGAGGACCTTCAGAAGCTGCTGCAGACCGTGGAAGAAGTAAAGGCCTAGATGACATGAGTGGGATGAGTGGGATGAGCTGGATGAGCGGGATGAGCGGGGACAGCGTTTGATTGTGCATGAATGGGAATTGGAATGGGGCGATTGATTCGGGGCGACTATAAAAGGGTTTTGTGTATTATACTTTCTTCTTCACGCTCATCTTCCTTCCCCGCGGGAGTTGAGTGATTTCCATTTCGTACTTTGTGTTTCGTTTTTCTTCCCTCTTCCCCCGTCTTTCCGCGTCACCTTTTTTTTACTTCTTGTTTTCTCTTCCGTCCAACTTCGTTTCACATATTTTTGTGACTTTGTGCATGTTTTTCCCCCTTGCATTTACTGTCCCCTCCCTCTCCCTCCGCGTAGTAATTTTCCCTTTTCTTTCCTTATTTGTTTCTTTTTTTTTGCATGGAGGATGGATGGATGATGAACCGGCGGGGACGGGGATGGGGACGGGGGGAAGCAAAGATGCATCGTATCGTATCGTGTACTGGGGAGGACGAGACGGGACGAGACGGGGACGGGACGTGACGGGACGGGATGTTAACGTTTTTTTTCTTTCCTTCTCTTTTTTTCAATTTTCAGATGTGACGAGAGTGAGATGAGAAATGCTTACTTACTTTGTTCTGAAATGGGTTTTCCGAATATCTGGTTACGATGCTGAATGGGCGGGGGACGGTGGACGGTGGACGGTGGACGGTGGAACAGTAGATTTTTGGGGGGGGGAACATGTGAGATGGATGGATGGTAGGGAGGCGGTGATGGGCGGTGATGGTAGGGAGGCGGTGATAGGGGAGTTTGAGTGCGCGAACAGGCCTTAGTTTTAGTTTTATAGGACAGGACAGGACAGGACGGTACTGGAATTCGAATATTTTAAGATATATGAGGCATCCTCTTGCCCGCCCAAGAAGTACATATCTACAGTGGCAAAAAGTGGGGTGCGATTGATGCCGAAGGTCTCCAGTAGTTTGTACTACCGCTCGAATTTAAATCCAGCAGTCTTGGAGAATACAGATTTACTCTAGTATTTTTTTTTTCTAAATTCGAAATTCTACAGTATTGAAAACTTATACGCAGTGTTGTAACGATACGCTTGCCAAAAAGCCGGAAGAACTACCGCAGTTCTTCTGAATGCATAATATTACGCACTGTTCAAAATACCAGAGACCTACCAGACACCTACCGTATTCGCACAATAATGTAGTGCGGATAAAACGTTGCGCTGATCAAGTAGTTCCTATGTAGACTGTAATAAAACTACGACAAGAGTCCTACCAAAGAAATACCGTGGTGAGCTGAATGCACGGGTCACTGAATACCGTATGCACACGGTGGGAATCTTGTAGTTTCACGAATGCGTACCGATACTATGGGTAAGACGTGCTGTACGCATGCAAACATTTATGAAATGTGTGGAGTGTAGGAAGTGCTGTAGGCCTACGGGATAAATACTGTACATGCGTAGAGGAAACTATGGATTGAGCTGGCTATCTATTACAGTAGATTTGTCGAGTCCCTACGGAATCGAGAAGTATCAAGCAGTGCCAACACTGCGCAATATTTTACGCTGCTGTAGTTCAAAGTACATACCGAATTCCTCCAGTAGCCCTTTGGGAGTGCTTTAGCATCTCCCATAGTGTTGTAGTAAAGATCTGTGCAGGAATTGAAGAGAATATCAGATGAGTTGATAGAGAAGCTCCTGCTACTGACGACTGGTTGGGCAGAATCAGGTTCGAGTTTATAAACATCATCAAATAAATCACTTGTGCAAACCAAAAGAGAGTCCAACGATCATATTGAACCAATTATCTACAGCATCAAGTTCCTCCCCTCCTTCCTCCCACAACCTCCCTTTATACATCTATACACCTTTTCCCTCATCCACTCTAACTATGTACTAACTACCCCACAACCTCATCATCCAGAGAGAGCGAACCGCTTACTTGCGGTAAGTCTTGTTGACAGTGGTAGGCGAGGCAGCAGCCGGGGCCGGGGCAGCAGGGGCAGCGTGGGCGCCTCCAGCAGGGGCAGCTCCGGTAGGCGCGGCACCAGCGACGGTGGAAGTGCAGTCCTCCTCAGCCTCCTCGACGGGGGAAGCCTCGTAGGCGGGCTTCTCCTCGACGGGGGAAGCGGCGGCGGGGGTTCCGTAAGAACCGGCGGGCTTGGGTGCGGGCTTGGCGGGCTCCTCAACCTCGGTCTCCTCCTCGACGGGCTTCTCCTCGACGGGAGAGGCGGCGGGGGCTCCGTAGGAACCGGCGGGCTTGGGGGAGGGCTTGGTGGGCTCCTCAACCTCGGTCTCCTCGGTCTCCTCCTCGACGGGCTTCTCCGCAACGGGGGCGGCGGGGGAGCCGTAAGAGCCGGTGGGCTTCACGGGCTTGGGGCCAGCGGCGGAAGGAGTGGCATATCCGTGGCCGGTGGGCTTGGCGGGGTGTCCGTGGGCGGGACCGGCAACCTCCTCCTCCTCATCGTCGGAACCCTCATCGTCAGAGTCCTCAGCGTCGGAGTGCTCAGCACCGGTGTGGTCGTGCTCGGTCTCCTCCTCGGTCTCGTGCTCGGGGACCTTGGCGGGGGCACCGTAGGAGCCGGTGGGCTTCACGGGCTTGGGGCCAGCGGCGGAAGGAGTGGCATATCCGTGGCCGGTGGGCTTGGCGGGGGTGCCGGGGGCAGGGCCGCCGTGGGCGGGCTTGCCGGTCTCCTCCTCGTGGTCGTGCTCCTCCTCATCGCCAGAGTGCTCGTGCTCCTCGGTCTCCTCGACGGGCTTTCCGGTGGCAGGGGTTCCGTAAGAGCCGGTGGGCTTGGGGACGGGCTTTCCGGCACCAGGGGCCGAAGGAGAGCCATGTCCGTGGCCAGGGGCAACGGGGGCACCGGTGGCCTCACCGCACGAAGCGGCCTCGGTCATGGTCTTGGTCTCGGTCTTGGTGACGTAGACGGTCTTAGCGGCGGGGGCAGTGGCCTGACCACAAGCAGCGGACTCGGTCACGGTCTGGGCGGGCTTGGTGACGTAGACGGTCTGGGCGGGCTTGGTGACGGTCTGGGCGGGCTTGGTCACGTAGACGGTCTCCTTGGGGCCGGCAGCGGGGGCACCGTTGCTGGGGAACTTGGAAGGGTTGCCGGCACCGTGGGCGGGACCAGCAGCGGGGTAACCCTTGTTGCCGGTGGGCTTCTCCTCCTCGGCATCCTCGTAGTCGGAACCCTCATCGTCAGAGGTGGGGTAACCCTTGTGGGGGGCACCGGTGGCCTCGGGGGCGTCCTCGTAGACGTCCTCGTAGACGGTGGTGTAGGCATCCTCGTGAACGATGGAGGTCTTGGGCTTAGCGACACCGGTGGGCTTGGGGCCCGGGGCGTTTCCTCCGTGAGGACCCTTTCCGTGGCCCTTGGGGTAGGCGGGGGCGCTAGGGGCACCGGTGGGAGCGTAGTCACCCTTGTGGTGAGTGATGGTCTGGTAGTTGGTAGCGGTGGTGATGATCTCGCTGTTGGTGTACGAGACGGTCTCGGTACCAGTGACGTACGGCTCGCAAGGAACCTTGGTGGTCAAGGTGGCAACGTAGGTGGAGCTCATGACCTTGGTGTAGTCGGCATCCTCGCAGTCGGCACCCTCGCAGTAAGGAGCACCGGTTCCGACAGGGTACGCGGGCTTTCCGGCACCGGGAGCGGTGTAGTCGGGAGCGACGGGGGAGGCCTCAGGCTTTCCGTAAGCGGGAGCGGCGGCGGGGCTGGTGTAGGCCGGGGCAGGGGCAGCGACAGAGCTGGTGACAGCAGGGGCACTGGATAGAATGTCAGAATATGCTCTAAAGGAACCAGATGGAAGAGCGGAAACTCACCCGTAGCCGTAATTGGGCAGGGCCGAGGCGAGACCGGCAAGGGCCACGGTCAAGGCAATCATGGAGACTCTGGCAGGCATTATGAAGTATGTATTATTTGGTGGTTATTGAGAAAGGATTGTTATGTTGATTAACTGAAGCGAGTGACTGAAAGAATGACAAGAGAGCGAGTGAATTAAAGACCGTGAGATGCTGTAGTGAGAGTGAAGAAGATGGAGAATGCAAACAAGAGGCAACGCCGACCCCGATATATATACGATCCAGCTCGCCAGCTCGTCCCCATAGATTGGGTAGCTAACCTCCCAGCTCGGCAGCCACTCCCCCTGGTCACCTCAGCGAGCGTCTCCTTTCCCCCCAGAGTCCTCACACCTTACCTCCCCACTAACTGGATCAGCGGCCATACGGTGCTGTGCTGGGAAAGGGTTCATGGCGCTCGAGTCGCCTCGTCTAGGCTGTAAGCGGATGCACGATGGCCAGGTACTCTCTCCCCAGACCCACCAGCCATACGGTTTGGGCATAACGTTCTGTGGCCGAGAAGGAGCTCTCTTCCTAGTAGTCGCTCAGGGTCTGAGAGTGGCAATGAGTGGCGGGCCCGTGTGATGCAGTCGAGCTCCAGCAAGGAGCGCCTATTTTCGCAGCGGCCAATGCAGCCCATGCACTGGAACCTTCCAAATTGCGTTTGCTGCTGCAAGAAATTGGGACATCGAGATGGCTCCCTACAGCTTCAGCTTCCATATCAGCATTCCCCAGCTCCTCACAACTTTTGAGCAGGTGATAGCTCTCACCGAATAGGTACATACATTGAGCTCCTCGCAAGCTCTACGGGTACTACTGCCACTATAGTACCTATACCTTGGTAGTAGTATAGGTAGTAGCATATGAGAGCACCACCTTGTGGGGCCCTGACCCAACCGGATGTCGAAGGACACTCGGAGCTAGAAATATCCACCAGCGCTTGGGAAGGAGTTCTAGCGTTCACTCGCCATTCGCCATTCGCTGAATGGAGGTAAAGCCCTACCCTAGACCCGTGCGCCTCCCTGGTTTAAAGATGGCCGGCCCAATTTCGGCTCTGCCTGTAGGCTCGTGGAATAGAGTAGGTAAGCGGTAACTCGCGGACCGCTTCTGTGTATTCCACTCCACTCGTTAGTGAGTGCTAGTCAGCAGAGTAGAGGAGAGTAGGTTCATTTACCCCGTACTTGTCCATGATTGGGATAAGTACGGATTCGCGAATCCCGAAAGGATATGCCCTTGCCAACGACATGCCTTGGTACGTTGGATATGCGATGCGATGCGATGCGATGCGAAGGAATAAAGGGGGGGTGGGTGGGAGTGCGTGCGCGCGAGACCCGGCGAAATGTAGCGCAAATTGTTGAGTGTGTAGAAGCGCATCGCATCTCCGGCCACGGCCACTGCCTCCCTAAGGGAGCGATCCGGATGGAGCATCAACTCGATTAGGTGGGAGCTCCCTCTCTCCTGTTGAGGGAATGCCCAGAGCCCAGCAAGTGATGGCCACGATTCGAACCCCTTACGCTATGCTGTGTTGGCGAGTGCAAGGCGAAGTTCAAACCCTCGAGCTCTCTCTCTTGTCCCTGTGCCGAGCACTTGGAAGGGAGCTCGAGGCGCACTCGTCGATCGCCATTTCGGACGATGCCCGCCACCACCTCCACCACCTTCACCACCACCATCACCACCACCCACCGCCTGCCCGCCGGATGCAAGGCGGCCCAGCCGTTGTGGAAAAAAATAAAGAGAGGGCTTCCAGGCTGACGGGACGCACGCAACGTACAACATCGAGCAGCCGTTATGTCTCACGGGATGATTACCCGCAAAAATAAAACATGCAAAAGCCAACATATTGTCGAGCTGTGGCGTGCGGCTGAGCTGAGATGTGAAGATTCAAGAAGTCGGGATGAAGCTCGTACCTTCTCTGTATGTAGGAGTGGCTGGGGGCGGGACTCGCGGGAGGGTTTGTGCGTGGTGCAGATGCATGGACACGGGGAGGATGGATTGACCAACCACTCTAGAAATTGCCGACCCCCACCGGGGACCGCTGTCCCTTTCTTGCAGTGCATTCGCTTGGCGGGATTAACCATCAACCCCATGCAGTTGAATGGGAAACTTGGCCGCGAGAATCTGCATGGCTCATGCATACGAATTCGAATCCGAATTCGACTTCCAAGAGAAAGTTAATTCATTGTCGCATGGCATTACTAAGAGGCACTTAGAATAGCGAGTCGGCGGCCAGGTGCGGGTTAGGCTGCGGAATAGGAGCTTCAGAAAGCCATCAAATGCTGGACACACGGGGTGATGGAGTACGAATGAGCACACCAGCACCCGGAATAGATCCGTAAGTCTCTCGGGGCCGGAACATGCCGCTCACGCCGATATTGAAGAGCAGCCGTGCGTTTCCGGCTTACCAACATCAACATTCCGTCCGCATCCACGAGGCTACGGCATCGGCGTTTGATCCGACGCCGATGATGGAAGGGAGTACCTAGTCTAGGTACTCTACGCCAAGAGGTACATTTCTCTTGGAAATAGCACACGGTCCCAGAACCCAAGACGAAAGTTGAAACGGCTTGGGCATCAGAATTCCTGTTTGTGAGGACCATGTGGAAATGAACCCAGGATGAGATGTACAGTATCAAAAATACTGTAGACCGAGCTGAGATGAGATGCACAGTATGTAAACCGAGTTGATCCGCACCGTGTTGCGGTGTTTGTGAAGACTGTTTATACATAGATCGAGTTGACCCGCACCGTGTTGCGGTTTTTGTGAAGACTGTTTGTGGATCGCGGCGAGTCATTATCAGAGGAATCTTCAATCGCCCCAGATTCTTGCAGCGAGCTTGTTATCATAGTAGATCGTAGCATCAGCGCGAGGCTTGACTCCGCAGTGGCCGTCTCCTGCGGTTCCAATATACAGGCCGCAAAGGCTGATCAATTTTGATCACTCGGTTTGCACATTTTAACGGAGAATCTTCGATGTGAGGGTTTACGGACAAGCAAAGTTGCAATAATTGCAGATAGTACTCTATATCATTGTCTTCTCTCAGTCGTACCATCGCGGTGCATCCCTCGTAGCTCGTGTCCCTTCCTTGTAGTAATGGCTGTGTTTTGCGCTGTATCCTTTACTCTAGAGTAATAGCCGTTCAAACTCCTGCAACACCACAACGTATACGTAATTCTACAGGACCTCAGTCCAAACTCATGAAGGTTCTGTCTACGTACATAATAGGCAGGTATGATATGACAACTTATCGGATGGCAGACAGCTACAGAATGTTCATTTCACATGATATCACTCGGAAATCCAAATTTCTTGTCGGGTGATAGTCCCTTTTTCCCAGTATCCTACAAAATCTCTAATCTCGCCGTTCCGAGTGCGACGGAGGCTGCACCATCGGATGTGGCGGGGTATTATACCCACGACTCATAGGTATCGAAGTCTGGTAATTGATCGAGCCGCTGGGTCATTGTGTATCACCAAGGTATCATACCTACAAAAAATGGACCTACACACACAAACTCACATACTGCGGCGAGGAGCCCCGAATCGGACCTGGCTCGCGGGATCATCGGTTTGTTCCCGTACGATATCGGAGCCGATACCGAGTGTCATGTCGTGTCGTCGTTCATCCGTACATACCATATAGAGCCATGTAATAAAGTCACAAACCTTATGGAAGCCTTATAAGAGGGCGATTTTGACACAATCCTCATGAGAATATTGTTAGCCATATTTGTGTAATTTTTCTGTAGGGTTTCTCGTAAATAAGGCTTATTTAGTCAGGGTTTTCAAATTCCGGGTCATATTGTTGAATAAGGCTTGCTCAATCCCGAGTGCTGTGGAAATCAGTCGCGACTCATAAGCTGTCTGCAACCCTTAACTACTAGCTACCACAACTTATGAGCCCGTATGAGCTCCATAAGGATGCCATAAAGAATTTTCACTAATAGGGGTGAGTAGGGCTTATACGCTCATAAGGATTCTTGAAATCCCAAGCAGCACATAATGACTTTTTCTACAACAAGCCTTATCTCATGCAACACTTATCACTTGTTGATGCTTTCCACTTGTCGATGCTCTTGTATAAGGCTCATCGAACGCTTGTATCATACTTGCAAATAAATCAAGCGTGAGGCGCTCAAGTATTTTCTATATCGGGCTGACATATCCCATATATAATGCTTCACAAAACCCGTCATTTTAACAGTCATTACGTACGCCAGTGCTATGCATGTTAAAAATAACTATATAGGCATGAGGAAAGTCTTACAGCTTACCAAGTGACAAGGTCGATTTATTTATTGGATGATGGTTTTCGTTACATATGCGTTATGTAGGAGTTACGAGAATTTTAGGGGGGGGGGGGGGGGGGTTGTGTTGTTTAATCATTGATTGCATGCGACCTATTTAGATCATGGCAATGAGAATTTTAGGGTTATGAGAACATAGGCCTTTTTTTTGATCTGGCCCTTATAAAAGCCTTATAAATTGGGCGTGCTTATGACTAGCCTATAGAAGGCTCATAACTAATAAAGTCCCCTCGGCTTATATACGGCTGTCATAAGGCTTATAACTTTATTACATGCCCTATGGTAAGTACTCGTACAACATTCGTCGCTACGGCATCAGGCCACCGCGTCAAGTTCTAACGAAACAATAAACACCATTAGAGTACGCGTCAACATGAGGGTATACAGTACTTCAGAGATTCCTATCCCGCCCCCTCATGGTGTCGTAAGTTACCAACGTTTTTCCCAAAGAAGAGGCGGTGCAAACGGACGAGTGATATCTCATGTACCTACTCATTAGAGGATCTCGCTCTCACTCTCACTCCATCACCTCCTCTACAAGACTACAACACCACTCGTCCGTCGTCCGTGCCTCACGCTTCAACCATTCACCGTGGTTCTCACATCTCACACGAACTTGCTGCGGAAGACGCTCGAGAAAGCCAAGACCAAGTACCCAGGTAGTTCCCGGATGCGTACCACGATGTTCCGCAACCACGGTATGGTACATAGAAGAAGTGAAGGCCTGGTGAAGTCGGAGAGGTTACAAGTTAAAACTGTGGATAAACATCGTTCTGTGCTCTCTGCTACCGCATTGCTCTCGCCGCTGCCACGACCCGTGTGCTCTCCGTATGTACCTTGGCCAGTCTGAAGAGTGCAGCCCGGCCGAAATAGCTAGCTACTTACTTAGCTGAGCTGAGCTGGTTTTGTACGTGGTTCGGATCTGCTATGTATGTAGGTGACTTTAAAGTTTTACTTAG